ATGTGGCCTGTAAAGTTAAATCGCTGTCATCGCCTACGTACGCTGGGCAGATATCCTGTCCTGTGTCGCGCAGACGCTGTGGTGTCCGTGGCGATTGATTGGTAGCCCTGTTGCTCTGACCGACACCGGGCACATGGTTAGCCATGTGCCGAAGCGAGGGATGGCGGTACATGAAAGACAGGCGGAATCAGGCGCGCAAACGAGTACCATAGCGTATTAAGCGGGCGTTGGAATTCTGCTTTCCCTGTCATGGAATTGTTCTTTCTTCCAGTGACTTCAAGTTTGTATAGCGGCGGGTTGCGGTTCCGGCCACTATTGACGGCACAGTTACTGTCAATGACTCCTTGAACCGGAATGGTTTGAGAGCGACATCCTAAAATTACTAGGCTTGGCCCGACAGGTCACTAGCCGAGCTTGTCCTCTCTGGCTTTTTTTGTCCACTTACTGGGGCCAAGTAAGCTGAGGAACCAGTGGTTGCTGTTGTGTTCTTTGACTTTGCCTTTCTCTCCCTGTCAGGTCTCCTCGTGACCGTCTTCTCAAAGGGTCTCAAACAGTTCAGGGACAAACAGAAATGCTGGTCTATGCCAAGAAGGCAAAAATGAGCCGACAAAGACACAACAATAATACGAAACTGTCAAACAACAAACAAACAAATAATCATCCTAGGTTGCTTGGTTGAGGGTGAGACTGGTCACCAAGCTTGTTTGTTAGGCAAAGCTAAAAAAAAAGTCGAGAGAAAAAAATCGCCCAACCGAAACCCATACCATAGACTTTTTCACCACCCTGCCCCTCTCCGCCCTGGCCATATCCGGACTGGTTTCTCACAATCGTATCGTGATCATTGATTGCTCGATCGTGTCGTCTTTGAAAAAGAACTTGTTTGTGCTGATAAAACCTTACAGGATGCATGTCACGATGCCAAGGAGGGTAAGACGGTTCGTCATTCTTATCTGAGTGCTCATCATCAAGCAATTGCATTACGACGAAACAGACTCATTGCACATGTCTATCAGAGATAATCACACCATTTGATAATCCATCGTCTTCATCTCCTGGTCAGACAAGTCCGTTAGTCAGGAACGGAGGATTTGCATCTTGGATTGTTATGGCATGACCGAGAAATTGGATTTGCACCGGCGCGTTACTGTCTAGCTGATCGGCCTGGAGCAAGAAATGTGTGCAGCTCAGACCTCTCGGATCCAGCGGCGCTCATATCAAGTGCCCGCCAGCCGGCGCTCCCTTGGGACGATACCCTGGATCGGCATGACTCTTTCATGCGCTGGAGCATTTAGACTTGACGGAAGGAAATGGTGATATCGCAAACCATGCGTTGGTGCAGACTAAAGAAACTTTGAGTTGCCGAGGCCATCGCATGAAGCATCAACAAAAACGCAATCGCCAGCATGATGACTTATGATGATGATATTGGCGTGTCCCCACTCTGAGTGGTTGGCCGTTAGCCCGGAGGTCAACTCAAGATGTCGTTGTGTTGTTGGTACGGCGCACTGCCGCACTCGGAATAGACGAGAAGCCGGTCAGTGGAGCAGACAGTTTTTCTGTCAGCCTTCATAAATTGGGCCTCAGAAAGGACAGGAAAAGGGGGGGCAGAAGAGAAAGTGAAAGAAAACGGTGTGAGCCACACTATACCCCCATCCAATCCATGATCCATGGCGTCCATCTCATGGCCGAACCCCCGAAGCAGAGAGGACAACCACAAAGCCTCAGCCCCTACAAAGGAACAGAACAGCCCAAACCCACTGCCGAGCGCTAATGAGAGTTAGGCACACTAAAGTTACAGCACAACGGTTCCCGGAATTCCACGTTGGCACCTATTGTCAAATCAGCAGGGGGCAGAAGGATGTCAGAGGGGAGAGTAGGATTGAGTCCAAGATCCATCGTTATTTTCTACGTTCCGGTTCCCCATACTGATACTATGGATACAGTCACAGAAGACAGAACAGAGTATCATTTAGATTCTCACAGGTATAGAGTCTCTCAAGGTTTCTCAGTCTCGTTTACACACCGAGTTTCTTCCCTTCCCATCTCGCCCTTTCGATCTCTTGGCTAGACCATCAAGAAAGACAGGGTAAGCTAACCAAAGGCAAACAAGCATCCTCATTTGGTCAGTTCTTGATCTATCCCTGGCACATTGACGCTGAGATCTTGGCCTATGTTATGTCTTCAGTTTCCGTGTAACCGTCTTGTCCATCAACTGGTATGACTATTCCCCCTTTCTCATAGCCCTGTCTACCAATTGACTGGTGAGTTGGCCCGTTCGCCCTGTTTCTCAACGGCGACGAGGTTCACCGTATCTGTCTGTGTATATCACAATAGTCTCGCGTGGTATGTCGGTCAATCTCTTATTCGAGACATTGTCCTGTAACGACATTAGGTTTTGGTCATGTGCACCTTTGACCTGGCAGGCTAGGAAGATTTATTGAGTTGAGTTAACGTGGTGCATCTGCATTAGACCGGTGTCCACAGTTGGATGAGAATCTACTCAACTCAACTCTGTTTCTGTCTCTCCCTTGTATCGCATGTATCAATCAAGTCTGAGCACTTCGTCAACTAGAGAGTTGGATTGCATCTGCATAAGGAGGACATGCATTTGCTTGCTTGCACTTGCAGTACATTCAAGCACACACCGTCAGGCCCAGGGCCCAACCATTCGCCTCCCCCTTGACCTTGAACATCCATTTGCAACTCCACTCTATCAAGCTGCAACGCAACGGATGAAAATCATACACCCCTCCCCCCTTGTACCTACCCCAGTCTCTCCAGTATCCACCCCGGTCTGTCTGTCGTGCACAGTAAAAATAAAAATTGAGAGGGAAAGAAAAAAATGATTCGAAAGGGCTGTAGAAAGGGCTTGGGTACGTACTCTCTCCAAATCGCTGGCAGTTCGTTCTCAGCCTGTGAGTGCAGTGCAGCGTAGCACAACAGTCCTAGTTTTGAGCTGGGGTTCAATCCCAGTCAGATCAGTATCAATCAATCAATCAATGCTGCCTATCCTATCCTGTCCTCACCCTCGTTCAGGCTTCCTCCTGACTTGAGATTGACAGCGGATCAGAGTCGAGTAAAGTGAGGTGTACAGAGGTCACAGAGGTGTATGTAGTGTCATTGCTGATGATACTACCAACCACTGTATGGACATCTGTTACAGGGACAAGCACGGGCACAGGCACCGGTACTGACTGAGACCTTAGTGGGCTGTTAGGAGGCCTAAGGCTTAGTGAAGCTCACACAGACACTCGCTTTGGAGTGACTCGACTGAAGACATTGACGAGAAAAAAAAAAGGGACCTTACAGTGTTGGACAGGACAAGCATTGCACTGGTTGTGTCTGTGACAAGAAGATCAGCTCGTGTCAAGTGTCAAGTAAAAGGTCTCTCTCTCACTTTGAGGTCCTTCTTGGCTGGGGGTCTACATTGTACCATAATTTCCCGGCCCCAGGGACAGGCTGCAGGCCTACAAGCTACAGCCCAAGAAGTAGCCCAGCCCAGCCCAAAGTAAGTGCCCAGCTCGAGCACCAGCGCATGGAACACAGCGCAAGCTCAGCGCACCCGCCGCATAACTACAAGACTCTTCTTCTGCCCACCTCTTGACTTTCTTCCATTTCTGCGTCTAGCTTTCTTGACGTTAGCTTTCTTTATTTTTTTTCTTGACCTCTATCATACAAAGTCTCGCCCGCTCCAAAAAAAAAAGTACGCTATCATACTTTTGGTCCCCTCTACCTCCCTCCCTTGCAAGTCGAAATTGCACTCCTCCAAGTCTCCTCTGCCTATCTATTTTTTTTTTAACCTTCTGGTTGACTTGACTTGTCTGGCTATCCCGCCCCAAGTTACTTATTTACTACCGAGACTCCCCCCTTTCCGTCCCAACTATCTTTTCTACCCCTCCCGCTCCACCACCAACTTTCCCATTGACAACCTACCTCTTCGCCTTTCTCACTTCCTGTCAATCTGCTTTGCTTTACTTTGGCTTTGCTTCTTCAAAGAAATCTTTGCTCTCCACGACACGGACGAATACCCTTCTTGTTCAAAGATACTCAGATTGATCCATCGCGTACTCGAAAACAAAGTCCGGCTCAATTGAATTTCGTCGACCAACTTGCGACAGCCTGCGCCTTCCTACCAACTGTCGCGTTCAGTTGAAGTTTGGGTGACTCAGCCAAATCTCGACCTCGAACCTCGACTTTGTTTTACACTTTGGTCCGCGGATTCTCGGAATTGACTTTCTTCACTACGAATTACGCCTTGTCGTTTTATTCTCAACCGTTCCCCCGTTAAATCGGTTATCGCATCGAAAGAACCCAGCGCAGGACGTTGTTGGTGTTGACTTGACGTTCATCCATCCATCCCGAACCTATAACTTCAAGTTACCCCAACCTTGTGGTTTCGACAAACACTCGGTCAATCTATTCATCACCTGGACCAGTAGCTCTGCGCTGTGCTGCAGCTCTCTGCCTGTCAACGAGGAACGCCCTGTTTTGCTTGATCCAGCGACCCCAAGGCACCCCCAAAGGAGCCACCTGCATATCCCGCCCTCTGCCAGCTCACCACGCTGCTGCGAACTTGGCACATCATCACGCCTCGGATCGGCCTTGTCAGGACCTACCTAGTCATCTGTTACTCAACCTCACTGTCCTTGTGGACCGACCACCTCCAGGCTACCTCGGTCGTCCCTGCATCTGCATTCATTACGTGCTGTCGACACTGCCCTGGACCTTTGGCAGACACTGGCTGCACCCCAGAGTGACAGCTACTCCACGAGGGATCGGCTTCCGCAGCATCTTTCCCCGCAATTCGCGTGTCTTATCGTTACCCCCAGGCCAGACGTTCCACCATGGCTCCCCATTCTGACTGAGCTTTTATATACGTCGATGCAACCTACGAATGCGACCTGCTTGTCCTTATAGTGTAATCACCACTCAGCACGACCATGTCTTTCAACTTTGACTCGGATTCAAAATCATCATCACCATCTCACAACTTATCCGAAATGTCCTCAATAACACGTTCTCAACTCGGTCAGGTCCAGACATCCTTTCCGTCACAATCACAACCAGTCCCTATCCCCATGTCAGCTATAAGTGCTTCATCAGGAACCTCAAACTCACAACAAGGTTCTCCAATCATGTCTCCCGACACCGCTGTTCTAACCACATACTCCTCTGTCCAGGCCTCGCCTGAGCCCATGCGAGGTCGAGAGGAGGAGTCCTTCCCTTCCAACTTCCAGCTACCCGAATCAGTGCTCTCCAGGAAGACGAGCACAAACTCTCTCGGGTACAGTGCCATGTCCGAAGTGGCCAACAACAGCAAGGGAGGTCTCATCCGTCGATTCTCAAACCGAGCCCAACGATTTGCAGGCAGAAGAAGACCATCTTCAGGTGCCCCTGCCAGCCGTGATGGAAGTGTTGGTCCCAGCATTCTCAGACGCCGTAGCGACAGCAATGCCACAGCACCTCAAGAGAACGCCCTGACAGACACAGACGAGGAGCCCGAATTCGTTCCTGAGGACTCTATTTCCATGGTTTGCCTTGATGGCAACACCTACACATCATCCGCCAACAGCACACATGGCTCAATAAGTGGAAGTGCTGGAGCTATGGCTGGCCCAGTGCTCCCAGCCGAGCTACGCAATGGGTGCCCAGTGAAGAAGGTCTCCAAGAAGAGTCGCCCAAAGAGGATAAACCTTGTTTACGAGACCGAGTCAAACAAGCTCTCTTGGGATACGACTCGTCCTCAAAAATCTCTTCACGTCGATGAGATTAGGGAGATTCGAACAGGAACCGATATTCAGCAATACATCCACGACTACGGACTCTCCAATGAACTCGACTACTACTTTCCTCTTTGGTTTACTATTATTTACACCGAAAGCTCCAAGACAAGATTCCTCCACATCGTCACCGACAACCCCAACACTCTATCATTATGGACGGAATTCTTGGACGCCATGTTGAGGTATCGACAAGAACTCATGACATCGTTGATGGCTTTCAACGATCCTGCCGTTGCCCAGTACTGGCAGACCGAAATGGCCAAGGAGTTTGGCGACCAGGTTCGATCTCCTGAGCAAGAGGAGATGAACATTGCCGGCGTCAAGCGCGTCTGCCAGAACCTTCACATCTACAGCTCACAGGCAACCCTCGAAGTTAACTTTCATCTATCTGATTCTCGACGACGACAAAAACTCAACTTCCGCGAGTTCAAGGACTTTGTGCGCCGCATGAAGCAACGCAACGACGTGCAACGAATTATCCGAAGCGTTGCTGGCAACCCCGAGTTTGGTCTTACCATGTCCGAGTTTCTCACTTTTCTCCGCGATGTCCAGGGTGAGGATGTTGATTCTAACCGTGCTGCCTGGGAGAAGCTGTTTTCTCGATTCTGTCGCCGATACCGAAGCAACGAAGTGGATCTTCCCGAGAACGCCGAGATTATGACCGAAGCCGCTTTTGTTGCCTTCTTGACGTCAGAGGACAACGATGTGATGCAGCCTGAGCCTCAGAACATTGTACTGGACCGTCCTATGAATGAGTACTACATCTCCAGCTCCCACAACACTTATCTCTTGGGTCGTCAAGTTGCTGGTCAGTCAAGCGTTGAGGGCTACATCTCAGCGCTTGTTCGGGGATGCCGATGTGTCGAGGTTGACTGCTGGGATGGCTACAACGGCCAGCCCGACGTTAACCATGGACGCACAATGACCACTTCAATCAGCTTCAAGGAGGTCATGACCACCATCAACAAGTACGCTTTCGTCAAGTCCAAGTTTCCTCTCTGGATTTCTCTCGAGGTTCACTGCAGCCCAGCCCAGCAGGCTACCATGGTGGAGATTATCAAGGAGTGCTTCGGTTCAAGACTGGTTACTGAGACTTTGGAGGCTTTCCCCGACAAGCTTCCCACCCCCTCTGAGCTTATGGAGCGTGTTCTTATCAAGGTCAAGAAGCCTCAAATCAAGGAGGAGCCTGTTGCCCCCGGCAATGACTTCCGTGGTCGACGCCGAGGCAACAGCCTCAACTCGCCTATGATGCGCCCATCCATCCCCGACGGTACTCCTTTGATGCCTTCTCAGTCTCTTCCCCAGAGCCCCATGCTCACCCCAAGCCACTCTTCCCGACGATTGGTCAGCAAGACCCGAGTCAACACCATTACCGAGGGTCGAGTCCAGGATGGGTTGAGCAGCAGCACCAGCGACAACGAGAGCACATGTGAACAGCCAGTGAAGAAGACTCCCAACAAAACCGTCAAGGTTCTTGGTGATCTTGGAGTCTACTGCGCTGGAGTCAAGTTCTCTGGCTTTGACACTGTCGATGCCAAGCAGTACAACCACATCTTCTCTTTCATGGAGTCGAGCTTTGCCAAGCACTCTCGCGCCAAGGACCAGAAGATGGCTCTTGATATCCACAACATGCGCTACATGATGCGAGTCTACCCTGACCGCACTCGTATCACCTCTAACAATTTTGATCCTCTCATCTACTGGCGACGCGGTGTTCAGATGGCCGCCCTTAACTGGCAGACTTTCGACCTTGGAATGCAGCTCAACCGTGCCATGTTCGATGGTGGCAAGGACTCCTCCGGCTACGTTCTGAAGCCCGCCGAACTCCGAGACATCCAGGTTCTCCCCTACAACTCCGACATTGCCGAGGGCAAGAAGGAACGCAGCGTGGTCTCTTTCAGCATCGACGTCATCTCTGCCCAGCAGCTTATGCGACCCGCCAACCTCCCCGCGAACAAGTCCATGGACCCCTACGTGGAAGTTGAGATCTTCCACGCCAACGACAAGCGCGACAAGAAGGAGGCCGACTCCAACCTGGCCATGGAGCATGACTCGCCCCTCAAGTATCAAACCGAGGTCATCCGGGAGAACGGTTTCAACCCCATGTTTGACAAGCAGTTCAAGTTCAAGGTCACCACCAAGCACCCCGACCTGATCTTTGTTCGCTGGTCGGTCAAGCTCTCCAACGATGGCGAGAGCTACAATGAACGCCCTGCCGTCGCCACCTACACCGCAAAACTTACCAACCTCAAGCAGGGATACCGCACCCTGCCTCTTCTTAACCACGCTGGCGACCAGTACCTGTTCTCTAAGCTTTTCTGCAAGATCAAGGTCGACTCGGTCGAAAAGAAGTTGATTGACGCCCCTCGCCGAACCCAAGACGGTAACAAACTCAACCGACTTGGTGGCAAGGTCTTCAGCCGCATCAACACCAGCCCTAAAAGTACCATCGAAAAGTCTAGCTCCGAGAAGACGAGCTTTGACAGCTACTGATTTTGAGTCTATCTCATCTGTATCAACATCTCTTCAACCTTCTTGGATATAATTTTACCATTTCATTTCTCGATTCCATCGATACTGAGCTCGACGAAGCTGGATTTGGGTCTACTCGGGTCTATCGACAAGGATCTACGGCGCAGGACCTCCACATCCTCTTATCTGGTCACATCTCTTTTCCATGATCCCAGGAGGATCCTGGCGCGACATACGCGATGGTTGTCTGTGACGATGATGATGGAACCAGCACCCTTTGTCTTACTTTCTTTCTTTTTCCCTTCAAGAAACGGGTTGAAGCGTTTGAATAACCCTTTTAAGGTACCAATTGGTACACAACGATTTCCTTTGTTGAAAATATGGCGCATGAAAAAAACACTTAAAGAAGGACAAATACCCCCTTGAGCGTGGATGGTGTTGGTCATTATTGGGATTCTATGTTTATATTATTACCGCGGCATGGGTAGCCGCCTTCAATGGAACAAGGACAGGAACGGAATGAAAAAAAGGAGTCTGCATATACCACGCTTGGCCGTGATTTAGGAGCGTCAGGAACAACTAGCATTACTGGGAAACCGGATTCACGTATTATAGATCGGCACAAGGCAGGGGATACCAATCACTTGGGAAAACATCTCTATTCTGCTGAAAGCATATTATTCTTGGCCAAGTCTCGTCTCTTGAGTGTCAATTGTCTATGTCATCAATATCACTATCAGAGATGACGTCTCAAGCTAAAGAGTGTGCACAGCAGAAAAGAGGCCTCATGGAACAATGGGATCGGCAAAGGGAAATCATGATATACTGTATACATACCGGTGGCTCACGCCAACCAAACGACTGGGCCTGGATAGGCATGTGGATTTAGAGGGATAATGAGAAATGAATCAGTTCAAACTATGACGAACATTAGTGAAGCGAATTGTATGCCTCGTTTGGGTTCGTGTATAGCTTCGTCTAGAAACCCCTGTTTTACAATCCAACGATCAATACACTAACCTCCACAACTAATACTGGCACTATCCCCTATGACGAAGGGCGGTTGTTCATCTCATCTTGACTAGCTTTAGCGACGTTGACAAGTCCAAATGTTCATTCCAGGTTCATCTTGTCTTTTCCCCGCAGGGTCCCCCCCTTCCTAGGGTTGATCTACACGATCGTCGCTTGGGGGTGTGCGCCGTTGAAAGAGGGTTGTCATGTAGAAGAGGGGTGTTAGGTAAGTTAGCTTGGAATGAGGCCATCCAGATATCTGGATTGGGATAAATATGTTGTTTTGAAAAGTTGGCTTTGTCAGCCGCTCTATGTAGTATCTACCCCACTGTGACAGCTTCGAATATCACCATATCGTTTAAATCTTTTGAAACAACGATTCTGAACATCAACACTATGTCATCAGACATAAGCGCCCTTTACAAGGACATGGTCCCTGGCAACCTCGCTTGTCTCACAGCCCTGGGTTTCGCTCAAGAATCACTACCTATACCCATCGTGAACCACTCTCTGCGGGTTTATCTGTTGGCTCGGTTCATTGCCAAGAGAGAAGACTCTCCCTTTGTGTCTGAGGGGCAGATTAGTCTCCTCTTTGTAGCAGCTGTTCTCCATGACATTGGCGCGAGTGATGCCGTCAATGGACCTCAGCGCTTCGAAGTATGTTCTGCTGACACCGCAAAACATCATCTTCTTGAGCATGGACACTCAGAAGCAGAAGCGCATCAAGTCTGGATCGCTATCGCAGTGCATACATCCCCTGGTATAGCAGAGCGCATCGATCCATTGGCTCGGTTGATCCGACTCGGTGTGCTCTCAGACTTTGGATCGGACGAGTACCGAAGAAGTATCGGGACAGACTCATACTGCAAGGAGATAGAAGCCCTTCTGCCGAGGCTAGAACCCGAGAAAGCGCTTGGTGACGCAGTGATCAAGCAAGCCGACAAGATTCCACAAGTGGACAGTGTCACTTGGCCCAATAGTGACAAGTTTCCAGCTGCAAGTTGGCCCGGTATTCTGCTGCGGGCACACGCCGAGAATCCAGACCACGAGGGAGTAAACCCAGCATTCTAGGAAAACGAAACCTTGGAAGTGTACCAAACCCTGAGGGGAGTAAGATTGGCGGTCAAAACCCTCCGACAGTGCAACATGGACCGGTAAGCGATGATCAAGGGGTGGTGGTTGTAGATCGTGTAAACGTGGACGATCTCAAGTCGGCAGTTGGTACAAATCACACAAGTCACGCTTGGCGAGCGTCTGTCAGTGGATATCCGTAGCGTTGGACACAAGCACAGTTGAGAATGTGAATAGCATTGGACATATGGATTCGTACACATCATTCCGAGATAGATCCCAACAAGTCTGGAATTACAACATAAAATTGTGCCAAGAATGTAAAAAAAAATATCGAACAAAAATAGAAAAGAATACCCGGAACAAAGAAACTCCTCATCTCATGATAAGAAACGTTAACGTTCATTTTCATTCGCTTGCAACATAAATGCAACTTTCTAATCGACGCCCTCATCTTGGAATTTGGGTGTCACTTCAAACTTGGGAGTCCCTGAGCGACTAACGTTGCTTGGTGTTCTGCTCAGAGGACTGCTTGTTGAGCTTCCCTTCCGAAGCATACCGCTTGCACCACCACGACCCCAGTTTCCGTTAGTAACGACTTCAAGAGCGCGGGCTTCAGCGTCATCACGACCTTGAGGGTTGGGTGAGAATCTTGGACTCAGTTTTCCACTTTGCGGGTCAGGGTTGTTGGCGTCGAGAAATCCATCTTCATCGCTGTCCAGATCTGCTAGCTCATCATCTAATGTTCGACCACGAGGGCTAAGACGTTGCATAGGGACATTTTGTGTAGCATCGGCATAAAGGTTGGGATCCCGACCAAGAACTCGATCAGCCTTGCTCATAGTTTTAGGACCTGCGAGTTTTGGACCGGGAGAATAGTGTTTTCCTGCACCTGTAGGTCGTTCGGCGATATCAGGGATATCATCTGGTGATCCCCATCCAGCGTTGACCTCACGAGCTCGTTGCTGCTCTCGCTCAGCTGCGAGTCTATCACGAGCCTCGAGCCACTTGTCGCTTGCTTCCCAATTCCAGCCATCTCCCGTAGTGTTAGAGACAGGGAAGAACCATAGCGCAGGGGTTGGGCCAAAGAGATGAAGCAGGTTGCGTTTCCAACCGAGATCAAAGACGTTGGGAAGCTTTTCAGAATCTTGTTCGTCGAGGTACTCCTCATACCGTTTTTGTCGTTGTTCGCGCTCCCGTTGAGCATAAGACATTTGAACAGGGTGGGAACCGTCAGGGGGATACGATCGGGGACCCTCTCGTCGCTCTTCGCCTTCCTCGGGCCTAGTGATTCCAGGTAGAGCATTTGCGTGAAAGTCGACAAAGTTGCGAGCAGCCTCGGGTACATCGTTGGAGGGGTTGTGAGCAGCGTTGTATGACTTGCGCAGAGGCGAAAGGTATCGTGTCTTTTCAAGGCACTCAATCGTAGTTTGTCCACATCGAGCCAAGTGAATATGCCACGATGTAAAAGCGCCAACCACAAGTCCGATAATTCCGCTGATGACGCTCAGCATAATAAAGTTGACTGGCAGAAGTGTATCGACATATTCCTGATCAGCCAGCGCCTCCCACCAAACCCAGCTTGCACTGACAGCGAAAGACCAGAAGCAGAAAAGAGACGTATAAATCAGGAAGAGGAGGAACGCCTTGTGGTTGCGCAATCCGATACATGTGGCTAACCAAGGGCAATGGTGATCCATCTTGAGCACGCAGCGTCGACATGTTGAACAGTGGTGAGCGCGATCTGGCTTACGGGCCTGACACTTTTTGCAGAATCGAAACTCGCCATTGCTTTTAACAGTAAAGGATGTGCCTTGGGGTGTGTTCTGTGTCGGTAAAAGGCCATATCCCATATCATTTGTCGTCGAGCCGGGAGGTGTAAAGACAGCGGTAGTATAGCACCAGTTGAGCATAAGATAGAGTGCAACACCTATTATCGAAGACCCAGTGCCTGTGATTGTTAGAAGTGTCCATGCAGAATATGTCCTTGAGCATAATGACCACATACCTATCCAGTTGCTCCTCGTGCTGACGCTACCGATATTGACAACCACCCAAACAGCCCATGATGTCAAGCCGTATACAAACGACAAAGGAAAGTATGTCGCAAAGATACAACAGCACCGCTCAGCTTTGCGCGCCCACCTACGAGCCGACGCCATTGCGCTCGCTTGTGTTGCTGAATCAGTAATCTCCCAATAATTCGGCGCAGATCAGTCGTTCGATAAATGTTGTATTCTTCTATTCGAAACGTCTCGTCATATCATTATTCGACCGTAGCGAACACAGGGGTATTATCTATCGTCGATGTCCTTGTCGATAAAGGACGGGGAAAAGCCAGGTGGATGAATCGGCCGGGGGTGCACAGGTCGTATGTCGTCTGTTCGTCTTTATACTGAGTAGGCCGAGCGTCGAATACACAAAATCATTAATCGGTTATGGCGAAAGGAATAAAAGTAATAAGCTGAGCTGGGCAAATTGTACTGTACAGAAATTAACGGGGAGTTGGACTACGACTGCTGTCAATGAATTAAAGTGAAGCTTAGGTCATCAGGGGCCGATGGGTTCCACTATAATCAATTAGAAGCTCCGCTCCGCTTCGATATAGAACTCCGCCTCATACGCGTACGTAGTAAATGAACATGCATTTGTAAGTCAGAGATGTCTACATAAAGAGTATTATGTTATCACGAGAATGGAAGTGTGATTGTATGGAACTAATCAGTCTCAGTAAAATACTCAGAGTTTCAAACGTTTATGCTGTCCTCTGTTCTTTGTAGTTAATCTCAAATCGAGTTCTGTACCCCTGGCTCTTTATAACCCTGGTAAATACATCAAAGAAGACCCCTGACAACTACATCAAAGAGGATATCAGGATATCTGGCATCACAGAGCTTGCATAGACTTCACCGATATTTACTCCTTTGTGGCGGTCTCGACGAACGAAGGTGTCAAATCGTGGCATCAATCATTTAGTTACTTAGGTATCTAGACCTATCGAGAGCCTGTTACTCTTCTTTTTGTGCCTCTTATCCATGCCGCTTTAAAGCAGATCATGTAAATTCTATGTTCAGATATCATAACCAGATACCACAGTTTACCACTTGATATCCTCATGCTTGTACTCACGTTTGGGAGCAGGAGCACTCTGCTGACCAGGACGAGTAAAGTCCTTGGCGACAACAAACTGAAGAGTACCATCCTTGTTCTTCTCCGTTTTGACGTCGACCAAGCCAGCAAGCAACTGATCCAGATAAGGACGGAAGTTGTCCATCTCACGAATCTTGCACTTGACTCCGTTGGACTCAGCGTGCTGAACAATAGCAGTCAGGGAGTTGAAAGTGTTGAGACAGTAAGGGCAACGGTATTTGGTCTCAGAGTGAGCTTCAGACTTGAGATGACCAAGAAGAGCTGGGCCTGATTTGAAGGTCTTGGTGCAAGAGGCCACAGGGCAGTTGTATTTGCCGGTGAATTGACAGGCGTAGCGGCCAACGTTGAAGTTGGGATGGCTTGGATTGTGAATGCTCATAAGCCCATAGGCATCTCGGGCATTGGGGGCAGTAGCCTGGTCGAGTTGCTGTTGCGTAGGTTTCTGAGCAGCAGGGGCATCTGGGAAAAGATTCTTTCCCTGGTTCCAGTCGTTTGCCTTCTCCTTTCCCTTGCTGTTCACCTGAGGACCGGAGCCTGAGTTGATGTTTTCCCTGACGTTCTCCTTGTTGCGCATTTGAGAGCCGATGCCCGCGCCAAGAGTCGGAAATGCATCCTTGTCGTTGACGAAAGGACGAGATTCTTCAAAGCCCCAAGTGCTGGAGGCGTCGGAGGCACCAGGCATATACCCTCCGTAGGCAGATTTGAGAGGTTCCTTGGTAGCAGCAACAAGGGCGTTGGAGAACTCCAGCTTCTTCTCACGGAGACTTTCGATAGTCTCGTTATCGATACGAGGGCAATCCTTCTGAATGTGCGCTACAAGGCCGCCGACACGAGCAAAAGGTCCCTTTCCACATCCGGAGCAGAAGAGATTCTGTTCCTTTGGGTGATACTAGACGAGAGTTAGTGAAGTGTTCATGAAATGACGATGTTTAGTGAAGTGCTTAGGAGAGATTAGGAGAGAAACGCTAAGGGCTTTAGGAGAGACCTAAAGGGCAACATACCTGCTGAATGTGAATCGCTTCAGCCTCCTTGGTCTTGAAGTCCGCACCGCAAAAGGAGCAGTGGATGTGCTCGCTGCCGTTATCCCTCATGATGCGCTTGTGTGTGAGAAGATCTTTGAAGTCTTTGAAGACTTTGCCGCAAGGAATGCAGGTCAACATCTTTATAGGAAGGTAGGTGCGTAGTTGGAAGGGGGGTGTTGTCATGCGAGAAAGAGACAAACGGGAAGATGCAGATGAGCAAACAGAAAATGAATGCAACGGACCGTGGCAGAAAGTGGAAGAGATTAGAATCTTGGTCAATGGTGAATGAATAGGCAGCAAACGAAAGAGGGGGTAATAACAATCAAACAGTGAATAACTGCTAGATGGCTAACGAGCAGGCAATCCATGAGCAGGCTTCTTGCATGCTTTCACTGGTCTCCTCTTTGGCCTGTTATTGCATACTTTATTCAGACTGTAGTTGCATTAAGGAGAAAGGGGATAACAAAGTCAAATCTACCATGAAGCTATCTAGATTTTGCGATGAACGGATATCTGTAAAGGCAATCTGAAAGGGCCTATCATGGAGACAAGGGACACTGTTTAGCAGAATGCACGTTGAAATGAGGGCAATCGACGCCTGCACAGAAGCGTGTTTGATAACGATGTCTCTTGTTGACACCAGCATTGACAAACGAGATATCTGTAGGTTGTCAACAAACAACAGCATGGACACTCCGGTGAGTAACAGAAGGAATCTTGCTCTAAGGATTAGGTCTTCATGATAAGGTAGACTAAATGCTAGTCTGAGCTACCATAAAGTGACCAAATTATTTCGTCCCTTCTGTCACCCGCCTGCTGTGACATATTCTCTCATATTTGCAGCAGAGATCAGACTGCTCACGCAAACATCTGTGGATCTATATCCTCGTCCCGTATCATATCTCCATCCCCATCATCATCGTCGTCATCACCAGACTCATCTTCATCACCCTCATCAGAATCCTCATTCCCAGATCCCATCTCCTCCAACAACCGGGCCTCTTCTTCTTGGTTATCTGAAGCAGCTACCGTCGATGACTCTCCAGCTGTCGCCTTCTTAGGTCCTGCATTGGGATCTCGAACTCGCACGCTATAGCCCTTATGCTTATTCTTCTTAGTGGGTTGTCGTCCTCGCAGCTGTGTGAGCTCTTCGTCCGTGAGTCGAAGATTCGGTAGTGGAAGGTGAAATGTTGCTTGGTTTGATCGGACTGGTGTTTTATCGCCGGTTTCTAATGTCATCGCAAAGTCTTCTCTTGTAAGGTGTCGATCAAACTGGATGGCCACGAGTTTTGTCTTCATGATCGCTTTGACTTTGGCCCAGAGACCACCATGGTACCATCCACTGCTTGGATCCCATTCAGGGCGTATAGCAGCGTTCTCGAAAAGCTCTTTGAGTAGAGGATCGGTGATATCACAGACCTGCCACACTTTTCCATCGGTGTGGAAGGTTTCACCATCAAAGACATGACTCTCCGAAAGTTCCTCCAGAAACTCCTTTAGCGGTCCCATTTGGACTTTGCGTAATGATTTCCATGTTTGGCCACGCTGGGCGCGCTTCTGCTTAGGAAGCTTGAACATGAGTGTCTGATAGATTCGATATTTCGGGTCTGTTCGTGGATCAATACCATATTGAACCACTCCATCTCTCCATGGACCTCCCTTGAACTGATAGGCTGCGTAGTTGAGATATTTCTTGAGTTCATTCCAGTTCTTAAGCTTGCCCCCAAGGTGATTGAGAAGAGATCGTCGAGTCCAGATCGGTCGCTCCTCAAAAGCATCTTCAAGCTCAGCCATAATTTCCACCATTCGTGGATCAGTCATATCGGGTGGGAGTTGAGGTTCGGTTGGTGAAGGGTCCTCTGCACCAATAAAGTAGCCAACCTGCTTCACAGCGGTGGTGTTTATTGTGCCGCCATCTTCAGTCGCACGTACGTACGGGTTTTGTGAGTATTGGTAGTTGAAAGGGAGACTCATGTGTGTAAACATGGGCGGTGGGATGATGTCGACATTTGGACCTTCGTCAACTCCAGGGAGGAACTTAAACTCCTTCATCTTGTCGACTACATACAGTTAGTATCGTGATAGAATTGGAAGTATAGAACGCACCGTCTCCAGGGAGCACTTGATTCACATATCGTTGTGCAAAGTTGGACTTTGACATGTCCCAGTAAAAGTCGTGAAGTCCTCGGAAGCGATGCGTACTTCGAATCACTCCCACAGCTTCAACATGGTAGTTGCCGATGTTGTCTACCATTTTTCGACGAACAATCTTGGGATCATCCAATCGAGCGTAGCAAGAAACTCCATCGTCTGCGCGTGGTTGGCCTTCGTCGGTGACTTCGATATCTCCTTCCCAAGGTCCATCTGTTCCTCTCTTTCTCTTTCGTCCTGTTCTTTTTGGGACTGTGATTTTGAGGACCACATCATGACTGCGAGCATTGTGAGACATGATAGGTTTGCAGAATGGATCTTCAGGTGTTATATAGAATGGAACTGAATTCCTTCCAGTATCGAGAAGCTATAATTGTTAGTAGGGAAGACTGAATGGGGTGAATTCTTACATGTTGCAAATGTGGATGTCGACCAAACGTCTTGACTGCTCGGTCGGGGTTGTTTACTACAGCAGGAATCTCAACAGCCCCTATGACACGCTCAGGGATCGTATATCGAGGGGCTGAATCGGGATGAACAGATGAAGAAGCTCTTTCGCCATTGTCATCGTCGAATTGAGTCTCATCATAGCTATCGTAGTCATTTTCGTCGGATACTAAATCCACCTCCATTTTGAATGTTATTGTGGGATCATTCGTATGAGATTGTGTAAGGAAACGATGATATTGAGTCTTGATCTCGACCTGCAGGTGTAAGTTGTGGTGTAGAGAGTTCGAGTAGAAAAAACAAGCCAGGGTCAAATTGGACACCGGAACTAGCCTTGTACGGAAGTAAGATGATCTCCAACCCCCAGAATAGTGACCAATGACGGCAAAGTTTTTGACTTGGTAAGTTTCTGTGCTGACGTCTCGGAACGTTGAAGAAGGGGCTGAATGAATGTCACCCTTTTGTCGTTGCAACTTGATCCACGATGATGATGATTTGACGTGATTCGTACCTTGACGATGTGGCTTTGGAGTTGACAGTAAAATGCATAGATCACACGGTGTATTTCTGGTCGCTTATCCGCATCTGGACAGTGCAGATGGAGACAAGGAAGGAGCTGTTCCTGTGGCTGAAAAGCTCCGGGTGGCCTGTGCTTAACTTGACATCTTGGGTATCATTTTGCAACTTTCAATGAAGAATTGAAGTAAAGTAGAACATTATAACACATGATGTGTTGGTGCCTCTACCTCAATGAGGCCATATAAACATCAACCTTCACATGCGATCTGACTTACTGTGTGTGGTCAGTGCCATAATGCTGATCAACCAGCTATAATCAGCTTATTTGCACTGGCGTACCATCAAATTGGTACAGCTGCTGAATTCTAGCAGAACCAGGCCTATCAACCCATCATTATTCTAGAACAAACTCAAAACTGTCCTTGAAGTGAAAAGATGCAATGCGTCAAAGTACCGTCTTGCACAGCCCAGTATAATTTCGACCGCGTGACTGGTTCAACTCTCACCTAGTGGCACTCCAACTATCCCTTGACGCCCACATCTTGGCAGATGGATTGAAGATTGTCGAGATCTAATCAAGATACAACGAAATTGCAAAGATCTATATAAATAAAGATATAACTTATTAATCATGCGACGGTGATTAATATCACCCGAAATGTTCTGCATTGATCCTAGAAATTGGATTGGATCAGTACCAACTCTAGCCGTCGGGGTCCATCTAGGAGGGGCATCATCCCCTAATACGCCTCTGCAGCGCCTTTTAGTTGGTTTCACCGCCCGTTCCCAGCACCATCCCAGCCAGGGTCAAACCAACATAGCTCGGCCAGTTAGCATCCTCAGAATCAGGCACGTCAAGGAGATTTGTTAGTGATTATGTGGCAGATGCACCTCATCACTAACACTGACCAACCCCAATAATCCCAAGCGCGTTCCCTTCAACTGGACCTGAGCTTCCCCCCGCAAAGAACCTCTTCTCGCCGGCGCCCAACGATCACTACCTATTACCTACTACCTACGACAAGTTTCCGATTCCTCAACGACGACAACGAGGCTCGACTCAGCAGCCGCCGTGAGCATCTCCAACCACGCCGCGTCTTTGTGATTCTTTTCCTTCTTACTCCCGACCTTTGATTCTTCCCCTAGACAAGATCCCAAACCATCAGCAGAGAAAGGGCCCCAGTTCCAGCAGCACTCCTGCGCAAGTACCAGCACCTGCACCAGCGCTGCACCGCACTGCAATCAATTGCACCGCACGATAACCCACCGTCGCCCAATACCATCATTCTCAGCCCTGGCTGGTTCAGTGCTTTATCGTCCACTTCCTGCATGGGATCAATCGTCGCATTCCGCTCCCTCGAGTAGTCTTTCTTCACCAGGTCCTGTTTCAGCCTCCTCAGCTTGGTTCATCCAATCTCGAGCCGCCTCGACTCCTCCAGCTCTCGCACTCGCGGTTCTTCGTCCGGCTCCCGACAGCATTACAACGCTTTCGCTTCGCCGGCCCCTCTTATCTCACCTTCAAATCGTTTGCTAATAACGACTATCAATATCATCATCTACAACGCTTCTCAATCAGCCTCTTGCGCAGCTACTGTCACCTTTCGACGTTCCCTCCCCCTGACGTCGTTGCCCCGGTGCCCCACTGCTTCATACAGTTGAGCAGCGGGCGTCTTAAACCGCCCCTCCACAAGACACGCTGTTGTCCGACAAGATGAAGCGCTTCAGTCAGAGAGTTGTATGTTTTTCGTCCAATGTATTTGTCTCCGCTAACATGAACAGCTTTCGCGTGGCAAAGACCCAAACAAGTCTTCTAAGAAGAACAAGGATAATAAGGATGGTACCGCGTCTCCCTCATCACGGGATAACAATCAGTCACCTGTGCTCACGCCCTCATCCTCCACGTCGACTTTGAACGATCCTCGAAACAAGCCACTGCCGCAAAACAGTTCCGGCGAACACGGCAGCGCTTCTCAGCCCTCCAACCTGTCCAATGTCACTCAGGCCGGTAACACCCCTGATCGTTATGCTTCCGGAGGCGCCTCGAGTCCTAATGGCAGCTCAAACTCCCGACTGCCTCCAACCGTTGTAATTAGTCCTACACCTGGCGTACGTTTCCGTGCTTGGATTTCTGAACATCCGCTAACATATTTCATAGCACGTCCCTCCCCCGGGAGCCGCCGAGACGATGCCACACGACTTGGCTCCTCCTAAAGCTGGTCAAAAGTCGCTCTTGATCCATCGAGGAATAGATAACCGCGATGCGATTCCAGAGGGACTTCGAACCCCAAAGAGGCAGCATTCCTCGCGATTCGACATCTCAGCTCACCGTGAGCTTGAGAAGCTGCCCGGTTTCCACGAGGTTCCTCCCAACCGACGACAAGAACTCTTTATGCAAAAGATTGACCAATGTAACGTCATATTCGACTTTAACGATGCGAGCGGCGACATGAAGTCAAAGGAAATCAAGAGACTCGCTCTGCACGAGCTGCTGGATTACGTCGCCAACAACCGACAGGTTATTACCGAACCCATGTACCCCAAGGTTGTCGATATGTTTGCCAAGAACCTTTTCCGTCCGATCCCACCCCCGATAAACCCTCAAGGCGAGGCTTTTGATCCTGAAGAGGATGAACCTGTTCTCGAGGTTGCTTGGCCCCATATCCAGGTCGTCTATGAGTTCTTCCTGCGCTTCATCGAGAGTCAGGATTTCAACACCAACATTGCCAAGGCATACATCGACCACAGCTTTGTTCTGCAGCTTTTGGAATTGTTTGATTCCGAAGATCCCCGCGAGAGAGATTTCCTCAAGACCACCCTCCACCGCATCTACGGAAAATTCCTTAACCTACGATCTTTTATTAGAAGATCTATCAACAACGTCTTTTTCCAATTCACCTACGAAACAGAGCGTTTCAACGGTATTGCCGAGTTGCTCGAGATTCTTGGTTCAATTATCAACGGTTTTGCTCTCCCCCTCAAGGAGGAGCACAAGATCTTTCTTACCCGAGTGTTATTGCCTCTACACAAGCCCAAGAGTCTGAGCATGTACCACCCTCAGCTTGCCTACTGTATTGTGCAATTCCTCGAGAAGGACGCATCTCTTACCGAGGATGTAAGTAAATTGACTCTGATGCATGTCACAAGCTAATAATTCAGGTTGTATTGGGACTTCTTCGTTACTGGCCCAAGGTCAACAGCACAAAGGAGGTCATGTTCCTCAACGAAGTCGAAGATATTTTTGAGGTTATGGATCCCGCAGAGTTTGCCAAGGTTCAAGAACCTCTATTCCACCAGTTGGCCAAGTCTGTTGCCAGCCCTCACTTTCAAGTTGCTGAGCGTGCTCTTTACTTCTGGAACAATGAGTATTTCTGTAATCTCGTCAGCGATAATGTGGAGATTATTCTTCCCATCATGTTTGCTCCCCTTTATGAGAACTCCAAGGGACACTGGAACAGGTATGTGCATTTTCGATCGAAGAGCAATTCTCGAAACGCAATTCTAACTGTTTAGAACAATTCACGGCATGGTGTATAACGCCATGAAGCTCTTTATGGAGATTAACCCTCAATTGTTTGACGATTGCTCCCACGAGTACACGGAACAGCAAAACAGCGCTGCAGCACGCGAAGCTCTTCGTGAGCGTAAATGGGCTGCCTTGAGCGAAAAGGCCAACCAGCAGAGAGAAAGCAACAGTAACGGAATTTCTGGTGCTACTCAGATCACCCCTATGCCCAGTGTGAACGAAGACGACGCCGCCACTGAAGACAATTCCAAGCGCCTCGATTCGCTTAAGTTGCAAGATGGCCGACCCAGTCTTCACGAGCGAGACAACTCTGTAGGATCTAGCCGGTAATCCTCGACAGCTCTATTCATCGGCATGAGCTTGGATAGAAGAGCAGATTCCCTTCCGAATCGCATGGGACATGGTGGATTCGGATAACGATCATTGCTGCATAGTCTTGGTGGTATTATGATTATGAGGAGGGGTTGGTTTTTCGCGGTTCAATAATGGACTTGGGAACATGCGTACTCGACATACAGTCACTTGCTGCAGTCACTTTGCTGGGTTGGAGGACAAAATCGCTCTACAACGCCTTCAACCTTCTTTCTTGGTTCGCCTCAGCTAGAGCACATTCGGGGCAGCTGGGAAAAATACGAGCAGATGACATTTACAATGCTACACGTGTTCTTCTCACCTCTGACTATTGAAAAGCGAACCTCGAATGCTTATATTATATCTGTGTCGTGGAAACGGGCATAACAAAAAGCATGGACGTCTACGCTTCGTGTAACTCTTTGGGCGAATTCTTACTTTGTTTTCTTACTTTTTTACTTTTTTCTTCTGGACTGGACTGGACTATGGGTTCTTCACTGGTCCTGGTTTATGTTGTGTTCTTGTGTTTTGCTGTGTGAAGAGAGAGGGTTAGGTCTGCTTGGTTTTATGTAGACGATGAATGAGCAAGACTAAAATAAAAGTCATTATTGTCAATTTATACTGTTGTTCGAATGTAGCAATGCTTGAGGTCTAAAGGACCATTGACTCCGTCTATCTAGCGACCATCCTGCTAGGAATTACCATCCTCGTCCTCGATCGTAACCACCTCTTCCTCTACCACGGAATCCACCGCCTCTTCCTCTTCCTTGATATCCATTCTGCGGCGGAGGTGGAGGCGGAACGTTCCATCCCATCATCTGTCCCATCATGGCAGGGTTAGGAGGAAACCAACCTTGTGCCATGTGTGGAGGAGGCGGTGGTGGCCAAGGTCCTTGATAGCCCACTGGAGGCGGAGGTGGTAATGGGAAATCACCTGGTGGAGGAACCGGAGGGAAATGACCTTGTGGCGGCTGTTGAGGGATTGGAGGTGGACGTGGTCGATCTTGAGCTTCTTTGAATCGTGCAGGTGAGCGCGTAGGTGATCTGCTGTATGATCGTCGCCGGCTTCGACTGCGACTTCGGCTGTAGCTTGAGCTACGACGTCGACTGCGTTCACCGCGGCTGTATGATCGACTCCGGCTATGCGAGGGACTTCGACTTCTCGAGTCTCTGACTCTTGGACGTTTATGCGCAGGTCGTGAAGAGCTTCGTGATCGACCTCGAGAGTAGCTACGTGACCTGGAACGTGAACGACCTCGATCTTTGGTACCCTTCTTCTTGCGCTCCTTCATCTTTTCGCAAAATCGACGAGACCAGCCGTAGTACGTCTCACCTCCGATAATATCACCTGTAATTTCATCGAGAACAACTCGTTCTCCGAGCTCGTTCAGATCGTTGTCGTCGTCCCATTTCTGCTCTTTGGAAAACATGCGCTCAACCTCACCTAAGAGATCTTGCACAGCGGTAACAAGAACTTTATCTGCCGGTCCAGAAGCGAGTTGAATGGGTCGAATCTGATCGGGGTACATCGCTTTGGTCGAATTCGGCGTCAAATGCGGCAGCCATGTCGTAGCGGGTAAATCGTACCACGGTACTGAATGGTCGCCGTGGAATGAAGGGAGAGTAAAGGGCGCGTCCTTGGCGAGCTTAATCGAAGCGTTCGAAACTTGCGGTTCTTCGGTTTGTGGCGCAACACCACTGGCGAGAGCGTCTTCGAGTTGGATGATAACATTCGGTCTGAGATACTGCTTCTCTAGCCATATCTGAATCAAATCCGCAAGTTTCTTCTTGTGTTTCGGGCAATTGTTGAAGGCGGCAGCGCTTGCGATTAAGCTAGGCAATACTTTCTCCCAGAGCATCGCAAACTGAACATCGCCCTTTCTCGCAACGAAATGATGAAAAACGTCATTCAAAACATACAACAGATGAAGTCTGCGTCGTTTGAGACTCGGTCGCGAACCGTCATCTTGTAGACTCTTTGATAAAGCACCTAAGTACTTGGCAAGCGCAGTGGTGCGCGCGGTAGACGGCGCAACATTTTCGACGATCCAAACCTTGCATTTCTGTTGAACCAAAAAAAGCACGCAAAATTTAGTGACTTCTGCCTTGTGGTAGAGGAACAGCTTTTCAAGCGATGGAGCAGACCTGGACGTTGGGGCGCGAGCACTGGGCGAGGGCGTCTGTTAGGAGCGAGAAGAATGCTTCGACTGAAGGACGGCTTAGGGATGTTGGATCGGCGCGGAATAGCGTGGCGGAGAGTGTAGCCTTTGCGATGGCCAGCTCTGGGGTTGCCATGTTGGCGATTTACGAGGGGATCTCTGTGTTCGAAGGTGTATGTAAACAAAATGTTGAAGGATAAAGTTGGTTGTATTATTGAAGCTATGGTGGAGTCTCTAAGTGTAAGCGGCTAATTACCGGAAACATGTGGCTGTGCAGTTAAGCCTCAAATACAGCTATTCGACAATTATAGAGTTTCATCATGGAGATAACGTCACTGTGATACAGATTGGGTGAATACAGTCAATTTCCTAACTATGATATACGCATAAATGCAGACAGAGACAGCCCAGCGAGAGGTGGTAAGCGATTCTTTCCGTAAAGTCCGCAAGCGAGGTCAACACCAGGTTCATGGGTCCACTCTTGCCGGTCTTGTCCGTACATGTTGCATCCAACTCATGAGCAGAATAAGCCAAATACTGAGCACATTTGTGTTGCAGTCAACAGGCCATTGGCCCCTCCTTTTGCACTCCCCAAGTAATTCATGATAAAGCAATTCGTAAAGCAGTTGTTGTACACAGCTCCGGGAGCTCTTTCCATCCATGTGACTTTCGTCATCTAGGAGAACCTATCGCCCTTGGGACTCCGGTATACGGAACTGCTCTCGTACTTGCTCTTCTCATTGATTCGTTGATTCTCGGTTGCTGGCGCATGTCTCGTAGGAGCAGGATCTTTGGCGATTTCGGTGCTTGGTGAGAAAGCGTGATCATCGCGAGGAGGACCGCCGTCATGTTCAACCTCGAGGTCATGGATCATCTGTCTCTTCTTGCGATGGGCGTCCATCTTGGCTTGACGGTCGGCATTGATTTGCTGCTTAGCGAAGTAGTAGGCACCGCCGCCGGCTGTAAGAAGTTAGCAAGATGTAGATATGAAGCATAGATGATTCATACCGACGCAGAGAGAGCCCCAGCCCAACCTGTGGTAAAGTGGTCAGTTTCGAGATGCTAATCGGGTTACCGGAGATCGGATGCAAGTACGAACCAGAAGGATTTGACCTGCAGAAGTTAGCATAAGCCGCGCATTCATGGGAAATGTCTCGTAGGGAACTTACAGTGTTCATTTTGACGATAGTTGATAGTTCAGAGAGTTGTGAGAATTTTTGAAAGCGAAAATCGGGGTGCAAGATTGAAGTGGCAGGGTTTGGTAAAGGTGTAAGTGGAAATGGCCTGACATGATATATACGTCGGTTCCTTTAAGGTCTCGGCCTTGTCGCTTGGCATCCACCTTGCCTTAGCTCTTTAACTTTGGATGCGGGAGGTAGGTACGTACCAATCGCAGCTTCTTTTGATGTGTCTCGGAGTTTAAATGGCTGGTACGTCTTTTGACATCTTCCAATTTGTATCAGGGAAGGTAATTAAGCCATTCTATGGACTCTGGTCTTTTCCATGACGTAGAGTATCCTGTGACAACGAGAGTGTACAATTACCACGACTGTCGCGTGTCTACGGATAAGCATTGTATTGATAGAACAACCTAAACGGTGGATCTGCTGCCGCTAGAACGGGTTTCACCTGAGTCTCTAGGCCTGCGGCAACCATCAGCTACGTTTTAGACTGGAAATCATAAGTGTCTTTGCAGGGATTTGACAATTATTCTCAAATTCTCCGTTTCTACACATCAAGTTAGCCGCTTCCATGATGCCAAAGAATGCATCTAAAATCCCTAGAGGTAACTTTGATGGGTCTAGTCTAGACGTCTTTATATCAAACTCATTGGTAAAGGTGGCTGTATTAATGAAACTCGAGTAGCTGTTTCATGCGTCGATCTTCAGGTACCAACGACACGTTCAGACAGCTTCAATAACAAGAACTGGACATCAATACTGTGCAGAGACTGGCAGAGCACTTTGTTAGTGACATCCAACAATAAAGCTTAATTTAATCCAATCATCCTTTGTTTGTTTCATTTCTACTGCCCACGCGGCAAGACCACGCGGTCAATCTTCAACTTCAATGCTTTCCCCGCCGTTACACCCCTGAAGCCTTAGTGGAAATCAATCAACCCTGGTAGCTTCACCGTGCATCATCATGGACACGAGAATAAATGCACAGTGACAGCTACACCCAAAACGCATAGCTCTACAGTGCCAAGAGACCCATTAGATACACCCAATTATGACATAAGGGTGGCTCAGCCAGCTTGAAATTGTGAGAGACCACGCAAGACAACTCGCTGCAAGATCGACATTGACACTGAAGCCACGAGGAAATAGGGGACTTGTATTTGTGTCTGCGCAAAAAAAGACACTTTACCAAAACATCCCTCTTTTTGTTTACCTTGATTTCGGCCACGATATCCTCTCGACGAGAACTGTTGGCTTTCAACGGCCCCTGTCATTAACATCATCCACCCGCTCTTTCATCGACTCCCAACCATTCCTTGTCACTGCCCAGCGCCGACTTTTGGGAGCTTAACTTTAGCATCTCGAATTAATTTACACCGACCAACTGCAACTTTTCTAAGTTACTTTATACAACGCTCAGGCCGACATTAACATCATCTGTTGATGCCTTCATGAGTGATTGCTGGGCGTGGGTGTAGTGGGTAGATCACCCTCGACCGAAGCATACTCTATCATGGAGCCTACAAATGGAGAAGGGCCTGATGGCTCTTCACTTGTATGTATTCCAACATATGGTTGAACGTCACTGACAATGATTAGAAGCCTGTATCATCCTTGCGAGCACGATTCGAGAATATGGGAACCTCTCCCAACTCTAACGTCAGCAAACCTACCGAAGTACCACCTACCGCTTCAACCAGCCAGCCGCCTTCACGACCCATCTCTCCAGCTCCGAAGCCGACGAGACTGCGTGATTTCAAACCTGAAGCACCGCCGGCTAGCCCTTCAACTCCAATCGTCCCTGCGAGACCAAAGCCGAAGCCTGCAGCATTGTCTGTCAGCCAAGATGCCCCTCCCCCGCCGCCGTCTGCGAAACCTGTCCCGCCGAAACCACAAGTTCAGACTCAACCAACACCACCTATACCTCCTGCTGTGACGGTACTTCCACCTCAGTCGCCGCCAAAGAATCGAATTCCAGCTCTTGCTGTTGGGGATCAGCCTTCATTTGTGAACCCAGATGCCGTCGCATCACCCGCTACACCGTTGGCTAGAGGCCAGTCCTTCAAGATCCCCAGTCGATCATTAAATACTTCACCATCTTACAACGCTCCCAAATCTCCTCGACCTGGAGGCTCTCGACCGCCATCACCTCCTCCGCCTAGACGATCTGGAGAGATAAGTCGAGTTAAGGTGCCTCCACCACCGCCAGCACCTCGAAATGACAAGGCACTTATTCCAGCGCCCAGGATGGGGGCTATCTCTGGAGCAACGGTAGCTCGGAGGAGTGATATTTCACAAGAGAATTCGCCGTTCAATAGTCCTCCAAGCAGCTTAAACTCTGGTGACGAGACACCACCGAAATTACCGACTCGTCCAAGACCACAATCACAAATTGAGCCCCAAAGACCGAGATCAGTGGTTGTCGGTTTCGATCCTCCGCCTGTTCATCATTCAGTTAGGAAAGATCGTGAGGAGGCAAATGGGATGAGAGGGCATATTACACCTCAAATGACTGGCGATTCTAGACCTGCGTTACCAGCGAGGACGTTTGAACCTCCCCCTCGACCTCCTCCGTTAAATAACAATAACAGCATGCCACCTCCACCACGACCTCAACGACCAGCTGCACCAACCGCGGTTCAAGCTGTTGACCCTATGCCTTCATCATCACCACCGAAGCGAGTCGTTTCACAACCGGATCAGAAACCACAGCAGTTGGCTGCTCCTAGGACACACGGCAGATCAATGACAATAGATAGAGCATCCGATCGAACACCCGCCGAGTTCCGTATCGCTCCAGTGAGTATTCCGGCAACTATTCCAGCATCAGCTCCCGCTGCTCCGCCCCCAAAGGCAATAGCATCCACTCCTGTTGTTGCCGCTAGACTTCCACCAAAAGCCGAGGCCATTCATCATGTCACCACGTATCCCGAAGCTTCAAATACCAATCGACGACCACCTTTCAGCAAACATGGGACTTATGAGCTCTCGACAAAGTATGATGCGAGGAGCTTTGATGTGTGTGGTGAATTCATCTGCGCCAGTGGTTATATGACAAGAGTCTGGAGTTTAATAGATGGCGAACAAATCATGAGTCTTCAACATACCGAAGGAGTTAGAGCGAGTGCAGTAATCTTCAAACCAGCTGCCGATCCGAGAGAAGAGGGAAAGCGATTGTGGATTGGCACCAACACCGGAGACTTGATGGAAGTCGAAATTGCGACGCATGCCATAACGCAGAGCAAACCGAATGTCCATGGCCGATACGAAGTCACGAAGATCTACCGACATTGGAACGAAGTTTGGACTCTGGACGAGTCGGGAACACTACTTGTCTGGGGACCTGACGAAACTGCCGTTGCAAGTATTTCTGGTCATCCCACTCAAAGCTACAAGGTTCCTAAAGGACACACGCATTCCATGGTTATTGGTGATGAGCTTTGGCACGCCACAGGCAAGGAAATTCGAGTTTTCGCACCAACAGTCGATGGAAGGACCCAATTTCAAGTGCTCGTTCGACCTCTTATCTCGGATAATGCTGGAGAGGTTACCTCGGGCACTCTTGTCAAATCACATCCAGACAAGGTATTCTTTGGTCATGTCGACGGAAAGGTGACAATTTACAACACCAAGGATTATTCGTGTACCACAATGTTGAATATCAGCACATGGAAGATCAACTCCTTGACGAGTGCAGGAAATTATATCTGGGCGGCATACAACACCGGCAAGATTTGTGTCTACGATGTGGAGGAAGCGCCTTGGGTCATTCTCAAGGAGTGGCAGGGACACGAAAATCCTATTGTCAAGATGTCAGCCGATCCTTCGTGCGCATACTTTATGGACCGACAGCAAGTGATTTCGTTGGGAGCAGACAACAAGATCAAGGCCTGGGATGGTTTATTGGAAGACGACTTCCTTGAGGATTCTATGAAGTCAAAAGACACCCAGTACTGCGATTTCGAAGAGATTCGAGCGTTATTCTTTACATGGAATGCAGGAGCATCGACACCGTCAAGTTTGCGACACTCTCAAGGCGATGCAACCTTTTTCCAAGACCTTGTTCAGTCAAGTGGTTCACCGGATATTCTTGTGTTTGGTTTCCAAGAACTTGTTGATTTGGAGGACAAGAAACTAACGGCCAAACGATTCCTCAAACCCAAAAAGAAGGAAGCTGGAACTGACCAGGAACGAATGAGCCATCAATATCGAGATTGGCGTGACTTTTTGATGAAGACACTCGACGACTATATGCCGGCAGACGACCTTTACCATCTCCTCCACACAGCACCCATGGTAGGACTCTTTACATGTGTATTTGTCAAAGCACATCTTCGAGACAGAATTCGAGGACTTCAAGGGGCAGAGGTGAAGCGAGGTATGGGTGGTTTACATGGTAACAAGGGTTGTGTTGCTGTTCGCTTCCGAGTTGACGATACTTCGATTTGTCTTGTCAATTGCCATTTAGCTGCTGGGCAGTCACAAGCGAACGCACGACACAACGACGTCGCTGCCATTCTCGAAGCCAATTTGTTCAACACTGAGAGGGATTCGGCATCGCGTATCGACAGCTTTGTTGGTGGAGGCGATGGAAGTCTGATTATGGATCACGAACTCTGCATTCTCAACGGCGATCTGAACTACCGAATTGACACCATGTCCCGCGATACTGTTGTCGCAGCAGTCAAACAGAACAACCTCGGCAAACTCCTCGAGCGAGATCAGCTTTTGGTAGCACGTCGCCGAAATCCAGCATTCAAGCTTCGAGCATTTGAAGAGATGCCAATTACATTCGCCCCAACATACAAATACGACGTGGGTACCGACAACTACGACACGAGCGAAAAGAGACGAAGCCCTGCTTGGTGTGATCGACTATTATATAGAGGTCGAGGTCGAGTTGAACAGTTTGACTATAGACGGCATGAGGTCAGAGTCAGCGATCATCGACCTGTGACTGGAACTTTTAACCTTTGGGTCAAGAAGGTTGATCCTAGAGGCAGAGCAACAGCCTGGATGGAAAGTCAACAAAGCTTTGAAGATATGTGTGAGAAGGAGACTTCCGAGGATAAGTGAGTGACCCAGGATTCAACATTGATGAACACAGCTAACGGATATAGACTCTGCTTCCTGAGAGACATTTGCGGCTTTGACGAAGAGACGAGTAAGCGACTCATTAGAGAACGATCCGCAAGGCGTGAAAACCGAAGTCCTGTCCGCACTTAGTGGCCTACCATGTCATGCAACTTGTGTCATGAGAGACAATTGAGTGACCTACCATATCATATACCCCGAAGGCGTCATACAAAAGGGGAGGAGTTGGATTTTATTGGAGTAAAGAGAGGCGATTTTGAAATGAAATGTGATGAGGGGGTGCAGGCCATTAGACTGCGTTTTACTTGTTTTCTTGTGTTTAATAGGTATTTAGACATTGATGTGGACATTTATGATAGATGATGGTCAGGGTCAGATGGGTATTGTAGTGGCAAATGAAGAAAAGATGAGATCCGACATTGGTTGTATTTGTTTGAATGCCGAGAGATGATGTGAAGTTAAGATCTATGTTACTGATAAGGGATTGAGCAGCGAAACGGCTTAGTATTTGAAGCCTAATGGTATCACCTGTTCAACCATGAAGAATTACCGTTACCGAACTGTTTCACTGCCACAACTCCGAATAATACTTTGTATGATGAAGCAGTCAATAGAGGATTCGATACTGAAGAATACACTCTATTTCTTATGTCCTTGCTGTTATCTAAATAGTCGAATCTGTTCCGCTCATCCCAATATTTACTTTGACCATAGGGTAGCTCACAATAAGACGAGACCAATTTTCGGCAATAAAATTGAATCTTTCTAGCATAATCGATTAACTCCGAAATATCCAATGTCTCAGATGGAATACGATTATGAGTCTGATGGCAATCAAATGCATGTCAAATCCTCCTAATTCTGCACGATGGAAGATAAGATTCCCATGAATCCGAAGGTCCCTGGAAAATCAGTGAAGCTCCCCCTGTAATTGCAGGTGGCGGAAGCCGATCCGGGGCTCTAAAATTACGAGAGAGTTCTATGATTGGTTAGAATTAGGTACGGCTGTCGTTGCCAAGTCGTTAGATTGTTGATGGAAGAAGACAATTTATCTTCTCCTGAATTATAAGAGCTTTGATCTTGCTCTCACCTTCTTACACTCACCTTCTATCTTTCTTGAGTCTCTTTAATTAGAGATTTGAAAGAAGAATTGTTTTTGTTTTTTGATTCTCTGGCGGATTTGATAAGGAGCTCGTCATACTTGACATTACTCATACACCAAGCGGTGAGACTCAACAATCTCAGACTCAACACTTGCACATTATCAGACTCAACCCAGGTCTCAAAAATGGCAAGCTCAGCAGAAAACACCGCTGGTCCTAGAAAGACACCCATCGCCAGCCCAGGACCAAACAGTCAACCTACACCACGCCCAGAATTGACAGAAGACCAAAAGACAAAGTATGAGGCTCTCCTAGAACAAGTCAAGGGCTTCACCGAGATTCAGTGCGAGAAGCAACCCGACAAAGAGGACAAGTCAGGTCCCATCACAGACCACGAACGCTCATGGCTCACCCGAGAATGTCTCCTCCGTTATCTCCGTGCCACAAAGTGGACCGTCGACGACTCGGCCAAACGTCTCAAGGCGACACTTGCATGGCGTCGTGAGTACGGTCTGGAGGGGTTCACTCCTGAGTACATTTCTCCCGAGCAAGAAACCGGAAAACAAATCATTGTCGGTTATGATAAGCAGGGTAGACCGTGTCAGTATCTTAACCCTGCGCGACAAAACACGGATCAGAGTCCTCGTCAGCTTCATCATTTGTTTTACATGGTTGAGCGAGTTACGGATCTTATGCCACCGGGCGTGGAGATGTTGAGTTTGATGATCAATTTCAAGCCTAGCAAGGAGCGCAAGAACACGAGTGTACCTGTGTCTGTGGCCAGAGAGGTGTTGCATATTCTGCAGAACCATTATCCTGAGCGACTCGGCAAGGCTCTCATCATCAACGGTATGTACCAGTCACTCTCCAATAACTATAACTTGACTGACAAAATTAGTACCATGGATTGTATGGGGTTTCTTCAAGATCATCACCCCCTTCATCGACCCCGTGACCCGCGAAAAGCTCAAGTTCAACGAGGACATGAAGCAGTACGTTCCTCCGGAGCAGCTGTGGAGCCTTGACTGGGGCGGTGACATGGATTTTGAGTATGACCACGAAACATACTGGCCTGCTCTGAACGAGCTGTGTCGTCAAAAGCGCGAGGACAAGTTCCGACGATGGGAGGCTGCCGGAAAGGAAATTGGTGAGAGTGAGGATTATCTCGCTGGTGGAACGGACACAAGTGTCAAGGGAGTCAAGTTTGAGGCCAAGGATGGAAAGGATGGTGTTAAGGAGGTTGAGGAGAAGCTTGCTGAGGCTAAGCTTGAGGAGACACCTGTTGCTGCTTAGTTTGTGCCGAGTGTACAGGATGCCTGAATATAGAGATACTTTAGTATCAATGGTAGGCTACTTGAGCCTCAATTCTGATGGAACGTCGGTGCCTGTCATGCATATTTCCCAGTGTAGTCAGTTGCATAGGACATTGTCACTTGCACTTACAAAGTCCTTTTCAGTCAGCAGCAAATAGTGTATGCATTGATTGAGAACGCCTGATAAGGCTGATGGTCAGCTAAATCCATTTTCGGTCATATACACGATCGATCAGCTTTTCAAGGCAACGAGGTAGGATTCTGTAAGAGCCTCACACAAACCCCTCAATAGCCGTTGCCAATCACTTGTTCAACAATTCTCCGACCGAGTCAGACATGGTCACCATTACCACCGTTGTATCAGAGACAATTGATCCCCGAGTTGATCAATGCAACAGAGTTGGTTCAAGTGTATTCATTCACGGTGTACATACGACAATGCAAGCCAAGTCGGGTACAACATACATACGAATAGTATATGCACTTGGTCATTTGATCAATGTCGTCTCTTTCAACCAACCGCTCACTGAGATGGTGACGGTGATGAACCTGCAGTAACAAGGCTGAATAACATCGTATTCGGCAACATTCGTGCATTTTACGATTTGTTTACTCTCTTGGAGTAGAATGTCAGCCTCATTTGTATGCTGTTAGCTGTGCTGCCTGTTGGGTATTGACGACTACCAACCACTCATAGCATTCGGCATAACACACACTCAATCAGAGAATAGGCAATGACCGACACGCAATCCCCCACACTTGATCTCCTACACCGATCACAGCCTGTGATTTGCATATCCTTTGTTGACTCACCTGCTGTGCATATGGCGATAATAAGTGATGTTACACAAACAACATCACGAAAATGAGATGCACATCAACCCATACACTGCTGCAGGCAAACGGTGAGTCTCTTGTGCGTGCAGGTGAATCTCTTGTGTGTGTACGTGAGTCTCTTGTGTCTGGGCAAGACAAGCGCGCGTGTGGCAAACTCACCAACATGATCTAACCCTTCATGAACAAATGACTGTTATAAATGCAGGTCTTCCAACATGGTCTTTCTCAGTCACCAATCGAGACGATGCATCTCATCACCAACCATAGGCTGAGGCTCTGGTCATCAGGTCTGGCTATAAAAGGGCTGGTGCGACATTGCCAACACAGTCTTGCGTCTTGCATCAACCAATATACCTTCTCAGTATAGACATCAACCAACTATCAGCATAGACATACTACAAATTTACATCATAAACTACGACTATACATCATGGATCTGTCAAGCGTTGGCAGAATGGCACCTTGGTTCAAGGCGCTGAACGATACATCTAAACCAGAAAACTCAACTACCTTTCCTGGCATCTTGGACAGTGTTTTAACCACCGCTGGTCAAGCATCGCCACTCCTCCAACTCTTTCTTTTCGTTTATCGACTAGTCGGTGCACAACTAGGCCTCGATCCCTCAATCCTCTTGACCTTCCTCGGTTGTCTTTGGGGTTTGTCCAAACTATTCGATCAGGTGTGCGCCGTTATAGACGGCTTCATCAGTGACTACCTCCGATGCACAGTTTGCGTCAAAGACAATGACCAAATCTATTCCACACTGATGCAATTTCTGTCCGAGCAAGAAGATGTGGCTACGAATCGGCATTTGGCTGCTGAGACTATATACAAGAGTGCTTGGGATGAGGAGGAGGATTCTGCTTTGGCTTTGGCTAAGACTGTTGTTGAAGATGATGATGACTCTCCCAAGTATCTCAACTTTGCCAGCGATGCCGCGAGATGTGTAAGTACATGATACTCTTGATGATCGTCACTGACTCTTTAGAACCCACGATATGTACCAGCTATGGGAACGACAGGATTCTGGCACGAAGGGGTATATTTCAGGGTTTACCGTAGGAAGGAAACATTGCAGACTCAAGGCTGGATGGGCAATAAGGATGTCGAGGAACTGAGGATCTCTTGTTTCGGAAGATCAACCGGTAAGTTAACAGGCTCCTTTTAGAACGTCACTAACAGTTTAGAACCCATCAAAGGTCTTTTAAAGGACGCCAAGACCGCCTTTTTCCTCGACACTCGGTATAAAACGACCATCTTCCGGCCTAGGATTAAGGAGAACCGTCGTGACGCCTGGAGTATGTGGCAGCAAGTTGCTCGAAGACCCATCAGACCCATGAGCACTGTCATTCTCGAGAACCAAGAGAAGCATAATGTTCTGAGGGATATCAATGAGTATCTTCACCCTGGTACACCCAAGTGGTATGCTTCGAGAGGTATTCCTCTTCGTCGAGGGTATCTCTTCCATGGTCCTCCTGGTACAGGCAAGACCAGTTTCTCTTTTGCTCTGGCTGGTGTTTTCGGTATTGATATCTATGTCATCAGTCTTCAGGATCCTACTATCAGCGAAGAGGATTTGGCTGTGCTGTTCACTAGACTTCCTCGACGATGTATCGTGCTTTTGGAGGATATCGACACAGCTGGTCTACGTCGTCCAAGTGATGAAGACAAGGATGAAGAAAAAGAAGGCACGGAAGATAAAGACGAAACATCCAAATCCGACAAATCTACCAAGAAGAAGAAATCCAAGTCTAAAAAGGACAAGGATTCTGACTCTAGCAGCTCGGACAGCAGCTCTGAAGAAGAACGCAAGAAACGCAGAAGAAAACGACGACACAGAAGAGACAGAGAAAATACTGGAAACAAAGGTACTAATAACATCTTGTCCGTGGAAAGTATTTCCCTCTCAGGTCTCTTAAACGCCATCGACGGCGTAGCATCCCACGAAGGACGCATTCTCATCATGACAACCAACAAACCCGAATCCCTCGACGAAGCACTCATCCGACCAGGCAGAGTGGACGTACAAGTCGGCTTCAAGAATGCCACCAGCGAACAAGCTACCGAGTTGTTCTATCGAATGTACGAGGTTTCTAAAAACAAGCCTGTTCCTATGGCCAAGACGAATGGAAGTGCTGTTGTGGAGGTCAAGGATGAGGGGGATGATGAGTTGAGGATGACTGCGGATAAGTTTGGAGAACTAATTCCTGAGGATACGTTTAGTCCGGCTGAGATACAGGGTTTTCTGCTGAAGAGGAAGAAGTGTCCTAAGCAGGCTTTGCAGGATGCTGATGGATGGATTCAAGCTACTGTTAAGCAGAAGGAGTTGAAGTCCAAGGTTGTAACTGTGCAGTAGGGGATAAATTGAGGGTCCGGACTTGGTTCGCTCCTTACATATGTATTTGGAAAAGAGCCAATAGTTATATAGTCAATTAATCTCATGTTTTTAAATAAATGCAATGATGGTTCAATCGTTGATTGTGATTAGATGCCATATTGACTGGAATGCTAAGGTGAGCTCGGTGTGGCTCGGTCAAGAGCTACGTCTCCACCCTGTGTCACTGTACCTCCCATTAATCCCACGTCAACACCAACATCGCGACAACACCACTTTCGACTCTCTCGATACCCAGCAGCTTCATCGGCTACAGAATGAACCAGCGACATCCATAATGAGCAACCAACTCCCCAGCGCAACCCCAGACCCCTCCAACAAGGACGGCCTACGATACCCCAGCAATGGAAAGACCATCTACCACAGACCTCTTAATAGAACCAAGACAGCTGAGCTGAGCCAAGCTAGCTTTGCGTATCTGTTTGGTGAGATGGTTACGTATGCGCAGAGAAGAGTCAAGGGTATTCAAGAGCTGGAGCAACGGTGCGTTTGCCTGTCCTTTGTTGCGATCTATGCTAATCGTCGCAGTCTTAACGTCCAAGGCCATTCCATCGGTCTAAAACTCCTCGACCTCCTCCTCTTCCGCGAACCAGTCCGCACACAAACCCGACCGCTAGGCATTATTCAGCTTCTACATTTCATCAAGCAAAATATCTGGCAACACCTCTTCAACCGTCAAGCAGACCGACTCGAGAAATCCGCCAACCCTGAAACACCAGACGAATACCACATTATCGATAACGAGCCCTTAGTCAATCAATACATCAGCGTGCCCAAGGAAATGAGCCAGTTGAACTGCGCTGCGTTTGTGGCGGGTGTTGTAGAGGGTGTTTGCGATGGAGCAGATTTCCCTGCTAGAGTTACGGCGCATACCGTTGCAGAGGGTGACATGTGGCCTGGCAAGACTGTGTTTCTCGTCAAGTTTAGACCAGAAGTACTCGAGAGAGAGGGATTCTTGGGGAAGAATTAAATATCACAGCGGAGTTTGGAGTTTGGGATAAACCGGGCAATGTATGCCATTTATTTAATGAACCTTGTTCTGTATGAAGAAATGCAATCCCCAACGCCATGCTTGAATCTCATCATTACCGAGGAAGAGTACTCCCAGAACCCTTGAGCTTCCCACCAGTTCCTATACTGGGACCCTTATTCATAAGTTCCGACAGACCCAAATCCTTCCAAGCAGGTTCCTTTGACTTTTGCGTCGCGCGCTGAATCCCAAACGCAGCATGTTGATCGGGCACAACATCATCTTCGTCTTCAGGGTTGATGGGTTGATGGATGGCAGGAACATAGATTTCGTCGTCGGGGAGTTTATCTTTGCAGAAATCTTCAAAGAGGTCTGCATCTCGAGAGCGGTGCATGTGCACGAATGTGAAACTTGAATCTTTGTTCTGAACGTGTTAGTGAAGCATGTTGAGAGGGAGATGGGTTTGGGTTTACCATTGTGTTGTTGTTGTTTGTTGATGGCAAGTTCGTTCCACTGCGGGACGGGAGGCGGGGTGTGGGGCCGATTGTGCTACAGGGTGAAACTCACGAGTACCGAAGATGATGTCCCAAGGGTTCGGTAGTTGAACTGAATTAAAGTAGACTTCTTGCTAATTGAGCTTGTTGTTGGAGATACGCAAAAAACTACCTGGCCGCGTTTTGTGGCTGATCTACCGAGTGATCAGTCGTGTTACAGATAATCCAGGCACTAAAATGTTATTCGTTACTGGCGGGGTGAATCTTTACTTTTTCATCAACACCGTATCTATTCAACATCCGCTATCACCAGTCTTCATGCTTCAAGCATATGAAACGAAATCATTTGATCACCTTATGATATCTTAGGCTATTTATTTCGTCCCTTATTTCGTCCCTTAGGTTCTTAGAGTACCATCATGGCTGCCTCAAGCCCCGCAACAGCTCCAAAGCTACCCCTCGACATCATTTACAACATCGGTCTAGTTTTAAGTAACAATACGCAAAGCGAAGTCGAAGAATATATCGATTCCGAATTTGACCCAGCAAACAGGCCAAATCGAAGCGCTTTGCATCGTCTAACATACCTTTCCAAAGCTACCAAGGACCTTCTGGAACCTCTTCTCTACCGTTATTTCCAATGGACCACACCCCAAGACGTCGTCAACAGCTTCATCACCCTCATCCAAAGACCTGAAGTCAGGCCTCATGTGCAGTGCATCTCGTCATTTGCGGCAATCACCGGTCCGGGGGTACGAAAGAAGGAATTGCCCCTCTGCAAGAAGCTTTGGGCAAAGAGATGTCCTTCTGACAAGCCTGCCCTAATGAGGCTCCTCGATGAAGCTGGTCTTCATAAGCTTGCTTGGTCAGCTTGTATGCTTGAAAGAACGAAGCAGAGATTCATGTTCTCGCCTGATTTCAAGCATGATGGTATTCTGGAGCTCATGTTCGCTGCTATTCTGTTTCTTACGCCCAATGTCACCAATTTTGTCTGGCGCGATATGAACACCAACCCAAAGGCATTCATACTGGACCACGTCATGGGCGATGCAGTCAAATCGTACCCTATCATGCCAAAACTCAGATTCCTCAATACAGAAAAGTCAGCTTTTGTGGAAGCAAAGCAAGCACAGTTCTTTACTTCCCACATCAACCTGTGGGATAATTTGCAGACCCTTTATCTCAACGATATTGACTTGGATGTCGAATTCATCGAAATGATCTGCAATGGCGATTTTAAAAAGGGCAGACCTATCAAGGAACTCCGCATCCGATGTGTATCAGGGTCGGAGATACCAGGAAGTATGAGCTCGTTTGACCCGGACTTCGAGTTATCCTCCACCGAGCTGCTAGATGCCAATGATCCCGATAAAGATAAGGATAAGTTCGAGGGTGTGTTTCCTCATCTCGAATACCTCGAAGTCAGACTCGTTCACCACCAAGAACGTCACGAACAAGGCTCGCGCACCCTGAAAGCCTTCCTCCACGCCGTTGGTTGCCCAAAGATCCTGAAACTAGAAGGTCACCGCCTACCACGCGCCCAATTGACCACCGGCATCATCCACGACCGTCTCGAACACCTCACAGTCCGCGAGCACAGCCGCGACGGCGGAACCCGCACAATGGAAAAAGACGTTCTAATCAAAGGCCTCAACTCATGGTGGGCAACAAGTTCCCACCTCGTACCGAACCTAAAGAGAATCGATTGGGATCACTACAAGCTCCAACGCGAGGATCTTGACGATGAAACTGTGTGGCAAATGACCGGAGAGGAAGAATGGGAGGATGACTCCAACGATGACTACGGCGACGACTACCTCTCCGACGAACTGTTTGGGGATGATGAGGATCATATCGAACATTTACACGATAACGTTTATTACAACCATACTACCGGCGAGGTTTTTCAGGATGGGTATGAGGAATTGATGGCGGCTTTGCAGCTGATGGAAGCAAATGGAGACCTCCCCCCAGGCTTTAGACCATAGAGAAGGAAATAGTCTGAGTGCTTGTCTAAACTGGCATAAGATGATCAGACTATTTTTAGATTAGATTTAGAGTACTGGAAGAAGTTGTTTGATACCTGATCAGTAGAGTGGCTGGATAGACTTGGTGATTGGCAATTAACATGACAAACGTACTGACTCGAATCCATCATTCGCTAATTTGTATTGTATCGTATGGTGCACTCGACTACTCTTTACTGACACTAAACCATACGCGTCTGAAGCTGACTGTTCTCCTCACGCAGCCACTTCAACTGCTTGTCAAACTCCTTGTTAACCCACTCCCAATACCCAGTCCAATTGCTAGCGGCACCAGCATTACTAGCAACCGCACCAGCATTGCCTGTGGTAGCCTTCATCTTCTCACCGAGCATCAACGTGACCCTCAAAATACTCTTGTTCGCCTCTTCCTGCTTCTCCACGTCCTGCTTGACGGCATTATCCTTCAATTTGACGGAAAGAACAGTTCTGTACGCTTCTGCAATCGAGTTGAGTCGACGCGTTGTCTCGTCAGGGTCGATGGTGATGAGCTTGGTCACCATGAGGTTGCAGAGCTGACGAATATCGTTGTCATCTTTGAGGCCAGCGACGACACGGTCGTAAAAGTCGATATTGTTGATACGGCTGAAGGCGGTTTCCATTAGAGCATACAAAGTTTCGTATGCGCTCTGTTTGAAGTGTTAGTCATTGACGTATATATTGACGGGATACAACGCACCTTTCGGACCTCGAGACCATCATCAACGGTATGCTTGAACGGTCCCATCATGACTTCTCTAATGAGTTCCTTCTTGATCACTGACTCTTGCAAGACGTAAGGCATCAGCTTGCCCAAGTGAGGCAGGATCATATCGGGTTTCGTTCGGGCAGCGGTAGTAAGGGTAGTCATAGCAAGTCGGCGAATATCCATATCGGAGTCTTGGAGGATGGTCAGAAGCATCGAAATGAGAACATCCCTGAGCATAGCATCCAAAACTTCGTCGCTTTCGGGGAGGGTGTATCGGACAGCTTGAACAGCCATTCCTCGGACGCCGAGAGATTGGTTCTCGAGAAGAGCCTAGACGGGTTAGCAGGGTACGATTGAGAATTCGATATACATACCTGAAGACGAGGAACAAAAACTGCAGGGTCCAGAGTGACAAGTCTTCCAACACATTCAGCACAGACGACCTTGTTGTCAACATTATCGGAGGCCTTGAGGAGTTCCTCCCAGATAGTTGGAGCATAGTTTCGCAGGTCAGTAGACTGCGCTGAGATTGACTGAAGAATTTCCTTGACGGATTGAATTAGAAGGTATTGAGTGTTGCCGCCCTTTTGCATGGTCTTCAAAATCACAGGCAAGAACTCGGGAACGTTACCAGAACCGGCCTGACCAAGAGCAACAGCAGCAGACAGTGAAACCTTGTCGGGCTCATCGTGGAACTGGTCCAAGAAGAGGTCGGGCTTCAAAGTTGACTCAGTTCCGAGTCGCTTTCCAGCTTCACCCAAAACAGCCAGAGCAAGACTGACGCGAGCCTCATCACCGGTCTTAGCGCTTGTGTAGAGCTCCGTCACAAAGCTATCCAGCTTGACACCAACAGACTCACCACCAGTGACGAGTAGTGTTCCTATCACCTTACCCACGACTGGGGAGTCTCCTGCGACACTAACTCCTTGAAGCAACCCTGTCATGAGTTCTTGACCAGCACCGTTCTCGCCAATAGCGCTAACAAAGAGGAGTAACTGATCAAGAACGATACCTGCGTAATGTTGCTTGAGTAGGTCGGAAAGTGCAGAGATCATGTCTTCGGTCACCACAAGTTCTGGATGTTCGGGTACCAACTTGGCGAGAATGATCAATGTTGGGCCAAGCAGATGTGTATCACTATTGGTAATAATGGGCATCAGATCTGCAGCAATTCCCTTGATGGTATCAGGTTCAAGTTGTCCCTTGGTAGCGGGTGACAAGGCAAGGTTTCGGAGAGCGATGATACTGGATCCACGAAGAGCTCGGTTGGCCTTTCGCAGTTGAGCAGAAAGCTCCAAAGCGACATCCTGAATCCATTGCTTCTCGAGTTGACCTGGAGTTTTGGCATATCGAGCAACGTTTTCAACTGCGCGAACTGCAGCCAGACGGGTGGTCTCATTCTTAAGTCGCTCTTGGAGAATATCCAGAGCAGCCTTGACCTTGTCCGCGGACAACAGAGAAGAGCCCTCGGAAGTGGAAGTTCGAGAGATCAAAACACCAAGAGCATGGATCGCACGTTGACGGACCTCGGCGTCTGCATCCTGAGCAGATGACCGGTTGGAAATAACCTCGTAAAGCTTATCGAGCTCAGCCTTGTACTTGGAGGCAGCGTTTCGTGATCGTGGGGGTGTGATCGTCTTGACGAGTTCCTCGACAGTGCGAATGGCCTCGCTTGAAATCTTGTAGTATCGGTTGTTGGCGGCAGAAGTAACACCATCAACAATCTTGGTGAGATAAGGCTGCAGAATAGTAGATGAATGTGTCTTTGCAATATCGCTAATAACACCCAAAGCAGTAATCCTAAGTGTGCTAGGGGTTGCTGTAGACGAACCAGCATGCGATGACAGGTTGGCGGAAACATGACCAGAACCACTGGGTTGGATGGCATCGATGATGGGTCCAATGACTTGGTCAAAGTACTCGGCCAATCCACCGTGCTGAACAGAAACAATATCATCAAGAAGACTGATGACTGCCTGCTTGGTGGGAATGGTCTTGCCCTTGAGCTGTTTGGTAATAGCCTTGATGATGGATGGTGTCAAGCGAGCCAAATCAGCTCGGGGACCGCTGGGGGGAATCTTTTCTTGGGTGGGGGAGACAAGACCAGATCCTGACATGAATTGGGAAGCGGTAGCACCACCTCCACTGCTTTGGCGTCTACGCTTGCGGCTGATGGGAATGCGAGATTCCATTTCGGGTTCAAAGTCTTCGAGAGAAAGATCGGGTGTGTGGAGACCCTCTCCTGTCTTGCGAACGAGGAGAGACAGTGCTGAAATAACCTCAAGACGAACATTCTCCTCTCGCTCTGAAATGCGCTTAATAAGAGAGGGAGCAGTCTTGTTGTAGAGAACACCGTTCTCCAGTAGGTCACCACTTCCGCGTGTTGAGATGAGGATGTACATGGTCTTGGCGGCGCATCGTCTAACCTTCCAGCTGGCATCGTCGTCATCGTCTTCGAAACCGTCGTCGTCGAACTCGTCGTCTTCGTCCATCTCATCATCCTCTTCTTCATCCTCCATATCTTCGTCATCGTCGTCGGCATTGTAGTTGGGGTCGTACTTGAGGAATCGTAGGCAGGCGTCTATTGTTTCGTCTGTGAATGGTCGCATCTCCTGAGGGCATGATGCCAAGAAAGCTTCGAGAGCCACAAGAGCAGCCTCACGAATCTCGTTGAAATCCTGACCGAGGTCGTCTCCATCGCTGAGTGCTTCCATATGCTCTTCGAGCTCTTCCTCGCTAAGTGCCTTGAGAACGAGAGGGGCGGTAGAGGCAAGGTGAGGTCCAAATCTCGAAGGAATCGATCGAGCCATACTGCCGAGGATCGAGATGTATAATCTTCTTGTGACCGGGCTTGTTTGTTTGGATAGGCCAGTCGTAATACGTCTGACGACTTCCTGCAAATGCTCGTCTGATAGATAAACAGCAAGCATAGAAATGGCAACAACAGCTCTCTTCTTGACAACTGATGTGCCCTTCTCGCTTTCCAAAAGCTGAATGACCACCTCCTGCATAGCCTCGACCTCAACCTGAACGAGCATAGGTCCGAAACATCGTACCACCTCGATCAACACATCAACAGCTTCGGCGTTGATGTCGCCTTCGTTTTGTAGGAGTCCTTCGGGAACAGGAGGCAGAGGAACCTTGGGGTTCTTGGGGACTTGTGTCCTGGGACCGGGGCCGATAAGTCGTGGAATCAGCACGCGGCTGATGGCACTGTAGGCTTCCTGAACATCGTGTGCGGGTGGAATACCGGGTACGGGGCGAGGGAGAGCGATAATAACGTTTCTCAAAGCCATTGAAGGCACGGCGTTGTCCACGGAGTTCTTAAGCTTCAGGGTCGATAACTTCTCGATCATGGGCGCAATAACTGGTGTAGGGACTTTGCCTACGAAAGGGCCGAGACTGGGGAGATTAGCGGGTGATTCGTAGGACAGGTAAATACATACCACTTGACTGCAAGGTTCTGGACTTCACCATTCTGATCGTCGAGTGTCTTGATGATACTATCAACAGTACGAGCAGCTATGTTGTAATCATGCTGGAGGAAATCGGGCTTGGCATGATTGAGCAGTTGGAGCAGATCGTTCAAGGCCATGTATCGGAAATCAGGGTCGTTGTCGCCGAGCTTTTGAACATATCCCATCACCGCCTGCGGCGTGGCATTAATCTGTGTAGAAGCCATGATGGGCGATGTTCACGATGGCGTGAGAGCTGTGGTCATAAGCGCGGGGTAACGAGATGTTGGTGTTTTGAGAGGGCAATAACTGCAGAGCTAGAAAATGGGATTGATATGAAAGGAAGAAGCTGCTGCCTCAACGAGAATGCAGCTAGCTATTGTAGAATGATTGAGGATTGAGCTTTACCTCTAGGCAGACGGAAGAAGGTCGGAGCTGTCGAGGTCGATGCCCCGCTATGACATGCAAGCTACCCCGGTAGGAAGCATCATTGCCTGCCTATCGGTGGAGTATTAATCCGGATCCGGGAGAGTGTAGGGTAACATTCAACGACATGCGAACGATTGAATGCGATTGTATTATCTTGAAACGAAGATTGTTCATTAACTTTGTGAATTCATCTTTTAGCAGTTCCTTGTAGTCGATGGCTTATAGAAGCGATCTATACCCGAGATGTTTCTTGAGTTGGAGTTTGGCGGAAATATGCTTTGATGGTCAACGCATACTGGATTGTTCATTTCTACATACGCTTCCAACAGGTAATAATATCGTTATCTGACCAGGAAGTCAATGCAAGTGAAGACTAACTGCATGAAACAGGAAAAAGTCAAATGGTAGTGTATCTAACGATATATGTCACTGTGAATGTTGATTGATACAGCTGATTCAACACGCTGCTCGTCTCGTGATTGTGATTCGAGTAAAAAGTTGATTCGATTCAGTAACAGGCCAAGGGTTCAACTCTGACGCAGAATCCGGTGAATAGTAACAGCTTAGGAGTATATGAACGACTGATCTCTCGTGATCAGAGTCAACATAATCTCATTCTCAACAACCAGTTACCACTCAGCCTCATCCACATCCCTACACAGCACTCTGTCCCCAAGCAAGGATTGCTTATCTATTCTCAAAGATGAAGCTCACTTGGGCACCTCTCGCTCTTTTCTCCCTTGTTGCTGCTAACCCAGTAACTCCAGTCTACGAAATCCCAGACTTCGAACGCGACTACAACTTTACATGTGGCGAGGTGCGTAGTGATTGGCAGCATCTATACAGTACTTACTAAACACGTTAGACATTGAACTCCACCATCAATCTGACCCAGTGCTATGTGTTGTTGAACTGGCTTGGAAGTGCTTCCAAGACGGGCTGGTGGACAATCGGAGACCTGAAGAATTATTCGTGGAATGTTCAAGGATGTCAAGTGACTATCGTAACTACCGAGGTCGCAAACTATACTCTCAGCATGAACGGAGCCGAGTTCTTTCAGGTTGGCGAGTCGGCTTATACGAACAAATGCAACAAGCCACAGCAACGAATCTCGTTTTCACCCAAGAATGGTAGCTGGGTAGTCTACATGATGGAGGTTGGGTTCGATTACAATGGACCTATCTGGTAGAAGGATAAAAGAACAAGGGTATCGTGGATGATATGGGTTTCGGCGGTTGATAGACTGAAAGGCCGTGGTAGGGCGCATGATGCTTAGGTATAAACAGTCCGATGGTTAGAGAGCAGTTATAATTCACACATCTCAGAACAATGGGCATCCGAAAGCATAAGGGATGAAATACTTCGACCGCTTGATGGTGGATCAGAATAGTAAGCAGAATACTCTATGATGGTAGTCTAAGCCTTAGAGGACAATTATTTTATTACGTACCTGAGACAATGAGAGAAGCTTGAACTCATGTTACACAGTGGCTTTGTTTTGGAACGGAAACAAAAGTTCAATGCGTTGAACAAAGCCCTAACAGTGTGTTACGCAGCAGGGTAAGACATGTTGTACTACAACAAAGGAATCTTCCAGATCATAGCGACAGTTGAGGATCTGATCGGCTCCTGGGAGCTCTAGCATTACATGATCTGGAAACATAATGGGTATTTAGTCTGGTACCTAGACTGCCTACTCCTGGCGTCTTGATATTTAGACGACAGCTCTCAGACAACTCAGTACCGATTATAAGTACGGTCAACTCCGAATTTGATCCAGCAAAGAGGCCGAACAACTCCATCACCTGATCAACCTTTCCAAAACTACCAAAGGGCTAGGACAAACATCTAATTCATTTGATTGGATGGCAAGTATACCTAGGTGATGCTCCAGGGCAGAAAATAATTGCACTGGCACTGGCACGCAGTTGACAAGCAGCTGGCAAAAGTAGCAGGCGTGACCGACATCGCAACTGCTGTTTATGTGTCAACAAACATAACGTCATACGGGTTTTGTTTATTTCCTTATTCTTTCGTCCCTTCAGAGTCTTTCCATCCAAACTCTTTTTCTTTCGTCCCGGTTACTCGGGGTTTGCTTGTGACACATCTGGTGATCAGATGCCCGGCAATGCGTACTTAATAAAACAACACTTTTGATCACACGAACTTCGTCCGGGTTTTCACTTCTGATCGTACCTCACGATGGAAAACGGCACCAAGATGAGCTCCTCTCCGGGCTGCAATCCCTCGCAAGGAACCAAGACCAGCCTCACTCTGACTGATCTTCCGATCGAGATTTTGTCACATTCTCTGTCGTTTCTTCCGAACAGACGCCCAGTCCGAAACGCAATCACTTCTTGTTCAGCCCTTCATGATGCCTTCAAGAACAAACCATCCTACATCGCCTCGTGCGTATTGTTCAACAGCATGTCAGATGGCGTATTCGAAGAAGCCTGCGTTGTGAACAACCTCAAAAACGAATCCTGGAAAGGTGCAAAGGCCGGCATCAAGGCTATCCATCGAGCCTACAATAGTCGAATGATCCCAGGACGCGATCTCACCTTCGAAAACGTCAAAGAAATGTGGAAACTTCACAAGGCTGTTGTATACTTTGGTCGCCAGATACCCCGTACCCTCATCAACGAGAACCCCGTCACCAGTCAGAAAGACTACTTCTATGTCACCCGTCTTGTTCGATCTCGTTTCCAGCGAGCCTTATACCGCTTCAGTGCTTACCTCGACATCATGGAAAAGTTGCGAGCGTCACCACTCCACGACCATGGTGGAAAAAGCAGACCCCTCACAGAGGCTGAAAAGGTAGAAGCCCCTGCCGTCACCAGTTTGAGTGGTTTAGATGATCATCGTGTCCTCCTTGCGTGGCATAGCCACTACTGCACTGTCGAGATAGAGCAGGTGTCCGGAATCTGCGGCCTTCTAATCAATCAGATTGCACCGAGTGAGTATGAGCATTCCTAATTCAGAATAGATCTGACACATTTAGCTTTCAACGATTTCCTAGAACACGATGTCGAACTAGGCTCGAGACTGCACAAATATATCGTCCACCCCCAGCAGCCCCGCTCCATGAGCCCCATTGCTCTAGGACTCCCTTTCTTGCACAAGTTCATGACGGCCCCTGCACGAACACTTCAGCAAGATGTCATATACCCGGTGCTAGAGCATGTCGAATGGAACCCTCGTGACATCTCGCGTATCCCCTTTCCTAGTACCGACGAAGCACTTAACGCTAAGGTTTTCGAGACCGACGCCCGACCTGGAATGTGGGCCAACGAGCCATTACTAGAATGCATTATCCGAACTCCCTTCTTCAAAGACCCCGACAAGGGCCCCGTGAGTGCATAGTCCGCTCTGGGTCGGTTCAACGTCTACTTCATAAGCGAAGACCTCTGGGACGAGAACATCGGCTATCGGTCATTGCAGCCCCTTCCGTGGGGATACGTGTTTTGGGATCTGAACATGCTTGAAAACGCAGGGTTTAAGAACATCAACATGGAGGACAGGATCAACAGCGACCTTGATGTTACATTTCCCGAGGGCCATTTCGACCGAGAGGCTCCCTGCCCCCTTGAAAGGTACGGGAGCAACCGGGCGACGGAACTCCTCTTTTTTGCCCAACATGAGAAGCACCTGATGCGTAAGCGAGGCGAAACCGGATACTTTAACTTTGAAGCCTTTTGCGAATCTGTCAAGGATCGTCTTGTCAGCAATATGCCTGGGATCCCGGAGGGGATTATGGGCGGATTACTTGATGTTGTGCCAGCAGAGCATGGATTGAACGGGTTGTTGGAGTATATGGCGGCTGTTCTGGCAAATGAGACTTAGAGTATTGCAGCGGCGATGGGAATCGAGTGATTTTTAAAGACATATTGAGGGTTGCTTTTGTCACAAAGAAGTTGCACCTAGTGGAATGCCTGGATGCTAGTGTCAACTCACGCAAAGGACCGCATTGAGGACTACAGGTTGATGCTGAATCCTATGTATATTTGGTACCCTCTCAGTTTAGTTACATGTTGAATATTCGGAGGATCATTGTTGAGCATCAATCCAAGATCATGGAACCTTCCAACCGGCACAATGCTTTCACGAGAGAATTCAATCACAATCCATTCAACGATTTAATTGCTTATGGCCTTACAAACAGCAAATCTGTATATCCCTTTCTATACTGCCATCTAACGACGCTCCAATGCCCACGGGTCGCGGACTATCTCCATAGAGACGGGTAACTCGATAGGATGATCTGGCCAACGGAGAGTCTCCAGTGAGAATGGGGGCGCGGTATAGGTTTGGCCTTGCTTGGTGGACGTCTCAATCCCATTCTTCTTCTCAGCAGAATTTTGCTCGTCAGAGGACTTTGCCTCGGAGCCGCTTGGGGCCAAATCTGACTTGACGGGTTTGCTACTATGAGAGTTAGCTCTGGAATTTCTGACTTGGGATTGAAACAAACCTCTTGTTCACGGAATTGTTCGCCATCGTGTATGTGATTGTTAATGAGAGGAAGAGGTTTCTCTGAAGCCTGGACGAGGAATTAAATTAAAGTCCGTTCTAGGTCTCGTTGGTGCCTTAGGAATTTCTGTCAGTTGTTGGCACTGGCAGGGCTGATGAAGTGTTGAAGTGCCGACAACCACGCATGACTGTATGGCCGCGTCACAATCTCTCTTGACTTTGTTTTCCTTTCTCTCTTCTATCACTTTCTTTCTGTCCATCTTTCCATCTCAACCCTTTTCACTTCCTACCTATCTATCAGCAACAACTACTTTCGCTCTAATAAAGATAAGCAGTTTAACCATGGAAGACGAACAGAGGCACAACGTTCCCTCAGAAAACAACGACAGACACGACCGCGGTCGAGATCCCTACCGATCCCCAAAGCATGACAAATCCAGGGACTACCGATCCATGAGCCCAGGAGACGACTTCTACAAACGGAGATACTTTGATCTCCTTCGAGAGAATGACATGCTACGAGACGAAAACCGAATGATGCGGAAGAAACTGGCCGAGAACGGGCAAAAAAGCCACAGGCGACATCGATCGAGAAGCCCACGGGAACGGAATCGCCCACGAAGCCCGGATTCGTCCCACCGGACAGACGATCGCTTGCGTTTGAGTGGACGTGACGACACGGCCATCGATACCACGGCCGCGACACTAAACTCCAATACTATGCGGAAGAGGCCATCAGTTGGGAGTGCTAAGGAAAATCCGAAGAAGCTGTGTGTTCAAGGCCGTGGCAGACCAGGCAGACCTCCCAAACGAAGCGGTCCTTCTCTACCATCACAACAGGAGAATACACAAACAGTCCAGGGCCCGCCAACACTCAACCAGCGGCTCTCCCGACGTGCTCCAGGGGTAACGGTAGCGAGCAATGAACTTTCTGATGTCGACGATCCAGAAGACTGGTATGTCTCACAGTTGAGTGATCTGTAATGGCCGCGACCACGACACAAACCAGTGTTGAGACTATATCAATATGGATACCAAGTCTCGTGTCCGCGTACGGAGAGTCGCTCCACCATGTACCAACCCAAGAGGAGATAACCGGTGATGGAACGGAGAACAACAATGGTCAGTCAGAGCAAGGCCCGCAAGTGGTCTTAAAAGAAGATGAGGATCTGATCAATTCCTCCGATGAAGAGATACGAACCGAAAGATTCAGCAAATCCAGTCTAGACAATGGCATAGATGACATCTCAAATCATCGGAGACATGGACAGGGTGCTGCCATCAAATTCATATGTAGGCAATGGTTGGCGAACCGCCACCATGCCTCATTGCAGACAGACGATATAATGCACCGGTAGCGAAGTAGTATAATGGCACCTTTTCTTTTTCTTACTTATGGACGATGAATATGCTCTTCGATTAATCGTGATGTCAACATAATGAGACCCGTGAATGTGAAATGACATGCCATATCCGGGATGTCGCTGCATATTGGGTTCAGTGACGCGAATGAGGACTCCCTATCTACTATCCTCAGAGGATATAACTTGGTCGATGGAGATCCCATACTACTTGATTGAGTCTTGAACTGTCCTCTTCGCTAGTTCGCTTTCCCTACAGAAATTTCACACTACTAAACGGTCTCAGTCTCAATTGATCATCAGTTGGCCTCTCTATACAAGTTTCCTATTGCAAGCATCTACTCTCCATTGCTAGCCTATTCTAAAGAAACAACAAACTGTTCATTTACTCAAGACCCAGTACATACAAAACTAGCATACCTCATAGCTGTTGCTCCCTAGGGCCAAGGCTGTCCGAATTCCATCAAGACCACGATAACCTCGATCTCTCAACTCATGATCCAACTTCTGCAGGATGTCCTCATCGATGTACGTAAAGTCGCTCATACATCTTGACCCACCGTCTCCCGAGCAGTGCAGACTGGTATACACTCCTTGACAGTCTGTCTTGAACAAAAGAACATCTGCCGACTCCTCGGAAATGTGAAAGGGCTGATCTGACAACTTGTCTTTCGCATGACTGAACCCTTCTTCGTCCGTGGATATTTCGACAATCTGGTGTAGGTACGCTCTTGAAAGGTGCAGCTTGATCTCTTGAAGTCTTGCGGGCGTGATTGGTGGCTGGATGGTGGACAAGTCGATCATCCCATTGATGGGAACCTGCGAGTCTTTTAACGCTTGAATTAGAAGTCTGCATTTGCGTTGGACTTCAATAATTTCGTGTCCCTGGACTTGTATACCCAGATCCTGCAGCACTGTTGGAGACCGATTGAATATGGTGGATGTCGCTCCGGGATCGACGATAGCTTCCATGATCGCTACCTTGAATGGTATGTAACCAGTTACTGCCCAAACGCCGAAGTAGCCGCGCAGGAGGAAAGTGTTCAGCTTCGTGGTAAAACCTTCGTCGGCATCGCGGACCACCTTCGGCTCAAAACCATAGTCTGACGCCACTACGGCAGCTATCAGGATCTTGCCTGCGGTAACGCGATCATCTTCTGACTTCTGGCACAGGAAATGGGCGATACGATGATCATAGTTCACAATCCTCAAGATTTTGAAGAAGGCTTTCTCATGCACGTCAGGTGAAATAGACCATCCAAAGGCAGACTCGTCGGGAATGGCAAGGCCCTGGAGATAAAGGCGTCTCTGCATATCTTTAAACACTTAGCTGCTGTCCATCTGGTTCTTGTCGAGGATATGGAGGAGAGATCGGAAAGTCGTCGGCCATTCCGTGAACTCAATTAAAGCTGCCAGACATCCTCCTGTCTGTTCGTTGCAGACACTCATTCGGCGCACTGCGCTTTCGTTGGGTGGTTTCGCTGGTGTTACGACATATGATGGACATCCTGGGGCAGCCTGGACCCCGTGGCCCCAACTGAGCTGTTCTACCAGCTCGGATTTCGAAGAATTGAGTTTGACCTTGCAGATTTGTCTCGATCGAAGGTCGAAGACCTGGAGATCGCGCGTGTTGCAGAGAACAAGGCAAAAGTGACCTCTGACTTGAACAAGAGTTGGGGTTCGGATGCCAATCTGTGTTAGGAAATCCAGATCAATCGTAAGATCTGTCCCGAGCTCATTAACATTCGACTGCACCAATGGCACTCGTCTTGCGCCATGCAAGGGAACTTTGCTGAAATTAAGAGCTCTGCAAAGTATATTCCCTACGATATTGAACGTTTTCTGGTTGGGCCGCAGAAATATGATAACGGTAGGGTTTTCCCGGACATCTGGTAGTATGAACAGAATTGGTGCGCTGTATGAGGTGAATAGAGATTTGGTCATGGGATGCATCCCTTCCGAAGATAAGGTCAGCAGTCGCATCTTTCGACTCGCTTTTGCTACCACCGTTGTCAGGCTCATAAGAGCCAGCGCAAACTCCGCTGAGTAGCCGGAATCAGTTTGGACAATCACCACTGTACTTTCCTGCAGTTGGGTCGACTCAAGCCTCTAACCTGATGTCGTATTGTAGGCAAGTTTGAGCATGTCCGTGGCTTCGGTGTACGTCAATGTCTGTACTGGGGCAAGGTGATCATGTCTCTGGTCGTCAAGAGCTGCTTTGACATGGTCTTTCTTGAACTCAGGAACGACAAGAAGGATCCCTCTTGGCCGTTTCGTTCGCTTGAGCTTTTGTTGAAGTAAAAGAGGCACCTCGACAATTTTGTTAGCAGCACACGGGCCGTCGATGTGCCCGAATCTGAGGTTGTTGTCGGTCGGTTCATCGGCAATCCATGAGGCGATTTCGCCGAGAACGGGCGTCCACTCTTCATGCATCTGGGTTGTGTCAGATCAGCTGTATGCATATGGAGGACGTATGTACTCACTTTGTTGTTGTGGAGGGAAAGTTGAGGAAGGTGCAGTGGTGGAGTTGAACTCGAGTTAAGTAGGTAGGTACCTGTGTAGCCTGCCCAGATCAACTGTGAATCACAAACAACAGGAAGCGGGGCATGCATTGAAGGAAACATAATTGTTCAAGACAAAGATTTCTAAGACAAAGAGCTGCTGTAAATGTAGGTATATAATGTTTGTTTAATACAGGAAAATACAGGAAAACTCTTAGCGCATTGCAACTATCCTCGTCAAGGGATATCTCATGCACCACCCAAAGAAAGCCACCGAAGGATGTCCCATATGATCAAGATTGATGTTGAGGGATTGTTGACACTGGGAGAAGAGGGATCGTGTAAGGAAGCGTGAGTGCGTAAGATGAGGCGTCGAATGTGAATCGTCGAGGCTGAACATAGAGTGGCGTATGAACGTTACCGCTCTCTGTGAATCTATATGAGTGAAGAGATAGCAGCAAAGGCTTACTATAAGCATACCTAATAGCCCATCGGAAACAATCTCTCGTTTTCGAAAGCATTGCCAAGTTACGAGGCAGAAGGTAGGCAAGTTCACCACGACGCCAATAATAGCGACGACGACTTCGTGTGAGATAGCCATGTGACGTAGGAGCGACTTGAAACTTTGAGAATGTTGGGATAGTTCTTTCCCTACGAGTCGGTAAACTTGGGAAAGATCACTTTGTCAATTAGAAAGGAAGGTAAGATTATATATCCTTCCCAAAGATACGAATTTTGGAACTGTCCGTGGCAGGAGCCATCTGTGCTGAGAAAGTTCTCTGGATGGAAAGTTCTGAGCTGTTAAGACTAAACGCGAATTTTGGACATTACATACAAACAAGGACACCATCAATGAGACGGCGAGACAATCCTGACATAGCCTCATCTATCAGATTGATCTGCCAAGACCGAAAGCGAATTTTGGACATCACATATCAACTAGACCGAGAGATGATCCTGGCACGGCCTCGTCAATCAGATTGACATCCCAGCGTCAAACGCGAATTTTGGACATTGCACTCAAAAGCGGCATCAAAACATGCGATGGAACGGAGGCATCAGCCCTAGATACTTGGCTGCGCACGGCCTCGATTGACCCAATCAGTTATGCATGGTTCAAACGCGAATTTTGGACCTTCTGCAGTAATCGCGCCATGGCGGTACAGAACAGACATGCTGGGAAGGCTGGTACCGATGACATCTCAGCTGCTATACACCACATCGATTCCCGAAATTCACGGCAATAAGTAAAACACGAATTCTGGCCACCAATCACGATCTTGCTACGCTTGGGCAGCTGCCAACACCAACACTGGGCTGCATAACGCGCGCCAAGGCAAGACAGCAAATAGGGGGCGGTAGCTGCGCTGAGTGGCTTCACATGACGAAACACGAATTTTGGAACCGGTGCTTAAGAATACGGTCTGACGGCCAACGCCAGATTAGACGTTGACACGCAAGACTGCATACCACCACTGCAAGGGACTTATAACCTTGCCTTAAGTAGTCACAAGTCACAAAGAACTATATAGTTCGCCATTTTTGCCTTCTTCTGCATCGGGTTGACTCGAGCAAGTCGAATACGAATGATGTATAGGCTGGACTTGCAATCACAACGCGGTATTCTGCTACACCACATTCGGAAAACTCCAGAAGCCAAATCAATGGTTCAGTCCATAGAAGAGATTCCCGATATCAAGGCCATAATAGTACTCACAGCCTGACTATGCCGCAAGCACCAAGAGTCTCTAAAGCCGAGTGGGAGGCTCACAGAGCTCTCATAACGGACCTTTACATCAACCAAAACAGAACGTTGGACGAAGTCATAGAATATATGGCGGCGCTCGGGTTTTGTCCCTCGTAAGTAAAGATCACTCGCGCTGTGCGGCTTTCAGGCTAACAGCTACATAAGGAGACCTCAATGGATAAGAAAAATAAATGTCAACTGGAAATTGCGGAAGAACAGCACCAAAGAGGAATGGCAGCACGCGAGCTCTCTTTTATCTAAGCGCAAAGAGAATGGCAAGGACACTGACTTGATTATGAATGGAAAGATCGTGTCAAGCAAGAAGAGAATGAAGGAATTGAAAAGATACTCAACATTGCAGACAGACCAAATTTGTAAGTGACCAAACCAAAAACAACCTATTAAAATAGATCACTGACTATACCCAAGCACAGGACTCAAGTCAATTCCATGCAGTGGGTGTTAGCACACCACCAGCTTCCTGTCAAACAGAGGTATCATATGGGAATCTACCGTTCTTACATAGACGAAATATCATAAGGAACTTCAGTATGCCTATTTATTCATATGTTACAGCGCTTCGCTAACTTGGCCAGTGAATCGTGGCAACGCAAGGAAACTTCAGACCTCCAGAACGTCTCATGCCTCGTTACAACAGCATGATCCGAAACTGCTACTAAATGAAGACAATGCTTGCAGCTCCATCTTAAACTACGTACCAAAGAGCGTATCCGTCCCAGACGTGGTTTCCAGAACCATAGAGACCGTCGATGAGATGTTCCCGATGCTGAGTGACCACCATGCCAAGGAAAAGTCACAGTGGCCGATCTGGATCCAAGTGTTCCAAGCCTTGTTACTAATATCAACAAACAATATTTGGCATAAAATTGAGACAAGCTTTACTTTCTTGGACTCCTTTGTGGACCTTGTGCTTCCCAAAGGCTATCGTGGAGGCCTAGAAACATTGCTCATTGAAACAAAGGAGATACATGGCGAACTTGCTACGCATCTGCTTTTCAGTGTCCTCAAGTTCGATTCGCCCGAAAGTAGTAAATTAATGCGCTTCCTACTTCGCAGTGGTGTCAGCCCGAATAGCACTCATCCTAAGTCATCCTTCGGTTCGCGTTGGTGGACTGCTCTTCACGAAGCTGTCTATCAGAACAGTCAAGAGTCTGTCAAGATTCTCATTGAATTTGGCGCGAATCCTCATCCAGACTCAAATACAACCTCGTATAGGTCTCATCTCGATATGGCACCAGAGCATCTACGGGATTATTCAATCATGCATCTCCCGAGTGCAGTGGACAACGGCATTAGATCTAACGACCACGATCATAGCTACGGGGTCCCTCCGCTATTTTTGGCTTTGCGCAATGGGTCGCTTCACTGTGCTGCAGTGCTTTTGGATGCTGGAGCCGACCCGAACTACTGTCATCCTTTACTATTTACTGCACTACACTGCGCCATTGGCATGGCCAATCTAGGCATGGTGAGACTACTCATCAAGGCTGGGGCTCTTCCGAACATCCGGCCCTTGGAAAGGTTGACCACTCCCTTACCGAGTGTCGCGAAGTTACAAAAGAAGACTGTTCTCAGTCCGCTTCAAGCTGCAGTCCGGTCCAAGAGCCTGCCAATCGTTGAGTATCTGTTATACTCTGGTGCGAGACCCGAAATGGCGAGAGACTTAAAGAAGTGTCGGAACTACAAGCCTTATTACGCTAATTCAGTCGAAACTGGCCTCCAAATAGCGGCATCGGCTGGTGATCTCGAAATGATGTGTCTCCTATTAACATCAGACGCGAATCCCAACTTCCGTCACCGCGATACCCCCACCGCGCTACAAATTGTGTGCGGTTCACCGTCAATGTCTCCTCTAGAGAGGTACAATGCCACCTTGATGCTTCTCCAACACGGAGCAGATATCAACGCTTCACCTGTACCTAGAGGAGGTAGAACGGCATTGCAGGCTGCAGTCGAGGCGGATGACTACCGTGTGGCTGAGGTTTTGCTCCACGAAGGGGCAGACCCCAACGCGCCGGCGATGGAAGCTGTTATCAAATGTGGCTCACAAGCGCTCAATCGCCTTTTGATTGAGAAGGTGAACCACGAAGTCGCTCTTGATTCAAGGGACGAAGAGACATACCTGACAAGGGACTTGGAACTGGCGGTCTCTGCTGGAAATATCGCTCTACTGAAGAGTATCTTCACACGCGGCGACGACCGAAACTTCTCTGTATCTGTCGAAGATGCTGAACGGGCTGTCAAAGCAGCTATCGTGAAAGGGTCTTTGTCTCTGGTACAGGAGCTCTTGACCATATGTCCCCAAATCGATAGCTCTTGGGTCCTAAGTGAGACTGTCTGGCAGGAGAAATCCGAAATACTGGAGTGGATTCTGAGTTGGTTGCCATGCCAAATGCTAAATACAACACAGCCATCTCCTCTATGGATAGCTCTTCATCAGCGAAATAGCTCCCTGGTGAGGCGCCTCCTGCTGGCTGGCGCCGACCCCAACTATAGGTCTTGTCACATTTGTCGACCGAAACTATCAGGTGCAGCTGACTGCCCTAAGTATATGAGTAGGGAACTTGAATCACCGATTGAACAGGCCATCTCCCCCGGCCATGGCCCCTCGGAAGAAGATACAGAGACGATCCAGATGCTCGTGTCTCACGGTGCCGATATCAATTGCCGTATGGGACATATCTATTCCTCCGTTATGTCAGGTGACACCCCGCTGCTGTTCGCAGTGAAGCAAGGGAAATACAAAATAGCAGAACTTCTCCTTCACAAAGGGGCCGAACCAAATGCTGTGGACATTCAGACGGGTCAAACCTCTATCATCTACGCATCGCGGGCCGCCAACTATGGTCTAGTCAGACTACTAATTGAGAACGGCGCTGATGTCAAGAATCCGTCCTCCTGGGGTACTCCGATACAGGCTCTTACAGACCATAGAATATATGTCGCTCCAGAAGTAATCAGGAACTTGGCAAGGATATGCCGTTTGTTACTCGACTCAGGTGCCGATGTCAACGCCAATACAACGATTGACTGTTCAATGACGGCTTTGCAAACAGCAATTGTTCGTGGCATACAAGAGTTGATAGAAATATTTCTTAGGGAAGGTGCCAATATAGACGCACCAGCTTTTAGGAATGGAGGAAGAACAGCTTTGCAAGCAGCAGCTAGTACTGTAAACTTCAAGCTAGTCAAGCGACTGGTCGAGATGGGGGCCGACATCAATGCTCCACCGGCCAAGGAAGGGGGAGCGACTACCTTACAGTATGCTGCTATGTCAGGGCATGTTAACATGGCAATCTTTCTCCTGGAGCATGGGGCATCTGTCAATGCCCAAGGATCCTTACTAGCGGGAGTTACGGCCCTCCAAGGCGCATCTGAATACGGGAGACTAGATATGGTTCATTTGTTAGTGGAGAATGATCAGGATCCCGATACGATAGAAGAGCGATGTCGGGATGCCGCAAACATTTCTGAAAAGAAAGGCTTTACACAAACTGCCGAGTTTTTGAGAGGGTACAAACGACCATGATTAGTTGGGATATTCATAACTATGGACGTATTGACCAAGAAGACGAAGGAATTGGGCAAGCCACAAGCCGACAAGCGCAAGAGAGGAATACCTTGGCTCGCTGCTGGCAATCGAGTGAGCTGACGGGAATAGGTTCAACTTGAGATTGAAAGATCTATCAGGAAAGCGGAGGAAAATGTGGAAAAAGGGGGTCAAGTTGAAAATTATAGATTCATGCTGAAAACCAAGTATGCTTGCTTTCGTTCAGGAGTTGACAGTATGATATTGAAAGTTTAGAGGACAGGTTATCATTACTTGGAGACTACGGTATAGCTTTACTGTGCCCAACGTGTTGGTAGGGAACGTCCGTATCTCGTTTGACTCTGATTGTGTATGTCCCTCAGGCACATGTGATGGTTGGACCTTTCTTGGTCTGCCTCACTTTCGTTTTCGCTGACCTTGGTCCATTGTTGTCGGTATCTATAGATATTTGAATGACCAAAGAGTAGTAGTCGGTAATATAAGAGCTCTTTGTCGACACTGAATCCTCTAGGAAAGAATGTTAAAGCCGCGAAGGAAAATGGCGCCGCCTCCCAATGTTTGCAACTTACAGTTAGTTCTTTCGGGTCGAGTCAATGGAATTAGTAGAACTGCCAGATGCCTTTGATGGTCATGCAGCGCTGGTGTTTGCCTTGTAAAGGAGTTACTTTGTCATTTGGAATGCCCATGAGACCCTGATGTTGCGATCCCACTCACCAGAAATGGCATGGGAAGGTCTCAAGACTGGGCTACATTACGATCCCACCAGTCCATACTAAAGCAGCGGTGGTATTTCACATCAAGATAGGGGGCCGGCGGTTCCGACAGATGGATTAAAAAGCGAGTCGATGAAACACTCACGCTTTTATGCAGATACAAGTTGATGGTGGATAGCCAAAGGCGCTATTCCGATAGCCATTGAGACGAGTCCCGAATGAGTTGACCGACCGTCCTGACTCTATGAACAGGTGCCTGATATTGATCCAGTGTTAAGGCATTCACCACCCTCAGCACCCTTACTGCCCCCCACTTTCCGCTGCCTGCTGAAATTGCAACTCAGCAACAACAACAACACCGGCACCATCTTTGATTTCTTTACGACAAAAAAGCCAAGATGGAGGAAGCTGGTGTGCAAAAGCGCAAGCGCGGAAGGCCGCGGAAGAATGAGGCGACGGCGCCTGCCCGTCGGGGGCGTGGTAGACCTCCCAAGAAGCAGAGGTCGGAGGCCATCACGGTGGAGGACAGTGGTTCCGAATGGGGAGATGGTGATGAGGAATCGCCTCCAAGGGAATCACCGGTGCATACGGGTCTTGTTATTCTACCAAACAGGGCTCAAAATGTGCTGGATGTCCGAGAGGGAGGGGAGGAACCAGGTTCAGGAGGGATGGAGGCCGGTCCGACAGGTGAAAGTTCGCTTCGAGCAGAGGTGAATGTGCCTAGGAGCCGTGGAAGGCCAAGAAAGACGTCTCATAACGCACCGCCTGTTCAACGTCAAGAGCAGGAAGAGGATACCGAAGAGACTGAGGGTGCTCCGTCAGGGGTGCCAAGAGCAGATCATGGAGGGTCTCCCATCTTCGAAACGACTGCTCGTCGTAGACGTGGCCGACCAAGGAAGGTTGTTGAAGATGAAGCTGGAGGAAGACATCGGCCCAGAACCAGGAACTCCACAAGAGTTCAACGGCAGGATATGGAGGCCGAGGTTGTTGAAGCCGACGACTACGAGCCCAGCGATTCAGATGGGTTTAGACGTCAACAGCAGGCTGGGGAATCGTGGGAGCCAGAAGGGAGAAATGAGGCGGCTATCCTTGTGGAGTTGAGGGAGGGGTACTCGCAGCGTGTGGAATATGCGCGGAAGCGAAACAGAGCCAGACCTCCGGTCACCAGGAAACGCATTGATGCACCAGGCTCTGGTTTCTACAAGTCCGGAGCTCAAGATTCTGGATTCTGGTCTGAGGATGATGAGGAACAGCTGCGCAAGACGTGGTTGGAGCGGCCGGAATTGACAGCGCTGGGACTTCTATCCAACTATGGCTCCCATCAAACGAACGTATTCAAAGCGAGCTTTGAACTGTTCAAGATCGACCCTTTGAGCCTATTATCGCTATTTCGGCAATGTCAATATGACAACGGTGAGATGGGTTCGATCATGCATCGAGGTTCACGTGTGGCCAATCCAATATGGTCGCATAGCTTCTGTGACAAGCTCCTCCTGATCATGGTACATCCGATCTTTAGGCTCCGGGGCGCCTTTCGTCTTATTCCCCTCACAGTTTGCTGGGCTTCAATGCTCCGGCGGCACAGCCGCGCCAGCTTTGATCTCGAGGAGGTCAAGTATCTGGATCACGCAGGCTGTCCCAATCTGGGGCGTTTGGACGACGGTGTACCAAGAACGAGGCTGGTGGAGAGGTTCAAATCTGGTCAGGCCAGGCGACGTGAGGCCGGACTGTTCCAGAGCAACTTTGCGGAGCTTTTCCTGGCAGTTCACAACGTGGTGGGCAATATGGACCAGGATGAGAGATTCGACAGGCTGGAAGTCAGAACCTCGGATCTCACCGACGTCATCAAGGCCTTGGACAGTCTAAGCCCAATGGCAATGGCCCCGACCTGTGAGGCCCAGCTTCAGACGTGGCGTGCGGGCCGCGTTGGGCGAGGCTATCCAGCAGGGCTCGATGAACTCGAGGAGGCATATGAGGTGGCCTGGAAGGATATGTTCCGAAAGGCCAGGGTACAGGAGAGGGAGGATCGTGCCGATGAAAACAGGCTCAGTAACGCTGGGTCAATCCCCAGGGGCATGTCAACATCTCAGATGGTATCCCATCTACTGAGACCCAGGATTCACCTTTCCAAGACCCAGTCCAGGACGCCGCAGCGACGGAAGACGCTGAGCCCCCCATCAACAGTCAGGATTAAGATTCTGGGGAAGGGTTTGATGATGGGAATGCTCCTGTTATTGGAGACCATGGGGCGTCGCCTTCCGAAGAGTCGATCTCAAGGAGCGGCGCGGGCGACCGGGAAGGCCACCACCAAGAGCATGGGGTAACATGGAGCTTTGGACCAAATGGATGGGAAGCCACAACTGATGGCTCAGAAGCCGCATGGTTAGATTTGGGGCGCCAGCTCGCGGATTGGTCTCGCTCCTTGACCGGAGGTCGATATATCTCCGCCACTCCCAACAGAATGCAGCCCGGAGCCACAGAGCCCATTGCTGTGACGCAGCGGGTAGAGTTTCGAGACGGAATAGGGACGCTAGCAGATATCAGGCAATACTACTAGTGAGAATATGGCTCGCTGGACTGCCATACATCGGCAAGGAGCTCGAGGATGCTTCAAAATAGGTGTCAGAAGGGACGGTTCAGTCCTCGTGGCCAGAGGACCAAGATGGTCGTAGACTCATGCCAAGTCAACGGCTTGACGGTGGAGATTGAAAGGGGCAACATTACGCCCGGATGGGCGCAGAGGAATGCCGCCCCGCTGTCAAATAAGTTTGAGGATTCGCCATATCACCGGGGTTTCCCAGCTCTCACTTGAGGCTATGGAGATTGTCACTGATGAGAATCTTGAGCAGGGGCCGACGAACGTAGATCCAATATCATCGGACAGTAAGGAAAGCGGTAGCCGACAGGCTTCATCAGGCGAGGCGAGAAGAGCTGGAGAGGCCCGAGTGTCCCCGACGTCTGAGGAATTGGACCGGGATGGCTGGTAACTACATCTCAAGTAGTTGGGTCACGGCAACTCTGTTGACAAGATTGCCTTAACAGTCGCAGCATGGCACAATCACAGCTTCACCATTGAATAGCACCGATGCAGGTACGCAAGGTGCTGTCTGAGGATATGCGGGTAGCCGATTGAAAGGCGCCTGTCCAGAGATTGCCGACCAGATATGGGAGGCCGAGAGGTGAGATTGTATCAGTATGTCTGGCCAACATCTGATCTAGGCAATGGAAACTTATTGATATTCGCAGGCGCCTCCAAGGTCACGTACCGTTCCGCCCACGACGATTTTAATAATACCCCTCTGGGCCTTTGGTAAGGCCAGGACGAATGTCGAGCTCCTCGACGCCACACATGGTGGTCCGGCCCCCTTTTCCACGAGTTGCGACCGACCAACCGATCGAGACGGGCGATGAGGAGACAACGTGTGGGATGGGACGGATGAAGGATTCAGGGTGGCTGCCACAGGCTGCAAAGAATGAGGGGTTTTGATTCGCTTGCCGGTTTTCCCCTACCTTCGGCCTGATAGGTTCCATCTGTACATATTCTAGCCAGATCGTATAGAGGAACGGTAGTCTGACAATATATGAGCCCTGAAAGCGAGGGGAGTGTTTGTAGACATGGTTCAACGTCTCAGTTCTGCCTTATCAGTATCTACATTGACCTGCCAAGTCCTGAACATAAGTGTCGAGTACACTACTTTAGTAGATACCTTATGATCATACCGTTTGATGTTCGTGCTAGTTCTTGGGTCCCTCTGATTGACAGACACGGCGTCATGCACCAGCCAAGAATATGTAAGTGCACGACTTGAAGTATCAGTGAGCGTATGTTTCGAGGGTCCAGTGTTTTCACGATCACAATTTGAATAGTGATGTGCAGACCTCTCGTAGCGATTGGAGTGGCCAACTCCACTACGTGACTTAAATCTCAGAATGTTGGTCTGGTGATTCAACCATCGTAGAGTAATTCCTGGGTTTTGATATTGCCAGGTCAGTAGTAATGACTTACAACACGTCAATCAAGATGGTCACAGCATAGGTAGTCCTTGGCATCCCCTCAGCACCCCGACATTACGAAGTTTCTGCTTGAATCCTGTACATACTAACACGTATCTACTCTCAACGACTTACTCCATCACTTGACCTTAATTGAGCTCCTTAGACTCATCACACGCTATAGTCCTATCCAGACGATATAGACCTTCTGAAGCATACCTTGAAGGGTTACGCCTGCCTAACGATTTATCTGCAGACAGTTTAACACTTTGAATAATTAAACTATACATTAAATTATATATTAAATTGAATATTTACTTTAAATTATTAGGTATATATCTAAATTTAATAAATATTTAGTTTAAATAATTAATTAATACTTTGTAAAGTTAATTACTATAATATTAAGTTACCTAAGAATAATAGTAACTATAAGGCTGTATTCTAGTACTAAAAGATATCAGGGAAAGAGCGCTATACTCTTAAGGTAAGTGAGCTCAGGTACTTTAAGTGCAGCTATTACATGCTGACAGCATGACGGGGCTGCAGGTCAGAGAATCAACTTATCCTTTACACATGCACTTCCACAACAGCATTCAAAGCAAATCTCTAACTTCGCCCCATATGCACGACTCGTGGAATCCCATCTTGCGCGATGTCGCATCATGGGTCATCAATCCATCACCTCCTGACCAACACAAATTCGGCCATATCAGAGGCCAGTACGCAACCGCGAAGAGTGTCATTGTCCCTCCTCTCCTCCGAAAAGCGCTGAGAGATGCCGGATCGAATGTACCGATTCTCCACGTTACGGCGCAGTTCAAGAAGGCCGAGGTCCTGAAAAGCCGCTCTGGAGAAGATTGCCATGGCATACAGAACGTCGACTACGTTGAAGCTACCGCTATGCTCAAGGACGCCCTTCAACCCTCAGGCTAGCAACTTGAGGCCGCTGGGATACGCAAAGATACGCTGGTCATTCTCGAAGCGGACCCCGATTACTCTGCTGAGTTTGCGTTGGCTCTGATGACGCTCTCTGCTGCCGCAGTGGACGGTTGTCACAACATACGGCTGATGACAATGTCCTGGGAAGGTGTCAGCTGCACAACGTCGAGATTGTTTCACAATCTAGGTCAAATCGAAGAGTTCACACTCCCAGATATCCACGAGAAGCCAATGTACAAATATGGCCGCCACTGTCATGGTTTGGTCGAGTGGCTTCACGATCTCGACCAGAGAATGAAAACAAGGGGAATGAGTCAAGATGCAATTGACTTGCCACATACTGTCTTATCCTTCCAAGTCGCACCTTTCGACTGGCCTGCAGAATGGAACAGCGAGTGGATGAATCAAGAAAGCTTCCAAGAGGCCACAACATCTCTACATGAGGATATTCTCCTACCAGGCACAGGCCAAGTTTCCCAAAAGCGTGTGTTGGAACCGGACGTATATACTCGGGCGCCCAATCTCATCGACGCGCCGGGCTACTTCTATGTGCTTCCTAATAAGAGACGTCGACGTCTTCTTTTGGACGAGCGGGCCGTTGAAGTCGTCGATATCCCGGTTACCTGTTCACAGTCTGATATCGACGAGCAGCTTAGCTGGGTTCACAGGGTTCGAGTTCCAAAAGGTTATGAGAAAATGATAATCGACCCGCCTGAGTCGCCGGGCGAAGGTGAACGTCATCCGCGCATTAGCAACGACCAACTTGGAGGTTTCTTGGCGGCCTTAACAGAATTCACCTCATGGCCTCAATCTTTCTTCGGGCTGCTACCCACTGAAGGTTTTTCATTACGATGGTCACCGTATCGCCAAATGAAACGGAACCTGGAATGTCAATCCCTTATCGAACAGGCCTACAATACTCTTGGGTGGCGCCTGTCTAATTCGGTTGACGAGAAGTTATTCTACAAGATCCTGTCCATTGTGGGCTACGACTATCAGGTCGCTCATTTCGTATGCCTACCTTCGACAAGTGGTCTTGTTGCTGCGGCCAAAGTCCAATTGGCATCTTTGATAGTGTCGCAGAGATCATATCTCGAAGCAATTTACGATTGCCTAACCTTGAAAGAGCAGGGAAGACTAGATTCGACCTATCGTGTGGGTTTGTTTAGGGAGGATGGATTGCACAGCACTCTCACCATGGCGCTGGGTGTCATGAAACTGATGCTCGCTGGGATTGCTGGGCTTGCCTCAAGTGACATGGATACAGACTCCAGTGGCATCGACTTCGGTGACTACGTGGAGCATATCAAATGGGTTCAAGCCAAATGCAAGCTTTTGATTGACGCGTTTATTGACGCCCACGTTCCCATTGTGGACGTGGCGAGCTTCTCTTGTGACGAGCAGCCATTAACCTTGGATCAATACGGCGAAGTTGTGTTCCATCTTGGAAAGGCGTTTTCTTATCAAGCGGCTTATACAGGTTTCGGCTGGGACGGAAAGATTTGTTTCACGGAAAATATGTTCACTTTGCGAAAATATCGATTCTCAAAACCGATTATGGACCTTCATTCATGGGCGCAGTCGGATACTGAGCATCCGTACTACAACGGCATAGTATGTTTCTACACTAGAATAAGATGTGACGATGAAGCATCTCCGCGTACCATTATGGACTTCACATGTCTGCCGACTAGGTTTTACCGTCGATGGAACGAGTATGTCGCGTCAAGGCATGCTTCGAATCTTGTCTAGTACCCGCTTCCTGTATCCAGCCGTATGTCAATAGTCTTTTTTTTTCCCTTATTCAACAGGTAGATATAGCGTTCAAGACCATTACTTCCCTCTCTCAACACAAAATTTTCTGATTAACTATCGCGACCCTTTTGTGTCACCAAGATTTGGTGTTTTATCCACTTCACACCCAAAATATCTCGGCTGTGCGGCTTGAGACATATTGCGCCAAGAATGTTTCTGTAATTGAAAAAGCGATTCGACAAGGGGGCATTGCCCATGATTCCCCGTGGAGTAATTCTTGGATTTACAGTTTGTAAATAAGCGGGACGGACAAATTATGGAATTCGATTTAGTTCAAACCGAGATGTCTAATTAGCGCAGCTGTCAAAGCGATAGACACAGTTATCTGGTCTATGCTCAATTTGGATAAGGCAAGCCGTTTCATGTCCTGTACGGACTACTCTGAGTCTTTATTTCCTATCGAAGACGTCTTGGCCGTTGTTTTTGTGGAGGCGATGGAGAACTCCAGGGTGGGGAGTTGACGATGAAACGTGGGGGTTCTGGGGATACTGCTCGGCATCCCACTTTGACTTACACATGCTTGCTAAGACACGAGATGAAGTTAATAGTGGAGATGATGGAGATTGTATACTCAATGCAGAATGTGAGGCTCTGGTATCCGCCTCGGCGATGATGGGGATTGGAGGAATTTGTTCTGAAACTCCAGGGTAAGATCACGGAATCGGAATTAAACACTGCACGTGCAAGAAAATAGACACAATTCGGTATCCGGAGTCATGCTTTAGTATCAATGACGTTTTATTGTGCTAAACGCTTACCTGGGTAGATGTGGAAGGCACAATTGAGAGCCTCTTTTGATTCGTGGGCAGTTTGGTGGCTTGAATCTGTTGTAACGACAATCCCATCTTATCAATCAGATCAAAGTTTCAAACCAAGTAGCGCTATACGAGGGATATCGTATCCACCTTTCATTCATACAAGGCATGAATATCCACAGCAATATCAAAGACAACTCCATGATGGGGAAAGCCTGGCCAGTTTCGGCGCTGGGTGAAGTCCCTACTTAATTCCGTGACTTCCTCGCTCAATCACGCACCTACCCTTTCAGACTCACCACCATCGTCGCTCCTTCTTCTGACCCAGTCGCTCTTTCTTCATCCTCTAGCCTAGTTGCTACGTCACTCTTTTAAACCTCTGGAAGGTCATACTATACCCAAAAATGCGTGTTTCTACTCTTGTTGCCTCGCTGGCAACTGCCGTTTCGGCCTACGACGACTTCCTGAACGAGCCTGACACTGGATTCCAATCCTATCTCAGCAGCACCAACTGGACTGAGAAGAGCCGCCCTCTTCTCAAGGATATCCGTGGTGTTCCCGATTTCGACTTCGCTGCTCGTCAAAGCCTTACTGATCAGCAATACGCCTTCTATCGCACTGCCGCTGCCGGAGAATGGTCATACCGCAACAACCTGAAGGCTTGGGAGAAGGCCAGAGTCCGACCTCATCAGCTCGCCAGCATCACTGGTCTCAATGAGACTATGGGTGTCAGCATCCTAGGCCACAACTTCAGCGCTCCTTTCTTCATCTCGCCCGCTACCCGTGCTGGCTACGGTGACGAGGAACGCGGTGAGCTCAACTTTGTCGACGCTGCCGCTGACGAGGACATTCTCTACGTTGCAGCTCTTTATGCCACCAAATCTATCGAGGAGATTGGTGCTCAGCGAAAGAAGCGCGGTAACACCATCTTCCAGCAGATCTACACCAACGGAAACCTTTCCGTGACTTGGGATGCCATGAAGCGTGCTGAGGCTCAGGGCGTCAAGGCTTTTGTCTGGACTATCGATGCTCCCGGCACCGCTGTTCGCCATCGCGCTGCTCGCTACGATACTACCAATGCGTATGTACACTCTTTGATCCTTGTGCATCGAACTTCACTGACATGACCAGCAACGCGGCTACCTCTGTCCTCAGCTGGGACCTTCTCGACCAGCTCCGCGAGCACACCAAGCTCCCTATCATCCTCAAGGGCATCACCACCGTCGAGGACGCTCTACGCGCTGTTGAGGCTGGCGCTGACGGTATCTGGCTGTCCAACCACGGTGGCCGCCAGGCCGATTACTCCCCATCTCCTCTAGAGATTGCCTACGAGATCCGTCGCAACGCCCCTGAAGTCTTCAAGAAGACCGAGGTTATTGCCGACAGTGGTGTCCGATACGGTAGCGACGTAATCAAGCTGTTAGCTCTTGGTGTCAAGGCTGTTGGACTTGGTCGACCGTGAGTATCTCGCTTCCGTCGTGACACATTTGATGCTAATGCTTTGCAGTTTCCTCTACTCTAACGTCTACGGTCCTGAGGGTCCTAAGAAGCTCATCCAGATTCTCAAGAACGAGATCCTTACTGATGCTGCTCAGATCGGCATCAATGATCTCCACAACATCCCTTCCAGGGTGGTAAGTAACGCCAGTCTCTGAACATAGAGGTCTTGGACGCTAACAATGCACTACCAGCTGAATACTCGTGCCCTCGAGCGTGATGTTTATCTGATGGATGAGAATTAGAACATCGAACTCGATATATTGAATACTCTTAACACATATATAGACATGAATATACCTAGTCAATGTTCTCTTACAGGCATACCTGTACTGTCCCTCATCGTGCCTCGTTGATATTCCCACTTGCCGTGACCCAGAACAGGGGAATCTTGAATGAACTGGATCCAACTCCGCTCTCATTGATTTATGGGCATTTCACATTGTTTCCCATTCGCCAGCCTCTCCAAGTCCATACAATTGAACACCTAGATCCACTGTCAATTATCAACAGCCCCTCGCAGTGCCAGTGCCTGCCAGTGCCAGAGGGCCAGCACTGATTTCGCGGCAAGTGCTTGCCCCCACCCCACCTTAAGTACACCTCCTGCCTTCTCTTTGCAAAGAATCTTTCTTTCTCTCGCATCACCATTTGCTTTTACTCCCGCACAGAAAAGCAGTACAACATGGTGACATCACAAGAGACAACCCCCCGCGAAGAGCGGCCAGAAAAGCGAGTTCGCTTCGTACTCCCAGATCGAACAAGATCTCGGGAACGCGAGCAACGGGGCCATGACTACCGAGAAAGTCGGTACAGCCACTCGCGAGACGACAGTGAACGACGTCGCTCTCGAGGCCCAGGCCGCGGCTACCGAGAAGTTCGGTATAGCCACAGGGACAGGCGCGAAAGATCATCGCTCCGTTATTCTCGAAGCCGCTCAAGAGACGGCGAGCGACGACGTCGCTCACGCAGCCCGAGCTATGACAGTCCCAGGCGTCATTACCGAGGCTCCCATCATCGATCCAACTCGCCGGATTATGGCCGAGAAAACTCTCATCGACGAGATCAACGACGACCTCGTCGACACGACTCAAACCGCAGTCGTGAGTACCGGGAAGACCGCACCCGAACTAGGGATCGCGGAGAGCCTGCAAACCAGCAAAGCTCAACTCCTGGCGGCCCCGAAGCAACTGGCGACGGACCGCGTCGACGTAACGGCAACCTCTTCCCCGTGCATTCCATCCCCTCGGTTGTGGATGAGATACAACGCACCATACCAGGGCCACAGGTCGACATGGTATGGGGCCCAAGGCCAATCATTCGAGCGATTTATGAGGAATTCAAGGCCAAGAATGGCCTCTGCACAGCGCACATCCTCCCTTCTCGCGATGATGACGAGGGTGACGGGGACGCTTACTGAGCTCTGTAAGTATCCTCATATACGCATCCCTGCTTACTTTCACAGGCACTGGACTCGAAGTCCCAGCCCCAACCACGCGCTTGGGGCTTGATGCCGAAGTCGCCAACCTCTTTGGATGGTAGAGAACCTTACCCCTTCCCACCCCTTCCCAGTCTCACCTGTGGAAGTTGGAGCAAACACATACCTAGTTGGGCAAGTTCCCAACCACATTCAGGTGACCATCGGAAGGCAGAATGCTCTTTCGGCGGTCAGGTCCAAACGCAGGTCAATGGATGAGGTAGTTCAGAAACGATGACCCAAGGAGTCTCGACTGCAAATGTCCCGATGCGCACCGCGCACTTCGACTTCGGGACGATAAGGCCTGCCAAGGCGCTCACTCGACAGTCGAAGCCTATCCAGGCGGTCGTCTGGTACATGAGGCCAATTCGGGCACTCGCTCTGGCGGTGGAAGAAGGGTATGGTCTGGGAAAGGTTACCAGGGCTGCAAAGAAGGAAGGGTTTTGATTCGCGAGCCGGTTTTCCCTAACCTTCGACCTTATGGTCTCCTTTGTTGAACTTGGTTGATGAGATGGTAGATACATGGTGAAATGGAAGAACATTGAGTGGTGTGAACAAACGACCCCGATCTTTTGCAATGTGACTGCTTGAATCTTGTATGCTGACTGTGTTCCAACACCCAATAATTCAATCTTGAACATCGACTTTGTCTCAACATCTAACCAAAATCAACAGCAAGGAACAGCCAAAGCAATAACCCTAAAGTCCCGAACATGAAGGTCTCCTGCAGTATTGGTAGAGTGAAGTGAATGAGATCCCGATCATCGTCCTTTATTTGTCGAGACCCGACTTGGTTGTAAGATCCTCCAGTGTCAACTGAGCATCAGTAGGCATGAGTATCATAGATAACCTCGATCACCTTGATCACTCTCAAATTGAAGACTGTGGGTGGAATTTGGGGCGCTCGCGGTGACTCATTAATGTTATCATCATCACTATCTACGTAGCTTCTATCCTCCATTCCTTTGTTAATCCTGACTCGAGCAAAACTCTGCATGTGATAACCACAAACAATAGGTTCTACTTGCTTGAGTAGACGCAACGAGCGGAGCAGTGGTACTCGTCTCAATCTGCTAAGTCCTCTCAAACAGCTCTTCCGAGTTCCATCCTGTGTGTCATAATCCTTCTCGCATGTGACCACATGAGCCAACAACGTCATTATGTTTTCGAAGCACACTGAGAATGTATCCTTGCTCACGAGTCCAGTTCCATATTGCCGCTTGACTTCCGAAATTGACCAGTCCGAGATGCCGAGCTGTCCGAGGCTTGTTGTTGTACAGCTGCGGCGTATGCTTGCTCAGCGCGAAGCCTGTTCTTGAGGATCACGTATGTCTCCGATTTCCCACCGTCATGGCGGGTGCACTCATCCGGATCCCAAGGAAAGGCAGGAATCTTCTCCTTACGCAAGCAAGTAACTGTAAAGTTAGTTAAGAAACAGAGAGTGCTCAGTAGACAAGTCACTTACAGGACAGTCTCCAGAGAATCTTGCTCACAATGTACTAACCCAAAAGTCTTCCCATTCTATTCAAGCGAAACCGATGGCTATGCCAGTTAGCTATGCAGCAACAAAGGCATGAAAGGTATCAAATTCCGAAGGTGCATGTGTCCTCCTCCAAATTCTCAACACAAAAGCCCTGACCCTAGAACAACCCTATAGCTCCGAATCGCTCGACGAACAAGCAGACGAAGAGAAGCCCGCGTTTGACGTCACGGCCGATCAAGGAGCACGCTGCAGAAGGTTTTGCGCGTTTTAGTCCCATCAGACGATGGTGAGCTCGAGGATGCACAGAGCCCGGCGTGCTTTGAAGAGGATGTCGAGAACCATCATACATCCGATGTCGAACGACTCGAAGATAACAGCGCTGTTGACTCTACTTTGGGCCAGTCTCAAGTTGAAACTGCCAGCCATCTGCAGTCCCCTCCCATCAACATTCTGAACATCATCGACAATAACAGACACCCGAAAGATAGGCCTCCATCCGACGTCCGAACGGGAACCACGTTATATGGGAAAAGGGAGTTTGATGACAACCAAGCCTGACTTACTCCGACGAAAGAAGCCCTGCGCGCGTACTGATGAAGATGATGGCGTTGGAGAGAGAGAAGTTACACACAGTGTGGTCGCCACAACCACCACTGATATTGGTCCAACACTCCAGCGCATGGCCGCCGAGGGCATCGCGCCCAAGAGGTAAATGAGACTCCTGAACACTAGACGGAAAGCTCAAAGTTCGATACACAAAATAAGTCCCCAATGAACTCAAGCCTATCCCATTTCGCCACCGTCTGACCTAACCTTCGCATCGTACAGATTCCCGAAACTCCATCTCAGCTACATCCGACATTAGGCGATACACCCTGACAAAACCCGGGGAGAATGCAATCATGGCATGTTGAACAAGGTCTCACAGACACAAAGACCCTCACAAGCTAACAGAGTCTAGATCGAATCTCTGGGGTATTACGATTGAGTATACCAAGATCTTGGTCTTGCGGACGGTTCAACACGCGTAACATCAACGGACAGCTCATTCCCACCCTCACTACAACTGCTTACCTTGCCATGGAGACGGTCATCTTCCGAAATGATCCGATGAAAGGACAAGTACTCTTCCATCGACGTCGCATTGCAGCGGAAGTGTTCCGTCTTCAGCGCGGTCTTGCCTTGCCGCAAAAGTTGGGGAATGGGGGAAACGCGTGGAGAGTCTTCTCGAAAGCATAAAAGTTCTACTGCATGAAGCGCGTATAGGATCCCATGTTGATGTAAAGAGGCAGGGTCTATGTTTGTGCCCATGTCCCATCAGCCCCTCTTGAGTCTGGGCCTTTGCGGTTATACTTGAGTACCGTTACATTGTGTCTCCGACATTTCCCATCCCTCATTTTCACCATCCCCTATGTTTTGACTGCTGTTTTGAAAGGAAGAATACGGGTCTAGATTGCAAGATGAGTATCGCAGGGAGGATTGTCAGACTTTGTGCAAGCTGACAAAATTTATCCTCACATCAACGTCTAAGAGACGACATCAAGATACCCTCATCTCCATACCCCAAGTTTTGACGTCTCCTCACCGTGGCGGCATCTTGGCGAGATCGTACGACCATCCTCCACAGAAACGCCCAGACTTTGCGGTTATCTTCGAAAGACCCCCAACGATTGGGCAGATAGCGTCCAGGGTAGCGTCTTGACTCAAACGCCCCGCGATTCTCCAAGCGACGAGGGTATACCCTTGTCATTGTTTGGATCGGACATATCGCCGAGACATGTCAAGCATGGGCGTATACTCCCCAACCTGAGAGCAAAGTTTTCACTTTGCTAATTGCAACATTCGCATCTTGGTGTTTGTCTTCATTTCGTATAACCCATGCAGACACAGATGCCTCCCAGCGCGCCCAAGTTTGACCCTCCTCGACTGTCAGAACGTCGGTCTCTAGCGAAAAATATTTCCCCAATTCAGAAATGTACCGGCGCCAAGGCGATTATTTCCCGAGTCAGCCACACCTCACTAGCTCCGCGATATCATCCCGCTAGGAAGATGATCGACTACCAAGAAGGAACAGAAGTGCCGTTTATCATTCATGGCAGGCAGACGCATGGACCAACGAGGTATTATTTCCATTCGTTCGTCATCTGCAGGTTTGAAATGTAACAAGACCCTTGTTCGTATAATGTAACATGGCTAATGTAGCTCTATCGCCAAGTGAGAGGACAAGAGATATAGTCGCTGGGCGCTTTACTCCAAAACTCCGCAATCAACTACAGCTCTTGGCATGGAGTCGAGAGAAGCTCTTATCTATACTTCCCCAGTGCGTACTCCAACGCCAAAGACGCCAAAAGAGTCTTTGCTACCTGGACAGCTAGAGCTCCAGACGTGGGTGTCGTGCCCCGTATTTTCCAGTGTAAGCTTAACGTGAGCCTTAAAACCCTAAACTGGATAAGCGTAAATTCTGGGGTCTAGCGTTGGAGGATCGGCAATTAATAGTGGACGTTGGAGGTTCTTCTGTTTCTCACACGACATGTTTTTGTGCCGGTTTGCCGAGTTGGAACAAGGCTGCCGTGTTGTGTACTCGGACTCTCCGCATTTGCTCACTCTGTTGGTTCAATTCCCATGAGCTAATGGCCTGAAACCCAACCAATTGTATTTCATGATTGAGCCAGATTGGAGGGAACCACAGCGTCATACTTTTGCAGTTGGATGAGGAACAACATCATCAATCTTGAGATCATAGTATCCTGCCCTCGGTAGCTATAGAGCAGACCGGAGAGCTTAACCACTTGGTGATAGTTCAAACCGACTTGAAGGCCGCTTATTCTCATCAGGCTCTCAAACGTCTTCCCCGCTAAGTAACCTCGTCAATAGCACCATCTCATTATCGCAACTCGTCTGCGGATCCGACATCACAATCTTCCTCCCCCACACTCTCACAATGAACAACCATGTCTCTCCGTTCTCATCCGTCCAATCCATCCAGCTGCGGGGGAATTCAAGGACGTGCACCCCCTCAAATTCTGTTAACGGGCATGATCCACTACAACTTCCCCAAACTCGACTGCCCACCCTCCCCACGTTTGCTGTGACCCCAGTGTTACGATGTGATACAACGGTGTAATGCAAAGGTATGGATCGGAGATAAAAGTCGTTATTCGGGTAGAGAATTTTGGCAGTGTTGTGCAGTGATCGGCAAGTGGGAGGTGGTACAGTTGCACCTGCCACGAGAAAGATAAAGATCCCCTCCTTCCTCCCTAAATTTCCAACCACCGCGCTTCCTTCTCTGGTCATCAACTCTCATCTCTTTGCAATTGAGTATTTTGAATTCAAAATGGTTCAACAGCCATCAGCAGGAGAATCCGCCGGCCCTGTGGTCAAAGGCGTCGTTCCTACAGCAAGCCAAGCCTTCAAGGACCTCTTCATCTGGAGGCAGCGCGTCGTCATCACAAATGAACATGGCGAAGAAACAACAGAATGGAGGGACCCCGATCCAATCCAGAACCCCATCAGCTTGATGGCTCAATTATCCGGCAAAGATTGGATCTTTTTCCTTGTCGGCTTCTGCGCCTGGACCGCTGATGCTTTCGACTTCCACGCCCTCTCAATCCAGACAAAGAAGCTGTCTCTCTACTATGACACCAGTAAAACCTCAATTACCACCGCCATCACCCTCACCCTACTCCTCCGCTCTGTCGGAGCAGCCATGTTTGGTCTCGCTGGTGACAAATGGGGACGCAAGTGGCCCATGGTCTTCAACATGATCATTCTTGGTGTTCTCCAAATCGCCACAATTTACAGCAGCACCTTCCAACAATTCCTCGCCGTGCGAAGTCTGTTCGGTCTGTTCATGGGTGGTGTCTACGGCAACGCCATCGCTATGGCTCTGGAACAGTGCCCGTAAGTCTCCAATGCCAAGTCTTGAACCGTTTTTATTCCCGTGCTAATAGCGTCTAGCTCCAACGCCAGAGGCTTAATGTCCGGCATTCTTCAGCAGGGGTACTCATTCGGCTACGTCTTGGCTGCATGCGCCAACCTTGGCGTTGGAGGCAGTACCGAAAGTTGGAAGACTGTCTTTTGGATTGCTGGTATGTTGATTTCCATCATTTCTGGATAATTGCTAACGATTGCAGCTGGCATTTCCATCGCCGTCGGTATCGTCCGAATGTTCTTCCCCGAATCCCAGCAATTCCTCGAAGCCCGCGCCAAGGGCAAGAAGTCTTCCTCACCAGGCGCCTTCTGGCAAGACTGCAAGAAGATGCTCCTCGCTGAATGGAAGATGTGCATTTACTGCTGCTTCCTCATGACCTGGTTCAACTACTACTCCCACACCTCCCAAGACTCCTACACCACCTTCATGCTCGAGCAGAAGGAACTGAACAACTCTGCCGCGTCTCGTGCTTCCATCCTCATGAAGACTGGCGCCTGTGTTGGCGGTACCATTATCGGTTACCTGAGTCAGTTTGTTGGCCGTCGACGTGCCATTATCGTCTCCGCCTTTATGTCTGCTCTTCTCATCCCAGCTTGGATCCTCCCTACGACTGAAAGAGGGTTAAGTTGCTCGGGATTTTTTATTCAATTTTTCGTGCAGGGCGCGTGGGGCGTGATCCCTATTCATCTCAACGAGCTCTCTCCTCCTGCCTTCCGATCTTCATTCCCTGGTGTCACTTACCAGATTGGCAACATGATATCATCCCCTTCAGCCCAGATCGTCAACGCCATCGCGGAAAAGACATTTATTACTCTCGGAAACGGCGACAAGGTCGAGGCATACGGGCCTGTCATGGGGGTAGCTACCGCTATCATTGCTCTCGGCATCATGTTTACTACTATGTTTGGCCCGGAGAAGCGTGGACGAGCTTTCGAACATGCAGTTGCTGGTGTTCAGAACGAGGAGCTTCCCCATCACCAAAAGAAGGATATTGAGACTGCTAGCGTTGAGCAGGTCGAGATGGACGAGAGGAAGAAGTCAAAGGAGGAGGTTTAAAGTAGTGGCGACAATGCTTGAATGTCGGTGTGATCCATATTGGAACAAGTAGCTAGCTGGGCGCGAACCCCTTGAATTCAATCTTGTTGACACAGCATCCATCCGTTCCAATGCCATAAGTACTTACACTTTATCAAAAAGCGGCAAATCCGGATTCCATACCCATGCGCATTTGCAATGATCAGGGTTTCTGCGAATGTTTTCTACACGTTGGAATCAAACAGTGCATTTTATGCCCAGCCGAAACCTTATATGATTAGGGCAAAGTCAAGAAAGAAAAGGTCATGTGAGCATTGGAGTTATAGTGCTTGCAGAGTGTAATTCAAGATGGAAATCTTATTAATAGGTTCCTTACACGCGTGCAGAGTAGAGTTTATTTCACCAGGATCGAGAGACAGAAATAGAACCTCATGGCTTAGGGGAAAATTCAAAGTATTCCCAACAATGCTTTGATGTAGTTGTTATTACTACCTCGGGATGTAGGCTCCCTTACATGCTGCCATTTCCGATATGTTCGCCCGCGTTGCCCCCTACCTACCTAGGTACCCTGTAGCTACTATGGGTGTCTAGTGAAACCAACACCCAGCCGCCTGACTGAGTCTTTCTCAATGACCCGCACAATGAAGCAACCTCCATGAACGTGGTCTTGCTGTTTGCACCACTCCTTACTCGCTGGGAACTCCACATTTCGGCCTTTATCCTCGACGTGGATAAGACAATACCATCGGTTCAGTGGCCCTAGGCCTTGGAACATCCGCAATTGTTTGTAGAGATGGTCGGAAGCCACGGTGCACCTAAGCCTCTGTAGAACGTGAAAGTCTAGGTACTCGTCGTCCAACAGGTTCAGACGATTGAGCCGTTTGAACAGAAGGGCTTCGTATGACCTGAAAATTTTCGGCTCTTGTGACAGATTTGGCGAACTGTCATTGTTTTCTCGACCTGCAGTGACGGTAGGAGCCAAGCTCTGTTTGGCAGACTGCGACTCCTCGAGCAGTCGTTTCTTTTCTTCGAGAAAGAGAACCTCTTTGGCCTGGAGCTCTTGCTGAGACGAACGCAGCTCTTCTCGAAGTTGCGCAGAGGCAAGGTTCTGAGCTTCCAAGGCTTCAGCATTTCGTCGCGCTTCCTCTTGGTGGGTAGTCTGCATCGTGCAGATATCTTGTCGTAGTACATCATTTTCCCGTAGAAGATCGACATATCTTCGCTCGTAGAACTCTCGGGTTGCATCTTGGAGTCGACTTGTACACGAATGGCCGTCTCTCCCGTGGGAGGTATCGCGGCTTCCGTCCCGTGGGCTGCTTGATCCGTATCGTTGGGGACTGTCATGCCTGGAGCGTCGGGTGTGGTCATCATTGCGTCGTCTGCTGCGGCTTCTGGACCGGTAGTGGTCTCGATCACGCTTTGGTCGAGAGGATCGCGAGCGATCGTGGCGCTCACGTCCTCTTGCCATAGTGGAGTTGCTTGTCGTTGATCGGAGCACAATCGTTTCTTGGGATAGATGAGAAGTCTGAGAAGAGGGGGTGAAAGGATGAGGAAAAAAGGGAGAGTAGAGAGAGAAAAACAACAAGGCTAAGAAAGATTTTAGTGTGTGCGTGCGATAATGCGTAGGTAGGTAGTTGGCACTGAATCACGTTGTCGGCTCCTGCCAGTGTCAACACCTGTCACTATCTGGCAGCAGAAAAGAGCCCTTGCGCCAGGCATCCCAGAAGGGCTGACCTCCACTGCAGAGATGGCCAAATAAGTCTCTATTACTCAGGCTATCGATAGGTAAGTATTTCGGGGTGGCTTGTATGTGAGTACCAGATGCGAGGCCAACATCCATCTCAGGGAGAACGCTGAGGAAGGCACCCGGTTGAGCCTTCCTTGTAAACCACCTGCACCAGGAACCAGCATAAGAGATGAACAGGTTTAAAGTGATGAAATTAAAGTTTCAAGTCGAATTTACCGAGCAAGGTCTTACTAGAACTTACTAAATGACCTCGAGATAGAGGCGGGCGGTATTTAGTCATTTTGAACTGAAGACGTCCATCTCCCGACATGTTGTACAACCACTCAGATAGATATAATGGATGAGACAACGCAACCTAGATTGAAAGTTAAATGATAAAGTTTTGGTGGCAAATTGAGACTCAAAGTGTTGCCTAAGTAGTATAAATAAAGTGGCCTTTCACCCATCTTATGAACTCTCCATCATCATCTCACTTTCATCCAACAACCTTACCATGCAATCTCAACACCCCTACCAAGCCGGATGGGCTAACCACAGCCAAAATGCCTACCCCGAGATGGACGCTCGCGCAAGCGAACAACAATTTGTCAACAACAAAGCCATGGAGCTTGTCGCCAAATCCCTAGACGCCTATTACACAGCGAGTGCGCTAGCCCAGTCCGTGGAGACGATGACGGCAAGGATGCAGATCAACGAGAGTAACGGTCTTGACAGACACAAGGCCGACTTCGATGCACTGATGGCTTGGGCTATCGAAGAGAAGCCCGCGTTTGTCAAAATGCTGACAGCTTTGGGCGATGAGCTCCCACCGAAGATGGCGGCGGCGCTGCACAAGCTCCATCGCGACGCACCACTGCGTCAACCGTATAAGCCCGAGAAGACGGTAAGAAATATCTAAGAAGTCTTATGAGAGACACTCAGCTTACAGAATCAGGCCGCGTCTATACAAGAGGAGCTCAACAGGAAAATTGCAAAGGTCCTAGGGCGGGATAACGAGCGGCCCGAAGAAAAGCTGTCGATGGCCGACAGCACTATAGATTCAACAGAGCGGCTCCAAGAAAAGCTGTCGACGGCCGAAAACACTATAGAATCATTGAAGAAAGACCTCGCCAAGGCAAAGGCTGACTCTGCCCGACAAGCTGAAGAACTAGCTCAGGAGAAGAAAATTTCACGCTGGCAAGGGGAGAGGATTGTTGAATTCCTAGACGCACTCGCTGATATCGAGGAGATGTCCGAGGAGAGCTGCCGACACTCTCGTGCTGCGATCAACATACCCACGACGACAACGACGGCAACATCTCCCTCTGCAACTCCAGCAAGCCCCAATAGACGAGCTCTCTGATCTTTGGAACTAATGGGCTCCTACAATTCGGCGGCAATGTGTCTCTGTTCTGTCCTCGGGGAAGGACAGGAATTACAGCGATAACACAACGAGATGACACTACAGTGGGGTCCACGATATAGATTAGAATTTGAGTTCAATGCGATGACTACGCACAATGGTTAGCAGTGTAGAGCGCATAGAGCTTGAATTGAACCTAGAAGAGCAGGAGTGGGTTTGTCAAAGTCTAGTCTGGATTGTTAGAATCCACTCTGTTATCTTGTACTTTGCCTGCCAGAGAATTCCATCGAGAAAAGAGAAGACAATGTTTGTGTGTACGCGGTATGGTAGAGCAACTGTGACTGATCTTGTTTAACTGCCGAATCGATGTCCACAGTCTTGACTTTGGCTCTATGAGAGCCGAAGGGAAGATTTGACTGCTCGCAAAGCCCCTGATGGTAGGCCAGTTCATCTTCCGGATACTGTAAAGTGGCGATTCAGATGTGGTTGGGTAAAGGTTACTAAGGCTACAGAATAGGGGTTTAAACAAGCGAGTCGGTTGTCTCGACGTTGCGTCTTCTGGGTTTCCTGTCTCCTATCATGCATTGACTGCTGATGTGATAACAAGACTTGACTGTAATCAAGATAGCATGGATACTAGTCCCAGCTGGCATAAGGTGACTTACTCAGCTGGATCGATAATTCAAGGTCATGATTTTGCCTTTTCAATGTCTACAGTGACTTGCTGAGTTCTGAAGACAAGTGTTTGTACATTAACCTAAAGTACGATGTATTGATATGGATCGTATCCCCCTTGCTGAGTTCCGAGTGCCGTGAATGTCAGTACATCCTCTTTCAGCCTTTTACCACCTCCGATCTTGCTACAGCTATAGATAAAGGTATCTGGGACAAAATGATTGATCCAAGATTGCGACTGGCACCAGGCTTGCTCGCAGTCAAGTGAGTAGATTTTGGGTGTTGGTAGTGCCAGGTAGCTGCTCAAGTTCGTTGATGCCATGGCCTACCTACTGGGTAATTAAATACGTAAACATGCCCAGTCAAAGTCGGACAAGTTACCAACACATCGTTCCAACGCCACGTCTAAGCGTCGTGGGAGACCCCCAAAGAATGCCCAGGCTGTCGAAGGAGCATATGGACCGCGAACCAGAGGTGCACTCTTACGAGGGATAGTGTTCAGCGATGAAGACGACGATGATGTCGAAGTGGATAATAGAGAGGGTTCGTATTTTCAACCTTAAAGAGAGCAAGAACAGCTGCTAGATGGATCCCAAGTGAAAGAGAAGAGCAATAAGCTAGTAATAAGATAAAAGCACAGTGCTATAGTGCGCTAGAGTCTGTAATTTCAAGCAATAAGAAGAAGCCTCAAATGAACAAAGAGTCTATGGAGTTGCGCAGCTATCTCTTCTACTCCAATAACTACCAGGTAACTGGACTTTGTACGGATAGTATAGAAAGCCAGGTTGCTCAGATGTAAGTAATATACTTCGAGACCACGGCACTAGACAAGATGCACAGCTCAGGTCGTTCGATTAAGTTTCACTATAACAACGACGACAACAATAAGACTATGTATCAAGATGATATTTATGCCAGTCTTATAGTCCCACAACTTCTGTAACAAGTTATATTAACTCTTTACACACCAGCCTTTTAAAAGCAAAGAATACTATTATCTACTATTCTTATTATTAAATAAGTAGTAATTATTTAATTAAATACAAAGAGGGAATTTAAAATAGTAATTAGTAAATAATAGCTTATATTATATATTTTAATAAAAGTAAAAGAATTAATTAATTTTAAATATAAATATATTTTCCTGAGAAAATAATAAATTATAAATAATATTTATAATTTATTAGTTTCTTAGTATTTAGTATTTATTTTTTAAAAAATATTAATATTTATTATTAGTATAAGGCTATCTAGACAGGGACAGTTCGTTAAAGGGTGCTAAGGAGACCGTATGGAAAATAAATCCCCGGTATTAAATAAGGCAGACCGTAGTAAGCGTCAACTCGTCGGTCGATGCTGCAACGGCTGTAAGGTCTTTACAGGATCAGCCTCCATATCGAAGGTTCCCTACGAGCCAAGGTAGTGTCATCTACCACCGAAGGTCAGACGACCGGATGACTTGGTAAAGTTGAGAGTACTACTGATATCCCATTCATCTAGTTTGTTGGAAGCGCTGGAGCGTCAGAGCATCCACAAATCTACGTAAAAGTGTAACTGCGTATCCAAAGCTGGATCGTTAAACAGGCGTGAGCTACCAAGGCATGTCAAAGGAGGTGCATGTTGCCTCGATGAGTCTAGGGGCCGATGGGGTTTGAGGGCTCGAAAGAGCTCAAACAAATTCATCTAGATAGTAAGAATTTGGGAAGTCACTGTAAATACTAGAAAGGCAGAATCAAAACGATCTCCAACCGTCCCTTACTCTCAGGGCTCATATATTGTCATACTGCCTCTTCGGGCATACAGTCCATCTAGAACTACCTACACGGGAAACCTATCAGACCGAAGGTTGGGGAAAACCGGCAAGCGAAACAAAACCCCTCCTTCTTTGCAGTCTGTGGTAACCCTTCTCAGTCATCCGTCCATCCGTCCGTCCCGGCCCAGTCGCCGTGGTATCTACTTGTCTTCCGTCTCGATCGATCGGTCGGTCTTGATTAAGGCGCTTGGCCAACATGAGCGGCGTTGAGGAGTTCGGAATTCGTCCCGGTCTTGCGCCAGGCACAAATGGCTTTCGATCAAATACTGTCTCGACTTACCGATGGTATCCTCTCTCTCCGCCGCATGTGTTTGGTCGGAACTCCCTGGGCAGGAGCTTTTCAATCAGCCATCTGCATATTGCACAGCACCTTGCTGACCGCATCGGTGCCGTTCGTCACTAAACTCGCCTTGCGGCGTCCCATATCTGATCAGCATTCCTTGGGCGGGTTCCTCTTAATCGGTTACCCGCGACAGCACCTTACGTACCTGTATCGGCGCTGTTGAATAAGAAACCTGAAATGTGCCAAGCTACAAGTAGCAGGGCAGACTGCTCAGTGCCCAAAAAGGGCAGGGCACCTTAGTTTCTTGCTTCGGCCTCGTAGCCATGTCGATACAGCTCTTGTGGGCCTGCTTGCCAGAAGTCTAGTGACCCAAGTAGTTGACCACAGAATACATAACTGGCAATCCCATTTGCCACTCCTCAACTAAATGGCAGTCTTCCCTCGAAGGGATAGTACCCCATCCAAAGCTGGCCATGCCAATGGCTCCATGGTAGAATGAGGCTCCCAGCCTTCTCCTACAGCTTCACCGTTAAATTGGTGACTTGACTTCAGCCTTGGGCTTCCCGGTCTTGAATAGCCTGCGAATCCGTACCACCCTGAGATAGACGGTGGGCCAGTCGGTCCAAAAACGCGTCGGCTTCCTCGAAACAGTTCTCACTCCCCTCTTCAGTCTTGATCGCAGGTTCCTCAACCTCATCCCAATACTCGGACTCCTCCTCCTCAGTCTTGATTGGAGGCTCCTCAAACTCATCGGAATCCTCATCCCAATCCTCAGAGTCCTCTTCCTCAGCTTTGACCCGAGGTTCCTCAACCATACCGACACCCTCCTCCTCGGCCTCCCTTCTTGGCCTGCTTCGTCTTCCCCTGTTCCTTCGTCCTCGCCTCCGACGACGATCCAGGGGTTGGCTGTAGCCCCGATCGTCGTCTTGATAGCCTCCTTGGCCATTCATCCCCTGATCCTGCATCTGATATGCCCCCGCTGGAGGCGGATGAAACCCCGGTGGTTGTTGGGGAAAGCCATAACCTGGAGGCTGTATCGGTGGCCCAGGCATCCAGTTCGGCGGCGGCGGTGGAAAATATCCAAACGGGACACCAGGCGGGTAATTGATACCGCCAAAGCCCATTGGCATCGGTCCCATTGGGGCCGGGGGGTATCCTATTCCCGGAGGGACTCCATATGGCGGAAACCCAGGCCCAGGATAACTCATCGGTACCTGTGGGGGCCCTTGCCAATTCCAGTTTCCATTTCCCTGACCGGGGTGGACGGGTGGAGGAATGTGAGCATTACCTCTCCCGTGTCCATTCCCATAGGCCTCAGAACCACCGTGGTGAGCAGCTTCATTTCCAGGTTCACCTCTCCCGACACCAGTCCCACGTCTACTCCCACCTCCGCCTCTCCAAGGCGCTCCAGAACCACCGCGACGAACAGCACCTCGTCCACGGCCACCTCTGTTTCCGCCTCTCTCAGGCGCCTCAGAAGCACCGCTATGCGTGGGACCCCGTCCTCGGCCACGGCCACCTCCACCTCGACCTCCTCCATCACCACTGCGATGCGAATGCGCTCGCTCGCTGGCGGGGTTGTAGCGACCACCGCCTTTACTACTTCCTCCCTTGTGATTCGCCATTTTTTTCTGATCTTCGAGATAGGAAGGTTAGCGTTTGAAGAAGAGGATTGAAAATTGCGTGAACTTACCACTGGAAGGTGTTGGTGAATTTGCGAAGAAAAAGAGGGGGAGGAAAGTTCTCCTTAGTGGGATTTTGCCTGGACACGAAGGCTGCGGCAAGTGCTAGGCTGCTGTCAGTGCCCGCATGGTCGTGCTTTCCGGGTCTTGACAGCGGGTGACAGCTACTCAACTGAAACGCCAGGATCTTTATAGCGTCCCTTGACAAGACCTTCTCGTTCATCTGTTATGTATACCAATTGGCAGTCTACAAGAAGATCAAGATGCGTGGCCTGTGATATTGGTCACTGATTATGACGAAGAAAAATAGTTCTTGTCGTCCTCACGCTTTCTAAATGGACGTCCTACGTAGTTCCGAACATTGTAAACATGTGAAATATTAAAGATCAGTAGAGTCTATCCATGTATGTCGACTTTGGCTAGGAAGGACCTGTCCTGTTTGGTAGTATTACCTAGGTACAGATAAAGTGCTCCAGAGAAGGTAGTATTTCATGAATTTAGCACGATGCAATAAATATTACTTAAAGATCTACCTAGTAATAGCCTCATATTAAAGACAGGACTGACCCAAGTCTCTGCAGGAAACAGGAATTAAAAGGATGCAAAGTAATTATAACTAGAAAAAGAGAAACCACTACTCTAAAGGAGGAATTAAATACTATATTTAAAATTAAATTATTATTTCTTAGAGTTTTATATAATAAAGTTGCAAAGGAAATCTTTAGTATTATATAATACTTATATATTATACTATAAGTGTTAGTAAAGATGTAATATAATAAGATAGAAAAACAGCTAGTATACGTAAAAAAGTCCTCGAGAGCAGCTGAATACAGTAAGATGAGTCTATTGACATACAGCACATTTAAATTCACTTCAGCTCTTACAAGCACTTTAACAATAAGTCATGGAGCTGTTCTGACGGAAGGCAGACTGTGGTAACTTCCAGTCTGCGCACCATTGCCTAACCTTATACATAGACTAACAGACTTCTAGACGGGACGGAACTGGAGCAAGATAACGTTGGCTCCCCATCCTGATGTGAGATATCAATGCTATTTCAGTACCTATGGACCGACAAGATTGTCATGTAGCCCGCAAGCTTGAAGATCTTCTCATGCTCTTTCTGGCGATTGGAATCGCAACATCAGGATCTCATGAACATTCCAAACGACAACTTGACCACTGTACAACGCAAACAGCAGCGTTACATGATTAATCAAGGCCCCTAGTAGTTCTAGTAACTCTATGGATTCTGCCCGGGATGATCAAAAGTAAGTTGCAGATGGTATGTAGACTGGATTTGCTGAAAGGAAGAAGCGGTTTGGATTTGGGAGCCGATTGTCCATAACCTTGGGCATGAACGTTTCTTTCGTTCAGCTTCACGCAGATCTTGTCCTACTTTCACGAGCAATGTTCTTCCCTGGGGAAGAGGACTTATCCCAAAGGATCTGGGTGGACTGGCGAGCTGAATTTTAGCAGAGGACGGCTGTAGAGCTTCAGTAGTGATTGATTGCAGTGTAGGTAATCGCGGTTGAGATGGGGATGGTTGCTAGTTGGGAAATAATGGACGTTTGCCATTGATTGTGCTGTCCTGTACCCGAACTTGTTGTTGTGACATGTTGAAATTGAAGCAGCTCATGGTCTGTTGATAACCATAATTGATAACTGTTCTCTTACACAGGTAGTATAATGCTGCTTTGGCGGGTGCAACCATCCGATTGGCAAACAGGTTTGGTCAGCATTACCACCCTTCTGTCTCAATACACCTCCCCCCACTTGGGGAACCTACCTTTCTTTTCACTTAACATCCAAAAGCGCCAAATGATACATCCAAACCTTGGGAAAACGACATACAGTAAGGGATGTGTTATGCCTACCACTGCCTACCCTGGAGGTATAACCAACGATCGTCAAATCCGATCGCGATCCAGCACCACGATTCTTTCGCAGAACTTGGGTCTTCACCTCTTACCTACCTTCTATAGGTTGGGACCAGACATGAGCCACGACCCTTTGGTACGAAGAAAATCCAGTCTTGGTCCCAAGAGGCTAATGTTCGAACCTTCCGGCACCGTTTTCACATTTACTTTCACCGTCCTTGTTGCGCGAGCTACGAGCGCATGTTGACCGGTATGTCGACGAGCGCGGCCTTTGTCAAGATTTGGTTAGAGGACATTGAAGAAATTAGAACAGAGGTCTGTCTGATCGAAGAACCTAATAACTACGCCAAAGCAATTCGAACGCATCGACCTTTAGTGATAGACTTTCCTCAAAGACAGTCTTCCCTGATCACCATCAACATCCTTCGAAACCAAGGAATACTTTACAGCTGACCTTTTGCCTTCTTTAACCACGCGAATGTTCAACTTGACATTTGACGAGAGCTGCCCAGATAAGGACGCTCCTTGCAAGAGTTCCAGGCTTTCACGATCGATACCAGCGAGTATAGCTGTCATACCGAATCCGTTCTCGATAGGGACAGAATATAAAAGCCATCGGGATGTTAATATGACCAACAAAAGAAGCGGTTGGACTGTTATCACGGCATATAACCAGGGTGACTTCCGCAGTGTGGGTCGAACGTGTTCGATCAATTTGAGACCTTCATACTCCAAACCACCTGCAATGGTGATGTCTGACCACACCATAGCGGAGACAGCCGTAGCGGACGAAACAGCGGACCAGGGCAATTGACCGCGAAACTCAAACAGGGGCGCAGTAAGTTCAGTTACCGAGTGCATGTACCAGTTTCTATATGTCAGTTCATTGACATTTATGACCTTGCCCGACTCGTGGTAATTGCCACCGCAGACTCCTCCTTGTAGCTCTACGGAGCGACGAGTGACCGACCAGGTTACCCGACAGCTGTTCTTGGAGACATCGAATTGCTCACAGGTTGAGGACATCTGCGCACAGTCGACAAGGGTGGATTCTTGTACAAGACATAGGTAAACGACATGTCGAGACCTGTTTTCGGGTACAGGGCCGCTGATCAGACGCACGACTGAGCCAGTACTCATCGGATTTGTTGAGGTATCATTCCTGTATCGAGACCGACCACAGGCGTCCATGAACGTTTCATTCCATCTCTGCGGATGCGTTGACTTTTGCCGGCTGAGAGTGGCTACGACGCCGGCAACATCCACGGTTATCCTCCAAGACTCCTCGTTGGTGAGAATATCTTGAGCCTTGGCAAGCAAGTCTGGAGAAGGCGTGTCAAGTACGGCGGCAGTTCTGTTGTCGAGGACTAGCGTGTTGATGCCATAAGGGTTTGGACTGTGCGACAGTGACTCTTCATCTTGGGAAGACGACCCGGTCGTGGCTGTGATGTAAGGCAATGTGATGTTGAAGAACAGTGCAATTTGAGCACCGGCCCGACGTGGCCCGAGCAGATTATGATGACCAAAACTGACGTTAGCAAGTTCATACTCTTTTACAGGGACAATCCGCGAGCTTTCACCGCCTGCGAAGCTCTTATATGCGACACTGAGACCAAGAGGCAGTGCTATCATACCAGCCAGCATGAGTCTCCAATATACTGGAATATTGGGACCCATGGGCGCATTTCTCAAAATCGCGTCGTAGGTTTGGAGATAAGAAGAGCCTCGGTGTGCTTCGATCAGGATGAAAAAGGTCGGTACCACGGTTGAAAGACACAAGCTCATGATGCTGAGTAGGAACCCCAGAATGATCAATTGATAGGCTCCTCGACCTAGCTGCCAGGATAGGTCTTCATGGGCAACAGACGCCAACCCAGCTGCCATACAGGTAACAGAGACTATGGCAGCTGTGAGGTTGATAATTGTAAGCCTTCTCTTGGTTCTCGGTATACCGACAGCCGTCTTCGGCTCCTTCGAGATACCCGCGGTTTCTTCGATGATGCTGCCCTGAGCCAAAAGCCCACGAAACTGAGGCGTGTCTGAGTCATCCTTAGCCTTCGTATTCGCAGGTTGTTCTTCGATGGTCACATCTTGCGCCAAAAGCCCGCGAAACTTGGGCGTGTTCGAATCATCACTATCTTTAACGATCGCAGATGGTTCCGATAGAAGCCCGCGACGGTCGGATAAATCTTCCTGCTCATGGTCGCCAGGGGTCGGCCATTGTATCGAAGTGAGGAAAGGCTTTGAAGGGTCGCTGAGCATATTGAAATAACCGCGAAACTCATGGTCGTCAGACCTTTGAGATTGGCCTGGCTGCTTCTGCCCTTTTGCCGATGGTCCTAAGGACTGATAAGGTCGGAATGTCCTTTTGTTTGACATTTCCGGCATCGAAGATTGACTAAGAAATTGGCGGTTAACTGAGATGGAGATTGCGGCGAAAAGGTGTCATTTAAGGCTGCAGCTGCCATCAAATAAAGTACGATCGACATGTTGGTCTCCTGCAAATTTGAGGTCAGCTCAGCTCATGCAGCCACTCCGAGAATGGCCAATGAGGCCTTTCTAACCAGAGGTAGGCTGTGAGAGCTTCATATTGCCAGCGCTTAGCCGCATTGCTCGACCACATGCATCGGTAGAACAAGCCTCAAGCCAAAAGAAATTGAGGACGGTTTGACAAAATGCCATGCGAAAGAGCCCCGTACATGCAGCCACTTGACCCAAGAGGGTATTTGGGCTATGTTTAGACTCGGCTGCATGTACAACCTCAGAGCCTGATTGCTAAAAATGGGCAGTGGAAACATTTCAACGCCTGAAACCCCGCGACCTCTTGATCAGTGTTCAAGGCAACGTACGGTGCTCGGTGTACCTGGTCCAGCTCGTGGCATCGCTAAGCACGATCTACTAGAGGGCACTTACCGACAGATGTTTCATGTTATGGTGTATCGTGGCTCCTGAATGATCCTTTCGAGCTCTCGAAGATCCTCTTCACAATTGGAGCAAGGACACTGCAGCAGCTCTTGAAAGTCAGGGCGAGTTCCACCAAGAGTCTCCTGGACCTTCTCCCACGAACTCATCCGTGGATCAACAGGCCTCATCCAAAAGACGCCGAGCTCCATGGCATCTGTAGCCCAGATTCGAAGGTCTGGGGTGTTCAATACCGAGATACCAAACTCTGGTGTCCAGGGATACCCGGTCTCGATCGTAGGGCCCTTGAAGTACTTGTAGACATACAAGCTAAAATACCAACATTTGGTCGCCAGCAGAGGCGGCATGTTGGCACGGTTGGAGATAAAGAGATCGAGTATGTCGTCTTTGTGCATTTTATCAAGGCCTCGGCAGTCATCGGTCTGGTGAGTCCATGTGTTGCATAAGGCACAACCATGGACGTAGCCATCGGATCTTGGGATCATGCATTTTGCAATTGTGTGCCCCAAGCGTGTACAATTTCTACATTGTACCGGGCTACGCCTCCGAGCGAAACGATTAGGAGGTCCCCATGCAGGGTAGTCGACCTCGTCCTTATGTGGTTGCGGCTCGAAGTTGGGGTTGGGCTGGTAGGGCATCGTGGTGATATGTCCCGAGGTTGATTCGAAGAGAAGATGGGAAGGTGAAGCGAGAAAGGAACAGAAGGGGGTGGTCTTTAAATATGGAAAGCCGCCTGAAAGCCAAATAGTCCAACGCTGTATATCTAGAGCTCAAAGCGCATGAGATAAACCTTAGACCTTACTGAAGTGCAAAGACAATGTCCGGTAGGTTAGATGGATCATGGTTTGGGAAGATGCTTTGAGCTGAACAAATGGATGATAGCGAAGCAGGTGGTATGTGTCCCAGAGATTAATCTTTCGAACGGGACATTTTCATCGATCATGGGAAGTCTCAAGCCATTCTGTGGTGTGGTCTGTATTTCAGCAACGAGGGAGACACTCGTCTACAATGTTGATTGTATTTACATTTACAAGCAGAACAAGACAAACATCCGCACAAGTCCATCAACCTCGAAAAGAGTTTTTTTTAGTTCCCATGCTTATTACAAAGCCTTCACTGCGTTCGGATCGTCTTTTCTCGGAGATCCTAGAGTGTGCAATCGGCCGGCCGTCGCATGATGCTGATATAAAAGGTCTATCATTAGAGTCAGCGTTATCCCAGTCATGGTCAGTATTATCTCGAACATACTCGTTTTGAAGCAGGTGGTGGTTTCAAATCACCGATTGCCGGCAATGATGAAGCTCACTACCGTGGTGGGCACCATTCTGAAGACTTGGACCAACCCTTCACAGAAATCGGTGGTCCCAGAGACAACACCACTCCAGCCATGCACCCAAGAATATGCGTTTCTCAAAGGCTCTGCATCAGCGGGAATAGCGTCCGTTATGCTGACAGGATTAAATAGTTGTATCAGGCCGGCATCCAATGGGACTTGAGTGGTCCCAGACCCTCTGGCGTGCTTTGCGGCGAAGAAAAAAGTTAGTTCCTCCCGAGGAATCAGGTGGTAAACGTTCGTGAGACTGTTCTCATTGTCGGTAACTCCCGCCCATCCATAGTTTACGCCATGAAGCCTGGTCATGATGTTGACTTCTGGGTCACAAGGTTGAGCGCGCGTGATTTCGAATACTCGGGAACCTGGAGTTGCGGTGGGTGGCGAGTGGAAGGCTAAAAGAGAGTCGACAAGTTTGAGATTAATATGCTGAGTCGGCTCTTGTTGCGGAGAGTTTCGATCTTGGTTTCGTCGTGATTCACGAAACCTCTCAGCGCGGGCGCGGTTGCGAAGACGACGTCGATGAACTGACATTTTCGTACGGTTGCGATGTGTGCTAAAACGAAAAAGGTAGAGTAAATGGTGTTGAAGGAATTCAAGATTGTTTAATCTGAATGGATATGGAGTTTGTATTTCGGTGCGTGCAAATGCATCTGTTTGTTTTTGTTCGGTCGGGGCACTGGCTTGTCACTGTCGACGATTGCGACCACCACTCAATGCATGCATCCTTTACAACCAACAGTTTGTTCACCCAATATTATTCAAAGTCCTCAATACCGAGTTTCCCTCCGACATTCAACACAACGGACAGTCTTTCGATAAAGCCGATCATGGACGGCCACGCCAGCCAGCAACCCCCATCGCAGACCGTCAGAGGCGATGATGCTGCTCAATCTCGGCGCTCAGAACATGAGCCCGGCAGCACAAAGAGACGTGGGCGACCTCGCGGATCTAAGAACAAGCCCAGGGATACAGCTCCCCAGAGTGAGGGGCTCCAGCTCCGGAACAGGGCTGTTCTTCCTGTACCGCAGCATGAATCCCACGCCAACGGCGACGATGCTCAAGATGATCAAGCCATCCACGAGAGTGGAAGCGAACACGATGACTATGCCTCTGAGGAAAAAAGTATCGATTTACACAAGAAGACGTTTCGGGAGGGCATGCAGAAAATGGCGCGAGCCATTAAGGATTTGAGTCCTATCACGAGAGAGACTTTGGAATCTCAACGTCTGCTCTCTCCTTCGGGTGGTGGCGGAGTGACAGCTATCTTGGACCAGACCAGCGAGGAACATTTCGACGGGGCCTGGGAATGCAGTGTGGAAAAAGCAGCCATAGATCATTACCCAGGCCGTGCGAACACTTTCCTATCAGTGTGGAGGCTGTCTCTGCGACTCTTTGGAGTCGACCCCTTGACTCTTGTTTCCCTGCACCAAGACGTCAAATTCGACAACAGCGCTAGCGACCCTTTCGAGCACCTTGGCGAGACGAAAAGAAACCCTCTCTGGACGATTGACTTTTGTAAACGCCTCGAGCTGATCATGGTACATCCTCTTTTCTCAGACGAGAACGCCTTCAGGTTCATTCCTATCATCATTCGATGGGCCGTGATTTGCAGGGCGGACGACGGCCAAGGCTTCACCGATAAGCAACATCGTCTCCTTGACGATTTCCACTGCGGCGACCTCCGCCCTGCAAATGGTCTTGGGGTGGTGGTCGAGCGCTTCCTCGAACATCAGCGCATGCGAAAGGACGACGGGCTGGTTGTATCGAGGCAGGCGAAGTTGATGTGCCTCGTCGCTGGTCTTGCGAAGACTACCGAAGAACCGTCGGAAACGGACGTCACCCGGGTCAAGACTCGAGATTTGTCAATCATCGTCAAGGCCCTAGATACCTTGGAGAATGGTACAATGACAACTTCCTGTGAGATGTACCATCTGATATACTCTACCTGTCAAGACCCGCGAGGCTATCCGACGGGGATGGTTGGATTGCTAGAGGCTTACAAAATGTCTTGGATCAAGCTTCAGCGACGCAAAACCTCCGACCGAATCCGATCAGACACAGACATCCCTGGAGGAAGACCAGGTGAGCTCAGTGTTGGCTGTGCTGAAGAGAGAGCCTCCGCAATGGCAGACCACGATACCGTCAGCGAAGGGCGCAACGGCCGAGTCTCGGAGACCAGTAGCAAGTCTGCCCGAACTGTCATTTATCACCGCAACCGATCACCGTCCATCCTCGAAGATGGTGAAGTCGACGAGGGCACTGAGCCACCCGTCCCCAGCCTGACGGGTAACGATTACATCCACGAGTCCCGAAGATGCTTGATTGGAAGTCGCCAGGGTGCAGAACCCGTTGTTGCCAGCGATGCCGACGACCAGCACCTGCATGAATCTCGACGGAGCCTCATTGGACGCAATCGTGGTCCAGCGAGTATCTCTCGGAATATCCCTGGGGACCCTCCTATGAATGACAACAAGTCATTCTTGAATCAGGGTACCGTTCAAACTGGCCCCTTGGCGGGGGCAATCATGTCAGGCTTCGGAAGCAACACGAGACACGCTGGTGTTGATGCCCAAGGAATGGTCAACCCCGCCACTGTCAAAAGGGAACCGAATCAAGACTTGGAACAAGAAGAAGAGTCGAGCTTTGTCGACATCGACAAAGTTTTTGGTGGAGCTAATGGCCATCGGACAGCAGGGCCGTCAGCCACGTCTAACAGGGTTAACGAACCAGCGATGCGGCCAAATCAAGCCCGAAAAAGACCGTCCCGAGGTCATCGCGAACAGAGGCCGCCGAAAAGGCAGAATACCCAAGGGGCTCATCATGGGCAAAGCCAACAGGCGGGGGGCAGAGACAAGAACACCGGTCGTGGGAAGAATGGTGCAGGTCACCAGGGAGGGTTCCAGGCACCACCGACTCAACCGCCGAACGGTCCAAGAGCTTGGAGATTGGAGCAGAGATTCAAGGGGAAGTAAAGCTCGAGTAACGAAAAGTGGAAGTTTGGACTTGTTTTCATTGTAGACGTTGTGGAGTTTTGGCTTTTGTTTGGGTGTCTTTCGGCCAAGGTGCCTGCCTTAGAAGGAGTGGCTGCCCAGTTCTCTTCGAGTCAATGTTCTTTCCCAATCATCATCATCTTTTGGGTCCAACTTGCCAAATCCAAACCTTGTCTCTTGTCTCTGATGCCTTCAATATGAACACGTGAAATCAAAGCTATTGCTGTTCACTCCCCATGTTTTCGTCACGTCAAGCAACTCTGAACTTGCAACACCGTCAAGATGTCACCAGTGAGTCAACGATATCCTTTCCTCGCACAACACCCTTCTATCTCAGCCATATCATGCAAGATCATGGCTTTATACAGTTCGTTGCATTCTGACCCGTCCCACTCGTTGCCACCTTACATTCAGACGAGAAGGTTCCGACAAGGTTACACTCCAAGATCATGATTGGAATAGGAGAGCCTTTGCTCTGAACATTCACCCTGCCAAGTGGTCAACCGACGAGTTGTCGTTTAAGGCTTAGGCTTCTACAATAATGTGGTCTAAGTGCTAGTCTAAGTTATTTCGTCTCTTATGCCAATAGGGGCCACTTCTCTTCTGACGCCTTCTCGATATTGGCTTTGCGTGGGGCATGATGTCAACTTCTCTCTTGACCCCTTCTTCTCGAGATCTTCTCCTCTCACATATACGCCACCAAACCATCTCCCACGTCTCACACGGATGCTGATCACTGACCATCATAAGACCTCTTTCGATCATACCGAGAGTCATGAAGAGTCGGGCGACAACACAAACATCAAGGCCGCATCAGTGTCATCGGAAGCGTCTACATCTGACCGCCAGCTCGAGACCGCTGCCACATCAGCGTCGCCCGAAGCCATTCCACCAGGCGATTCCGATCTTCAGGTTTTCAAGGTAGAGATCCCGTCACGCGACGAAGGAGAGCACGAGGAGATCTTTGAGATGGATGAGGATGTGATCGGTCCAGGTCCAGTTCCAGTCAACACTAATAATGCTGAGGATATCGATGAGGACGACATCGACGCATATATTGCTGAAGAGAATGAAAATCGTGTGGGCCAGCAAGAGAATACGATTATGAGGCTTGAGCAACAGATCGTACTACTTTGCCAGCAAAGGGATGAACTGCGAAAGGTCTTGGACATGGCTATGCTAGAAGCCACCGGAACGCCCCGCACTTTGATGAGTCGCGAGAACCAGCCTTTAGTCGGTCTTCTTACCCGTGCGTTGCAATTGCTTGACGAGAATGACGAGATTGAAGGATAGGCCTGTTCGAAAAGGGGATGTACAGATGAAGGGATCATATGACTTAGGCATTCTTAGGCACTCAAGATTAGACGAGACTATCACAAGCTTTATGCTGGGCAGCCTAATACAAGTCTAAAAACTCAATTATACCACCTCTTACACTGTCGAAGACTTCCTCTCATACCTCCCTGCCTGTTAGTTGATCAATGTGAAGAGTAGAGAAAGTGGAGAGGCAGGTGGGTGGTGGGTGTCAGAAGAAATATCCTCCAAGACTTAGGCTACAGAAATAAAGTCGCCTAAATGCTACCCTAAACTGGCATAAGGTCACAAATTATTTCGTCTCTTATGCTCTCCAGGGCCAATTCTTATGACACCTTGAGAAGGGGCTCAGTGATATGACACCATAGGATCAGATCGATTTGTAGACAGATGCTTTTAGATACAGGTTCCATCCATAGTCATAAACCACATTGCCTATCCTTCGATCCATCCCGTGAAGCTGTTATCCGACAGCTGAAATACCAAAACAAGCAGCCGTTCAGTCCAACATCAGATACCCTTTCATTGATCTCACTGCCTCATACATAGTCCAGCCCAATATTCATCTCCTGCTAGCCCACAGGCGCTCAGGTGTTGATACTAAACCCTCCGTCTCTGTCTGTTGGGAGTCAGTAACTGGTCGAAGATAGGAGAGTTCCATACATACTTCGGAAGATCTGCACACCAGGTGGAAGGTGAGAATTCTGGCGGCCGGTAAGGGCATTCCAGCGGATGTTGTCCACCTCAGTGAAAAGGAACTCGTGCTTCTCGGTCTTTGGTGCGACGCTAAACATGACGCCACCCACGGGAGCAGACGGATTCATAGCCTTGACATGTCGGTAGGCCTGCAGAAGGGTCTCTTCGCTATCCACACGGAAAGAAATGGTCTTGGAAGCGGTGGGAACCTTGGTGAACACATTGTCCTGCACCCCGCCACCACGGCTGTTGTTGTAAATGCTCATGGATGGAGGAGCACGGCTGTTGGTACGGCTGATTGTCTGGAGAGACATGCTGTTAACCATTTTGAGCTCTCGTGGACGGTAGCTGTCGTAGCGAGGGTATCGAGGGCCTCGGGGCGGCTCACTTGGTCCGGAACCGACAGGAGCACCGTCCAGGGGGGCGTCAAGCTTCTCTCCGGGCAACCCGGGCTCGGTCGGAGCAGGGACAGGGGCCGGGGCCGGGGCCGGAAGGTCGAGCGGCTCCACATCGGGAATAGGGGCGTCTGTGGGAGGGATAGGCTGCCAGTCCACATGGGCAAGCCCATCGGTATGCTCTCCAGTGCTGTTGCTGGAAGCCTCAGGAGCAACTTGGTCCTCAGACTGGATGATGGAGGCTTGAGCATCGTAAGAGCCGCCAGGATATGCCCGTGACTGCTGATTCTGTTGGGCACTTTGCGTAGAGCGATAGCCGTAAGGCTGCGAACGGAAACGCTGCCCGTTCCACGAAGTCGTAACGCGGGGCATCGTGCTTGGGCTGTGTTTGGGTAAGAGGGAAAGAAGTGAAGGCAGTGTGTAGAAAAGGAATGAAAGAAGAAGAGAAGTAAAAGAAAGCGAGAAAGAATGAGAGAAAGAACGCGTTCTTAACCTGCGGATGTGAAAGGCGTATTGGGTGGAAGAAAGAAAAGTTGAAATCGCATGCTTGATGCCTGGAAATATTTTGGTGCCGAAATGTGATCGGGGTAGGCAGCTCGGGGCAGGTGCAAAGCTGCTCCTTCCTCGTTTGTAGAAGGAGGGTGAATGAGCGGAACATTCACTTACCCCTCACTTGAGAGTAGGTGCCTTAAAAGTCTCTAGAGTAATCCTGTGAATGTTTTCTTCCATTCATTTACCTCCAAATTGCTTTTGTTCAACCTTTGCCATGGCTATTCTTCTCACCTCCTGCAGTCTTTCTGCATCCAACCTCTTCTCTTGACGAATATCGAACGAGCGACCACTCTATACGATGGACGACTTCGTAAATCTACTTCCCGCCAACTCCCATGAAGATGATCCAAACCTCAGTGGAGGCATGTCTGGACTTCACCAAGTTCATTGCTTTTCCCTCGAACCTCGAATCATCAACGTATTCGAAGTGCCTTGGATAGGCCCCAACCCTTCTCAGTATCAAAGACGTCGGCACATCAGACTTTAGCTCGATTGGATACGAAAGGGAGATCAAGGAGACCACGAGGAGGCTCGTGCCGGGGCGATAGACATTGTCTCCAGGCTGATCCCTCCTGTCGACTGCTGGACAGATGCAGAGATTAGGCACGTCGACTTTCTTGTTGACAGGCAATACTGGTGTATATGGCGTAAGTTTTATCCTGCCCCTGATCAAATTGCGCCACAGTTTCTCATCATAGAGTACAGTTGCCAGAGTCATTCCGCAACCCATTTGGCCCTGGGTCTACTTCGAACCAGTATTCTTTCCCCCCGTTAATTACCGAGACCAACTCATCCATCGCCCTCTTCGAACTACCCTGGATATACTGGTTCTTCCACTACTATCGTGCGATAATGGGAAGAGTGAGATAGAAACAAGAAAGGACGAGTGTTCCGCCTCTCAAGATCCTTCATTGGGTCGAAGCACAATCTTACGAGCTATCAGTCGCATGACTCAACATAATGCCCGACAATATATCGTATAGATCTCGTTCACCTTCGTAATCCATCCTCCTCGATCATCGCAAATTTCCTTTGAGATCCGGTCCCTGTTGATGTTGGGCCATCTCACTGCTGCCACGAACGGATAGATTACTGGCCAGTTCCTGGTACTAAACATGTCCCTTCCCCTCAAGCATATATACTTTCAAAACTTCTCTCATTATTTCCTGCCTGATATTCAGTACGCATATTGACACTCACAAAGTCTTATTTCGTGGTGTTAGTCGAGCTCAAGTAACAAGTGGGGCCTTGCGAAACTGGCAGCCAATGACAAAGAGCAATCCCAAGAGTGATTGCTTTCAATTTTTATTGACACAATAACAAAAAGGATGTCCTTGTCCTTCTACAGGAAGCATTCAGGTTAATTTCCACTGCAATATATTCCTGGTCGTCGCATGTTTGCTGCCCGTCGTTACGATGAACATCAACGGATGAAGTCAATTGACCTCCGAGTTTACGGAGCTTGAGCCTCAAAATGTAACACCGTTTCGGTGGACGCTCGACCCACAATAAGCCGCATCCCGGACTCCACTCGGCATCGAGGTACCTGACCAACTGCTCTGAATGACAACCACTGACCGGCAGCTGTCAAGCAAAACCTACCGCAACGCTGAGGAGGCACCAAGGCTAACGCGTAGACTCTCAGCTGCACCCTGGGACGTCAGGCAGGCTAATTTCATTTAATGAAATATTTCTCCCCTCATCTTCACTCGGTTCACACAACAAAAGTATCTACCACCAAAGATCACAGTAAGGCCTCGCAGGCATCCGATTGAATTTCCAAGAGATACTTACATTTTCTAAAAACAACAAACGATGGCTCGCACAAACAATAATTCGGCGAAAGCCACGAAGAAGAAGACGGCGAAAGCCAAGACCGAGGAGTCGATGGCGGGCGGCATCGCCCTGGGATGGTACGTGACAGGCTCTGGGCGAAGCCTGTCACAAGCCCAGCGAAAGGCGATGATCCGCCCCGTCGTCGCCATCAAGTTCGAGGACCTCTCGAAGGATCCCGTCGATCGCGACATGTAAATCTTTCCGACGTAAGTACTATGTCCACTATTTACGACACAACCTAACCATTCTCGTCAAGCAGCGGATGGCTATAAGCTGAGAACATTTTTCGAGGATGGACGGGTCGGTGAAAGTACAGCAGATCAGACAATGAACAATGGACATTCACACTTGAGACTTGTGATTTCTACATGCAGCTTCCTGATATATTTGTGACAGTGACCATGATAGACATACGTAAAAGAATGGGTCTGGGATACCCGTTTGGCAATCTCAACTCTATACTCCTCGACCCAGGAGCGGCTATACGATAATGAGGATGAGGCAGGAAAAAGCTAACTCCAGAGGTATACACAGCCATGGATCTCCCGAAGAAGGCGTGACGAGGATTAAGTAAAAAACTTCAAGTTACTGGTAACAATGTTCGCTGATGTAGGTCAAGCCAGAGTCATTAGTTGAAGACGCGCTGGTTACAGATGGATAGATCAAACACAATACCACAAGTGTTATAAAGGAAGTCTGACCATTCAGATAGTTCTCAAAATAAGAGCAGATTCTAGATACATGTCCTCTGGTCCCATGTAACTGCCTGTGATCCAGCTCTATCGTTCCAAGTACCCATTGTCCTGTGCAGTAGCGCCAAATAGCCATCCGCGTGGGAAGCCTCCAAGTTTATCAAGACTCTTTCTTGTCTTCAATCCATTCGTGTGTAAGGAGCGGTGAACAGTTTGACTCCTGAATCACTATTCACGACCATGACCCGGAAGTTCTGTTTGCAATTCTGGCTGGGGCATGCTTCCTTCGGGAGCACAGGTGTTGAGGCCTTCTCCCCCTTGCGGAGTACCTTGTGGGCGCAGAACCACGTGTCCTTTCTTCCATGTTCCAGGAAAGATTCCAAGCGTCTCTTTCTCTTGGGGTTCTTCATGATTTCAGTGAGCTGCGTGGCCACATCGCCGCTGAGGCAATATTCCACAAGTGGCAAGCCAGGCACACTCGGCTGTTCATCGTCTGAGGTCATATAGGAGTCGCTATGTTCCTCTTTCACTTCTGCTGTAATAGTTGGAGTCACCGGTTGGGGACAGTAGGGGACAACTTCGCTCTGTTCCGCTTCCGCTCTCTTCGTGGCCTCGAGAGTTTGTTCTCTTTTTAGCCGTTTAGCTTCGTTTTCTGCAACAGTCGTGCTGCTTCGCTTCAGGGCACTGTCTGGAGTTTGGTTCCGTTCGAGATCTTTGATTCGCATGGTGGCGACAACCCTTTCTCGAAGCAACTCCGTGATGCCTTTGTCTTGCAAATCAATGATTTTGCTGTATTGGCGCTGGGCAGATTCCAACTTTGTTTTGAGGTCATGCTTGTCTTGATTCAACTTTGCGATACACTTGCTTCGTTCTTCCACGATTTCCCCGAGTTCGCGCTTAGAGGATTCTACATCTTCTGCGCCGGCGATGTGCTCCTTGATCTTGTTGGTGGCGCGTCGGAGCTCACTGCGTAAGAAATCGTTGGTGTTCCGGAGTTCTTGATTTTGAAGCTTCAGCTCTTGTAGTTCGTCGATAGGAGCATCCTTTAGCATCTGCGTTTCGTCGCGTGGTTGATCTTGAAAGCTTCCAGGGCGCCCTTGCAGGTCAGTATTTGTGATGCAGGTTTCTGTTGCGACCTACCGCAAGTATCTTCCATCTTTCTCATGGTGGCGACGTGAATGATGACGGATCGAGGTTGAGAGATGAACCGCAGGAGATGATGGAGGCAGCAGGTAAACAACAGAACAATCCTCCTCCAAGGCTTAGGCAGCAGGAATAAAATAGCCTGAATACCAGCCCAGGCTAGTGTAGGTAACCTGGGTAACTAAATCATTTCATGTCTTGTGCTTTTGGCTGGCAGTGATTGCCAGTGATTCGCAGTGCTACTCACTCCTGATTTAGTCTGGATGCCCAAATTGTCACCACCTATAATCTCAATCCTGTCAAAATGGCCTTATCGAAAGGTACCTCCAGTGTTACTTTGCTAGCAGTCATCTGGATTATCGTACCTCGCTGTCTATGTGTTGTTGGAGACATACAGCACGGCCTTGCTCTTGTCCCGCTTCTCCACCGACACCTCCTCGCAGACTATCCGGCCTCTAGATGTCCTTCAAGGGCCTGTCTGAGACGCGTGGTCTCGGCATGAGTAGCAACGAGTTCGACTCCAGCAACTCGTGGCAATCTTTTCGAAGCTATGCGAATTACTAGGTCTGCTTTTTCTTTCTGGATCTGCTTGACGTTACAGGATTTGACTTCCAAGGTGTCCATATGAAGAAGCAACTGATCCTTTTCGTCCACCATCATCGTTCTTTTTAGCAGTTAGATAATATACTCAAAGTTTCTATCATTAATTGAGGACGAAACGCACAGTCTCGAGTCCCTCGTTTCGTTCTTGCATTTTGATGGTGATTTCAGGGGCACCGTCACTGCCAGCCAGTTCTCCGTTGCCTGCAGCGGTTCATTTCTCCACTCCACTTCTCCTTCATATTTTCCGCCTTTCCATCCTCCTCCAAACATTGTATTTGCGTTCAAAGCTTGTTTCCTTGCTACCTCGGAGGAATTTCAGTGCCCAAGCAACATGGCAAACAGCGACGGTATGTCATAACCGTCTTTGACTGCACTACAAATACTGACAGGGCCTTCAGTGCACCTTGAGGACTCACAAGTCCAACAACGTGATGAAATTCAGACTCTACAACGTATGCAGAGAGACCAAGACGCACTTCTCCGCCATCAACAACAGCTGGAAGATCACAATCGTGAACTTCAAAACACCAACAACTATCTGCGGGGCGAGGTTGCGGATCTTCGTGCTCAGCTCTCCTACGCCACCCAAACTTTGACCGCGCGAATCCAGGAACAGGTCGACGGAGCGCGAGCTACAGGCGTTTCCGAGGGCAGGCTTAGGGACGTTGTAGATGAGCAACGCCAAGCCTTACAGAATTTCGTGCGAGAAAATAAGGCCGCCACCAGACGAATCCAGGAACTTCAGCAAGGCCAGAGAGGAGATCCCGCTACACCGGCCAACGGACTCAGGAAGACAAAAGGACAACGACGACGTGAGTGACGCCTTATGGCCCGCCACAGAGAAGCGATAGAACGATTTGCGGCTGCAGACGATCGAGCAGCAGAACAACGACAGACGCAACAGCGACAGACTCAGAATGCACCTCGTCTCCCCTCAGTGGCGCCTACTGTTACAGGTGGTACAGCGAAATACGAGCAAGGTGACTCTATCATAGTCCTGGACGACGACGAAGAGGACAAGGTGCCCGGGTTACCACTTGTTGAAGACTGTAACCTCGATGACGATGTGATTGAGCAACTCAATGCGATCATGAAGAAACGAACGGGCAAAAAGAACCTCCTTGCATTTCTGGAGCACGGCGCAAGAAACAAGTCTTTCTGCGGCCATGAGATTACCAGCAAAGGACAGAATGCCTCGAAACCTCTGTTATCGTCGCAGCCTTGTCGGATTCATGGCTGCAATTACACTTTCCGGGCAAAGGCTGTAGAGACTGATTCAGGGGTCAAAATGCGAATCACCCCTTTCATACCTTGAGTCTAGTAGTCAAAGCCTTGGGTGAGACGATACTCCATGACGTTGCCCAGCGGTTGAGTTACGTCAGGTTTTGGAATTAAAGGTCGGGAAAACGATTCTCTTCGGCATGTACTCTAGTTTTTCGACAGGACTATTGTCTGGAAATGTCATATACAAACAATCAGTGTCTCACAATGCATCCTCGTCTCGATCTATAATGAGTGCCTACTCCTGATAACGATGATGGAGACGAACCCGTAAAGGTTGATACTCACTCAGCCAGGTTTGCCGAGCTCAACCCGAATGGGAAGAGTAAACCCACAAACAAGCCAGACCAGTAATCCACGGGATATGCACAGGTACCTGTAATTAATTGTACAGTTGAGGGAGAGTATAGAGAGGGGGCTTTAGTGCCTCGGTGGTTCATGGCAAATTTGACAACCATCCAAACTGCGAAGCTCCTCCCTCTTTTTGCCTATATATCACCCTTCCCATCTACCACTAGAAATATCGGTCATTGTGTGACAAAAGATCCACAGTCCAAATTCTTTTGTTTCATGCTTTCTTATTGGTAGTGATCCGACGGGTGCCATCACTGTCAGCCAGTGCGTTACGAAAATAGCCGGTGCCTACATAAGGTTGTTAGCTCCCGTCAGGGAATCACCGCCTGCATGCTTCCTTCCTCACAAAAACGACATCCGGCCTCATGGCGCCCTCAACCTCGCAGCCACGCTCTGCGGAGATGAAATAGGCAAACCGCCATCTCGAGTTCCCAGGATATGACCCTCTATCGCCAAAGTTCACTGGGCCTTTCCCAGGCCTCTATCCTACTCGCGTCCAGAGACAGCAATATATGAACACCTTTCTACGATGGTTCTTAGGCGATAAACACTTTGATTTTTTTAAAGTCCAGCTTGCCCAGACTGCCGACTTAGACGTTGTTAATCAATTCGTTAAGCTCAAACTGGAGCCTTCGTTGCCTTTAGCCTTCGAATTCATGGTTAACTAGGTCTTCTAGGAACTGCACTGTGAGTTACCTTAAGCCCCGTCTTTACTACACCACCCAGCTTCTAACGTTGTTTCTAAACTAGTTTGCTAACTTCCTGGGGATAAACGGCCACCTTGGCCATAGATGTTAATCCAGATTGTTCCTTAAGAGGCTACACTTTCTGAACGATTCTTGTGGTTTAAATTAGAGTGGAAAGGCGAAAGGTCTCTACGACCATCTGAAACCCGATACGAAGCTGCTTTTCCTCCCCGGATCATCCTGAGCGCCGAGCACCTCGAGTCCTTTTCGCGCATCTCTTTTAAGTCCCGGTCAACAGAGGTGGAGGTAAGTTCTCTGCTCCCGGATGGTACGAAGTTATTTGTACCTAACGAGGAACAGTTTGGCCGATGCGATCCCGAAAGGCACAGTACAGTGATCGAAGGCAAAATTTTCCCCATGGCACCACCGTGTCCTCGCTCGGAAGATGCCCTGTGGCAGATCAGATATCCTACCCAGCCTCTCTCTTGCGGTAAAGCTTTTCGTCTGGAAATTCCCAAGCAACTTGACTTCTGGACTTATGTCTGGGGTTAGCAATGGTTGGGACTGGGCTGAGTTGACAGACAATTATGTCGACGACCGTGTTGAGTTGGGATGGGGATACCAACACCACGACCTCCACCGACATGAGGATGATGAATCTGGTGACGAATCGGATGACGCGTTGTGGGAGCGTAAGTACGTCAACCGAGGCATTTTGCCAGACGAGGACATGTTCCTCATGATCGGCTTTCGCGACAACTCATGGAATGATCCTCGTACCTTGACTCCCGCACGACAAGACCTGATCACCAAACTATGGAAGACCATCAATGACTGGAAGCAGCTTTGCCTCCGTGGGAAGTGGACTACGCTTATCAGTTTCTTGCAACACATGCACGAGGAGGGTGGGACAATTCAAGAGGCAGACAAGACTTTCACATTCGCTGCTTCTGTATCGCAGATCGAGAACAGAGGCAGCCGAGCGCGTGCTGAATTCGAGCTCGACGGCATTCTTGACTCGATCATCTGGACAGAAGTCGATCTGCATGACTTTGGAAATCATTTCCAGGAATGGGTCTTCTCCCCAAAGACCCTGGGCCTGACTGTCGAGGAGCGAATCTATCTGGTAGCCAACGTCTGGCGCCGCCGGGTGCCCCCTGAGAAGTACCAGCTGTTGGTTCACATCCAGACTTGGGTCACCAAGACCAGGAAGATCATTCGGTCGGAGGTTTATTCTAGCTTGCGATAGGCATGCTATCCATGACACGCTTGTACTTCATAGCTTGTACTTTGTAGACGAACTCGATAATTGTCTCTACATGCGTCTTCCAAACAGTGATGTCCCTATGAAGTCTTACCGGTGATTGAGACCACCGCCACCAGCCATACCAATTGATAGGATTTAAATAGCCAGCCGATGGCTAACATCACATTCGGGTCTGTCATTACTTTCAGACTCAGGTCATGTTGAGCTTTGCCATAACTATGACCATCTATCTAGTTCCCTTGGATACAGGCTGCCGTCAGGGTGTCAGATGAAATGGCCATGGAGAGCATATTTGTCTTGACGTTCTTTACCATAGAGGTCATTAGCTATAGAAGCCAGTTTCTCTACCGTTCACCTCATTACGTGGGTACTAGATTAGTGGGAAGATATATTGGATGCCAGGTGAAATCGGCAAAAGGAACTAGTGCACTGCCAATCACTGCCACCTCAATCCCCCACAGCGGTTGCCTTGTTCACAAGATTTCTAGGTCCTTCACAGCACCGCATTTTCATCCAGGTTTGTTATTAAATCTATCACCTCTACATTCAATACTCAAGTTACTCGCAGCTATCAAAATTTCAAACGCGACAAACAGAATGGCGGACGGACGAGGTATGTCATGGCAGCATTCACCAGCACTCCAAATATTGACATCTTATCCCAGCGGATCTCCAGCGCGACCTACGTCTCGCTAGAGGGAAGGTCCAAGAGTTGGAGGAAGAGAGGTTCTCGCTGGAACAGCAGCTGCACCATCAGGATCGTTGCATGCGGCAGCTCCAGCATGATAACGACTGGCTGCGCAGCGAATTCTTCCAGGAGTCCCAACTTTTGGGCGTACGGGAAAGGGAGATATTCGAGCGTGGAAGAGCTGCCGATAGGCGTGAGCATCAACTCAAGGCCGAGGTGGAAACCCAGAAGGCAGTCATCCAGCGACATGTCCAGGACAAGGAGGCTGCCCTTGGGCGTGAGCGTGAGCTCAAGGCCGAGGTGGATAAGCAGAAGGCAGTCATCCAACGACATGTCCAGCGACGCGCCCAGGACAAGGAGACTGCCGATAAGCGTATCCGGGAGCTGGAAGCCTGCCGAAATAACGCCAATCCCGTCCCAGTCCCACGCGATTCACCACCTGCTACGGACAACGCCAGGCCTTCAAAACGGCGGCGACAGGAAAGTCCAGTTGCGGACCAGCGAGTGTCTCGGGTGGAAAGGGAACGGATTGACCGTCCTCTTGCACCGAAAGATAGCAGGAGAGAGGTGCCTGAGTTATCACTTGTACTTGTCCAGGATGAGAATATCACTGAAAGAGTGGTCGAGAAGCTCACTTCAGTTATGAAGGAACCCAATAGCAAGAAGAACATGGAGCTCTTCCTGGAAAAATTGTGGAGCAGTTGCTACTGTATCCATGAGGTGGCCAAGAAGGGCAAGTCTGTCTCAAAGCCTCTGACGCCCTCCCAGCCTTGCCGTGGATGCGGCTCGAACATCCGTGTCAAAACTGTAGTGGAGTCGGGGAGAATCAAGCTCAAGGTCGGCCATTTCACAGTGGAGGTCTAGCGGTAGGCTGGGTAGTTGGCAACTAGGACAATTCAGTGGATCACAAGTTACTCTGGACCGACTAGACCGACTTCTGGCCCAGGGCGATTCCGAAGCGCAGGCTGGTCAAGGTCGAGATGTCCAGGGTTGAGGCCAAGTCACCAATGCAACGGTGAAGTTATCAGGGAAGGCCGGAATTGGAAAGGAGAAGGCCGAAGTTGAGGATGTTCCGAAGTGTCAGAGGCGTCACACCAGCCTTTCTCCGACAAAGGAACAAGCTGAGCCTTGATTCGCGTAACATCAGGGCGGGCTACGGGGCCTCATTCTGCTATCAGCTTTGAACGTCATCAGGCTGTTGGCGGAAATCGTGGGTGGGAATCGTGGGTGGGAATATGTTTTGGGTGAACCATGGAATCGCATTCTGCTACCGGTCTTGTACTTCATCAGGCCGAGTGGGCGGAAATTAGTCTGAGCGATCCATGGGGTCACATTCTGCTGCCGGTCTTGAAAGTCACCAGGCCGTCGGCGGAGATTGCGGGTGGAAGTTGTGGGTGGAAGGGTGTCTTGGGTGAACCACGGAATCACATTCTGCTACCGGTCTTGAACGTCATCAGACTGTGTAGGTAGAAGACTGTTCGTGAGAAGGCGGGTCTTTTCAAGGGCGTGTTAGCCGCGACGGTTGATGGATGTTGACGATGGATGGTGGAAGGTGGAACGTGGAAGAAAGCCTGACCAATGGCTCCTCATCACTTCCACTGTTACAAGGAATGTTTGAGCATTGGGACGGCCAGCTTCGAACGGTACCCCGACTCGAAGGGGAGGAATACCATTCAGCCGGGAAGTGGTGAAAGGGATCGCGAGCCAAATATTCTGGCTCAGCTAGTTGGGTATGCCTCCGACAAGCATGCTCAAGACCTCTGTCGACATGGCCTTTGAGTACAGGGCAAGAGACTAAGGTACTCCTCTCTTGGGTGCTGAACAGTCTGCTTTGCTAGCCTTAGCTGGGCATATCATCAAGTCTGTTATTGAACAGTACCGATGCAGATACGTAAGGTGTCTGAAGGAGCTGATTGGAAGGCACCTGTCGAGCCAATGCCGACCAGAGATGGGAGGCTGCAAGAGAAGATGTCGTTGGTAAGTCAAAAGACATCTGATCCATGTGGTGGAAGTTACTTCATCGTTTTAGGGACCATACAGGCCGCTCGTGCTGGCCAAGCCGCTTTCGAACAAGTCCAGACCGAACGACCGACCGATCGACACGGACGATAAGGGAACAAGCGGAAGGATCTGAGCTGGGAAGGATCGAGGACTGAGAAAGGACCACAGGCTGCAAAGAAGGAGGGGTTTTGTTTCGCTTGCCGGTTTTCCCCTACCTTCGGTCTAGTCGGTTTCCTTTGTGGGTAGTTATTGATGGTATTCCGGAGAGATAGAATGACAATATATGAGCTCTGGGAGCGAGGGGAGTTTGGGGATATGATTCAACGTCTTTCTCGACTTTTAGTGATTCCGGCAACTTGATAAAGCATGGACATATGTCCGTACAGTGTCCTACTTTGTCCCTATGGCTCAAACACTTCCGTTTAAATTGTCGATCCAGGCGCATGAGAACAAGTCATAAGCCAAGTCAACAGGAATCCACGCTCGTCTACTCCTCATAAAATATGACCGTGTAATATTGTTCTCTAGACGCTCGTTGGTCCATTCTCCAGACACCCCAATGCAGGTAGGTAAGCATCTGTTTCAAACAATACCCAGGATATCATTGAATTCCATACAATGTAATGCCGTCACTGGGTACAGGTACCTAGGTAGGTACCTGCCTAGTTTGTCAGTGATTCACTGATGCTCAGCTGGCAGGAGCGCTTGGCTATGCCTGTCTTCCCTACCTAACTACCTACCTACCATCACAGATTTCGACAACGCTCATCCGTGATTCTTACACAACAACCATCATCCACAGTCTCATGAACGTCTAGAGAAGGTATGCTTTGCATGAAGCTATATTGGATCCTGACTAACGACACAGATGAATGATCCCACCGCTGAAAGTCATCGTCAAGGCGAGCACCGCCAAGCGATCGCTCTCCTCGAGGACCTTGAGACCCGGCGCAAACAGCTCCTCGCCCAGTACGAGCAGCGGATTTCCGAATCAGATCGCCAGATTCAGTACCTAAATTCCCAGATTGCCAGTCTTCGTACCACCAGCTCTCTATCGCTTACAACAACAAGCAATCTAGCTCTACAGCTCAACCTCGTCGCCAGTCATGCTTCGAGACTTGGCTTGAGAACCCGAGATCAGCCTAAGCCGCGTGAGGTGGAAGTCTTAGGGCAGGTATTGTGCCATCCTTCGCGTCTCGCATTCCTAGAGACATTCTTACGGGGGCCTCGATACCCGGCCGGTGGGGCTGAGGCTATAGCCCATTACTATTGCCTTGGGCAGGTCGGCACGGGAGCCCATTCTCCGATCCTTATCTTTAGAAGCGATGGTCATGTAGATTGCCCGTTTGATGGAAACGGCGCCAACTGTGTATGGATCACAAAGGCCGAGAACGGGGTTGATTGGGTTATTGGAAGCTGAGATTAGGGTGATATTGTCTAAAGGTATTCATAGTCTACCTACCATTAGGCTAATACAGAGACTAAGAGATGAAATAAGTGATAAGACGAGATCCTAAGAAACGAAAGATCCTGAGAAACGAAAGATCCTAAGAGATTGACAAGAATTACGATGCTCTGGTTCGGACCTTGTTTGATGTGTTCAGAATAACAGCCGTGTGACCAAAAGTGTTATTCGGTTGTGTACTGATTGCGGGAATCTTCGGAGGTTTAAGAATACAGAGACCATTCAACAACGATAACGAGATAGGTTGAACACTCGTAACCGAGTCAAGTCTTGACAAGTCTTCTAACTGAAGAAACTGCGCAGGCGATTCCAGACGTCCATTAATTACTAAGAGAGTCGAAACTTGAGAAATCAGGCTTGCACTGATTCACAGCTGGCACGAGGTGCAATCTATGCTAGGCCCTACCCACCTCTCTATTTCTCGATGCCTAATATTACTCCTCCATGATCTTCACATTTCCACCAACAATCAGAAATCAAGTCTACACACCACCACAGCTCATCATGTCGTCCAAACGACCTCGAACAGACGAAACTCCAGACGATGTATGTGCATAAGATTACATTAAGGCATTTAGCTAACTAATGGTACAGGTGGACGCTGTACCGTCCGTCGAACGTTTTCTTCGACAACAGCACCAGGAGCTGCTTGATGCCTTCACCCGTCTTGAGGCGCACAAGAACAGAGTCGTCGCCGAATCCGAGAAAGAGATCAACGACTTGAAGCGCCAGAACCAGGAGCTACGCTCAGAGGTTGAGTCTCTCCGTACCGCCAACAGCTCTCCTCCCGCCGCTGTCTCACAGGAACCGAATCATGTCGCCCGACACTTCGACGAAATCGCGAAGGTTGCTTTGAGGCTCAACTTGAGAACCCAGAACATACCACCCTCCAGTCGCGAAATTGAGGTCTTGAGCCGTATTATTTTTGACGCTCATCGTCTATCAAATTTGGAGCACTTCATGCAGAAGGCCGGCAGCATCAATAATCGATGCCGTTACTGCGTTGATATGATTAGCGAAAGGCCCATTGCGGATGCTTCCAGTCCGGTTGGCTGGATCAGGAAGAAAGGTCCAAGTTGTCTATTCCATGCAGATGACGATCCTTGCGTCTGGATCGTAAAGCGTGGGGCTGACTGGGTTGTCGGACGCGGTCGGGGTTAGCTGAATGGCAGGCCATGAGATTTTAAACAAGTCCTAAGGCTCTAAGAGATAAAAGGATATCCTAGGAGACGAAATGAGACCCTAAGAGATGAATTCAGTTAAACGAAGACCTCGTGCCAGAGCGCTACTTAGACCAACATTTGTGTCTGACGGGTAGATATGTAGCATGGCGATGCGCACTGAGGCTTTCAACTCCATGACAATTGATCTTTACTTTCTGGTTGGGCAAACGAGGACTGTTGGATCCCATAGAATGTCTTCCTAACAGCAATTACTTATCATAAGCGGATGAGAAAGGTAGTGTGTGTGGACTGTAATTCGCTTTTCATCTGTGCCGCGGTTGATATCTCGGCAGCATGCATGAGGGACGAGGACTTGAACACACCCCATATCAGTTTACTAACCTTTAAAAGTGATCTGAGATCGATGAACAGAATGTTCTATTCAAGACACCGTTCGACTGTTCAGAGACAAATAGCTTCTTAGCACTGGTTCCTGTCGGTCGTTTTCGTTGGGAACAGTTTTCTTGTCATGCCCAAGCCGACGTATCGTTTCCTAGTAAATGGTATTCCCATTGTCGCTGACTGCAATTAGTCTATTGACTTAACAAATGACATCACTGGGGTTATCCGGTGAGTAGGCCTGTCATTGATTGATTCACTGGCGGGTAGCTGGCATTTGCATTGAGTGCTGAGCCCTACCTAACTATCCACCAAGGGACTTTCTATTCCTAATCACTCCTTTGATCTTAAATTTGCACCATCATCGGCACTCTTGTCCACCTATCAATCTTCTACACCACAACCAAGACACAATGTCCCCTAAGAAGCGTCGTATGAACGATGGAGCAACCATCAACTCCGAAAAGGTATGCCCTACATTCAATCACTGCCAGGAACGCCTGATTAATTTGTCACGCAAAGATCACCACCTTGGAACTTCAGGTTGAGAATCTCCGATCGGAAAATGAACATCTTACCTCGGAAAACGAATCTCTCAAGGTAAGGCTTGCACGAAAGCAACACAAGGAACGCTCGGTTGACTTGGCACACAAAGATTAGCACTTTGGAGCGTCAGGTTGAGACTCTGCGATCGGAAAACGAACGTCTTACTTCGCAAAACAAATCTCTCAAGGTACGTCTCACACGAGTTCAATGCAAGGAACGCCTATCTAACTTATCACACAAAAGCAGGACCTTGAGATCACCGAACCTTCTCCAGGGCAGGAGTCTACCCCAACTCCGGACCATCTAGGCACAGCGCTTAATCATGTTCGCGACGTTGCATCGAAGCTCAATATAACCCTCCGAGAACCGAACCAGGGAAATGAGTTTTCAGTTCTGTGCGGTGTGGTCTCTCAGAAGTGGAAGCTCACCAGTCTAAAGTGTTTCTTCCAAGAGTACTCTGGACTTCCTGAAATAAAAGGCCGCGTGTTCTGCCTTGAGCAGATTAGCTATAACTATGCCGCTGTGCAGGATTCCGTCCTTGGGAAGGACCTTACACGCTGTCCCGCGCATGAACGTCACCATGGTGAGTGCGTTTGGGTCTCCAAGCGAGGATCTGGCTGGATTGTCGGCAGTGGCCGGCTTAGCTCTGGCGGAAAGAAGGGGTCACGGACAGTAGACTGAGTGAGGCATGAATTGATACTGAACGAAAGGGCCTTATATATCTTCTTGGTAGAGTTTCGCCTTTGTCCTGACATAGTGACTGGGAATCATAGTCAATAAAAGGAGAATCTTCACCCCCTACGTTTCACGAATATCGAAAACCGCATGGGACTGAAGGTAGGTCAAAAGACCTAGACCGACATTTCTCTGACGGATAGGTATGCAGTATGGCGATGCGGATGATAGGCTGCTAACTTTTGGAATACACGGCATGTTTGTTTGCTTGACAAACGAAGTGTGCCGAGAAGGTTAGTGTGTTATATTACAACTTGCTTCTTATCCGTGGTGTATTCAATATTTCGGCAGCATGCATGACGGGAGAGATCTTGACACTCCCGTCCATGCTAGTTGACTCAAATCTAGGAATGATGAAGAGAAGGTTCCAATCGCCATTTGAAGCGCGGTCAACGATAGCTACAGTCTTCCGTCCTAGGCTCGGGTCTATGCATCGCAGGTTTTTCGACTCATCACAAGTACTTTTTGGCTCTCCACGCCATTTTCTATCTACAAAACCCCCAAAGCTCTTCCCAGACTTCGTGATGTCCTCCTCAACCTCACACCTACGCCAACAATAATCGAAGGTCTTGTCCGCTTGCCAAGCCTCTACGACTCAACCACGACACGATGTCCTCTCAAAAGCGTCGCATAGACAAAGAGGCTGTAGGCCGTGCAGAAGAAGGAGATAAGGGCATCTCCCGTGAGGTACGTCCCGCATGAAGTCACTGTGAGAGACGCTCAATTAACTTGTTACAGGTACGGCTTCAACATTCGTGGGAAGCACTCCTTGGGGTTGCTCCCAGGCCAAAGGACCAGAGGATGGAGCACCTCACCCATGTCAATACCTTGGAGGAGCAGATTAAGGGCCTACGTTCTGAAATCGAACAACTGAACGCGGAAAAGGAAAAGCTCGGCGCCAAAGCTTCTTCAGAGGACGGAGCATCAATAAGCTCTGGTGGTCGCAAAGGCTCTCTAGGCTGGCTAGTCGCAGAGTTGGGTTACGTTTCCAGTGTTGCTTCGAAGCTTGGCTTGAGCCTCCAGAAACCAACCGACCACCGTGAACTGCCAATTCTGTGCGGTGTGATCTGCGATAAGGAACAGCTTGTCGGTCTGAAGAGCTTTATGGGAGTTTTCGCGGACTCTCCCTCCCAGGATGGGTGCTTTTTCTGCCTTAGTCAGGCTGGTCATGGACTCATGGCTCCTATGCTCGCCTTTGGGGAGGATGGTTTACGTTGTCAAGTGCATGGAGATGACGATGTCTGCGTCTGGATCTCAAAGCGTGAGGGGCGCTGGGTTATCGGAACCAGCCGGGGTTAGCAATGGCTGTCTTCAAAGTACCTGATTATCAAATACCGAATGGCTGTCGGTACATGGGTTATCCTATCATATTTGACAGAGTGGTGGAGGGAAACAATGGTGTCAGGCTCCATAGACTGAGTCATACAGTGGTGGATATTGTATCAAAAGGCTTTGGACTTCTTCTGTTTCTTCTTCTCAATATTATCATTTATCACATCTCCGCCTTTGTTCTGGCTCAAAGGCTTGACACATTAGGACAGCAAATAGAGAACCTTCACCCTGCGTTTCCAGAACGTTGAAAGACACTGAACAATGATCCGAATCAAACAATAAGTGAAGCTGTAGCTCAGGATATGAAATAAATATGTCTAGACATTCTAACCTGTTGTCACCAACTCTCTTCTCTCTACGCTCTTCCACCTTTGACAACCTCTCCCAACTTAAAAAAGGCAGAAACGACAAAATGCCAAAGACTATCACTGCCCGCTGTCGGTGCTCCCGATATGAACCGTACGACCAATGGCCTATCAGTCGCCATCGAAGGGCCAAGAACAAGAGAATCCTCAAGCTGAAGAGCCAACTCGAGAAGTCAAAGGCTGAGGTACTATACTGGAAACGAGAATACAAGCTGAGCTGTAGAGAGGTCCACAGTCTGAAGAAGCATGTTAAGAGGCTGCTTAATGACTTTGAGGATGGTGGAGAGCTCCAGCAGGAGATGACGCTTATTCGGTTACAGATGATGAATCTGGGCATGTGATAGCGTTTGCCATGGTTATCCTGAGATTATTACGTTCGGGCACTGCGAACAAGATGACCAGGAAACTGAAGGAGCAACTCAAGGCATCGAAAACTGGGGAAGTTGAATTTCTGGTAGCATTCAGTATGATGCAGTGCCGGGTACCCAGCTATTCGCAATGAACTACTGACAACATCACCTCTGATTCAGTGCCTGCTACCTACATGCCCTAACGAGTCTCCCATTCTATTTATTCTCCTCCCTCTTTTTCGTCACCTTTCATTTCTTCTTCTTCTTTCATCAACTTCACCATCATTCTTTTCATTACAACCTTGAGCACCGAAACAAAGAACTTGAGAGAATCATGCCTACCACTCCAGCCAACCACGGCAAGAAGAAACCTGAACAGGGGGACAAGGTCGAAAAGGTATGTTGCTAAGATGCCATATTGAAACAGTCCACTAACTCCACGTCTGTCAAGACCACCCCCAGGAGCGCGACGATTTTCCCCCAGCGACTATGGCAGAAATTGCCGCTATCGTTGAATCGGATCCGGTGTGGAAACAAATGTTTGAAGACGCATGTGTGGACATCAAGGCAAAGCCACAAACGGAAGACAAGACTCGCAAGTGAATAGGGGTGGGCAAGTGAAGGATTGTGGACGAGCGACAGGCGAGCGACCTGGGTTCACAAGTAAATGGGAGGAGCCATTGAGCAGCGAAGTAGTACAACAATACTCTCTCTTTCGCTCATTCTTGCAAAGACCTATTCACAATGAAGACAATATCGTGCCAATAATAGCCTGTACAAATCATCAACGCGTCGATAGAACAGGGGGCTTATGCGTTTTCCTCTCGGCTGGTCAATTTTCATAGATGTATTTGGGAGGAGAAGCTTAGATCTATACGTTCTCTTTGTCATCAGGAAAAGGGACAGTTCTCATTGAGATCTTTGGATGGTATTGAAATGGTGACACAGTGTATGGATGTTTGTTTCAATCATGTCTGGAAACTACAAATCACTTCGAGATAGCATCAACTACGCGCCACAACCGTATTACCCTTCTAAGTACATACAAGCCATATTTCGATTAGTGTCATTTACAAGAACATCTACACTCAAGACAAAATAATTGTACTCCAACAATTGCAGAATAGCTTCTACAAAATGATCGCATGGACATGCCCATGCAGGGTAAGTACCGGCCCCACTCTCCGTCCGTCAAAGCCCCTCCACCCACTTCCGATTTGTTTACTCTGCATCAAGGATCAGCGTTACCTTATTTACACTCCGCCTTTTCATGCGCCATCACCTTTTACTTACCGACAAAGTCCCTGCAAAAGGGCATTCGAACATTCCAACTTCAACTGAATCAAACATGTTACCATGGCTGCCGTTCAGCCTCCGCGAACAAGATCCGCCCGTTTAGTGGCTGGTTTTACCAATAAATCTGCTGCGCCCAACAAAACTCCCGCGCCAGCTCATGCCCATCATGGACCTTTAGCTTTATCCATCTTTTTAACAAACCTCAACCTTCTCGATCTCGACCAGCTTGAAGATTGGCCCGATGTTCGTGCGGAAACCTTTGCGACAGGCGGTACTAGTGCGCAAGGCCTGAAGAAGAGGGTACACTGCGTGGAATGGACTCTCTACCAGCTGTTTGCTTTATGGGACCCTGAAGAAACAAAAAAAGTAAGGTGAACCTCAATTGTAAGACATCCACTAACGGATCAGAAACTCAAACCATTCTTTCCTCCCCTCGATCAAACTCAATCCGTCAACCTCCGAGCTGCCCTGTTACGATCTCTCGAAGCAGCCAAGAAGAACGGGGTCCTTGGAAGGGATGCGATTGTACGAAAGACCATGCTCGATGAATGTCGGGGAGAGCGACTTGAAGAAGTCCTTGCTGCATTCTCGTCGGCTGTTCTCAAACACGTTATTGCGCAAGAAGTCACGGCAAGCGGTGAACACAAAGCTCTTGCACTTGATTTGGCTCTTGAGGACCGCGGATACAAGAGCGACAATACGGATCTTACCACTATGGTCTTGGCACACAAGGTTGCCATCAGTCGCATTCTGAACAGCAAGGTGGCGGCAAGTTCGAGATTTCACGACTTTGCGGATCTATTGAAGGTCAAGGAGAAAGGCATCGCCAGGAGAAAAGAAGCATTGGACGCTCTGGACGGAGGGAAGACCATATCTGATGATGCTAGGCGTGAGATGTGGCGTACCCTCCGAAACAACTGGTCTGGCAACGAACGATGGATGGAGACTCTACTCTACGGAGACGCCAGCATTAAAAAGGATGGCCTTCTAGGAATGGAGTTTGATCGCGTATGGCGAAGAGTCCAGCAAGGTCGACTCGATGAGCTCGAAGAAAACGGGACCGGTCTTTTGGAGCAACTGGACACTCGAGTGCGCGTTCAGAGAGAACGACTTCAGAAATGGCAGAGCTTCCGCAATGAAATGTCCGCCGACCAACCAAAGCCATCTCCGACAAAGAATCAGCGAAAAGATAAGGAGAACGGAATTGACTTTGGATTCGGCGCTCACGAGGGACTTCTTCTCGGCAAGGTCAGCCCAAAGAAATCGACATTCGGAAAGCCAAAGCTTTTGGAGGAATACGACGAGCTTGTACGCAATTTGGGAGAGGAACTACAAAGCACGAAACCGCAAAAGTCTTCAGCTCTCGACTTTTTGCAACGCCCTGCTTCTCGAAATGCACCAGTCGTCAATATACCACCTCCCGAGCCAGAAGAGGAAGAAGAGGTCATCAGCGACCTGGAAGACCACGAGCTTCCCCCGTCTCCCATCAAGTCATTCAAGGCGAAGCTGGACTTTTCTAAGCGAATGCCTGTTCGACCAAAGCTTGATCACAGCGACGACTCTTTTGCTTCTGTCTCGTCAAGGGCTAGGAACCTCCGCAAACCATCAGCAGACGAGGCGCGCATCCTTCGTGCGTCGTCAGTTGAGAGGACAAGCTCTCCAGAGCCAGAGGATGAACCTGTTGCATCCCCGCGACCTGAGTATGATGTTTCACCGAGACATTCTCCTGGGATATCACCTCAACCATCTCCACCACCATCGCCTATGCCACCTCATGAATTGCCAGAGCCGATTCCTGTCCCGGTATCTCCAACCCAGATGGCGGACCAGATTCTTGACTCAATGGACATGGCTTCACCATCCCCAGTCAAAAACTCACGACGCAAATCTCGACACACCCTTTCCCTCGCCGAGCGAACCCGTCTGACAATGGCCCGCGAATCATTCGGTGACGTCGAACCAGAGGACCTCGAAATCACCCCACCACCAGCAGAGCCCATCACAGAGAGTCCAACCGAAATGGCCGACGACGAATTTGATCTCCTTGCTCGAACCCGGAAGAGTATGGCCGGTTTCGACAAGGCTAGACAAAAGGCTCAATTGGACAGACGGAGGTCATTGAAGAAACCCAAGCCACTGCCTAAAAAGGAGGGTAGCTACTTTCCCAAAGTCGACGAGGATACAACTGTTATTACGGATGAGTTGATGGCGCAAGAGGATATGGAGGCGGTGTTTAGATCACGACCGAAGATCAAGGCCAGTCCGTTGCCGAGTCCGACCAAGGATTGGGACGATGATTATATGTAACGATGAGAAGTGTTATCACGTTTGAGCTTCTGGCCAAGGCCGTCCAAGCTGTAGTATTACGATAATGAGTCAATCATAGTTACATGCCGATAATGAAGTCCTTAATCATAGTTTACATTTTCACATCTATAATACAACGATGTTACCCACTGCTTCTTCAGCATAATCTGCTTCAACATCTACCTTTCTTAAGCACAACTCTACCACCCCTGCTTCTTAAGCTCAATAACTCTGCTGACCGTCGCCTTGAAACCATGCTTGAATCGTGATCGCCATCTCTGACTAGCCAACCTCTTTCTCTTCAAACCCTTTCGCTCGTGAAACTTTTGGCTAAAGAATTTGTTCTTGACTTGATCCTCTCGAACAATTCTGTTGAGAATTTTCAAAGCGACCATGGGAGTAGGACCGCTGTTCTTGGTAATTTGATCCTTGACGAAAACTGTACGACCAGAAACAGGCTTGGCCCGGATGTTGGGCCGCTGCACAGGGTCTGAAGCTTGTTCCGCTCCAAAAGCGGTAGCCTTATTGGCGATAATCGAGGCAATATCCAGACTAAATGGTTTGGTAGCATCGTAGACGTGCTCGTTGGTCCTCGGTGCGGTTGTCTCTGGTGCATCGCGAGGAGGGGCAGGAGGGACACTGCCGATAAGAGGGTTCGATCGAGCTTCGCTCAAAGCTTCATTTCGAGCTTCGGCATCGGGATCGTTGACGAGAGGATCAGATCGAGCGAGAGGATTGACAGCTGGTGATGTCTCCTCTGCTGTGGAAATCTTGGGACCTTGTCGGAAGGCGAGAGATGTGGTGAATGGTCTTTTACATGGTGTAGCTATTCTTGACAGCATTGCGCTGCCAGATCTGAATGAAGCGGCCCTAAAACATTAGCCTTAATCAATTGTATTATCAGATATACTCACATTTTGCGGACAGTATCACCAATTGGCTGTCGTCAATAAACTGTTCATCCGATGAAGCAGAAAAGTCGCGATAACTCGGAAAAATGTAGGTGCGATAAGGCGGTAAATTGTGGATCTTGTCGGCCCCACCACAAAGAACATCTTCAGCCTCGTGCAACATTGCGCCGTTCGTTGCGCAAACATCTCGACTTTTCGCGTCGGAATTTTTGACTCACGCGATATTCTTACTACTGCGCTTATTGACGGAGCGCCATGGCTTATAATCCTTATGGCAGTATGTTTCCCATTCTCCAATGCGTTCAAAGCTAACATCGCAGACAATCCCTACGGCGCGCCTCCTGCCTATGGAGGTTACCCCGGATCAAACAATGCCCCTCCAGGAATGGCTCCTCCACCTGGTCTAGGTGCGCATACTTTTGAACACTCTCTTTACCAGTCTAACATGTTTGTAGGACCTCCTCCAGGCATGTCTTCTGCTCCAGGAATGGCACCTCCAGGTGTCCAGCAGTCTAGCGCCCAACAAGCTAATCGTCCAAGCGGCCTACCACCCAGCTTCCAAGCGCCCGCCAACATGCCCAACATCAACTTCAACGCCCCCGTGATCCGACTCGGTACCTCGCAGCAAGGGAAGCCCGGTACACCCACGGGAGGACGTGAGCCCCCAAGCGGTGGACGACCTGGCCTCGGTATGGATCGAGGAATGGACCGCGATCGAGGAGCGAGAGAGGTTGTTCAAGTGCTTGTGCCTCCTACGAACGAAGAGAAGCTCCGAACGATCTTTATACATCAGATTTCTGAAGGCGTTGGCGGTGACGATGGTATTCAACGATTGTTGAGTGCTGTTGGAAAGCTGCGCAAGTGGGATTCTGCTGCTAGTGTCACAGAAGATCACAAGGGGGTTAAGTTTGGTTTTGCTCTTTTTGAGGATCCGTGGTCGCTTAGCACAGCAGTCAAGCTACTTCACGAGGAACAGATCGAAGTTCCCGTGAAGCGCCAACCGGTTGCGGTCGACGGTCCAAAAGACGATTACGAGGGTATCGAAAAGACAAAGCTTCAAGTTACGGTCGACGAGAGTTCACTCAAGTATTTGGAGTCTTATGAAGAGTCTCAAGATGGATCCATTGGGATCGAGAAGCTCGAAGCTGCTAGACTTGCATTGAAGGATGTTGTTCGCGATTTGTTCTACCCCAAGACGAATATCATCAGCGAAGACGTCACGATGGGCAATACCGAGGGTGAAAACGTCGAAGTGGTCAATATTCCTTTGGCTCAGGAGGACGAGCTTGCCGATATTCCTGCTGAGATGCGAGAAGTCGTTGCCCAAGAGATTGCTGCTTTCCGTGAGAGGAGCAATCAACGAGACCTCGAGCGCCTACGAAAGGAAGAAGAAATGGAGGAGATGGAGCGACGACGAAATGGACCATCACGATCTCGACTCGATTCACCACCCAGTACAAACAACGTTCCTCTCGGCCCAAGAGGTAGCATAGCGAATGCCCCATCAGGCCCCAAGGGACAAAACGGACGAGTCGCCTTTGTGAATGGTGGTATTTCCAACACCGACCTCTCCATTCACCAAGAAGACGAAGATACAGATGCCGACGATGAAGAGCTTTACCAACGACAAAAGTCAAAGAAGGATGAAGAAGACGAAAAGGTTTACCTCGAAGCTGAACGAAAGTGGTCAAACCGAGAACGATCAAGACAAGCAGCTATAGAACGAGAACAAGAGCGAGAACGTCAAGACGCCGAGTCATTCGAGCAACGGAAGCAAGAACAGCTGGAGAGAGAAAAGGCCTGGGATGATGAGAAAGAGGCTAGTCGCAAATCACACCCATACTACCGCGACCACAGCGCCTGGGCTCGTAAGCGAGCAGCAGACCGTGCAGACGAAGAAGCACAAGACGAAGCAGACCGAAGAGCAGAGCATGATGAACAGCGTCGCGAAAAGGTCGAGATGGAACGTGCACGCGGTATGGCCGACTCGTTCCTCGACAAGCAAGCTGAAGAAATGGAAGAACGACAAGCTCCCGCCGCAGCACCGCAGCCATTCAAGCTATCCCTCGGAGCCGCGGCTCAGAAGGCCCAGGCATCCAGGGCAGCTCCCCAACGGCGCACCATTGCAGAGGTTGAAGGTCTGCTGGATGATGAAGAAGCTGACGCTTCTACCAAGCGACAGTTGATCCCTATTAAATTCGAGCCTTCTTCTGCTACGGCGCATATGACGGATGAGGAAATCTCACAGGCTGTTAGGTCTCTGGCTCAGGAGATTCCATCGGATAAGGATGGTCTTTGGGGTTGGGATGTCAAGTGGGATTTCATGGATGGTGCTGTCATTAAGGATAAGCTCCGACCGTTTGTTGAGAAGAAGATTGTTGAGTATCTTGGTGTTCAAGAGGAGATGCTTGTTGAAGCAGTTGAAGAGCATCTTCGTGCTCATGGCACAGCAGCTGCTTTGGTTGAAGAACTAGAAGGCGTACGTCCCCTCTCCCCATTGACAGTATCATTACTAACATCTACAGGCCCTCGACGACGAAGCAGAAGATCTTGTCAAGAAGCTCTGGCGTATGGTCATCTTCTTCACCGAAAGCGAGAAACGAGGTCTACCAGCATAAGTGTTGTAAAATGTATTATTATTAATCGAGTTAATACCAGAATAGAGACGAGGCGTTGTCGGAATAAAATGAATACAATCTGATCGGGAATAGAAGTGATTATTTGATCCTTGTCGTGTATTGAGGGGTGATCGATCGTCTGGGGTGAGGACCGAGGTGCCGAGGTTCCCCACACTTTATTTGGAGCTTGATTTCAATAAGAGCTTCATGTCGTCAACATTGTAGCAGTAAATACATCAATTCATTCATCACAGTAATAACAACATCAATTCACGTCAATTCGCATCAATCACAATTTTCATCATGTCACTTTCACCACCAGAGGTTCCAAATGTGGTCCTCTCATACCCCAAACCTTACATCCTTCTCGTCACGCTCAATCGACCCAAAGGTCTCAATGCGATGCAGCGACAGATGAGTTTCGATCTTGATCGTCTTTGGAACTGGTACGATAACGAACCTTCTCTACGATGCGCCGTTATCACAGGTACCGGTCGAGCATTCTGCGCGGGAGCAGACTTGAAAGAGTGGAACGTCAAGAACAATGAAGACAGCACAAAAGAGGTGGACAAGTGGGCAGACAACGGTTTCGGTGGCTTGAGTAACCGTCGTGGTAAAAAGCCCGTCATTGCTGCTGTCAACGGTCTTTGTCTAGGTGGAGGAATGGAAATGATACTTAACCTCGACATGGTCATCGCGAGCGACACAGCGAAATTTGGACTTCCTGAAGTGAAGCGTGGTGTTGTGGCCTTGGCCGGAGCTTTACCCCGTCTGATTCGCATCGTTGGACGACAACGTGCATCAGAAATCGCCCTTCTTGGACGCATGTACACGGCAGAACAAATGCTCAACTGGGGTGTTGTGAACAAGGTTGTCTCGCTCGAGGATGTGGTACCCGAAGCTTTGAACTGGGCGGTGGAAATGTCTAACAATTCTCCCGATTCAGTTATTGTGTCGCGCGAGGGATTGCTGGGTGGGTGGGAGGCTGAGAACCCCAAGGATAGTACCAACAGGATTGAGCATGGGATTTATAAGACAATTGAGGGTGGAGATAATATGAAGGAGGGCGTTATGAGTTTTGTTGAGAAGAGGAGTGCTGTTTGGAAGAACAGTAAGCTGTAGGCGGCCGACGAAAGAAGAGATTAGACTAGTTATCAGTTATTGACCGATCAATGAATCATGTATGATCGACATAAGTACTCAGTCTCTGTGAAACCTGGCATTTCCTAACCGGAGAGTTTGCATTGTACCATCAACGTCGATGGCGCAAATGTCTCATTCAAGATTGAGGGAGTCCCGGAGACTCAGAGTCATGTTGCTGTGGGCACTCCTCTAGGCACTGTAAACGAAAGCTGCATTACCCGGGACGGGCCTTGGTAGTGGTAGATAGCGTCCGAGGTGGGCTGTAGATTGCCTACGATTGGTATACGCTCAGACTCTCAAGGGAACCGGGTCCCCGAAAAGAGGGATGTAGATCGACAAAGCGAATCTCTCCGGCAGCCACAAAGACAGATCAACCATCCAATAACCGTAATTGGATTTTCAGCTCGACGCAGGTAATAAGCCTTGTCGCGATAGTGGAAAGGTAATTCCACAAGTTGCCGGCACTTGCTGATGATTATTGAATTCTGGTTGGTGAATTTCACCTGCAAGGATGATCAGGTGGAGTTGGACGGCAGAGCTCCATCTTGGTTCGACGATAGCTCTGGTGAATGTCTTGGGACTGAGATTGTACACCAGTTAGAGTCAAGTGGCCCCTTTAGAGGGTATCGCCATGACAAAGATCGACGCAGGGCATCAAATGGTCAGCCCGGAAAACACCCACGACCTGTCCACTGGCGCAACCTCCAAGACACTCTTACCAAGTTGAGTCTATCGCATCCCGCCCGGTATGCGGTTGGGTAACAGAAGAATTGACGGCATGCGGGCAACAGAGAATTGACGGCCTGCGTGGGCACGGAATTGACGGCATCTGCGGGGATAAAGCCCGGAATGAAATAGTCGTGAACGGTGTACATAGCTTTGTCGATCAGAACCGTAAGTCCTGGTAGCTCGATGAGATCTGAGACAATCCAAACTAGCAAACATAAGATGACTGTTCCCCGACCATTTCGTCCTTGTCCTGCGTGATGCCACAGTGTCGCCAGTCTGGAGTGTCACCGTTGAGCTGGGTTGTGCAACATGGATTACACTCACCTTGCGCCGAATTCTGCGACGGAGTCTCTCAGAGACCACCCCTCATCAACTCGTGATTTTCAGAGTCGACCACAAACTCCAATGGGGCCTGTAGTCGCTGGGGGTGAACCTGGACGAAAGCCTAGAAAGCTTGTTCTTTGTTTTGATGGAACTGGTAATAAGTTTCATGGCGATGATAGCGACAGCAATATTTTGAAGATCTTTCGAATGTTGGATCGCGAAGCGGATGATCAGTACCACTATTACCAACGTAAGTAATTGAGCGTAATTGAGATTCGTGGCTAACAAACTCAGCTGGTATTGGTACATACGTGATCTCAGGATCTCTCACCCACACCGGTATCAAGGCTCGCTTTAGCTCTTGGTACCAAAAAGCCAAAGACTCTGCAATTGGTTCTTCCTTCGATCAGCATGTCGTAGGAGGTTATCGATTCCTCATGCGATTCTATAATCCTGGCGATGAGATTTATATGTTTGGCTTCAGTCGAGGAGCGTACATTGCGCGATTCCTGGCCGAGATGCTTGACTATGTTGGTCTCTTGTCGCACGGTAATGAAGAAATGGTCAAATTCGCTTGGAAGGCGTTTTCTCAATGGCAAGGTCGTGAGTCAGTCCCCGAAGACGATGAAGAAGACTGCAGCAAGGAGCCCGACAAGCGAACCAAACGGATAAAAGAGAAGAGAGAGGAAATGTTTCGATTCATGAAGGGTTTCAGAGAGACGTTCTCCCGCCCTGTTGGTCGTATTCGTTTCCTTGGCCTGTTTGACACAGTCAACTCGGTTCCCAGCTTTGAGACTGCTTGGATGCAGCGTAGCAAGTTTCCCTATACCGCACGAAGTAGTGCTAGGGTGATTCGTCATGCCGTCAGTATTGACGAAAGACGAGCCAAGTTCCGTCAAGATCTCATGTATCAAGATCGACCAAAGCAGAACCCAGAAAAGCACCACCATTGGCACAAGGCCATTAATGACCTCCGTGAAGACATCCGCGAGGACCTTCATCCCCACGAAGAGCGAGGAAGAAAGCCTTCCCACCTTTTTCCCAACGACAAGCGAGGCCAAAAGAAGGGAGGCGAATTCCAACGATATCGAGCTCGCTCAAAGTCATGCCGAAGACAAGCTCAAAGTGGTGACCCCGACACCTTCTCTAATTTGTCGGGACTTGCCCTCTCCGAGATCAACAACATCGACGACGATGACGAACAAGATATGGACGAAGTCTGGTTTTCTGGAGGACACGCTGATGTCGGCGGAGGTTGGGAGATCCACGAAGGTAGCAAGAGTACTAGTCACATCCCTCTTGCATGGATTGTTCGAGAAGCACAACGAGCCGGTCTTCCCTTTGATGACCAAAAGGTTGCTGAGATGGGCTGCTGCGTTAGCCATGATTGGCAAGCTGCTACAGGAAGACCACCCATTCCTGACCTTCGAGTTTCCAGTGGCAGCGGAGGTCCAGGTCATGCCCCAGACATGCCCATGGACGAAAAAGAAGACGACCCCAAAGAAAAGTTCCACGGAGTCATGCACGGCGCTTGCACAGCTCGAATCCACGACTCACTAGAGTACGGTCAAGGTTTGGGTGCCATTGCTGTTTCCGCTTGGAAAATCATGGAATACCTGCCCTTCCGTAGAATGGATCTCCAGTCTGACGGATCATGGAAGCCAATCCGTTGGCCTCTTCCCGGCGGCGAAACTCGTGATGTTCCTGATGGTGTTCGGGTCCATGGAAGTGTCATTCGTCGTATGAAGATGGACGAGAATTATCGTCCTGGAAATCTCATCATCGGAGGTGGTGGTCGGGGCGTTAGAAAAGCACCTGCGAAACATGGTATCGGTGATTGGGAATGCGTAGTTGATCACGGTGATCCAGTTGGTGAGATTTGGATGCGAAAGAAGAAGGACGACAGGTTGCACGATTGATCAGTAATGAACGCGATGATAGTCAGTTAATATGTTAATTAATATTTTATTTGTATGAAACGATGTTGAAGTGATGTCGAAGTGTATACTCTGTACCTATTGAATGAGATTGATCTTGAGGCAAGTGCACGTCACGTGCAGCTCCTTAATTGATGGAAGGAGCCACGCAACAAAACTTCGTCCATCATCAATGGTGCGCTGAATCAACCAGCCGTCAATTAATCATGCCTCTCGTTTTATTTCTAGGCGTGCTCGAAAATGGCATCCCCGAACCAGTCCGCCAACATGGCCGTACAATAATCTACACCATCCTCGTCCTCACATTCCTTACCCTACTCAAGATCTGGACATCCGGTCGCAACAACCCAACCCAACGTCTCCTCCATGGCAAAGTCGTGATGATGACGGGCGGAACGTCCGGTATAGGCGCTTCAACAGCTTTAGGACTTGCATTGCAGGGTGCGCAGCTGGTTCTGCTCACTTCGTCACCCCCGACCGATCCGTTCCTCGTCGAATACATCCAAGACCTTCGAGCAAAGACGAATAATCAGATGATTTATGCGGAACAGGTCGATTTGACGAGTTTTCACAGTATTCGAAAATTTGCGACCAAGTGGATTGATAATGCGCCTCCGAGACGATTGGATATGGTTTATTTGGGTGCTGCTGTTCTTACGCCCCCTGGTGGAAAGAGAAGAGAGTCTGAGGAGGGTATCGAGGAAACTTGGATGGTCAATTTCTTGGCCAATTTCCATCTACTCGGCATTTTGAGTCCTGCTCTTCGTGCGCAGCCTATCGATCGAGATGTTCGAGTTATTATCCCTACCTGCTCTTCCTACATTGGATCACCACCCCTCAAGGACCCTGTTTCTCGAGAATCATGGACACCGGGCAAAGCCTACGCTCGAAGCAAGCTTGCTATGAACGTCTTTGGTCAAGCTTTCCAAAAGCATCTCGATTCTTATGAACGTCCCGATAAAGCTCCCAACAATACACGAGTCATCTTTGTCGACCCCGGTCTGGCCCGAACCCCAAGCACTCGTCGCTGGTTGACTCGTGGATCTCTTTGGGGTTTGGCCATCTACACTGCAGGCTACATCGTTCCCTGGTTCCTTTTGAAGTCTCCCAACATGGCCTCTCAATCCATTCTCTACGCCGCCATGGACCCCGAATTCGCTCGAGGCAATGGTGGAAAGCTCATCAAGGAGTGTATGGAAGTCGACTTTGCACGAAAGGAAGTCAAGGATGATGAAATTGCCAAGAAACTATGGGAAGAGAGTGATAACCTGATCGAAAAGGTGGAAAAGATTCAGGCCAAGAAGAGAGCTGTTGAAAAGGCCGCCGAGGAAAAGGCTGCCAAGGACAAGAATGAGAAAGAGAAGGAAGCTGAAATTGAGGAGTTAGTCGACGCTATCAAGAAGGGCAAGGAAAAGGCAGCGGCCAAGGAAAAGACTGGCGCTAAGGAAAAGTCTGGCAAGAAGAAGGGTAAAAAATAGGTAATGATATACGGAACATAGACAGGCATAGACGGAGTTTGGGTTCATATCTGGTCCGACGGCTACGGGGGAGGTTCAAATGCATATATGTCGCATCCGACGGCGTAAAATCTATTGCTATCACCAACTCCGCGCTCTCCCTAATCCGTGTCCGTGTATGTGTGTATATAAGTAGACTTTCCCCTCATCATTCATCCAAGAAGTCGATGGCCTGGTGAAGAGGAAACTCTTCGTTTCCCTATCTGTATGTAACTTCGATTCTTCCTTCACTCATCGCTCACCCAAAAAGTCGAATGGTCCTGTGAAGAGCAGATTCTCCATTTCTTTGTCAACTTCGAGATCTGCCAGTAGATCCGTCATCCAAGGTTCTGGTTCTCCCGTTATTTGTAGACTCGGTACCATACCCGTGTCTTGAAACGATGATGGTGTGAATCCCATGTCTCCTGAGAACGGGTTCGTTGGTGATGCTTCGTTTGAGCCAAAGAGACTCCCGACCTCAGGGGACTCGGTAGGACCACTGCGTTCAAGATACCACTGTTCGATCCTTCTTGCTCGTCTCGCAAGATCCCAATATGGATCTGGGTCCGTATCACCACCCGAAGCAGCCTCCATTCTCAGCACGATCTGACGAAGAGTATGCGGCATGTCGAGAATACGACGAAGATGGCCTGCAACTTGTGCGTTTTCAGGCTGTCCGGCAATAAGATCGAGACGAACGGCTAGTGATACTGCGCAGTAGAGCATTATCCAGCCGATATTGGGCATACTGTCTTCTTCGCCTTGAGGAAGGATGAGGATCACGCTTATGAGTGATTTTGCAGCCGACATGCTTTGGGAAAGCCAGTCGAGAAGACGAGTTTGGTCTGTTCCTTGTTGAAGACTCTGGAAACCACCTGGACCGTAGGACATGCCGTCTGGTGAAGGTTGACAGATGATAAGATCGAGAACGTGGATTTGTAGAAGAATGGTAGCTGTTCATGTCAGTATGGTACAATGTAGAGTTGTGCTGTACTTACGACTTTCACTCAGAGGGAATGGAAAGGCTTGCTTTGTCGTTGTATATCGTTCTCTGATTCGTTGAAGTTCGGCGGGTAGTTGTGCTGGTCTTGATCCTCGCGTTGTCCCTGTTGCTTCGATAACAGCATCATCGACTTCTTCTGTGAGTTTTTGAAGATAGATTATATACGGGAGATGTCGATCTGATGGAAAAGAGCCTGCTGAGAGGAGATTGTGACAGCATTCGAGGATGTATGGTGAGTATCTGAAGTGATGCGACTTTTGCAACAAAACTGCAGAACTGTATAGTGTTAGTTGTTGTCTGTATGGTTTAAAGGATTTGATCCTCAAAAAGCTCAATCAGAGTTATGAAGAATGGTTTGACATACCTTGACGAAAGATAGTAAGTCCCTGCTAATGCTCTCATCTCATCGTGTGTCATTTCACCACTCGCATGCTTATTCTCCCTATTCAAAGCCCATAGACTTGCTATCCTTGGTCTATCGAGTCTCATATCCGAGATAATACTGGCGGCGAGTGACAAATGCTGCGTATACTTCATCGTACTCTGATGATAATGCGCCCTGACTCATTAGCAACGAACACAGACACAATGATTCAACATACCACGCCAAATGGATCAAAAGACCCTGCAACATATCCAAACTCGCAAAAGGACCCTTTATCATCCTCACAACCACAATCTCATTAAACAGCTTCCCCAGTTCTCTCTGCAACTTGCGATCGTCATGACATGACGCTGCGAGTATCGCTACGCATAAAGCTGGTTTGTCCTGGACTAACCCCTGAATCGTAACTGACTCTGGTATCATGACAAATGGAAAATGAGGCGCCATTCGAATTTTGAAGAAATCAAGACATTCTTGTCCTTTTTCGAGAGTAATCATCCCTCTTGCGAAAGGATTATGTGTCGCTTCTGTGTCTATACTTCCAGGCGTAGTAGACATACCCGGTGAAGTATCCATGAAATTCGGCGCAGAAGTCAGAGAAGGTGATCTTGATCTCGATGTCGTCGGACTCCCAGGTTCAAGATTTCTCGAAGGTCTATTCATATCAGCTCAGTCCAGTCCAATTGTTGAGTTCATATTCACTCACCCAGGTCTCAAAGCCTTGCGTCGTCTAGAAGGATTAAACACGCAAGTCTTGTTAAGTCTCAAACACCGATCACACTTCCCCGACTCTTGAGTCTTTTCGCACCGAATTTTGGCGTGAAAACATGTTTGACATGTTTTCAAGAGAGTGACATTTTCCGCTCGTGAAGCCATCGCGACTTTTGTTGTGTGTCCTTGTCAAAGATGAGAGTGTCGCACATGGCCGAGAAGATTAGACTGCTAGTCTCTTTTATTTCATTTCTCATGACAGGAAATTGATGTAATGTCATTCGTCGGGATTAACTTTACCGTGCCCGTTGATAGTCTTGCAGAGTCGTGCGTGCGTTTGGAACGGACATGGGGAAATCGGGTATGTGGCTGTGTCGGACTCGGCTTTCGGTCAATTTGTGGCGAAGCTGCGAAACATGACAGAATAATGAATACGAATCTAACCGCGTATTTATCTGTCCACGGATTGAGGCACAGACTGCTCTTATGATGCCAAGTCCGTGTCCGTTCCCACACGGCAGTTCAAGGAACCTGTCACTGTCTTTACCGGACTCGTTAGTTTTCGCTTTCGGTATTTAGAGTGATAAATCCAGGAACAGGTCCACTTTGATGAGCCTTGTAGGGCGGAATGACCATTCAGAGTGAGTCGTGAGTCTTGTCGTGAGCAGCTTGCAGGTGAGCAGATTGCAGGTGAGCAGATTGCAGATGAGCTAGTTGCAGAAGTGAGCCATCTGCATAAGCTTGCGCAATTCATTCTGGAATATTCTCGTTTTAACGTATGATCTCATTGTTCATCGATGAAGATATCTGATCTTTATGGAATTGACACGGCTTAATTGAGTCTGTTCTAGTGAGGCCTTCAAACCCATCAGAAATAAACTATTTTAGTGTACCAAGCGCGCGGTATGACGCTATTTCTCGACTCATTCAAATGTCAGTGCGCTCTATAAAAACAAGGGTAAAAGAATGTATCCTGAAGTTTCATTGATGATCAACGGGTCGTGGTGTTTAACTTGACTCAATACTGTGCCGTACAAAATGAGCTGAAACCTGTTCATGTAAGATGAGATCATGGTAAAATTCAGCCTCGAAACCTCGTGTACATCGAAGTACACTATGAGGCTCAGACGGAGTGAGTAATTGAATTATCTAAAAATATTCAGGTCATGATCAGTACTAGGTCATTTTACCTGCGGACAACACAGAGGCAAATGAGCTCATGAAACACATGTCAACAGGTATGTCATTCAATCAATCATCACTCAGAACAATCTCACCACATATTTCACATCCATCTCATCCTTGTAATTCATGAATCACCGAAGGACGATCCGCCAACTCTGCCGGCTTTCCATGACCATCCATCTCTGCCGGCCTTCTATGGTTTTCCAACTCAGCTGGCCTTTCATGACCATCTATCTCTGCAGGATCTTTCTTGGCCTCCGTAGAGTGAGAATCTGCAGGACTTCCACCACTTCCCTTTCTCTTATTACGTCGCTTCAACCACAGCCAACCCAACGCGCCAGCAACAAGAGCACCGACTCCAACTCCAACGCCGATTCCAGCTTTGGCTCCTGTGCTTAAGCCTGAAGATTCATTCAGTTCCGGTAGTAAGTCCTCTCTCGAATCGTCTTCTTCGCGTAAAGTTATTGGATCTGACCATCTAGAGCCAGTGCTTCTGTATGCTTGGACGATGGTCTTGTTGGACCAATAGTATATCCATACTTTACTCTCGCCTTCAGAGTATGCTACCGCTATACCAGAGCTTGGATTATCAGCAGTAGGCCACATCTCTCCGTAGTTGTCCCTCGTCATAGACCAGCTTTTCTCCAACAGTTGAACTTCAACGAGTTTCCTATCGGTTCCGATGTAAAAGATACTATGCCTTCGTGAGCGATCTGTAGACTGGAAGCGATCTACAGATGAGCCCATCGCCTCAAGAGACGAGTTCCAAGCTAATAGAGAGTCAGAGTCAGCCGTCGAGGTCGGGCTCGCTGGTTCGATCGTTTTGGAATTGTTGGTAAAGTTGTTTCCTAATGGTGTTGTAAGGCCACCTGATGCATGTCAGCAAGGTGGTTGGAACTTGGGACTGGGAGGACAAACGCAGTCTCCACTGTCCAGCCCGCTCTAAACGAGATGTCCAGATATCATCTTTACCTTGAGGAAAGGCAACCGTAATATTCTCCGAGTCAAAATGCATTGACCCTATCGCCATTCCCGCTGCGACACCCTGATAGACAGTTCCACCATCAACCCAATCAGTCTTTTGAGTATATCGCATCATCATGATGTTTCTCTTTTCGTTATGGTAGAAGAGACGGTATCTGGTATGGCTCAGTAGCTGAACAGCAAGTCCTGAGTTGTTGTGAATCGAATCGATTCCCGCCGTTTCCGAAATTCTATATTCCCCTTTGCGAACAAGTTTTCCCGTCACCGGATCGCAAGTATAATGCCCATTGATTATAGCGTCATCCGTGGATTGCCAGAAGATAGATGCCTATACTGTCAGCTACTATCTGCGCTCGAGGAAAGAATACGTACAAAACTACGCCCCTCGGTACTGTTGTGCCAACCTGTGGCCGCCAATGCTGTACCATTTTTCGGTGTCTCTTTCGCATCCAGAACGTTCGGCTTGTCTAGTGGGAAGACGGGTGTCCCCAACACTCTGTCGCATTTACTGTAGTAAATATTTCCCGTTGCAGGATCCTGAGCGCCGACTTGGATATGTCCTCTGAGATTATAAGCGTAAAGAGCATGACTGTAGCTTGGCTGGATCCATGTTAGCATCAACAGCCATGATAGCATGATACACTGATGTCCGCATGAAAGCATCCTCAAGTGTGAAACTTTGTAGAGCTTTAGGAGCCAGAAGTTGGGGAAGTGAGAGATTTATCGGGGCTTTCCCTCCACAAAGCCCATTCTCGCAAGTTTATAGCTTTCGGGATGTTCACAGGGGTACCCAGTAGCAACTCATTTTCCTAGATAGGAGCTTTGTATGTAAATCTTGTAATGCGGGTGTGGGATCGTCCACTCTTCGTGCCTGTGTTTAAATCATCCTGATTTCCCATTCGCTATCACGCAATACGAAGGTTGTATTCGGCTATAGGATCAAGCTGAATATGACCTCACTTCTCTCGGCTGTTGCTGAAGGTGGTAATTTGTGTCAAGGCAATCTGCAGGAGATCAAACGGATGTCTAGAAGCCGCATGGTGAATTGAGGTTACCTCAAATAAGCTCAACGAATCGCCATCTTCACTCACGATAGAGTGGATTGTGAAGCGCTCGATAAGCACCTGATTCGGAATACGAGGGAGCGAAAACTTGCTGCATTCTAAGGCTGAGGTTGCTGACATGACATCTGCCAAGATCAGCATTTCAGTCACCCATCTTTGTATTTTCGGGCCCAGCGGTCCGAGCCTTTTTCTAAGCCCTATGGGAATTAGAAGAAATCATGTGAAACAAGCCGACATTTACAAAATTGTTTCATCACTTATCTTCCCATAAAGCAGGCAGTTTGCTCTGTTCTTCTGAGCACATTGCAACTGTCAGAACAGTCCTGGAGGGCAATATGATGTGTTGGCTGTTTGAAATATGACTCCAACAAATAATTTTTGTTTGGAAATTCGAGATTACGTCTTCGTCAATGTGGTTGGTTGAATTGCACATTACAGCCTGCTTTCTGCAGCTGCCAAGTTTGGCCCCCAAGTGGGTGGCACTGGCTCGATTTTGGCACATTTTACAACCTCATCAATAAATCACGGCAAGAGCCTATCGCTTCTTTCAGATCATATCATACATTATTTCCAATGTCCTTTTTGATCGCACCTTCTTTTTGTGCCTTTTTCGGGGTTCCTTCCATCGCGGTACGTTCCTCTAACGTCATTCTCTACCGTGCCTGCCTGCATCATCTGCCTTCGTCACTACCGTGCCTTTAGCTCTCGACTTTTTTATTCTCTTCATTTTCACTTCCAACTTTGACAGACCGATTGAACCGCTGGACACCACACGATGCCTTCAACAGATTTTGAGTTGTCCCATATGCAAACTTGCGACGAATCAACATAATCTACATCGCGACTGGTACGTACGCTGCATCGTGGTCAATTTCAGACTTGCTAACGGTACCAAATCGAAGATCATCCGTTCATTTATTCTTATCATCCACACGACTCAAGCCGTTCACAAGAGCAACGCCGCTTGGAAGAGATCAAGAGACCAAGAGACCGACCTCCTGGAAGATACGGACTCGGACGATTAGGCAAGCGAATGCATACCAATCCATGGTCTTAGGAGGACAGACCTCTTTGCCTGGTTCAGCGAGAACAAGTGATTGGCCCTACTCCACTATTTGCATTCAACACTCGTCTGTCGCTGCAGCACTCGCTCTTAACTCGGCCAAATACTCCCAGCTCAGAACACCTACACTCACAGGAACAGTCCTTTGAAGCATTGGATGCTCTCAAGTTTCGAGTAAAGGCTTATGAGAGTCTTATCCTCATGTCCTTGGTGACTTTCTTTGGCCTGGTTGAGCTCCGACTCTCCGATACTCAGGCCTTGTTGTTACGATCTGTTGAGCTTTAGCCCCTGCTTATGCCGGACATCATATGGTCCTCGGCATCAGGGCCACTGCCTGTTCGACCCGTCTTCGAAAGGAGAGAACCTCAACCACGCCCTCACACTTCGAGAGTGTCGTTGGGGAAGTCGAGGCGAAGGACAGCTTACCCTCAAGATGAACTCGCGGCTTGCGGGACAAATAATGGAGCTTGAGGAACGCCTTAGACAAACTCGGGAGAGGAAGCGCCATATTGAATCAGCTTTTGCTCCAGAGTCTCCCATGAAGCGAGATGAGAACAAGAAAGCGAGCTTCGCCTGGCCGCGTTTCTAGCATCGACCGCGCAGAGCGAGTCAGCATTCTATTAAACTTGACTTGGAATCTAGCTAAAGCTTTCTGAACGTCATGTCTCTCAACGCGTACAGGTTAGATCAACACAACTAATACCAACTGCTGTGAACCTAATACTTGACTTGCCATAGAAACTAGACGATTTGACTATGACATGCACACCATCCACCGGCTAAGACTAGTCGAGGTAGAGAACGCCGAGAAGAAAGACTCGAAGTCAAACTCGTGGACAACCCAGGTTGTTATAAGAACAAACGAAGATGACGGGCGACAACATATAGTCGCGAAATACATACCCAGAAAACAAACGGCTAGACCTACACCATTTCACTTGCGTTCAACTCCAGTCTATTGCTGTGACACTCGTTCGTACCTCGCTCTACACCAAGTACCTAGGTACATACTGGCAATCCTGCGTGGATAATAAGATATCAGACGCTCTCGCTTTTCACTACCTCGCTTAGGCAGCGTTCTCATCACCCAGCGATGAGTACTCTTGCAGCATGACTTCGTCCAGCGCACCACGCCACTCGACCACCCTCTCCCCATCAACTCCCCTGCGACCTTGTTCCATAACACGACGCATAACCAACGGGTCAAAGTACAAGGGCTCATCAGCACGGCCAAGGATGGGCACCACGTCAGCCAGCTTGCCGCGCCAGAGGCCGAAGCGGGCGTGGATGGCGACACGCATGCGGAAGCGACGGGACTGGTGAGTGATAATGAAGGGTACCACAAGGTAGTCTGGCACGCCAGCCTTATCTACGGCGTTCTCCTCGACCCGCACATATAAAATGTTGCGTCCTGGACCCCTGTGCGCCACTTTGACCTTGATAGCCCTGGTCTTTGTCCATGCCTGGGACTCACCGAGGTTGTAGGAGATAGATGTGGAATTGTAGCCTATCTGCATGACAAGACTGTTTTCGGTTGTCACTTCGGCGGACTGTGGTGAGCCCTTCCAACCACTGGGGCCGGGAAATGCCTTGACGATTGCCGGGTGCAAAAGCTTCTCACTTTCGTCTTCGTTGGATTCATCGTCTTCTTCATCATCCTCGCCTTGTTCGTCATCCCTTGGCGCATCTTCTATAAGGACGCGGATTTCAGCCGTCTGAATACGACTGAGCCAACTTCGGTCACCTCCTGGCAGAGACATTTGCAATTGCAGCCGGACTAGGTACGCTGGGTCGTTGAAGTACGTGCCTGCAAAAATGGGCCTCAAAAGCTCGGCTTGGAGCAGCGGTGATGTCCCAGACGATATGATGGGTCGCGGTATGGAGAGCTGGGCCGGGGTATTCGTCTGCGGCGCAGAGAGTTGTCCTTCATCCTCATCGATCGATACAGTCAATGGTAGAAGGAGTGGAGATATGAGTTCGGTGTCATCATCGTCGCTATCAAATATCGACGATGGCATTGGTGATTCCGAATCTTCAGGCAATTCATCCATTACCCTCGATTTTGTGGACATAATCCTCGCGTGTAGGTAGGATTTAAGTTCTTGATGAGGATCGACTGTATCTAACAGTGTTTTCTGACGGCAAACTTACTTTGCATGTACAAGATAGGCTGTGGAGTTTGGCTCAAGATCAAGCACGTACACCAAGATATATGATTATTTGCAGTCAGTCTCACTACAAAACATTTCATTCAAAACGTGTTCTAGACCCAGGCTCCTGAGTCTAGACCGCCACATGGTCGGCCCCTGATAGTCAAAATACATGTCCTAGGGTTGCAGGCGTTTTCAACATCCTTGCTGGAAATATTGGTGCCCATCTGTTGCATCACAGCGGGCGTTATCAACTAATACGAACCAATTATCCCCTTACAACGCCTCCTCAACTTTCAAAGTGCAAGCGGCTGAAACAAACTGCCAGCTCAGCTGAGATACATGCATGTTATGCAAGGTCGAGACCACGCCACCGGCGCGTAACAGCTGCTGAAATGCATTTTCGGGGGCTACCAAAGTCTTTAACATCCTTGCTAGACACGCTATTATCTACCTACCTCCTGCAGTATATGGGTGTCATCAACTGATACGAACCAATAGTCCTATTGTGAAGCCTCCTTAACTCTCAAAATGCAGGTAGCTGAAACAAGCTGACAGCTCAGCTGAAAGACATACCATACAAGCTGGGGCCCAAAGAATAAAACAGGAAGGGCTATGACACTGATAGGGACGACATAACAGGATCGGTGCGACCTTGTTGTAGAAACGATACAACATTTCCAAATCATCGAAGACCCATCCACATTCTAATAAGTTCTGAGGCTGTACACACTTATCTATAGTCAAACGTGATTTTTCCTGCCATCATTCGAATGAACAATTAGGCAAGCTGGAAACTTTACAATGGTTACAACATTGGAACGACTGAGTGAGATATCGATATCCCCTCCCTATTGGGGGATACACACGTCCTTGTACAGTTCCTTGCCTCCGGAGGCCATTTCACAGCTCGAGCGCGCCATCTGGCTCAAGATTTCAGGACTTGCGGGAGAAGCCAGAACCACATTTGAAAACGAGCTCAAGCCTTTTGCAAAAGTCCCGGTTGTCGTCATTGAACACGCCGACTTTGAGCTTGAGGCGGGCAAATGGGGCCGGGCATGGCGGATTCTAAACTCGAGGCTTGCGCAACTTCGAGATGCCAATGAGAACCTCGAAGCACCCGAACATCGACTCATGGCCTTGACGTGGGCCATGCTCGGGACGAGGCATCGAGGTGATGTACAGTCGTCAGCTCAAGAAATCGAAAGGACGCAGCATTGGCTTGCTGAAGTACCTGTAGCAGATTACACTGACATCCAGGTACGGCAGTTGTCCCTATGAGCTCCATAACCGATTTAATACATGCTTAGGCAAGCTGCATCCGCCGATATACCATCGCGAGTCTGTTCACTAGGCTCTACTCGGGATACAAAAACTCAAAGGCAGAGCACATACCGGCACATAACAGGGCAGACGATTCCGGTGCCAAGATGCCCTGGGGTGGGCTACAATTGCTGCGGCGCTCTCTCACGCAGCGCGGCATGTTCAACGAGGCCAATGCTTTGTTCCGCGTGGAGCTGAATCGTACGTCACCAGAGGACCGCGGCGCTGTAGTTGAAGAGTTTCTGGAAGCGGTGGCAAGCATCCCTACGAGTCGTGGCCGGGACTTCATCGAGGCAGCAGTTCGCCTTCAGTGGGCCACAACACATATCCTATTACAGCAGCCTGCCAGCGCCCTCGAAGAATTTGACAAGTCTGTGGCGGCTTTCCAGAGGTTCTGCAATGACTTTGGCATCAAATATAAGGAAGCCACACCACACATGCAGGCAATAGAGTACGAGAGATTATCATGCATCGACGACCCCATGAGCAGACTAGAGCAAACGGAGGAGCTGGCCACTCGTATGGAGGCTATTGACGGCACGAAGACTGGCCTATGTTTATCGGCGGCCGCCGACCTGGCCAGGGCATATTACGAGGCCACGGCGATAGAATCGTTCTCTACCACGTATTTCGACCTGCACAGGCGCCTCGAGACGTACGACCAGATGGTGTCAGAGGACATTTGCGATCTGGTGCACCACCATGTCAATCTCATTTCCGTTACGATCTTGCGCCTCGTTGATCGCCAAAGGGCTCTCGAATGGGTCGACGCCTTTTTTAAGGAATATCCGTTTTTCGACGCCCCAGCAGTACGGGCGCTGCTTTGTCGGAGTAAGGCATCACTTCTGAGAAGTCTTCGTCGATTGAGCGCGGCCCACGAGGCCAATGAGGAAGCAAGTCAACTAGAAGCATCTGGGCCATCAATAGGTAAATGGATGCACACGAGACAGGGTGAGGGCGAGGATGAGGAAGAGCCATTCTACTGGAGCTGGCAAGATGCTATTGGAGACGAGGGAAAGACACAAGAAATGGCCATTCAGCTGGTATTAAAGTGGCTGCTGGATGACATCGCTGTTGGGAACCCTGCCCTTGAAGAGTTCAGGGGGGTGACAGAAGCTGGGCTGAAAGATATTGTCTTCGCCAAAGCCGTCGAGATCGATGGATTAGCAGAAGGATTGTACAGCCGTCTATGTACATGGCTCGGCAACCCCCCAGAGCGCCAAAGAAACCGCCGGTTGTTCTGTCTGGTCATGCTTCGGCACGGGAGGCAGATGCACCTTTCTACTCATAAACTCTGGGACTCACGCCTCTCCGAGCTTCATCACCTACTCGAGCTGGAGAAAGGCCTCCCCCAGACCATCCGGGATAACTTCCCTGACAGTAAAGGAAGTTGGCTGGGACAAATGGCATTCATGTACATGGCACCTTTTGATGACTTGGCAGACCTTACCAGCGCTAATTCGGGAGAACGATTATCAAGTGCTGAAACATACAACGACCTCGCTCTGGATGAGTATCTTCTTAGAGGGGACATGGGCCAGGTGGCTCTTCATCAACGATCTGGGGCACAAATCTGCATGCTCAAGATCATACGACTGAGGCAGCTGGCGCGGCAATCATCGAGCGCCAATGATGCCAAGTGCAAAACAGCAGACAATGGGCCAAACGGGATAAATGACGATGATGCCTTTCTCCCAGACGATTCTGTGGCGGAAATCCGCAAGCTCCGTGCCAGAGGAATCAAACAAGCCAAAAAGGCTGACGGGATATTTTCGCAGAGCGAGCTCCACGCCTCATCAAGCTCAGGCCTAGAAGGCATCACCCATCGGCAGAATATCACCGCGTTCCATGCCAGTGCATTCACAGTCTACACAGCCATCAAACTGCTCCTCGCAGCCCCGGGCCAGCCGTCTGGCAAGACGATCAAGGCGGTATGGCGGTGGGTGCAGAAGTACAAGGCGCGCTCATTGGCGCGGACGATCGGAGTGCGTATCATCGATCCGCCCGAACTGTTGAGTAAGATCGAGGCGTCTCCTGACGCTGCCCGAGGCTACGAAGAGATGCGGGCGATGGAGCAGCGTATCAACGAGTCGGTTGGGACGGCCAAGTTCAATCTGCGTCGGCAGCTAGACACGCATCTACGAGCCATGAGAGAAAAGCAAGATTTAATGCGGCAGCTCATCGACTTGAGAGAAGCTCAGCCATTTGACTTGTCAGATGTTGCCAGCATCGAAGCTCAGAGTGGTACAGACATTGTTCTGGTTGACTGGTTTCACCTCCCTGCATATATCACTGGCGACGTCGACAGACTGTTGCTGTTCACAGTTAAGAGCCGATCTAAACCAACTATGGATGTCTTGACCACGAGAGTAGAAGACGTGATTGCCTGGCAGGAAACATACCTCACCTCCGGTAACCTAAAACACTCGCCGGAGGCACGCAAAGAATTCGATACAAAGCTAGGTGGCCTCGTTGCTCCCCTTGCCCGCCATGTCAAACGCAGCGAGCTCGTTGTGCTGTGTCCATCATCCCATCTCCATCGGCTCCCACTTCATGCGCTGGCTATCGGGAAGTATTCGGCGCTGATCCACCGGAATCCCGTTGTTTATACACACAGCCAGTCGCTGCTACGCTCGTGCTTCGCGGCCACGGGGCTGGCGCGCCCCTCTCCGGCGCCCATCAATGCCCAGTTCATATCAGGCATTGCAAAATCTGAATCCGAACGCTACCAGGCAGGACGTGACAGCATCATGAAGCTGGCCCATCGCTTCAGCAGTAGCCCAAGAATCGACAAGAGGGCTTCAAAGAAGGGCTTTCTGAGACGCGTTGGTAAATCACGTCTGCTTCATCTGCACACTCATTGCAATTGGAACTCGATGAATCCTCTGGATCACGAGGTCGAGTTCCCCATGGTGAATTCGCTGCCCGAGCGGCAGCGCCCAGTTGAGAGCATGACGGCCCGGGAATTCTTCGACATCCAGGTCTTGCCGGGCACACACGTCAACCTGATAGTGTGCGGAGGGGGCGTTATGGATGTACGACTCGGAGATGAAGTCATGGGGCTCGTCCCTGCACTGATGTGTTCGGGAGCCAGCTCGACTATTTCAACGCTGTGGAGTATCAGCGATACGCATGGGGCGAGGTTTGAGAGGGAGTTCTTCGACTCATTCCTTAAACAGAGCGTTTCTAGAAAGCTTCAACACTTGCCTGGAACGGACAATGACACATCAGAAGCTAGCAGTAGCCGCTTGGGTTGTTTGGTAGATCTTGCCAAAGCGATGCAGCTAGCCTCTAAGGATGTGGATGAGTACGGGGATCCGAGGTCTCTCTACGAGTGGGCGGGCTATGTGCTCCACGGTTGCTGGCAATTCCCACTCTCAGAGGGAGATATCAACGCACTACAACCTACGTTGAAGAGGAAGGGCACCCCTAAGTAGCTTGTCGCCAGTGCTGCGATTCCAATATAAGTCCTTGAATGCATCAACTCACTGAAGGCCCCTTCGAAACAATCGTTAGTATACTCGATGACTGTCTTACACCTTTAGATTCACGACCGAGATGCCTTGTTCACCTTTCTCTGGGTATCAGTTTCTCCAACTATGGCGCAACATTTCGATTCATTTCAGTCGATGCTGCGAATTCGACGTTCATCGCCACATTCCCTATATCTGCTCTGGCTCGCATGCTAGGTCTCGTGTCCGAACCGCTTAAAGACCCCTTCCCTAACACACTGCCGATACTTACTACTGCTCAGCAGAAAGCTGCCAGGGCTATCAAGGTCATCAATTACAACCACTCTGGATCATTGAACGAGCCGAGGGCATAGTCCACGAGGTTCATTTTCCATTCGAGACTAATCAATGAGGCTCTAGTGCCCAATGTCAAGAATTTTTCAGCTTTGAGAGACTTGACAATAACGTTGACTTCTCAATACGTCCCTTTGCCTACCGAAACCTCAACCTGAGAAAGGCTGGGAGTGGTCAATAAGCACAGATAGAGAACTCGCAACGTTGGGTAACAGGACTGGTACACCTACGTTCGATTATCTTGTCTCGCTATCGCCTGCTGATTAGAGCCAGATGTCTGGACCCGAGCGTCAAAGTCAGGAGACTTCTCTTCCACCTACTCTTTCCCAAAACTGAATCGTCAACGAGAGTGGCACACACTTTCGAGACGCCAAACTTCGTGCAGGTCTGCAATCATCTCGCACCACCCTTGGGAGGTTTGAATTGGGAATCTTTTGTGCACAGGCTGATGCCTCCTCTGCGTCTAAAAGTACCAGTAGAGGCAGAGAATTCTGAGAAGAAAGGCTCGGAGGCAAGATCGTGGACAGCCCCTGTTTTTACAAAGACATATGAAGAGACGGGCGATAACATATAGTCGTGGCAGACGAGTCAGAGTACTAAGAAGCCTCTCAAGAAGAGCCAAATCCTCGATAAATGATCGAGCGGTATTAGCTTGAGTAGGACTAGTCATCAGATGATACTTGATCCTACTCCGGACCATTAAAGAGGTCTTCACTTCACAAGAACCAATCATGGCTCACTATAATGATAAAGAGAATAAGCTTCTACGGAGCGCTCAGTCAGAAGTGCATTCAGCTGCGCGGACGGTTTCAAAGTCTCAATTGATGGAATTCCACGAAGGGCATTTCCGTCTACCTCCGTCTACGAGCACTACGAACTGGTCATAACACCAAAACTTTGGAAATCCTCGACTAATGTCTCTCTTCACAGTTAGGCGTCTTTTGATCCTGCGAGGTGATAGGTCCTCAACTCCAACTCTGCATATTTGGGGTTACACGAGCTGCATGTCGACCCTACCATCACCTGCACGACCTGCAAGTCAGCCCCCGGTGTGTAGCTGGCCAACAGAATCACCCCAAACAACTCCAAGATGGTGTTGCAACGGCAATAACCCGAGCCTGATAGGTCTCAGTACCCGAGAGCCTGATCTTCACAGCCCAGTCCTCTGGCTGTTCAACAATTATCAGCACCTACAGCCCTTTCCCGAAATTTTGAGCCGCAGTCATGAGGAGGGGTCAAAATCGGGTGTTCAGCCCAGTGTGATCTCTTGAACCCTCAAGGCAGACTGCCTCAATTTGAGAATACGCCTAACAAAACAAGATCACATCACCATCGCATACTGCCATCCTGACGATCTCGAAGTCATGAAACACAATTCTATCCTGGCGTATAGACTGCGGCTGGACGACGTCCAGAATTGGCTTCGGAACAAATTTAACGATCAGTCGATTGTAGTCGAGGTGAGTGATGAGTGACCGCCATACGTTTATGCCTGAAGCTCATAGGAAACAGAAATCAGGAGAGGAATTTGTCTTCTACCTACACAAGACTCTGACTCCTGTAAGTATTGCCTGTGAATGAATCATGTGGCTTTGCTTATGACTGCTATAGGCGGAGAAGGAGGAGATTCTGGATCTACAAACTTGATGAATCAGATACAACAGACAACAAATACATTTTACACTTGTTAAGCATTTTCCGATTCACTTTATCTCCGCGCAATCTAGCTGAATGGGTTATGACCTGAATGAGTCTCTCGGCTGCATTCAAGAGGCCTCGCATTGCCTCACACTCCGCCTTGTCATACTTGGGGTAAACACGCTGTCTACCATCGCCACCATTGATTTCCCCAGGATTGAATCTCATTGTCTCATTTACCGACAATCTCTCATTCCCCGACGGCATTTTCCAGCACATTTGATCAGGCTGTGCATTACCGTCCGTCTGACTCTGTAATTGTGATTCTCGAAATCATATTATAATTAACCACTTGATCTCATCGAGCTATCGCATCTTCTACTAACATCTTTCCCAGTCTTTTATCTTCCAATGTCATCATCAGCGTCGTCATCACGTCCCAGCACGCCGGAACTCTCCGAGTCAGAGCAACGCTTTGATCAAATATGTGACTCCTCACACAATTATCCTGTTGGCTTTGCTAGTGCCCGCGGTACAAGGGCATGCCAAGATATTGCTGACACTTGGGAAAGCGAGGCGACACGCGTATTTCATCCGAGATTGTGTGCTCTGAAGATCTATGAGACATGTGATTGCGGTACACCTTGCAATTGTCAGTCTATTGATGCTGAGGTCAAGACTTTGGATGAGCTTGTAACTCGTTTGAAGCCAACGGCCAATTCTCCCAAGATACGATAAGTGTGAGTAAGCTATCGAAATACAGGAACTGAGCTGACTTACAAAGCTCCATCAAATCGAAGCACTCCAAAGAGAGACTGTCATGTCCTGTCAATACGTTCAAATACATTTGCACCTACCAACAAATTCCTCCTTCATTTTTCACTTGTCTATACTCATTCAGACGCTCACTCTCTGCACATGAGTGGTGCAATCTACCTCAATTCAACGATGATAACACTCTTCTCTCAAAGGAAAAGCACATCTTCCCTCTGCAAGGGCTCAACCGCTCTGGACGGGAAATCAGATATTCATTCGTTCTGCGATCAGTCGAGAGTTCAGACTCCATCACAACTAAGGGTAAATCTTGGAGTATTCGACAACTGGCAGTGTACCACTCGTTCGATGTCGTGAGTGGTCAAGCACTATGGGTTACATGCAAGGGAAATACTCTCAATGAAGAACTCTTCAAAGAGGCTTTGAGTGATTCCAAAGATGAACTCAACTCTGTTCCACAGGCCTTTGGGTTCTCGCTGGAGAACTTGAGAATGATCCTCGACTGGTGCGACAGTAACTGGGTCTTTTACATCAACGAACTCTTCGACAACGTCAAGCCCAAAGTTGACAAAGCCAGAACCCCAGGGATACACGATGAAGCCAGACTCAGCTCTGATGTGCGACGAGCAACAGGTCTCACCGAGAGCCCTACCGAGAAATCACCCGGGTGTACGACCGTCACGTCGGACACGAGCAAACATCGGGTTACCTACGAAGACCGCATGAAGAAATTTGAGGACAGAATGAAGCATCTCGAAGGGGAAGATTGGGTGCAAAAGCTTCACGACTTTTCATTTGATGAGCTTCAAGGGCTTCAGCAGGGTCTCGAGAAGATTCAGGAGGCTCTTCTGGTTCTCAAACTGAACAAGCAGGTCATTCGACAACTTCGAGGGCATTATGAGTGCATTCTGAACGAGTACAAAATTCCAATACTCGAAGGTATCCAGGATGAGTGCAAACTTTCATTCCTCCAATTTTTCCAGAGATCAAAGAGTGTCGAGGCCAATCTTGAGGCTCGACAAATTCAGCTCGAGGCACTACTCCTGCTTGTCAAGGAGAGCAAGGAAATGGTATGTCGTTCACTCTCTAGCAAGGACGGAAGCTAACTTCTATAGTACAATTCCATTCTACAGTACAAGACAATCCAAATTAACAAGATCTACGCCGAGAGCGCTCAACTATCTGCTCTTAAGATGGAGGATATCGCGTTCAAGACGAAGCGAGAAACGAGTTCGATGCACATTATCACTTTTGTCACTCTTGTCTTTCTACCTGGGACATTCATGGCTGTAGGTTCTCTGCTCTTCCTTCTTCATTCCCTTCTTCTCCATTTCCCCCTCTCTCCTTCAAATACTGATGAGTATAGTCCTTTTTCCAAAGCGGTATCCTTGAATGGCCTCATCTCAATGATGATGAGCCATGGACACTAAGTGGGCCTTGGAAACTAAACGATCAAGTTTTCGGGTTGTTCTTTGGAATTTCCGGGGGCATCACCATTATCACTGTTTTGTGTTGGATGTTTTTTATGCTTCGTAGGTCACTTCGGGACTAGATGTGCTTGCTTTGAGCGAGGCGCAAGGCGCGAGCCTTTGGTGTTCTTCATTTCTCTCTTATTCCCATTTATTTCACTTCTGCTTTTTACTTCTTCTTTTCCTTTCTCACTTCATTATTCCTCTTTTACTTACATCTTCATCCTGGCTTTTCTTACTCTTCTTCCATCTTCTCCATTTCTGCCATTCTAGACAAGATTCTGTTTACAGATGATAGATTTCACAATCCTAAACATTTCAAGAGAATACAGACTTCACACATGCCCAGTAATTGCGCATCTCAAGTGATACAGTATGTCTCTGTCCATACTGAGGTAACACGATTCAGATGCAAACAATTAAACAGTCCAGTATCATCACGAGCGGCTACACAGTTCGAACAAGTAATTGCAACTCCCAGTCGCCATTCAATTAAATGTACAATTAAAATGTCTCAACATCTTACCTCGTACCCATGCAATCAATCAGGCAGAAACTGTGATATGATGTCAAGGCACACCGGATTTCAACTCAGAGCCTCGTTTCCCCTCTGCATTTCAACCCCCCTTGACCACCATGCCCCGCGTTCGTTGGGCGTTCTCTCATGAAGAGGATTTGTAATATGGATATAATCATGAACCTCATGACGTGCAGTAGTTCAGATCAGCCCTGTCACTACCAGATGAACATGAAAACGGCCCCCATACTATAGGGCGGTGGCTTTGTTTTCGAGGCATATTGCACAGCCTTTAATTGTTCACTGGTAGGCTTTTCCGATGGTGTCTTGGGAAAGCCTGCGATGAAATGCAGTGCACAATACCTGCACACCCTTCTGGTCCGATTAGGAAAGCTGAGATGGTCCGAGGGGGGGCAAGAGTAAAGAGCTTGCACTTGCCTTTTTTCTCATGTAACCCAAAGATATATTTTGAACGAACTGCTCTTTCCTTACCCTCTCAGCAACTTCCTTCCCATCCGCATTTTTGTCTCTTGCTGAGGTGCACCTTCCACTCGTTTACACTTCACCATTTGCATTTTCTCTTTCCTCCATTTTGAAAACGCCAACCTATTTCTCTCTATCTAATTGACACACTATCCTATCAACGCCTTCTTACGGCAAACGCCTACCATCACGCGCCTACTACTATTTTCAGCAGACTCTTCCAACACAGACTCGCCAACATGGCCTATTCGAACCCCCCGGAGCAGCGTCATGACGAGTTCATCAAATTTGTCCAGCGCGAACTCCAACCAGGCGTTGACGGCGATAACAACGAAGTCGAATTTATTAGTCCATCAAAAACTTCAGCATGGTGGAAGAAACGAAGCGAGAACCGTCTGGGTGACGCTATCAATCCACAAATCAATGCGCGCGCTGCAACGATCGAGAAAGGCTACTTGAACATCTTCTCTATCCTCGCCTACATCTCCAAGACGTACTTGATCAATCACTTCACATCCAATGGCTTCCAAGACCAGCAATTACCTTTACTCGACACACGCCGCTTTGGAACAGATGTCGCACTCGTTCGCGATATGGAAGACTTTGTCGAGCACCAATGGACGTTCTGCCCCGTTGTGTTCTTTAGCCATATGCCAATGGACAGAAGGGTTCTTCCATGTCGCCAAATCTTACCCATCAAAGACGAGAAGAGAACTACTGCGAAACCAAATCATGCCAAATCGGTCATACGCATTGTTACACTGCATCCAGAGTGCTTTGACCCAACCTGGAGCCAATCAGTAAGTTAACTGTCACCTTCTACATTCTTACTAACACTCCCAAGGGTACTGTCGTCTTCAAGGAATATCACACACGAGAACGAGATACTTTACGAAATGCATGGATCAACGAGTATAATGCGTTCGTCAAGATCGATTGTTGCGACCACATAGTCCAATACCTCGGCTCCTTTGAGCAAGATGATCGCTGCTTCATGGTATTGGAGTATGCTAGCCACGGCAGCTTACTCGATCTATTTCGAGAGGGCGAACCTCCATCTGCACCTGAGGAACGCAGGTACTTTTTGTACGGCATGATGGGTCTTATCAAGGCCATCGACAAGATTCAAAATCTGGGTAGCGGAACCCAGCGAACAGGCTTGTATGAGAAGATCCAGTCCTTTCAACTCTGGTATTAACTCCGATAGTGCTCACCGGGACATTAAACCGGCAAACATACTCGTCTTTCCTGGTAGGAATGGCCTATACTCTGCCGGATTCAAAATGAAGCTTGCCGACTTCGACACTGCAACGCCTGAGCTTCCCATCGATGAAGCTGAGTTTAGTGTTCAAGACAACAATGGGAACAGAACATACTGCAAGTACAATCCTCCAGTCGTGCATTGCTTCGCTAACCACCTTGCAGGTGCTCCAGAGGCTTCCAGAATATACACCTACCAAGACAAGACCATCCGAAAAGTCCCCTTGTCGTCCGACATTTGGTCACTTGGCTGTGTCTTCAGCGAGGCACTTATCTGGGTCGGTGGCGGAAGAGGTGCTCTCGAGCAAGCTGCCCGCGATCGCAGAAACGAAATTCAGACATACTATCAGATCATGGTAGGTGGCAGCTATGGAGAGTGCTTCCACAACGCGCAAATCGCACTGAACTGTGTTGTTCAATCTCAAATCGCTGCCGTCGAGGCCCTAGAGGGTCCCACGAACCTCTCGGGAAGTGTTTGCACTCTTGTTCGGGTGGGAATGCTCGTGCCTCATGAACAGAGATACTCCCCTTCATCTCTTTGGCACGATTTCAAGAGCAAATATGACTACCTGTTTCCTAGTCCAGGTAGAGCTTACAGTGCACCAACTCATTCTCGCCCTCAACATCTGAGCCCCGGAGTTTCCAGCCCAGTGTCAACGAGAAGATCTCTGAGAAGGGACGAGCCTAAATTCGGTCAGGAGTTCCATCAACGTACAGCTTCCAACCCAGGAACAGAAAGGCTGACAATCGGCGACTCCGATCGGTATCAGTCCAATTCAGATCCGACCGACACTATTCAGAGTCCTTATTATGGGGCAACCTTTAACAACGGAGCATCAATCCATCGAGGATCGCCTGTGATATTAAATCCTGGTGAAAGTCCAGATTCGCCTCGACTCGATTCGTGCGTCGATAATGCTTTGAAACTATGGACAAATGATCTCGAGACTTCACAAACTATAGCTTCGAATTCTCCAAGGATAGGTACTCCCTTGCAAGACGACCGTCGCCAGTCTTCCTACAAAAGTCCCATCAACAACCTATGGGATACTACTAGACTGCATCCTCACAGAGATCAATATTCTCAATATGGGGCTACCACTGTGAAAGATGCAGTCACTCACCGCAAAATCAAAGCCAAGAAGCAAAAGCTGGATGGCTATGATTCATTCTGTCGTCGTATGGGTCGGAGACACTTTATCTTTGTGATAGACGACTCCGATTCGATGCGCGGTGTGAAGAGCGAAGTTGTTGAGGTGGTTGAAATTCTGGTATGGTTAGTCAAAGATATTGACATATCATGCCCCGAGATTCGGTTTACCTCTAAACCAGACAAACGACACCCATCAGCATTCGCGGGTCGATTCATACCTTACACCATGGATATGCTGACCTCTCCGCTACGCCATTGGTTGAGTGGGGACGAAGCTGAGAAGGAATGCAACATGAGATACGCACTCAATCAGATTTTCAGCGATAGTTGTCTCATTGATCCCAAGAAGCCGACAAGTGTTTTGGTGTTTACCAACGGCATATGGGAGGGTGGTGCTACTGATGAACGAGGTGTGGAAGATTGCATCACGAATGTTCTCAGAAAGATGAGGGAGAAAGGAGTTAGCGACACCGGTTTCACTTTTCAGTTTGTTAGTTTTGGTGACGATCAAGATGGTCTCGAGCGGATGATATATCTTGATGATGCTGCCCTCTTTGGGGGCACTCGAGACAATAGAGTGTAAGTCATTATGCACACTACTGTACAGTACTTGGCTGACCTGTTTAGCGATATTGTCGATCACAAGAGACATACCGATAATGTTTGGTCGATTCTCACAGGAGCAGTCAGCAAGAAGAACGATGACAGTTCGCATGGTACATCGACAGGCAGGCATACCCCTTGTTAGTCGTTTTGGCATTTGAGTCATGGATAGGCGTTTAGATTTTGTCACAAGCTTTCGCTGGCGAGTATATATATGGACGATCTGATGAGCTTTATTTCTTATTGTTTGGATACCCTTGGGAAGGTCGGTGCAATTGAGTTTGATGCCATTCAGAGATGGCGTTTTTGGTGAATTGGGAAGCTATGCTGTTAAAGCCTTAGCGTCTTGTCTTGTTACCATTCCGGGTTTGAACAAGACATGGGATTGGATGGAAGTGTTAGTCCAGAGTATTTGCGTGAGCAGTTGGTTACCCTACGGTTGATCGTGGTGATCTGGGTTTAGAAGATAGGACATATCTGAAAAGCGTTTTGACTTCATATCGCGTCCTTCAAGTGATCGAATGAATAAATAAATGAATGAATGAGACTATTCTTACAGTTGAGAAATGAGTTGTCTACGGAATTGACTGTCCAAAGTTTTCTCGGCACTCAGCCAACATGGATAACGTGCTTGAACAAAAATGGTTTACAACTGAACGAAACCAACAGCAATCAGCTACTCCAAAGTCAACCAACACGAACAGCTATAGTGCTGCTTGAATGTGTGTAAACTACATGTTGACAGATGAGGCAATCCTCAATATTGTACGTCTATGTTCTCTCTGTTGGGGATGTTTAATTAACTTAGACTACAAGACCACCATACAAGCTTATAGCCGTGTCTTAGCTGAGGATAACGAATAAATGACCCGATGCTATTACTAGATAACAATGACGCCACCGAATTGATCATGATATTGTGACTCAAAGAACATGCATCACCGTTTCTGGCTGTGGTCGTGTGACCATACAGCATATGCGAGAATAGGGGGTTACTTCAAAGTGAAACATATCACATCAAATACCAGTTCTATTCTATTATCAAATCCATTCTAAACCGGTGTACTAACAAAATGAACTCGACTTTACAACCAACTGTCAAAAAGTAATTGAAGATATTCTCAGCCAAGACGTTTCATCCTCCGATTTCCTTTCCGGGGGCGGGCCACTAAACCGTAAATGCCCAAGCGCCAAAAGCTACCCTTTCAATCCTCAAGCTCCCCTCTAGCGTCATCTTTCTCTCTTCCCAACCACCACACCACAACATCACCACCATGGCCTCCTACATCGATACATCCCTCGCAGAGGCTCAGCCCGCACCTGAACTTCTTGGTGAAGTTAAGAAGCCCAAGAAGAAAAAGGTGCTGCTCATGGGGAAGTCCGGCTCGGGGAAGAGTAGTATGAGAAGTATCATTTTTAGCAATTACATTGCACGCGATACACGAAGACTGTAAGCTCTCGACTCTACCACATATTTACCCGTGCTAATAATGTATACAGCGGCGCTACTATCGATATCGATCTCTCCCACGTCAAATTCCTCGGCAATCTAACCCTCAACCTCTGGGACTGCGGTGGTCAAGAAGCCTTTATGGAAAACTACCTCTCCCAACAACGCGTACACGTATTCTCCAACGTCGGCGTCCTAATCTACGTCTTCGACATTGAATCCCGCGACGTCGACCGCGATCTCGCAACATACGTGTCCATCCTCTCCGCGCTCCTGCAATACTCTCCTTCCGCCAAGATCTACATTCTCATCCACAAAATGGATCTCGTAGTCCCGACAGCGCGCGAAAGCGTGTACGACGAGCGAATCCGAGTCGTGCGACAAAAGACGTTCGAGTATGGAAATTCAGTCGGTATTGCGGCTAGTTCGATTGAGCTTACGCCGTTTGCTACGTCGATTTGGGATCAGAGCTTGTATAAAGCCTGGGCGTCGATTATTCACGATTTGGTACCTAATTTATCCGTCATCGAGCGAAACCTTGCGAATCTGGGTCTTGCTATCGAAGCGGAAGAATTGCTGCTCTTCGAACGCACGTCTTTCCTTGCTGTATCGTCGTGGACGTCAACTGAAGGCCAACGCAATCCTACCGAAGATCGATTAGAGCGCATGTCCAACATTATGAAGCACTTCAAGCAGAGCATTTCGCGATTCACTGGTACACCACGAAACGCTGAGCAGTTTATTCGAATGGAGCATAAAGCGGGCAATCGGTTTAGTTTGTTTATTCTCAAGTTTACGACAAACACGTATCTGATGGTTGTGCTTCCGCCTGGAGAGGCTCGGTTTAATGCTGCTATGCTGAATTGTCAGATTGCGATTGAGCATTTCAGATTTTTGGATGGGCCTGCGATTCAACCTGCCAACGCAACAACACCTGCTGCTGCCTAGTGGTGATCTGCATGATACTTGGCGTTAGGTGTTGAGATACCACTTAAGTGATGGGCGTTAGATATGGGATCAATTTTACAATTTTAGTGTCTATTCATGACCTCTATGTCATTACCTTGAGAAACCAGTCGGTTCAATAATCAGATCCCAAACGCCAATCATCCATACCTAAGTCCACTTGACAACAGCGGTACCTCCCTTCTTGAATTCGGGCATCTCCCCTAGAACGAGACTGTGATCGGTGTGGTCCTTGTTGGGGAATGTTGTGGAAAGAACCCATGGTCTGTTTCGTGTCTCTTGTGAAGCTCCCTGGACAAAACCATAGACATCGCCAACAGTGTGGGTAGTGTTGAATTGAGCAGGAAGACGTGTGCCGTCAGGCATCTGGATTCGGATCATGACTGTTGGTTGAGAGTCATTGACTGTCGGAGCGCTAGAGGATGAAGGAGCGGCGGCTGGTGCAGCGGTAGAGCTAGAGCTTTCTCCAGCGCCAGGCACAACAGCTCCAAGTCGTTGACCAGAACCACCGAAAGGTCTGTACTGCTTGGGCTGAGGCTGGTATGGTGTTTCGTGCTGGTGAAGCTTGACGTCGATGGGTTGGTCATGCTGGACGTTCATGAGGTGAAGAGGTGCACGACCGGATCGAATCAACGCCAGATCGGCTTGGTTTGCGGGGTCATCGAATCGTCGGAGATCACCATCATCAATGCTGAAACCATCCTGCCAGATGTGAAGGACTCGCTCTTGGGATTCGGCGTTTTGACGAACGGGACCAAGAGGGTCAGGGATGCTGCGGCTCTCAACACCATCACCACCAAGGGTTTGTCCTGTTCCACGGAAACGACTGGGCTCGGATGGACCGGCCTCATTGTCGGCCTCGGGACGAGCAGCGTTGCTGATTTGTTAGCTTTATCTGTGGTTTCATGTCTTTGCAGATTCATTGTCACTTACGCTTTCGCCTTAGCGAGAATGTCGCTGATGAGCTTCTTCGGACCAGCTTCTTGCTGGCTAGGGTCTTGAACAGCTAGTCCGGACTTCTCACCACCAGCAAACAAGTTTCCTCGTCCATCATTGTCCTCGGGGTCGGAATCGTCATCGTCATCATCTCCGTGATCGTGCTGATGGGACGAGCCACCGAGAGATCCTAGAGTAGCGATTCCAGTCTTTCTCTGTTGCGAAGGTGCGCTCTTTCGAGCGGGTTGGCTGCTACGGGCAGCCTCTGGAGCAGGTCGACCATCGAGGGTTCGGGGACCAGTGTAGTTGTCGGGAGCGGGAGCTGTAGATGTGTCGCGGTTGTCCTCCTCGGCGTCGCGGAACCAAGCGTTGCTGGCCTCTGCGAGGTCCCAATTGTGCGCTTCAAGATACTGGCGGGCCTTGAAAATATTAGTTATGGTATTTGAATGTGAATGCAAAACAAACCTCCTCGGGGCTTGCGCCGCTCAGGCCTGCGAACTCGACGATCTGACCTTCACGGTCTGCCATGTTGATGTAATAGCGGGGTAGCTGAAATGGGATTCGGTCGGAGTTCCGGTGATGAGAAAAAGGTCGAAGATGAATCGTTGAGTTCGAGTAATTGAATAGAAAAAGAAACGATTTAGAGTTGATGTGTTAAAAGCAAAAGCAGGCAGGCAGCTCCCTCGTCACCAGCTAAGCACAGCTCTTGGTGGCGGTGGACACCCCACCTTCCATTGTGACACAACTGCTCCACCCACCACCTTCCCGCTCGGCTGCAGCCTTACGTAAGGATTCTGGGGATTGCGACGGTCGAGGGCCGAGATCGTCAACAACCTCTTTTACATCTGTATAAAGCGACGACGACGGCATCAACGACGACGTCCTTCACCGTTACGGACCATACACAAATTCACCATGGCCGACGAACACAATCATCTTGCCGAGTCCGGCGTTACATTGCACTCCGACAGCGAACTATACTCTGGAGGTGATGATCTATCATCAGGCTCAAACTCTCCCGTCATCCTCTACAAGCCTCCTACTGTTTGGTCATTGATACGTGGAGCTGCTATCAACCTGCTGCTCCCTTTTGTCAACGGTATGATGCTTGGTTTCGGAGAGCTGTTTGCTCATGAGGCAGCTTTCAGACTAGGTTGGGGCGGTACAAAGGTGAGATACCTTTTCTTGAACTTAATATGAACTCTGCTAACAAACTCAGGTCTTTCCTCTTACTCGAAGAAGAGCGCACCCTATCGGACCTGGTATCGAGCTTCGAGAAAAGCACCGCAGTCCTCGCCCTTCGCTGGACGACATTGCAAGCCTGGAGTAGAGATGCTGGAAGCTTGTATCGAGAATATTTGTTATAAATTACCGACTGAATCACATACGAAGAGCTGGACGGATGAATGCATATCATGTTAAATAATTGAAACTACATCATTAGAGAGGATCATGGGCTGTGTTTCGTTACAGAGGCGGTTCAATTTAAATATTGCACGCAGCGACATCAATTGCAATCAACTCAAATCAACTTTGTCAATCAACTCAACTATCAGTCAACTTGATCGCTGCTATCAACTCGTCACTGAATGACCCCGACAAGTCATCCGGAGATCATCGGCGACGGACTATCGCGAACCCGACATTTACCCGCCGGTGCCGGAAAACCTCCAAAAAATTCCCAGCAGCATCATCGCGCGCAACTTATCCACCCGATCATCCCACATAATACCGCCGCAATGCTTCCTAGTCGAGGAATTGTGCGCTCTTTGCCTTCGGGCGCTCTCCAGAGGCCAATCTGCGGTCAATCCGTAGGTGCAAAAAAAGCCATATGAATGATATCCACTGACATCTCTAGACCTACAGAACTCTGGGCCGAAAACTCGATGCTAGACAATTCGGTACAGTGAAGAGCGCTCGTTCTCCTCTTACGGCTGGAACAAGAGTTGGTGTCAAGAGCATTGCGGCTCCAATTGTTCTTGGAGGTGTATCTTCTTCAAGGAATTTGTCCATTTGGGGATATAGACTTTGGGGACAGAAGAAGACGGAAGAGCCCATCGCTGAAGCCGCCACGACGACACCCGAGGCTCCTACTCCTCCTGAGACTATCGATCCTACACCCGCCGTTAATGATGCTCCTATTCTCAAGGCTGAGCCAGTCGCCGAGGCTGTTCAGCCCGCATCCGTTACCCCTACCGAATTCGACCTCGAATCTATCGCCGACCTTGCCAACCCCGCCATCCTCAACATGGAGGAGAAGCTTGGTTTCTTGAAGGAGATTGGACTTGATTATGGTTGGGGTCCTACATCAGTCATGCAATGGGTTCTTGAGCACATCCACGTCTACACTGGTCTTGGCTGGGGTGGTACCATTGTCGCAACAGCTATCATGCTGCGAATCGTCATGTTCTACCCTCAAGTCCGCGCTGTTAAGTTCAGTGCCGCTTTGAACGAGTCAAAGAAGGATCCTCGCTTCCAAGAGGCTATTGAGCTTATGAAGAAGGGTTACCAAACCAAGGATAACGAGATGACTCAAAAGGGACAGTTCCTCAACAAGATGGTTCGTGAGACACACGGCGCTTCTATGACGGGCATGTTCTGGCCTTTCCTCCAGATTCCTTTCAGTTTCGGTCTGTTCCGAATCATCAACGGCATGACACACATTCCTGTGCCTTCGTTGGAAGATGCTGGTTTCCTTTGGTTCCACGATCTTACTGTCGCTGATCCTTTCTACGCCCTTCCTGCTCTTGGTACCACTTTCTTGATCTCTTCCATTGTGGTAAGTTTAACCTCCCAAATTGACCCCTGCCGAATCGACCATCTAACATGTATAGATCAACGGCAAGTACCAACCCGCTGCTCAAAGGGCCACAACCAAGAAGCTCATGTGGGTGATGGGTGGTGTCACACTCATCTTCACATCCTACCTCGCTGCCGGTGTCAACCTGATGATGACCACCACCGGTGCAGCCGCCCTCGTCACCACCACCCTCCTCAACACCCCCTCCATCCGCCACGCTCTCGGTCTCCCTGCCCAAAAGGTCGAGGAGCCCGTTTACAAGCCTCCCCGCGAGACCAAGGCCAAGGGTATCGAAGGTCTCCGCGAAAGACTGTCCGATAACCTTAGCGATATGCAAAAGGGTGTCTCTGACCAGATCGGAAACATGACTAACCAGTACAGCGGTACTGCAGAGGAACGTGCCGAGCAGGCTCGCAAGAACCAGATTCGCAAGCTCGAGGAGATGCGCCGAAAGCTTGAGCGTGAGGAGTTCGAGAAGAAGTACAAGCGATAGACGAGAAAGTGTATGAATCAAGTGTAAATATAGTCAAAGACATGTTTCAGGATCTGTAATATTAGCATTGGGGTAGCGAAATGATATACCACAAGATAAAGGCTCAAGCCGAGGGAAGTCAACAGGTCTGTGATCAACGGAAGCTTGGAAAGAAAAAGGTATCTAGCATGTATCTATCGATGTAATAAGACCATCCCACGAAAGAAGTTGTACAAAAGAAAGAAAAAAATATTGACTGAAGTTGTAAGCATTAAGCGTAAACGCATTTAACGACTTGTGTCTCAATTATAAAACTAGGCAAACACTGCCAAGGTTCTTCCTTTTTACCCTCCCGCAGCTTGTTCTCTTTTGCCGTTGTAATAAAAAGTTCCCTCCGCCACTTGGATAATGTAAATAATGCTGATGCTTTCGAAGAGAGTTAAAGCTCAGTTCCCCCTGTACTACCTCGCTTCCCTCTCTATACCCGTTTGCGTTCCGTCATGTTTATTCAGTAATACATCTTAGAAGGGCATACGAAGCCTTAGAATACGGTGCCGTCGCTCTCGATAAGGATCGGGGGCTCCTTGGTATTAGGTCTGTTGATCTCGGCAATCTCACGGCCACCCTGGGATATGTTAGTGTAATTCTTGGTCATGGACAGATTTGACTCACCCTCCAGCTACCAGCCTCTAGAAGCTGTGGCAAGGTCAACTCGTTGCCGCCCAACTCAGGCTTCAGAACCTTGTTGACCTCCTCACAGAGCAGGTCGAGGAAACCAACTGTAACACCTCTCCACTCAACGATGACATCGTCACTAGGCTCAAACATGGGTGCTACCTCAACACCCTTAGCGCCTGTCCGTTGCACCCACTCATTGTAATTCTGTAGACCTCTCTCCAGATCGTCCTTTTTGACGTTCAAGACACCCATATCGACGAAAAGACCACCGTTTCGGTACTCTGGTAGACCAGTGAGCAATTCGGTTCCGGCAAAGTGCATCTTGAGGAGCTGTTGCATGGGTTGCATAAGCGAGTAGGTGAGCCACTGAGTGAGCTTGTGGAATGGCAGAATGGACTCCCAGGCAGCGGCGTTGGAGCTGTTGGGGAAAGCGGAAACCTTGGGAGATGCGCCGGGCTGAGGCATCGCCTGGCAAGGCCAAGCATCGCCGAGGGAAACACCATTGATCGCTGTTCGGTTTGTGGGCCAGATAGGAGCAAGGCCTGTCATTAACACGTTCCACAGGACGGGCAAGGGAACGATGAGCAAGGATGATGCCTGTGTCGAGGGGTGACCAAGAAGGTGATCTAAACAATTAGCCTTGCACGGATTTGCATTTGACGCGACTTACCAATCAAGCATCCAGGGCGACCTTCATAACCCCAGAAGTCGTCCTTGGCGGCCAAAGCTTCACCCAGGCGGATCAGCATGTCAGTGCGACCTTGGATGCCGGCCATTTCGTTGCCTGGTTTTGACTGAAGGCCAGCAGCAAGTTTTTCGACTGTAAGAGTCTTGAGACCATCCTTGTCGACTTGGAATTTGTTGTTGGGGTTTCCAGAGAATAGACCCTATAAAATTAGCATTGAAATGTGTCGCGAAAAAGATTACTCACACTCTTGAACATTTCCAGACTGGCAACTGCGATACCCTCTGATCTCCTGTACACGCGACCATTCTCGTTGCTCTTGTACGTCCAGCAAGTTCCTGCGCCAGCATCCAAAAGCACACTGACGAGGAAAAGATCGATTAGACGTCGGCAGCGCTCTGTGTTGTCGATATTAGAAGGCCAGGTTGAAAGTAGCTGAGCAATGCGATCTCGACCACCAACGGCAAAGTGCTGGTATCTGCCGTGGCTAGGAATGCTGAGATAGGGGGCATCATAGTCTCGCTGTACTTTGTTAACTATTGCTTCAATTGCGGTCGCGCTGTACTCTGTCGCGTATCTTACCTTGATAATTCCAGTAACAAATGTGACCACATCGTCAAACTTGCTCATATCCACATCAAAATGCTTCAATTCATTGCGCAGAGCCTTGTCAGTGACAATCTTGCTCCTTTCTCTCACAGCACCAAGACTTTTCAGGTAACCGGCAGGATCGAGCTGAGGGTCCGGAGGTCGAGGAAGATCGATCTTTGGTAGTTTGACTGGAGACATGGGACCGGACGTGCTAGCAGCAGAAGTTCGATTCATGGGGTTGCGGTTATTGGCGGCAGCAGGCGATCTCAAGCTTGATGAGTGTGAGTTTACGCTCACATTGGATTGAGAAGTGTTGATGGCCTGATCGGCCTTTGGCGTCTTGTCTTTGCGTGAAAACAACCCCATTTTGGTAGATTTCGATTTGGTAACACAGGTGTTGTACAATTACTGTTGTAAATTATTGAATCTGGGCTGATAGAAAGACCAGACGAGAAAGTAGAGGATTCGGGTAGGTGGGGCCTCTAAAGCACGGGATGTACTGGAGGGGAAGGGTCCGTGGGCGGCGCGAGGCAGAGGAAGAGTGTGAGAGAGGGACGAGCGTCGTGCGTCGTGGGTGTCGAGGGTCGGAACGAAGCGAGAAATGATTCGACGGCGCAAGATGCGCAGCGCAGGCGTTGAGTTTAAACCTCGTGTGTTTGAGGCAAGGGATATCAGTTGATATCTGACAGGTCTGTCGCAGTGAATATGAGAGCCTCTGCAGACCAAATTAACAACCAACAAAACAAAAAGCAGTAGACGGAGAGGGAAGGGGATGGGGGTAAGAAGACGGGGCGCGGCGCTTTTGAGGAACCCTCGAGCCAAACTAACAAGCCAACTCGACTGAACTGAACTGACTGATTGACCAGGGAGGCCTAGGCATCTCGGAACCAGATGAGCAGAGAGCAGAAAGCAGTTTGAGCCGTATCCACAACAGTACAATCTACCCTTACAGGTTGAACGAAGAAAAAAAAGAGGCGTCAGGGGGTAGACCCTCGACTCCTCTGCGGGGATTCGGGGCTTGAAAGGCTTGGAGCTAGACTCAACAGCGGTCCAGGCAAAAGGACAGCCTACGAGAGACCCGAGCGTCGTTCGGGGCCCCTGAGTCCGTCGGCGATCGCGCCCAGGGAACCAAGGATCCGCAGGGATGGTCAAGCACGCACGCTATCGCTATGGCGGTTGATTTGGGGGCTTGCAGCCGCTTTGCTGCCGTTACTGCACTGAGCTTGTCTAGCTTGGTCGCGAGTCAAAGGGTTTTTGGCGTGTGTTGCTTGGCTGCAATATTTTGTTCCCCGAATCACATTGAACCCTGTGATAATTATGAATTCATCTCCGAATGAATCCTTCTTATGATGCAATTGTGTTTCTTGTATCAATCCAGGATAACATCGGACACTTTGTCAAAGAACCTTGATGCTGGACTGATGCTTGACATGACAGCCTTGTTGAATAGCCTTAATCATCGACGCAGACTATTGGAGTCGGGTCGTACTGATTGACGGCAAGTGTCTCGACGGAAATGAGATGGGCGCAGCGAGTCATGGAAGGTTCGTGACAGCCTGGTAGTAAAGCTCTTGGTACATTGCACACCAGACGGAGATGTTAGTGGATGCCGGACCAGCCAAGTGCCAGCACTAACAACGACCGACCTCGCAGTTGGGAATTGCTTTCCCAAATAGAGCAAGCGCGTATTGAATCACAGAAGAAGCGCAATTCTGCCGAATATTGATCACCGGCGAAAGAGAAGAGAGGATCGGCAAAAAGCGAGACAATTGCAACGTAGTCGGTAGATGTCAATAAAGACGAGACATTCTGGAATTCGAGACTCGTAATGAACCCACAATCGAATCAACCGATATTCCCTTCGTCTCGGCAGGCACAAATCGTTTTGTTTTCTCTCATGAGGCTAATTGAGATAAGGACGCCAGATGTCAAGCGAAAAGAGGAAAGTGGCACTTTAGAGGAGAAAAAAAGAAAAGAAAAAAGTTAGAAGAAAAGAGGGCTGACCAAACAGAACGAAGAGTTGAGATAGGGAAATGCCGCCAAGAATAATAAGATTTTGAAAATCGAATGTTGGAGGAGAGAAAAAGAAAAGGTGTCAATAATTCGACAGGTGAGGTTGAAAGTGCAGTCACGAGTGAACAAATTGGTGTTGCGGAAGGAGCCACCACATCAACCGTGCCTACCTTTATTAAACAACACAGTGAATGACCAAACAAACAAATATTTTTGCATCTTGCATCTTGCACGATACTCTATTCATCAACCAACACCATCACCAACAGCAATCATCAAAATTGCTTCTTTCTACCTCAATCGCTTAATCCCCATCTAATCTTAAGTTACAGGGCACAGGGACGGAACAGCACGTGGCAATCAGAGACACGGCGGCCCGTGAGGCTGCTTATTGAAGCTTGAATAACAACTGAGACATGTAGATATGCATGCATTTATGGTGTATGTATGTGTCTATGAACAAACACAAACACCATCTCGATTGATTACCCGCAGTATGACCTCCACTGACTCGTTCTTCAATTCCAGCGCATTTACAGAGTACTCTATACATCAGATACGAATTAATGCTAATGCTGCGGCAGATTTCCGAGTCAGCCTCATACCACCCACACAATTCACTCTTTAGGCTGTCAAGCCCTGCAGTTCCAGGTACAATGATACCTCACTGTCACATCGAGCCCCGGACCACAAGATAAGATACCGGGGGTTCCATCCTTGTCATGAAGGAATATTCAGGAACGAATAATTGTGCATCTTTATTCTTTCTTCCGAGCCTTCTCTTCTGGGAGAAATACCCGCCAAAAGGTTACGTTACCAGCACTGACTCGAGTGTCATCATGAAGAAAAAGGTTGTTCATGATCCACTGGGAGTAGCTTCTTTGTCGATCCATCATCAGGGATCTTTGTGCAGATTCCGGTCGGTGATCTACCAAGCATGGGCCATGTGAATGACAAGCGAAGGTCATTATTCGTTCTATCTAACACAAATAGCTTGCGGTCGGCCTGCCTCTTTTGCCCTATCACGGATGGTCCCAAACGAACACCGGAAGGAACTAGCTAACCCGACCAGGGAGAACAATTTACTTGGTAAATCACCCGGAACTAAATCACCAAGTCAGGGGTAATCTTGTGCTTCCCAAGGTGTCCCTTCCTGGGTGCTGGTAAGGTAACGGCTTCTTTCAAGCTTCTGCTGACTCTCCCCCCTAGCAGTGACTGCATTGGCGTCTATTAAGCGTCTGTGCGAGTTACTTCCAATGTTGTGCATCGTCGCCGCGCCTCACCCGCACGCACGACCTTGACTAATGACGTTACAAGCGATATCATTCAACTGATTACACGACATTACAGACATATCCATACAGACAATTACCGGTATACCCATCAAATGTCTTGAGCCCAAGCTTCCATCGTCGATCGAATCGTCAGAATCGTCGGAATCATCGCCTACTTACGAATACATATCCACAACTCAGGCCGAAGCAAAAGAACCTTTCCCTGCACAACGGAACAATAGACGCTTGGTACCAAAAACGGCTCCGACCCTTGATTTCATCGGCCCGGATCGTCTTCCCCCGGCGGACCCAAGCCATTTTGGGGCTTCACCGGGTCTTGTACATAGCCTTTCCGACTCTATGATCCTTGTCGTCGTTCCTGGCTAAGCGGAACCTACATGAGGACACACTCTTAGGCGATTGGTACCGGCAACGAGATTAGGGGATGCAGAATGGAAGTGGAAGCCCGGGAGAAGGGCGACAGTAGAAATGCCGTCGTTGCATTCCAAGACAAGGACACCACCAACTCAACGATGAAAAAGGGTAGTTCGTCAATTGATCTTTTTGACTTCTTCTAGGCTAACTTCTGGCTAAGACAAGAGGGTCTGAAGCACTCAATCTTGCATATCCATTCCGCACCATTGTGATCACCTATCTTTATTAGCTCGGTCGAGCGGGTGGCAGATGGTCGTTTTCTTGCCCTAAATTCCCAAGATTATCAATGTCGCAAGTCGCATTTTGCGTTGTTTTTATTTTATCCTCCCAAGTCATTTACCAGTTTTCCCGAATCCCATGTCAAAGCCCCTGTCGCCGGATTACTTCCCCGAACATCCACCATAACATTATCATTTCATTAAATAACAAGCAGTCTGATCCCACATGGCAACCTTACCCTACTCTCAGTCAAAAAGTTCGTTCCCAATATGCGTGGCGTCGGGCTTTCTTCATTAGGTTCAACTAGGCTTGTCCTATACAAAGCGCCATGCCCCAGACTATGGACAAATCTGTGCTGCATGACTCTTGCGCTTCAGCTACGGGACATTATGACTCTTTTTTGTCTCTCTTGAATCTGATACTGAGGGTGTCGCGGTTGAATCAGCATTGATCCTCCGTTGAATCAGGCCAAGATAACATTAATCCTACAGGCATTATGACCGAAATGCAACTCTTGATCCCACAGTACCAGTATACGCGGTATCATTTCAGGGTTCAATTACAAAGGAATCAATCCCCTGTCCATTCCCACGTTTCCCACACTTTGGGGACCTCGGTGCCGCAGGACCGCATTGCATTTAACCAACCCTTGCTGTCATCTCCATTTCACATGCCTCATAGAAGTATGGTTTCCGAAATCATGATGCCATGTCCGTAGTTTTCCTCCGTAAGAATTTCCACTCCAATGCAAGGCTGGCAGCAAACATGGGCTTGTTCCTCGGGACGTTTCAGCCATGGCCAGAAACAGACCTTCCCTCCGATGATCCCATCGCTTCGTTGCATTGTGACCAGAGAGCCGGTAACCTAGGCTGTTCTGGTCTGATCAATTAAACTTTGTTCGCTTGGTTTCACAATACGAATTGAGATGTCAATACCGACGTTAGCCAAAGGGTTAACCAACTGAGGGTATTCTAGAAAGAAGTCAACCAACAGAGGATGTTTTCTAGAATGCAATCAACCAGATGGCTTTCTTAGAGTTTATTCTTCTACCGTTTGATGGCTGGGCTGAAACAAGTGTCAAGATAACGTTTAGTTTGGACGAGGGTCCTTGCGTCGGAGATGTGGCATGTTGGTGCAGATATTTGAGTTTGGAGGTGAAACGGGATACATGAGTCGTTTCTGTCAGGTACAGGTACAGTGACGGTGAGGCTTTGTGGAGGAATGGTTGAAACTATGGATGTCTCTTGATGACGTGGATTGGTTTCTTGTGGTGATGATTGTGATGTGTTAGTTTAGGTTGGGTTGGGTTGAGAAAGGGCTCACTCGTTGATGTAGGTTAGGTTATGGGTGACATGTCTTTTGCTGGTCGTCTCTTTGGAGATACGTACAGTTCCTGGCTACGAGATGGTGTATCCAAAGAAATCGAGATGATTGTTTAGCATGGCTTTAACTCAATGCTATACTTTGAGTTCCCTCGGTCAAAACACGGCAATAAAGAGGATCGCCAACTGCATCGTCGTGGTTGAAGAGAAGAGACCCTTCAAAGCAAACAAGCGTGTATATTAGCCTCTTTTATGATACTCAGACAATGCTATTCGCTAATGGTTTACAAGTAAAGTTCTACCGGCTGGCGATCGAGTCTCGGGTAGGTTCTGGAATAGCCTCATAAAATGATCCACTATCGCTACCGCATCACAGGAGGTCTTTGTTGCATAGAACCAGCATTTCTCGTCCAATGAGTCTACTCCCGATCGCATGTTTTGCTGTGACATATCCGCCCGCTCAGCAATCTACGGCTGTGCATATGCGGGCTGAAAAGGATGATCTGGTTGGCTGCACGTGGCTCATGAATGCCCAGTACGTTTATTTCCCTAATTCAACCTTTCAATCCTTGAGAGCAAAGGTCATGTTAGATAATGCTCTGTTTTCAATCTTGTTGTTGGAGGAAGGCAAGCCAGGGTTGCACAGGTATATGATAGACGGCTCATTGCCTTTTTCCGCCCTTTCTACTGGTTGGGTGGCACATGCTTCGCAGCAAGGCGTTTTCAGCATCAGCACAGCCTGATCAGGCTTTAATGCTACTCACCTCATCTGAACCTTTGGACTTTATCTCACCTTAAAATCTCACCATCCGGATACATCCATCTTCGTTCGCCAGCATCAAGATATCATCAAGATGTCGGGCTTGGAGGTTCTAGGGGCTGTTGCAAGCTCCATTGCTCTGGTGCAAGCAGTAAAAGGGACTCTCAAAGCTGTTGACTTCTTGCGCCAGAATTCCGAGATGAAGAAGCAGTGCAACAATCTGAGGAGAGAAGTGAGTTAACATCAAACTCTTGGTGAATTAATATTGACGCGATAGCAGATTCTCATTATTGAATATTTCATCATGCAGGCACAACAACAGACTTGTCAAACAAACCCAGCACAACAGCTTCTTGGGTCAGCGGAGCACCCTTTGGTCTCTCTGGCGACAGAAGAACTTGAGGATATATTGAAGGAGCTCAATGAGATCGTGGAGAAATACTCGCACTCTCGTAAGGCACATGATCCGAAGCGCTATACTGATAAGATGAAGTGGTTCACCGAAGCGTCCAAAATCGAGGAGCTTTGCGATAGAGCTCAGGCGACAAAGTCGAACCTGCATATGGCCATCACATTTCGAGTCTCTTCTATGGTAGATAGAGGCAATATGCGGCAAGAAGTGTGAGTTTTTGAGGTACGAGTTCTTGAAGTATCCTCCGGAATTGACCAACCGAGACAGGCTATTTCATCGCGTCACACAGCAGTTGACTTCCTACACGCACGGATATTTCAATGAACAGAAATCCTTGAACGGGATACCTGAGACAAGCTACACGATAGCTCGCCAGCATCGAGTTCAAGAGCTGGAGGAGCAAGGCATGGTTGTCTCGTCGAGATCAAACAAGGGAAAGTTCGATGCCCAAGGAGCATCCCCAAGCGGAGAGTCCAATTATACTGCTCTCACCACCAAAGAAGAGACTTTTATGAGTGTTACAACAGTCCAACCTCTAGGTACACGCACATGCAGCCTTGCCTGTCAATGTCGCTGCCACCGAAATTCACGAAAGTATGACGGCGGCGCATGGGCAAAGTCTATATTGGGATCATGGCTCGTCAGATATGATTCCTCGGGCAGTGCCTGTAAAGGCAGATGCGGGACGAACACGGGGGTCAAACTTGAGTATCGACTACCAATGTGGCTTTGGGCTGGAGTTGTCTCATTTGAAACATGTCAAGGTCCGAGGTTGAATATGTCACTGCGCCCGTGCAGAACACTTGGACGCGAATCGGTTGTTTTCTCCATGTTAGAGCATCCCTCGGCACTACAAGAGCATCTTCGTGAGGGCTATAAGTACTTTCCGGATGACGTTCATCCGTTAGGTATGAGTTTATTGAAAGTATGTCCGCTGACTCTCACACAACACTGGGGTAGAGAGCTGACAATATGATCGTAGTATTCCATGGGCAAAAATTGCTGGAATAGCGTTGAAATTTTGCTTAACCTGTGGAAGAGCATACTTCCATACCAAGGGCTGTCGAGGTTTGTTAATCTAATAATGAATTCAGAGTTCACTAATGAGAATCAACAGAGACATTCGTCACGGGTTTATGAGAAAATACAATGGCTATGAAGAGCCTCCTGATATACTACATATCATACTAGAAAAACTGTCATCTCTCATACCTGATTGGGACGAGGATCGCACAACCGACATCCATTTGGAAGCTGCAAACCCGGAAGGAACAGCTGACGGGATGTTGAAAGCCTTGCAAAAGGAACCGTGGGCTATCGATGAGCAGGATGAGTGTGGAATGTGTCCCATCCATCATGCTGTGCGCGAGGGAAACTCCGAAGCTCTCGTTCTCTTGATCATGGCCGGAGCCAACATCAATCAGCGTTGTGGTCTCGGACACACTCCTCTCTTATGGTCTGTATCCCATCGGCAAGAGGAAGCAACAAAAAAGCTTCTGGAGTATGAAGATTGTCGCATTCACGTGAATGACTTGGTTCTTAACGGAGCTACTGTAATACACTACGCTATAGGCCGTAGTTTCCCAGCAGGTGTCCGTATGTTACTTGAAGCCGGAGCGATGACCAAGTTGCCCCGCACACCCATTTACACCCCGCCCATCATGCACATTCTTGGATCTGAGACAGATCAGGAAAGTGTTGATGAGATCGCTGATCTTTTGCTGATGCATGGAGCCGACCTCGAAGAAAGAGATATCGATAGCAGGACACCAATCATATCAGCGATAACATGCAGAAGTATACTGGCGCTGCGCAAACTTGTTAGTGCCGGGGCATCTCTGAAAGCTATGACCTCGATAAATCATAATATTCTTCACAGTGCTGCTTTTGCTGCTGATGTTGAGATACTGGACTATATTACGAAGCTGGATCTCACCGGCGTACAAGTGACGCAGCGAGCAACTAATGGCGACAACCCCTTGCGAGTATTGTATTTAACGTGGAGCCGTCCTTTCTGGAGAGTAACCAAACATCAGCCCCAGTTAAGCTCCGCAGCGATCGAAGCAGTTATCACCTTCTATTTCGACTTGCTGATTCCTGAATTAAGACGGCATATATCAACCATCGACATGCTTCTTCAAGCTGTCAAAGATAGAGATTCATCTACAGCAACCGGCATACTGGATCAGCTCATCGAGAAGAACGTCAAGTGCGGAGAACCAGATCTTGTGGGATGGTACAGAGGACTGAAAGGTTACGTGTTCGGTGGCGACTGGGACCATCTAGCGGATGTTCTTGAGGAGGAATACGACGAGACAGACGAGAAGATCGAACGAGCGAGAATTGCGAGAGGGAAAGCGATTACAGACCCAGAGATGGAAGAATTTTTCTGAAAGGATGACGTGGAGAGCTGATCAACAAGAATACCAATGTACAACTTAATCTATTCGACATATCTACTTATATACAGCTATATATCAATGCTTCTCAGGCACATCGACCGTTCTTGATTGGTCATCCTCCCCTTGGCCATATAGTATATGATCAGAGACGTCTTCAATTCTCAGGAAAGTCTTGTTTCCCTTGACAAACCAGAAAACCAGTGAGATAATAAGCATGATTCCAAAAACGAGAATGGCAAAGTTCATATCCCCAAAAGCTGGGTTCGGTGAACTTGGGAAAAAGAAAAAGACTGTAGTGATGACAGTGTAGATGATGGAAACAGTGTTGAGTGCTGGTCCGAATCTACCCAACCCAAACTCTCCTCCTGAAGGGAGCTTGTCTCTGCCAACGACCATCAAGACAGCAATGGGGATTGCGTATGAGATGGTGAGGGCGATGGTGCTAACACTCAGGATAGCATCGAGGGTTGTGCTTGAGAAGAGATACAAGAGTCCAACAATGTTGATGATGACTCCTTGAAGGATCAGTGAGCGAGCAGGAACCTCCCAGTAAGGATCAACATGAGAGAAATACTCTGCAAATGGTAGGCCTCCATCTCGGGCGAAACTCCAGGTAAGTCTCGAGGAGGATGTCACGATTGAGATACCTTGACCGAAACCGTTGAAGACGAATAGAGCGATCAAGACAGCTGCACCCTTGAGTCCCACAATGTTCTGTACGACTTCGATGAAGGGGAAGCCAGAGGGGGGATCCAGAGTGGTGTCGAGATCCTGGATGCAGAAGAGGGTGGCAACAAGGAAGATGAAGCCTGAGATGGCGCCGAGAACAATAGCCATCACCATTGTTCTAGGTCCATTTCGTCGAGGAGCTGGGATCTCCTCTACCATGTGGATGACAGAGTCGTAAGCTGTCAAGCCATACGCAGCTTGTACAAGACCAAGGAAGAAAACCACGCCATCAGTCCAGCCTTGATCATTGATCCATGCTCCAAAGACGAATTCTGGCGATTGATATTCGAGATTCGACTTTGTTCCAACGAGGATAGGAAGGGCGAGAGAGAAGGTTACAAAGAGACCAACGAAGCCAACGGCGATAAAGTTGTTGAACCAAGGGAGGAATTTCTCGGAGCGACAACCGACGTAGTTGACAAAGGTAAACAGAATATTGATTCCCGTATACACAAGGAACTTTACCCAGCCGTTGTTGAGTCCTGTCCATGAAGGGTCGAACATAAGCTTCATCGACAAGACAAAATCCGCCATGAAAGCAATCTGCGAAGCAGAAAGACACCACCATCCAAGAGTGCTGATGAAAGCGGTCATATAACTCATAAACCTGCCCATCTCAGTCCTCCAAAGCTTCCCAGTCCAGTACGCCTGTCCAAGCGCGGTAGGCATAGCAGAGCACATCTCACCGAGCGACATGGCGATAGCCAAGTTACACAGACATACGAGGACGAGACCCCAGAGACATGTTACTGGTCCGCCGTTCTGGATACCTGTTGCGAGGGCTTGGGCGCAGACGGCCCATGTTCCGAGAATACAAAAGGCGAGGGAGAGCATGGATGTCATGCTGAATTTGCGGGAGAGGGCTTCATTGTGGCCAAGGGCGGCGAGGTCTAGGGCGTCGCGCTCGGCTTGATTCATGGTTGTTGCTTTCTCCATGGTGGACCAGAGCTTGAGTCGATGGTTGAAGAAGGATGGAAGGTTGTGGGCATTCTCTGGCAGACAAAGCACCTGAGGAGGCTGTTTGACGATGTAGTCGCTTGATGATATGGTGATGTGTGTAGGGACATCAAACCTTTATATATAGATGCCTGTACGTACATCTTTATCTTTACCCCAGATATTCGCCGTTACATGGGGTCGATGCTAGTTCCAAACACTCCGCATGTGCAAAACATTGGCCGTAATCAGTATAGTGTGGCGGTTGGCGCTTCCAAGTACAGCATAGGATAGACGTTCTAGCGGGAGGGTTGTTATCAGTGCAGCACATCCTTATCAGAGATCCTGCATATGCGAGTCCACTGTATACGGGACAGGCATTGTAATTGGGAGTTGGTGCATGATTGGGTTAGGTAAAGGGTGTGATGAAAGATATGCCTTGTTACCGGTATCGCGGAACAGGGTCTAGAAGATGTTAGCGGCCGAGGCTCCGATTAACGTTAGAAGCTGAACAATTGAGTGTAGTATACGACTCAATTGATGGTTGAGGGCATCGTAAAGTTGCAATTTGCGTACCCCATGGGGAAGATTCCTTGTAGATCAAGTAAAGCAATTCATCACGTAACAAGCTCACATTTCCTCATCGCAATGACCTTTTCGTGGGTTTTAAAATTGGGACTTGAGGATCTGATTTGCAGGGATGGGCACCCACTCACTTAGAGATGGTGCTTGGACGGATTGGGAAAGTTGGGGCGACAGCTGATAAGAAGTTGAATTATTGTCTGAGTTATTGTTCAGGTGTTGCCGAGTTATTGTTCAGGTTACGGAATGACAGCCGAAGTGACGAATATGCTTTTGTATTTTGAGCTGGTTGCTAAACTCCTAGAAGCCCTTTTCAGGGTCAGATTGATCCCCCTTCGCTTTCATTTTGACAATCTTTTCTTCGTGAACTCTATTCGAGTTAGTCAATTGTGATAACGTCGAGTTGGGCGAGAACTTACTAAATGCTGTACACGGCCCCCTTCCTCCACTTCAATCACGTCCTCGACGCGGTGTTTCTCTTGCAAATCGATCCCAGTATGGTAGACATGCCTTGAGATTGGTCATATTCTTTGGAAATATGTCCCTCCTGACCGCAGTTTCGGCAAACCCGACTACTCCTCAACCCTCTTAAGCAATCAGGTCGGCAACGTTCATGGGCATCTCATCGATCTGGGTAGAGTAGTACACTAGAAAAGTTAGCTTCCGTAAACAGGACTATTCGATTGGACTTCACTTACACTCGATATCTCTCAGGATGCGCACATCTTCGGTAGTAACAAAGTTGATAGCAACACCCTTGCGACCAAATCGTCCACTTCGTCCGATACGGTGGATGTAGTTCTCTCGGTTGCTAGGTAGATCGTAGTTGATAACTAGACTGACCTGCTGCACATCGATACCACGAGCCCACACATCGGTCGAGATGAGCACTCGGCTGTTACCCTGGCGGAAATCCTGCATGATGCTGTCTCGCTCCTTTTGAGGCATGTCACCATGCATGCTGCTGACGGTAAAGTTGGCCTCGCGCATCTTGTCGGTCAACCAATCGACCTTGCGACGGGTGTTGCAGAAAATGACGGCTTGCGTGATGGTGAGGGTGTCGTAGAGATCGCATAGGGTGTCAAACTTCCAGTCCTCCTTCTCGACGGCGATAAAGTATTGCTTGAGACCTTCGAGGGTCAATTCGTCACGCTTGACGAGAATACGGACGGGATCGGTCATGAACTTGGTGGTCATGTCGAGAACATCGTAAGGAAGGGTGGCACTGACGACCACGACCTGGGTGGCAGGGGGGAGGTATCGGTAAACATCGTAGATCTGCTCTCGGAATCCCTTATTGAGAAGCTCATCAGCTTCATCCAAGACCAACATCTTGATGTGTCTGGTTCGAAGATGTCGTCGTCGAATCATGTCTGCGACACGGCCGGGGGTACCAGAAACAATGTGCTGGCCATAATCGAGCTTGCGGATATCCTCTCCAACGTTTGTGCCTCCGATACAAGCGTGGCATTGCACGTTCATGTAGTCACCCAGCGCCATGACAACAGACTGGATCTGTGTAGCCAGTTCTCTAGTCGGTGAAAGAACAAGAGCCTGTGTCTCGCGCACTGCGGTATCGATGACCTGCAGCATACTGATGGAAAAGGTAGCAGTCTTTCCGGTACCGGATTGAGCCTGGGCAATAGTGTCGCGACCCTTGCAGACCTGAACGATGGCTCGAGATTGAACAGCGGAAGGAGACTCGTAACCGTAAGCGTAGATACCGCGAAGGAGGTTTTCTAGTTCTGTTAGCTAGATCATCAATCACAAGCTTGCGACATACCCTTCAGCGACATAGACTCGAAAGTAGGATGAACGGTGACCTCCTTGGAGGTGGAAAATTCCATCCTCTCATCGGCCTTACGATCAATTCCTCCAGCGTTTTCAGCCATGATTGCGGTTTTGTTTGTGATGATCGTAAAAAAATGAAGATCACTTCGTAGTAAAGGTCAAAGTTTTGGAGTGTAACTTTTAGTTGGAGCAAAGACGTAACGCGCAGCGCCGGGTATACTTCGGTGGAAAGAACCTGGGGTTCAACAAAATAAAAAAGCATGTTTGGCTGCTCATGCTGACTCATTTATTTTGGCTGCTAATCTGCTGTAGTTAAGTTTTCTTCGGCGCGCTCAAACGCCACTGAACTCGCGACGAAGCTCCGCAATTTTTAAACATCAAGCTCATCTTGACATTCACTCATTCATCGTAGATTGTCATATCACTCTTTTTGACGGTCAAGAGCTTTCACTGCGAGAATCAAAATGCTCGTCCTTGAAGAGCAGCGTTACATCCATGAGGATCTAGAGCGTCTTGAACAAGGAATCGCTGATCGCATTCGCGATGAGCCCAGACATGTGAGCATCTCCAATTCTTTACAGATTCGTCCGCTAACAGTTCAGATTCGTGATCGCCTCAACAGAGATCATGAGATTTCCCAATTACTAGACCAGATCCAAGTTCAATCTGGTACCCTTCTCGACATCTACAAAGACGAAAACGGAGTCCGAGCACAAGAGATTCAACAGATCGGTACTGGCGACCCATTCGCAGAGTTCTACAAGCAGCTCAAGGATGTGCGCGAGCATCACGAGAGATATCCTCACGAACAAGCGGAAAACTCGGAGCAGCGATACAAGGTCAGGAAATCCGATGGAGAGCCCATGCCTTCTATTGTGGACTCGCTGTTCTCTGGAGAGGAAGCCTACGGACGATTCTTCGATCTCAACGAATGTCACGAAGCGTACCTGAACCTTCCTAATGTCCGACGACTCACATATCTTCAATACCTCGAGAACTTCGACAACTTTTCTTCAGCGCATGGCGGTGTCACACGACCGCACAAGTTGACGGATCAGTACTTTAAGTATGTCGGCCAACTAGCAGACTACCTCGAGAGCTTCATGCGACGAACACGGCCGCTGGAAAATGTGGACAAGGTTCTCGCTTCTTTCGATGACGAGTTTGAAACAGCATGGGAGAAGGATGAGATTCAAGGTTGGGAGAAAGATGCGGCTTCGATGAATGGTACCGCCAAGGAGGCCAGTACACCGGATGCTGTATGGTGTGAAGATTGCGAAAAGGAATTCAAGAACGAGAACGTCTTTAAGAACCATCTTACAGGACGAAAACACTTGAAGGCGGCAGAGCAAAGGAAACAGCGTCAAGACTCGACTCCTACCACCGACGCAAACACCTCTTCGGCAACACGACTAAAAGAGCGCGCGGTGGCAGTCCGAGAGTATAGAGTAAAGCGACTAGCCAGCGCCATGAGCACCGAGCGAAGCGACACCAAAGTCAACGTGGAGCGCAAGCAAGGCATGACAGAGCGCGAGCGAGCCCAAGAACTCGAAAACATCTTCAACAACGACGAAACACCCCAAGAGACACAAGAAGAAGGCGAAGGCGAAGACGAGGACGGCGAAGAGCGAATCTACAACCCCCTCAAGCTCCCTCTCGCCTGGGACGGCAAACCCATTCCCTTCTGGCTATACCGCCTCCACGGCCTGGGCGTCGAATTTCCCTGCGAGATTTGCGGAAACTTTGTATACATGGGCCGACGTGCGTTCGACAAGCACTTTAACGAAGCGCGACACATTTACGGACTCAAGTGTCTGGGAATCACCAACACGACGCTGTTCAGGGACATTACTGGTATCGCGGAGGCGTTGTCGCTTTGGGAGAAGATTCAGAAGGAGAAGAAGAGGACTACGGTTGATGAGGGGAGTGTGGTGCAGATGGAGGATGGAGAGGGCAATGTTATGCCTGAGAAGGTTTACTATGATTTGCAGAAGCAGGGTTTGCTGTAGGTGTATTATATGGCGGATTTGGCAGACTGTGTCTAAAATATATTGGCGTAATTATGATAGATTGTTAAGTGGCTGATGCGACTTGTATACCTGACTTATTGAGATTTGACTTCACTGGAAGTGGTCTATTGATAACAACCATTGAAGAAGGGTTTACCTTGGGCTTATAGCTGAAAGAGCAAGACAAATCATGATAGATTAATTCTCTAATGCCATGATCGCAATATTTGACTGATGAATCTTGAAAGGGGCTTCTTTGCATCATGACTTGATTAGTCATTCATTCCATCGCCCCTCCAACTCACGCTCACACCAAGTAAACACCATCAACAAATTTTACCTTCATCGCAGCTATGACACAACTTCAAAGACCAATTCCAGCCCTGTACGCGGTATATGTTCTCCGCTCAACAGTTCGCCATGCATCATATTACATAGGTTCAACGCCTCATCCCCCAAGACGACTGAACCAGCACAATGGTATATCCAAGGGAGGCGCTGTACGAACGGCAAAAGACAAGTTACGACCATGGGAAGTCATCATGTTGATTACAGGATTTCCAAGTTCAATCGCAGCTCTCAAGTTTGAGTGAGTTTGAACCTGAGTTTTGTTTGTGTAATGCTAATGGCTGCAGATGGGCTTTGACAAATCCTCATTTGACATTAAGTATCTCACCAGAGGAACGACTTACAAAACGAGCCCCTAGAAAAAGAGGAAAGAAAGCCAAACCAATTCACAGTCTTATATCAATCGTGTCCAATCTCCATTTGCTCACTGGAGTACCGAGTTTTGCACGTTGGCCACTTACCCTGCACTTCTTCCACGAAGACGCCAAGAAGAAATGGGATAATTGGCTGAAGGAGAAAAAGACAACGCCACGAGAAGGCATAAAAACTACAACCGACTACAAACCAGAAGGTTCAAATGAACCTTGGGGAATTCACGCGTTGCCCCTCGACTACGCCCTCTTAAAACCCTACGTCGAAAAGGCTCACAACGTCGTTTCTTTCGAACGCGAGGGCGATTGTGTGCATTGCCACGAATCATTAAAGTCTGGAGCAGGACTTCATCCGATATGTCCACACAATGGATGTGAAGCCATGGGTCATTTGGATTGCTGGGGGAAGCACGCACTCGCAAATGAAGATAAGGGTGTTTTGATACCGATATCCTGTACTTGTCCCAGCTGTGGTGGGAAGATTAATTGGGTTGATATGATGAAGGAGTTGACTTTAAGGATAAGAGGACCGAAAGAGGTGACGAAACTGTTGAAGAAGCCTCGTCGTACAAAGAAGGCTATAGCGGCTGAAGCTCAAGCTGAGGAGGAGCTTTGAGGGGATTGACATTTGGCGTTTGGAAGATACCCGCCCTTGTTTTAGATGGTAGATATCGCTACAGAGCGTAGGCTCGTATTCATTGGTGCATGTCTTTGTTACTAGATCTCGCTATCAACACCATCAGAGTTATCTCAGATTAAGTTTCATAAGGCAGATACTACTTTACTATTGTAACTTCAAGCCTCAAGAGAAATTAATGTTGTCAAATAATGTCGTCAAAATTGACTCGCGCAAATGAAGCCAAAAGCAACCTCATCACAAATCATTCCAGCTCATCTTCCTTGTCCCCGGGATCAAGTTCCCCACGCGCATAGAACCCCGGCGTTCGCGCTGAACGTCATCTCATCATGATTGGTTCGGAAGCGAAGAATTATTAACCAACCCCTGTTGATTGAGAGTCCAATATCAGATTGGATTTGGATTTTTCACTGGGCCCGCTTCTTTTTTTCTTTCCTTTTTTTGGTGGCCCGTCAGACTTTTAGGGGACAGCCACACAGTGAGTGAGCAAGGAATATTGATGATGCCAGTCAGCGCGTGACTGAGTTCTCCCAATGTCACCTACTGCCGCATTCGGCATACAGTATGTTGTTTTTCTCAATGACGACGTGGCCGTAAGATAATTGACGGGTTGTTGTCAGAGTGAGATTGATCAAGTGTCGAATGTTTTTCTTTTTGTTTTACGTGCTGTTGCGATAACAATAATCAATCACGATAGCAACGTGCCCACAAGGCTGTATGTAGGCATCCTCCCTGAAGGTTCGCTTCACGTCAGGGTGATGAAGTGGAGATTCAGAACGAGGCTCTGAACTGGGATATTGTCGCAATGACCATGTCTTAGTAAGAATACCTCCTGCAAGACTACCACTCTCACCATATTTCACTGATAGAGCCCACATCCTTTGTCTGATGCTCCTTTTGTGGACGTTGACAATGTGATTCTCGGTAATGGGGGCACCGGCCGGATGTCGTCTCTAGTGGGTCCGCCACATGAGTTTTCGGGTCCCTGTATCAGGACGGCGTTTTTCAGCGCTGTAACGACCAACAAGGAGTTGAATAAACATTTAAAACGTCAAGACAACTGACGATATTGGGGCAGACTCAAAAATGTCCATAAACAAATGATATCCCGTCGCTGTATAGATTAATCCTCCTGGTATGCTTGTATTTCCTGGTCCGAACCCACCGGTCCTTCCTCCGTACTGTGAACCACTACAAGGGCGGCGGATACTATACTTTGTACCTGGCGCCATGTGTGGTGTTAAATGGAAGTACCACCCCCGTCATTACTGGCGCGCAGACCAGTAACCTCCTGCCGCACCCTTCCCTCACACCCCCGTCTCTTTCCCTTTGTGTGCAAAGGTACCTGCCGAAGCTAAGCTGGACGGACAGTCGCTGCTGAACTGGTCTGGTCCTGCTCGCGCCTCCAAGATCTAAAGTTACCTTTTGATTCCCTCGACCCATTCCCACCTTCCCATCGTTCCCACCCACACCCTCCGCTCCTTCCTCACTTTTGGTCTCTTTCATAACCAACATCGACAATCACGCTTTGATGTTGGGTTTGCTCTCACGACAAAGAATATCGAATGCGATTGCTTTTTCACGATATTAACTGTGGGTTTTGTACCTGCCACTAATTTTATATTGATTTGCTGTGAGTATCTTATTCCCCGTGTTAGTTGGACATGGATCTTGGTGCTCCCTCGTAACATGGTAATCACAGACATGATATTAACAAGTCTAGGCTGAACATATACCGTCCTTTCGCCCTTCAGCTGCTTCACCAAGTTCCTCTACCTATACAAGCTGTCTTTGTCGCGACTGAGACTTGTCGCCTGCGATGCCGATATCCCATTGACGATACGGACTGCCCGAGTATGAAGTCGACGCACGCCGCGTAACCGTAACGCTCGATCGATACCTCCAATACGTTTCTCTATCAGTTTACTAGCCGTCAATTTCATCTACATCATCCACCATGGTTTCAGTACCAAATGCCGGCGCCGCCCCTACAGGCACACACAGCACAGCTGGAAGTACGCGAAGCTCACCCAGTGCCACGCCCGCCGGCACATCGTCAAAACCGAAGCCAAAGGTCAACTCCAACGGATACCACCCGAATAATCCACAGACACCTCTCAGTTCGCTCTCGAGTACTGCTTTGGATCTGACATCAGTTGAACGTCGTGGACAACCCACAGCAGTAAGGGAAAAGACAAAGGAGAGCCGACCACACGGTCTCCAAGAGGCACCCACGTATCGACCTACAGAAGAAGAATGGAAGGATCCTTTTGAGTACCTCCGAAAAATCACACCAGAGGCAAAGGACTTTGGTATCTGCAAGATTATTCCTCCCGATTCTTGGAACCCAGAGTTTGCAATCGATACCGAGGTACGGCATGACGCCAGCGCGTTTGCGACTTGTGCTAATTATGTAGAAATTTCATTTTAGGACCCGAAAACAAGAGTTGAACTCTGTGGAAGGGAGTACGTGTTTCACCCTTGATCATGAATTCTGGCTGACATGTTGCAGGTACACGTGCCAATCTCACTTATCTCGACGGGCTCTCAAAATTCCATAAACAACATGGCACCAATCTTCATCGGTTGCCATATGTTGACAAGAAACCACTTGATCTTTACAGACTTAAGAAAGCCGTTGAATCTAGGGGCGGCTTTGAAAAGGTTTGTAAACACAAGAAATGGGCTGAAATCGGACGCGATTTGGGATACAGTGGCAAGATCATGTCATCTTTGTCGACATCTCTAAAAAATTCCTACCAGCGATGGCTTTGCCCGTATGAGGAGTACCTCCGACTCGCGAAGCCTGGTGTTCATCAACAGCTGGAGCAGGAATATGGTGGACCATTGACCCCAAGTCCTGGACAGACCCCGGTCAGACGATCCAATGTCAATACACCTATTAGTGTTCGAGGCGATTCACCAGCGCGCAATGCCTCCGATGCTTTGCAGGCGACTATTGTAGGAGTCAAGACAGAACGCGACACTCCTATGGACGATGCACCGCCTCTGGCACAAGCGCCTACGTCTGGGGGATTTACTGCGGTCAACTCTGGATTCACAGCTGTGAATTCCGGCTCCAATGGTGCCAAGCGCAGCGCAACTAGTGAGCCCACAAGCTTCACCCCCGATCCTAAGCGATTCGACAGTCCTACTTCCTCAGCAAAGAATACACCAGATATCCGAGGATCAAGCCTGAAGCCTACAGCATTGAAGCGTCAGCTTAGTGGTGAAGAGTCTTCTGATTCAGGCAGAAAGGACATTGACATGGATGATTCTGAGGCGGCCAGCAGCCGTCGTAGCAAGCGACTCAAGAAAGGTATGTTGCAACAATTTAACTATTTTCCTTCGGCGTCAATTTCCATTGTCGCATTCCAGTTCACCTTGACGCTGGCGACCAAGCGCAGGGATTTTAACTGCGATGACCTATTTCATTTTTCATTGGCTCTACGACTTGAGACTAACATCGACAGATGCTGTCCCCACTGTGGCTGGATCGCACATGACGCCATTCCGTCCTTCGGTGCCAAGAATACCACGAGAGGAACCACCACCACCAGGCGAGAAATGCGAAACTTGTGGAAGAAGCGACAATCCTCTTCTACTTTGCGAGTCTTGCGATCATGCCTATCATCCAGGATGTCTCGACCCTCCATTGAAGCGTGAGCCCGACAGCGAATGGAATTGCGCACGATGTTTGGTTGGAGATGGCCAGTTCGGTTTCGAGGAGGGTGGTCTGTACTCACTCAAGCAGTTCCAACAAAAGGCCAACGACTTCAAGCAGGGTTATTTTGAGAAGAAGATGCCTTTTGATCATGAGCTCAATTGCCATCGACCTGTTACCGAAGAAGACGTTGAGACGGAGTTTTGGCGACTGGTTGCTGACCTTGAGGAGACTGTCGAGGTCGAATACGGAGCCGATATCCATTGCACAACTCATGGTTCGGGATTTCCGACTGCAGAGAGGGATCCAAGCAACCCATATGCGACAGACCCTTGGAACCTCAATGTTCTTCCATTCCATGGAGAGAGTTTGTTCAAGCATATTAAATCCGACATCTCGGGCATGACAGTTCCTTGGGTTTATGTGGGTATGATCTTTTCGACCTTCTGTTGGCACAACGAGGACCACTACGCTTACTCCGCCAATTACCAACATCTTGGCGCTACCAAGACATGGTATGGTATACCGGGCGAAGATGCTGAAAAGTTCGAAAATGCGATGAAGGAAGCTGTACCTGAACTCTTCGAGACACAGCCAGATCTCCTCTTCCAGTTGGTCACACTGTTGACCCCTGAGCAATTGAAGAAAGCAGGTGTTCGCGTGTACGCCCTCGACCAAAGAGCAGGTCAGCTCGTCATTACTTTCCCGCAAGCCTACCATGCTGGATTCAACCATGGCTTCAACTGCAACGAAGCCGTCAATTTTGCACCCGAAGAATGGGAGCCTTATGGTCTTGCTGGTGTGGAACGACTGCAACTATTCCGAAGACAGCCATGCTTCTCTCACGATGAACTCCTGTGGACCGCCGCAGAAAGCACAGCAAGCACTCTCACCATTCAAACTGCGAAATGGCTGGCACCCGCCCTCGACCGCATTCACAAACGAGAACTTGAGCAACGAGCAGATTTCCTCGCCAAGCATGTTGAAGCGGCGGTCCATCGATGCGAAGGCATAGGAGGCGACGAGTCTTGCTCGTTAAAGTTCAAGACCGAGAATGAGGATCTTCTAGATGAGGATGAACAGTGCTGCTCTTACTGCAAGGCCTTTTCATATCTGTCTCGCTTCAAGTGTCTACAGTCGGGCAAGGTTCTTTGCCTACTTCATGCTGGATACCATCCGTGCTGTGAGATTACCGAACAGGAGCGATTCAAGGGTGCTGAACATATTCTTTATTTCCGCAAGGAAAAGAAAGACATGGAAGAGATCCACCAAAAGGTCTTGGAAAAAGCGCAGACCCCCGACCTATGGGAACAAAAGTATGAGAAGCTATTGGATGAAGAGCCAAAACCATCTCTCAAATCGTTACGTGCGCTGCTTCATGAGGGTGAGCGTATTCCCCACGATCTACCTTCACTGTCAGTCCTGCAAGATTTTGTCAATCGGTGCAATGATTGGGTTGAAGAGGCCACGAATTATATCGTCCGAAAGCAGCAGAATCGACGTAAGAACGAGAAAGCTTGGCAATCGGGCATGCGAAAGTCCATTGGCAATGCAGAACATGATCAAAAGGAGAGAGAGTCTAGAAACGTCAGCAACATCTATCGACTTTTGGAAGATGCTGAACGTATTGGTTTTGACTGTCCAGAAATACTTCAGCTTCAAGAACGCGCCGAGGCTATCAAGCAGTTCCAGAACAACGCAATCCAGACTCTTAAGAACACGGCTACTTTGTCAACGGACCGAATCGAAGAGCTTCTTGAGGAAGGCCGCAGCTTCAACGTGGATACCCCTGAAGTTGATCAGTTGTCCAAAGTATTGGAACAATCGCGCTGGAACGAACGAGCTCGTAGCAATCGAGGAGTTTACATGACTTTGAAGGAGGTCTCGGATCTTATTGAGGAGGGTAGTCGACTCGAGATTCCTCCCTACAACGACCACTTGACTCACTACCGTGAACAAATGAACTCCGGTCAGCAATGGGAGCAAAAGGCCAAGGAGCTTATCGCTGCAGACTTTGTTCATTACCCACAGCTCGAATCTCTGTCGGCGCAAGTACAGCTGAACGCGCTTCCCGTTTCACAAGAAACGTTGGCTGCTGTCGACCAAATTCTCTACAAACAACGTGAAGCGCACCGCCAAATAGTCGACCTGACTACGCGATGTCACGATCCCGATTTCCGTAAAAGACCCAAATACAACGAGGTCGTGGATATTCAGAAGAAGCTGGAGGAGCTCAATTCGAAACCCAACGGCACTCTTGATCTCGAAAACGAACGAAAACGCCACGAAGACTGGATGCGCAGAGGAAAGAAGTTGTTTGGCAAGTCTAACGCGCCACTACACATTCTCAAGAGTCATCTGGAGTATGTCTTGGAACGCAACATCGACTGTTTTGACATAGAGCACGACACGCCCAGAATGCCTGGAGAGCCTGTTTCGAGAGAAGTCAGCCCTGAACCAGGGGCGAACAAGTGGGATGACAGTCGATCCAGACAAGTCTTTTGCATCTGCAGAAAGATTGAGGCTGGAATGATGATTGAATGCGAGAGATGTCACGAATGGTAAGTCTTCAACATCGGCAACCCATTGGCATACACTAACTCTTTAGGTATCATTACAAGTGCCTCAAGATTGCTCGAGGCAAGGTCAAGGAAGACGAAAACTACACATGCCCAATTTGTGACTGGCGCATGAAGATCCCTCGAGATGCATCGCGACCGAAATTGGAGGATCTGGTACTTCTTGCAGAGGATATGAAACAACTGCCTTTCCAACCAGAGGAGGAAGAAGTGTTGATGAAGATCATCGAGAATGCGGAAAACTTCCGACAACATATTGCACGGTATTGCAGCCCACTACTATCGACGGAAGCTGAAGTAGAGACACAACGATTCTACCTACGCAAGATTGAAGGCGCCGAAGTACTGTTGGCATACGAAACCAACTACTTCCGTCAAGAGCTTCACAAATATTCCCCTGTCGCTCCAGATCCACCACCAATCCAAGAAAACTCCAAGAGTACACGAAAGCCTCGACCGACAAAGCTCGAAAAGATGCTTGCCGAGTATGGTGTCGATAACCCCGATGACCTGCCAGAGCACGTCAAAGGCAAAGCCAACAGCTTACGCCGTAAAGCAGCGAATGCAGAAGCTGCAGCGGCGGCCGCAGCAGCCAACGCTTCATCGGGTACATTTCCACCACCACCCGCAGCTGGAGGTTTTGGGGGAGCACCATACTACTCGCGACCTGAGCGAAGCCCCAGCACGACTGGACATGCTGAACGTCGAGAGTCGCATTCTTCCGGTCATACCAGGGACAACTCCATCAACCTCGATAACGGCTTGCATCCTGGGCCACTAGGAGTTGGTGGACCGCAGTTGGCTGCGGATGTTTCCTCAATATCTTTGGAAGATAGACTTCTTCAAGGCCAAGACGATGTCATCAACTTCCATGGTGACGCAGAAAAGAGTAAGGCTCTAGAGATCTTGTCAAGAACTGAGCTCGGCCGAAAGCAAGCCGAAAGACTATGGGGTCCCAATGTTTGGGGTCGTGGCTCCATCGACAACAGACGCTTGTCTAACCCAATGGATGAGGATATGATGAGACAAGATGAAGGCAACGTGGATCAGATGTTCAAGGAGATGACAAACCAAGACGAAGATGATGACAAGAGGAATGATACAGGGGACGTTAGGATGACTACAGCATCATTGGAGAAGGAGAGAAATGGCATGGATGCTCTACTCGATGGGGAGTGAGCTTGTTTGAGTTTGACATTGGTGCAGGGCGTTCTCATTCGGCTAACAAAAATACCAAAGACGGAACGGAGTCAGGGGGCACAATGTAATTAGGTAAAAATCGCTTATACTATATGTGTACGATGCATGACGGGCGTCGAGGTGTGTAAGCTAGGATTTTAGTCGCCAAATGGCTTTATACAGATCATTTGTTATAATGTTGATGATGACATCCTTTATACCGACCGTCACTTGTTCATACGATAATGACTTGTTTATTCAAATTCTCTCCAGGGCGTTGAGCCCGGACGTGTCTAATGGGACTGGCTAATTAACGCTTCTACCCGCCTGTTTTTTCCAATATTTGATGACAACTTAGACCTGAATATGTTGAAGACACGGCCTCTCTTTCTTTCTGTGTCCCAAAACCGTCCCTCGAAGGAGAAAAAAAACACCAAACCGTAAAACGCCGAAAATGCAGATGACAAGTGATGGTATCTGGGTATGTAAATGTACCCTTCCTAAACATGGTGAATTGCTTATAGTTATGTCCATCATAAGCATGTTAAAATTGCTTCGTCTCTCTTGTGGAAGAATTGTTTCCTCTCATCTCTTGTTGATGCCAATGAGGTTAAGGAACTCGTTGCGCGTCTTGGACTTGCGCTCGAAACAGCCCAGGACACAGCTAGTAATAGTACTGGTGGTGGTCTTTTCAACTCCGCGCATCACCATGCACAGATGGCTCGACTCCATAACTACGGCGACACCCTGTGGCTTGAGGATCTCCATGATGGCGTGAGCAACTTCTTTGGTTAGGCGCTCTTGAATTTGAAGGCGGCGCGCAAACATCTCGGCGATTCGGGGTAGTTTGGAAAGGCCGATGACGGTCTCGTTGGGGATGTAGCCGATGTGCATCTGCGGGGGTGGAAAAAGTTAGCGAAGGATTGCGGAGTCGGGAGGGATTTTTTCATTACTTTGCCTGTGAATGGGACGAGATGATGTTCGCAGAGAGACTGATCAGTTCTGTTAGTTTTGTTGGTCTCAATTGAGGAGTGAGGAGACTTACGAAAACTTCAATGTCCTTGACAATGACCATCTCACTGTGTCCTTCTCTGAATAGAGCGTTGTTAACAATGTCCTCCGCATTGACCTGGTATCCCTTGGTCAGGAATAGAAGAGCTTTTGCGTAGCGCGAAGGAGTATCGAGAAGACCTTCGCGATCGGGATCTTCGCCGACGCATTCGAGAAGAGTGCGCACAGCACCTCTCATACGATCCAATCGCTCAGCAGCCTGCTCCTCCGTCTCCTCTCTTCGCTCCCTCGTTCCACGGCCTAGAAAAGGTCAGCGCGAATAAATCAGTAGCTCAGAACAAAAACATACTAGGTCTGCTAAGACCATCAAAGTCAATCACAGGACTGGGCGATCTGCTAGCCTTGACAATGGCGCCCTCCTCTGCAACAACAGGGACAGTTGATGGACGCTTCTTGGGGAGAGGTTCATCGCGGGGGTCTCGGGAAGCTTTAGCCAAGCTGTTGCGACGCTGGGAGAAGGCATTGGGCTTTGCGCCGTTGACAGCGGATGATTCTCCGTTCTTCCTCTTGCGCTCCTTGCGCTCGCGACGCTTTCTGCGACGGGCCGAGTCGTCGCTGCTGGTGGACGAGCCGGAGATGCTGGCAGCGTCTTGAGATCGCTTGTGCGAGGGGATGACGCCGTCTTCGGAGGGGGCCATGGTGGCGAGCTTTTTTTTCTGAAGTGGGATGTTTTTTTGATGGTGATGAGAAGAGAGATTGGAGAGGGAAGAATAGGAGAAAGAAGGATTCTCCAGGACCAAAGTATAAATAAGAACCAAGCCGTAAAAGAAAACGGGCTCTAAAGTAAACGAGTAGAAAGCAGAGCAAAACAGCTTCAAGGTCCAAAGAGTAGCACAGAGCCGAGTCAGGGTCCAAGACAAATATCCAATGGCCGGATCGGAGAGCCGAAAAATTAGAGGGGCCCGTGGCTATCAATTCGCGGGGGTGCTCAGTGCTTTCCAGCGCAACGGCAATAATTTTGCAGTGCTTTATCTTATCAGTAGTGGGGATTGACGTCAATTTACGTTCTTCTCATTGATCAAACACTCGGCCGTGGGTCCGATCATGTGTTATGCACGTGATCTCGCAAACAAGGAGAATCATCACGGTCTCCGTTCGGTGTTGAGAAACGCGTTGTAGCACGGGTCATCACTCCGAACGCCGTGAGAACGAAACAACCTTCGAGAAAGAAACGGATAGCACTATCGAAATACGTATCTTTTGCCGAAGCGCCAGTCTGAAGCTCGTTTACGTGCTTCTCTTCGATTGGTAAACACCTTGTTGTCTTCGCATCTCGAAACATCACCACCATGGCTTCTCCGCCTTACGCTACTTCACCTTCGGGCATGTCGCCGCCTTACCCATCACCTGCGCAAATCCCCAACAAGAAGCGCTCTTCAGGAATGGACAACGCGCCTCCTCTCAAACGTCGCAAACCGTCAAACCTCTCTCAAGCTTCCGTCGCAGCCGCAGCCGCAAACCATCCTCTTCGCCAAACATCGTTTCCTCCCGAAGCTCGATCTCCTTACCCACGATCTCCGTCTGTCGATGCTCAATCCCACGTGAGTGGCAGCGCCGTCAGTACAACTGCTAGCGGAGCTCCTAAGAAGAAGCGTGGTCGTAAGGCCAAGAACGCGAAGCAGGATGATGCGAGTGAGGCTACGCCTAGTCTTGTTGGAGGACGTGCTCCTACTGCTGTGAGCGGACAGGGTGGTGAGAAGGAAGAAGATGATGAGGATGACGAGAAGGCTGAGATGGCGCTGGAGGATGTTGTTGCGCGAACACAAGAGCAGAAACAAGAGGAGATTCGTCTACGAGCTATGCTTGTCGAGGCCTTTGACTCACAACAGTACAACCGATATGAGCTCTGGCGCGCGGCAAAGCTGGCAGACAGCGTCGTCAAACGAGTAAGCAATCTACATCCCTCACTAGAATTTCACTAACAACCACAGGTCGTCAACGCAACAGTCTCACAATCCGTCCCCCAAAACGTTAGTACCGCAGTCAAGGCCGTCGCAAAGCTCTTCGCAGGCGAAATCATCGAAGCAGCACGCAACGTACAAGGCGAATGGATCAACGCAGGAGAAAAGCAAAGCGATCTACCCACACCACCACCCTCTACAAACGACGACCCAGCAGCAGCTGAAGAAGAGCCCGACCTGAAGCGCGGACCTCTACGACCCGACCATCTACGTGAAGCATGGAGACGTTATCGAGTTTCGGGAGAGAGTAGAGGGGTGGGTGTTCAGCAGCTTTGGCATGCGCAGCAGCATGATGGTGTTGATCGATTTTCGACGCGTACTGGAAAGCGACTTTTCAAGTAATACGAGAGTTTACGATGAGGTAGTATGAGACGTAAGCTCTCCATACAGGGCAGACCAATCATGCAAAGATGACATGATACGCAAGGGAATTATGCCAAGACGATAGACAAGTTCGTCTGTGACTAGCTGCGTAATACGGATATGATAAGGACACAGGCAGCGATGTCACTACTGCCAAGGGAAGGCCAAGATGATAAAAAACAGGAGTGAGGGAGGATTCATTTATAGCGCAACAACGATACCCATACCGAAATAGGACATGTAAAAAATAATAATAGATTCACGATAATGACCTATTGCAGAAAAAGTGACACCCGAGTCAGTTAATTAAATCTCAGCGAGTCACAAGACTGATGACTGATACAGGAGACTCCGCGTGGTAATTCGTTCGGGGAGTTGACCAAAAACTCTACCAAAAGAGGAAAAGGCTGTACAAATTGCAATACGGAGGCACGAATGATATTCAAGGAAGCACATTGCTAATATCGTCTACCCGCTCTATTGCCGGTTTCAAGGACTGCCGGAGTGTGTGGGACTGTGTACAAAAGATCTTTGAGGACTCCGATTCATTAGTGTGTCTTCTAAACAGATGTCATGACTGAAGACAAGAGAAGTGTGTGTCACGTCACGATGGGTATTGCTTGAGCTTCATCGAGCTGATCGCTTTCTTGGCCTCGGCGTGTATGAGAAAAGGCACTTGCCAAGAGAGCGTGGCCGGGGCATATGGGAAAGACGGCACGCGGCATGGCCACGTTGAGCTCACGAATAGATACAAAAGGACAATCTTGTGAATTGGAGCCAAGTCTTGGCTGCTGAGGTCTCGACTCTTGCACCTTGACGATGGAACGTACACAGACCAACCCACAGTGCAGAAGCTTCCAGTTTGTGGTCAGTAGCTGACAACAACCTGTTGTGTGTCTATTGGCCAAGATGCCATTGTCAGCCTCTTTTCCTCAACAGACGAAGAGAAATGCATCAGTGACAACTCTTGAGCAAGGAGTCAAGTTAGAGGTTATGTCTTGGCAAAACCGTCGTTGGTCTAGACTCCCCATCGGTATTTCTGACCAATAGTAAGTACTCCTCAAAGTTGTGCCTGACCATGCACAACAACCCTTCATCATCCTAAATCGTCGACATCGCAGCTTGACCGGCTATAAGAAGCCGAGAGGCTGGCTTGGCAAGTCGGCTGGCCCGAGGGTCCGTGGCGCAGCAAATGCGAGTCCAGCAATGCGTTGAAAATACGGGGCGCCTAGGCTTCTGGGCATCCCGCAACAAGAGACACCTTGCCCTGAGTTGCCAGACTTGCCAGTGGAGGCTAGGGCGGAAAACTCGAGGGTACCCACAATCTGGCTGGCCTGTCACTAGGTGTCAGCAACGTCTCGTTTCATGACTGATTAATTTCCTGGTCGTCGTAATGATCGGCCAAGGATTGTCACATTAGGATCGAGGATAGTAATGGGTAGCGCGATTTGAAAGCTCTGGCAGCTGGTAGTACCTAGGACTTGTCATTCATTGGTTCGGGTACCGATAAACTCAGCTTTTGAGTCGTTGATAGGGTTGTCATGGTTGAATGTATGTTTAAACATCATTGGCGCTAGCGTTTCTTGACATCGGCTGGATCTGCACCGTAAAGACATGGGTCCTTGCCAAGAGGTCGGAGCTCGGCCGTCAACGCGCGTCCTGCTTGGCAAATCAATCAAATGGTGACCTTCATCAACAAGAGCTCAAGTCTCATAATGGGCTGGCTTTCGCCATCATTGACGTAGCGTGGTTGTACCGTAGAACTTTTTGGATCGTCATCCAGATGAACTGTACTTGCCAAACATGACTGGAGGAAAGGTGAGTTCAGAGAAACCCTCACCCGGCGATTTGGATATGACGGTTCGTCCTGCACTGCATCAAAGTTACTCTGTCTGACACATTCCCCTGCAGAAGGAGGGCTCAACCAATCCATCAGCTGTCCGAATTCGTGACAACCAACGACGGTCCCGTGCGCGCCACAAGGAGTATGTCGAGGGTTTGCAAAAGAAGCTTCAGGACTATGAGCGTCGTGGTGTCGAGGCCACATTGGAGATGCAGCAGGCGGCGAGAAGTGTTGCAGTCGAAAACTCCCGCTTGAAGATTCTTCTGGGATACCATGGCATCACTAATGATGACGTCGAAAAGTTCTTGCACAGCTTTCCTGATCAGTCAGTTTCCGACGCCGCAAAGGCTGCTATTCAGCAGTCAACAGCCAGTCAACCACCCATCGCCGCCGCACCAAAGATGGCTCTTCAACCCTTGTCAAGGGCAACTTCAGCTGATCCCCCGAGGACGTTACCCCCACCACAGATGCTCCATGAGAACAGCACAAGTACTCGAGATGTCGTGGACGCAGTTGTTGGGATCAAGCGAGACTCTCGAAAAGCCGGCTTACACAATGGCCCAAAGCTTCCCTTGCCGATAGAACAGCGACAACCACTGTTGCAACCTCGACCTCAACCACCCATACTGCCAGCACTACCAGCTCTCGTCCTTGGTCAGAGTAGACCGGAACCCCCTCCCCTCGATAAGCTGTCGGTTCTTGCGACAGCAAGTGCGCACCAAGATAACGATGCAAATAAACACCGCCGCTCACATTCGAATGCCGATAGTCTTCGTGTGCCGAGTCCATCAATAGTAGGGCAAAGCTCACCAGCTTCTTCACATACAACCCCTACTAGTCGGTTGAGTTCGACGTCTCCATGAAGCCACGAGTGCGGATGGGGTTCGAGTCCGTATCATCGAATGCCGACGATTACCCCTGACAGCACAATCTATGAAGAGACTGCTCCTGCACAGGCTTGCGGGGAGCGTAGCGCCAAATTTGTGAGATACCATTAGCGGTGGTGAATGGAGTTTTGATCGATTGATTGAGAAGCAACTTTGCTTCTGGGTGTGATGTTGTCTTGAGCTTTGACGGTATAACCATGTCCAGAACTATCTGGGCACGTTAGGCTGGTCGTATCAGTCCAAGTTGGATGAACCATGGAGGAGAATGAGTTAATGCCGACAGTTGATTCCGGGAGTCGACTATCAGAGGAATGGGCAGTGCGGTATTCAAGTATGGACTGCCAATACTGCTGCATCGATACAACGCCATCCACGAGAAAACGTTAAACATTACTGGCGAACGAGATCCAGATCTGGGGAGGAAGGGTAGTAATACTCCGACAGGGTGCAAAGTCGGAAACGAAATGATACCAGGATTACACAAGCGAACCCATCGCATCGGGGAGGCAGTGCACATTGCAGAATCGCGTCTCGAGAGTTGCTGGCAAGACATCGGTCTTGGCTTGGACGTGAGAGGCAGAGTTATATAGGAACGGCTTTCAGGTCGTTCAGGTGGGAGGCCGCTTAGTGGAGGTGTGGGATAACAAGGGCAGGTCGGCCTTGAAGGCGGGGAACATGCTTCTTAGCCGGTCGAGTTGGAGGGTATGTCTCCAATGCGTGTGTTTGTTGGAAGGATCTCCTCTCCCCACGCCTCAGATGTGTAGAGGATATCTGCAAAAGCTGGGCACAGCAACAATATAGCCACAGCAAAAAAATTATTATAAGCGCAAGACTTGCTGAATCCCACGTGTAATGGAAATGACAAAGCCATTCGCGGTCAATTTCCCTTTCAAAGAAAACAGTCCCTGAAAGCTCCCTTTGTTCAACCACTGACATTGGAGAGATACCAAGCCCGAGTGAACCGGGATCCAGTGTTTCTCCACAACGGCGTCATGTTGACCCATTGAAATGCAAGGTTGGGTGGTAGGGAATGAGATAAAACATTGCTTGTCTCTCAGCCGAGGAGACCAAAGAGAAGGGTTTGCTGAGAAGGGTCTGCGGGTGATGGAGATACGCCTGGATGAAGGTTTCCGTGGGTTTGGTAGCGAGTCAGAGGCGAGAGGCGCTGATTAGTGGTGATTGGTCGTGACGAGGCGCAATGAAGCCGTGGCATCTCGAAATGGGAGGCAGCCGATGTGAAAGACCCTGATGGGCGGAAATGCAGATGTTGAGAGAAAAAGAATGAGGCGGTCGAGTAGGATATAAGAGATTCAGGTTCAGGCCAGAGCGGGAAGTGGGCACACGACTACTTTCCGGTCGTGATAGATGCATTCGCGTTATGCACAAAAGATTGATGTCCAACCTGAGCGAATTAAGTAACCCGAAACAACATTCATGGATATGAAATGTCGGTCGAAGGATAGCACCTTGAATCCATGTTGGGTAGCTTAGCTTGGGTAGCTTTACCCTGCCGTGCTCATTTCCATGACGTAGAGTTTCATGCCAATCAGCATTCATCAGTGACAGAAGCCCCGTATGCCAGGGACCGGGAAGTGGGTTCGAGCATGCCGTAAAAGATCGTCTCCTCTCATGCGTTGACTAGGGTGGGAGACCTCCGTGACGAGATGCGAATGTATGATTGGTGAATTGTCGTATTCAAATAAGCTTAATCGTCTCAAGGTGTGGCTTCGGTTGAACCTCAGGGTTTCAATGTTGATATTCCCGAGTATTCGCATTCGTTGAGTTTGCTGGAGGAAGTCTGGAAGAACACAAGGGGCATCGTGTTCGTTCGGGCTGAACCGATGGGATGGTACCCTGTGTAAGTCTTGATGTCGTCTCCCTCCACAAGACCCATTGTAACCACCACGTTGTCTGTCGCAAACCTAGAATTGAAATAAAAGGAGCAAATTCGAAAAGTTCAAACCTCGACCCCCAAAGACTTCGTGGGAGAGGCCTAACTTTAAAAGTAGCCCGGGGGTTAATTGGCCGCGCGGCCCTGTTAACGCGTAGGTCCCATAATTGGTGGTGGCAGTGCATCCTATCCAACGTCACCAGACCGGTCGATTGTACAGAACGAGAATATTGAGAACAAATTTGAGTTGATAGAATGCGAGTCTAGACGCGTGGTGAGTTGCTCGGCGTTGCCTATTGGCTCGGTAGCGTTATTGCCAGGGGTGGGTTTGCATATGAAGCTATTGCCAAGTCAGAACCAACTCTGTGCTAAGACAATCTTTTGATTAGGCCGCGCAGGCACTCACCAAAGTCTGATACAGGTGGATAACAGGATTGTACTCCAAGGCTTTGGAAGTCAAAATAAAGTAGCCCAAGTGTTGGTCTAAGGTGGCCAACCTTTTTCGTTTCTCAGGCTTTTGGTTTCGTCTCAGGCTTTCGGCGGCCTCTTCTGATAGCTTGAGGATTGCTCGGTCCGATAGTCGATCATTATCTCAAGTTCGGTCGGAATCGCATCTGTTGATCGAGATGTTAGCTGATGCTTCTCAAAAATTGAACATCTACCAATACTACAGTGCAACTGAGCACGCTCGGTAGTTGATTGCGATAGCGAGTGTCGCAGTAGAGATGACAGTAGTGGTCGTGATGGTACTGTTGGACGTCAAAGGTTTGTCACCAGAAAGCAAAATGATGAAAGAAGAGAATTTGTTGTAGAAAAGTCAAAGACTCAAAGTCAATAAGGCAGGTGGTGCCTGCGTGATGATTGGGAAAGTGCATTGTGAAAAGGCAAGAACGCGGGTGGGAGTTTTTTAGGCAGGCTGCCACCTTCAAACACTCAAACCCAACAAACAACAAACCATACTTCTAACTTTCATCAACATTTCAATACTTTCTTGGACGCAGAAATTAACCACCAAAGAGAGCCTTGATACAGTTTTGGCCACCTCTCGTATAAAAGATCAGAGCAGCCACATCGCAAACAACTTCCCGTTCATTCTTCTTGGCCACCGACTCCAAACTGCGCTCTTCCAAACGCTTCAGGCTTTAGGCTTCAGGCTTCAGATTTCAGATTAGACCGCAATCATAAAGTACTCTAAGTGCTTTCATAACCTTTCATAAGGTAACCAAATCATTTCGTCTCTTATGCTTCTTTAGCTAATTCTTCTAATAGCCTGCCCCAGTCAACACAACGAGACGACCTTCAACGACACCACGATGCCTCTGTCGCTAGACGATCCAAACCATCCCACCCAGTGGGTCAGAAGGCAAATAAAAGACTTCAACGACCATTACGACAAATATTTTGGACCAGAACGCTGCAAACGGTATGAGAGCAACGGGCAAAAGCTTGTCAAACTCAAGTCGGAGCTTAACCAAGCCCATGCCTCGTTTGACGACCTGGAAGGAGACCACGAAGACGCTCAAGACGATATCCAGCGCCTCCGAAACCAGCTCGGCAAGGTCGACAAGTCTCTGAAAGACAAAGAAAAAGAACTACAGACACAGAAGAAGGAACTTGCGAAGAAGGATGCAGACCTCAAGAAGGCCGATCAAGAACACGCGAGCCTCAAAAATCAGCTCAACCAGGCCAAAGGGGCCAAAAAGTCTCTGGAAGGCAAGCAAAAAGAGCTAGAGACAAAGATGAAGAAGAAGGACGCAGACCTTAAAAAGGCTGACCGAGAAAACGCGAGCCTCAGAAATCAGCTCAACCGGGCCAGAGATGATTAGAAGACTCTGGAGGCCAAGCAAGAAGAGCTAGAGACACAGATGGAGAAGAAGGATGCAGATCTCAAAGCGTCTGATCGAGAAAACACGAGTCTTGAACACCAGCTCGACCAAAAGTCTCACGAGATCGATCAGTTGAAGGAACAGGTGAATGGCCTTCAAATTCAAGTCAAGGAAGAAAGAGAAAGGACCAACAAGGATCGGGATACAAGCGAGGAGATGCAGAAGCTTCAGGACGAGAACGAGAGTCTGAAGAAGCAGGCTGAAGAGGCTGAAAAGGAGAACAAAGAGAAGCTCAAGGATATGGTAGTCAAGGCCGATGAGCATTTTCAACTGCGCCAACGAGCTGAAAAGAGGATACAAGAGCTCGAATCTGCTCTTGAGACGCAGACTCGTTTGAGGGAAGATGCAGTGGTCAACCAGGAGAGGGCCGAGGCGATTTTCCAGGATGTACTGAACCGAGCACGTCAGCAGAGGAGGGACTTCGAAAGGGTCGTGTTGTCGGCTATGGTATACGCAGCATCTTGGGCAATGCAGTGGGCAATGCAGCCCCACGGCTACATTCAACCCGGCCAAATACTCCCAGTTCAGAACACCTATCCAGGTCCATTTCAACCTCCAGGTCCGGCTCAGAACAATCAGAATATGTGTGGACCATATCGGAACTTTTCAGATCCCCATCCCGAGATGTATAGCGTCACAAACACCACACAAGTCACCAACGAATCCCGCATCTCTGATATTCCTCGAGATAATAATCCTGGACCTTCACGTCAACAACATCAGAACTCTTCAGGTCCCCGTACTAGGGTGGATAGCACTACAGACACCACACAGGATAGCGGTTCATCCAGCAGCTCTGATACCCTTCGAGATAACACTCCTGAGCCTTCACGACAGCCAAATCAGAACTCTTCAGGTCCCGATCCCAAGGCGAATAACACCGTAAACAACGCAAAGAACACTAAAGAGTCCCGCAGCCCTCGCATCTCTCGGAACAACTATCCTGGACCTTCCTCATGCGGGCCTACAATTGTCAACAGCGTCAATCTCGAATACATCTGGTATACAGATCCGGTAGACGACAAGCATTGCGAGACTATCAGAGTCTCCAGAGGGATGGAGAACAATGTGGCTGCCAAAGTTCCTTGTCTCGATTATGTCTGGGCGGCCAACGTCGACAATTTGCAAGGTATGATCAATCTGTACAACCACACGCCTGGTACCAAGGCGTCAATCATTATGGTAAAACATATCGATGCCAGGATTACAGAGGAGGTGCGTTTGGATTGGAGGTTGTTTGAGAAATCCCTTTCTCAGCGTCCCTTTTCTCAGCGTCAGTAGTATCATGGACTCTCGCTCAACGAACAGCATAATCATTCTCTAAGGGTTAGAATAAGTAGTCTAAGTTTTAGTATAGCGTGAACAAATTATTTCATCTCTTATGATAGGCCAATTCTTCTGACAGTGACCCTATGCTCCGATTTAATGTAACCTCGACCTACGATGGATAATCCTACTTCGTGAAAGTCCCATATATTGGTGGCAGTACCTAGGGCTTGCACATCAAGTTGGAGTAGGCACACACTCCTCATTCCGGGTCGCGTTAGTTGTTCGAGGATCGATTGTATTCTTTCTTGGCGATATAGAATCTGGGGATGTTCATGTATTAGCATTCCTGTTAGTGATACCTTTCCTGGTGAGTCCCTTTCTTGGTAGAGGCTGGATTTGTAGGATTCAATTGTCGTTTTTACTTCGGCTTGTAGCTTTTCTGTCAATATTAGCGTTTATTCCGGGCAGTGTTGTCTCATACATTTCTTCAATCGTCTAGATTGTCATGCTAACTCTTTTTGCTACAGATGGGAGTGTGAGAGTCCGGTGATGGATTGTTCCTCTAATTCTACTGCTTCGATACGTCAACACAATCTGTCTGATCTAGTCTATTGTTCATATTCTAAACAACAAAACTCAAATACCATGTCTAATACAAAAGACAGTGTTTCTTTGTCCCCAGCCTGTCGGCAAGTTCTTTTCAGGTACAATGGCCATTCATCTAATCTCTACCTCCTCGAAATTCAATCCTTCCGATCCGCAAAGTGTGCCTAGTTCAGCGCGCTTCAAATCTGCAACGAAGCAATTGTCGACAAAAAGATAGTGACCGTCTTCGGGGCGGAGAATTATAAATGGTATGTCGTGCGCGAGATTACACACAACATCCCCTGGCAAAACCTCCTCGCGAACCAGGCCAATGTAGCCGTCCTTTGTAGTGAAAAAGGTGCTCCCCAAGAGATGCTCAGCAGCAGAGTCCCACTCATGGATGATTGTGTTGAGTTCAGATCCGTAAGTAGACCTAAGCTTCCGGTCAAAGTCCTCAGGTCTGCCCTGTCCAGACGCAATCAACGCATTGAAGAAGCGATCGACATTGTACTGGCAGACAGATTTGAGTAGGAAGGTACGGCAAAGTACCTGCAGAATAGATTCGCCATTGATGTATTTATCTCCCCCTCTTGTCTTCTCGTAAATTCTTGGAAAGTCATGTATGAAGGAGGACAAACCTTTATAAACGAAGTCTGGATCACCCGGTTCACGGAACACTGTATCCACAGTCTGTACCCTGATGACTTTGATCCATAAGCTACCCTCCGAAGTGACCACCGGTAGCAGTGAATTGTAGTGCTGAGACCAGTACCCTGAAGGAGGTAGATTGATATCCTGACGCTTGTCGCTAGCGGAGAAGACAGGGGCCCAGGTTGGTAAGCCATGAAGCTGTCGAATACCAACGGCATGTCGGGTCAGCAAACTATAGAGATCTTGTGTACTGCTTCTTTCACTGGAAACCATAGACTCCAATATCTGCACAAGTTCGATATACACCTCGCGTATGGATCTTGTATAATCTGGCTCGATAGGCACTTTACTTATAGCCAATAGACCATAGACATAGTCCAAATCGTCGGTAGCTTGCAAGTCCGCTGAGAAGTGCAACTTCATACGATCTGATATAGAAAGCCCTTCCGAGATTCGACCAAAAAGTCCTTTTGCTTTAAGTAGATTCATGACTCCGCGTTGGGACGGTAAGAATTCCTTGTACACTTTCCTTTGCCATTGAGTAAAGGCTTCCTTGCTCCAATCAGTACCGGCTTTATATAGGCTCGGAAACCTGTGCACCCATTTGTTGGCTAACAAAAATTGGTTATGACTCATTCTGTGTGATGGCGATATGTAGTAAACTCTCCTGGCAAGGATTATCTCCTGTTGAATCCATACTCTGGACCAGAAACCGAGTTTCCAAATTTGTTGAAGAGGAATCAATGGCTCATCGGGTTGGGGTTGTCCGCCGTATTCTTTCCGAATACCCCAGAAGTCTAGAAATAGAAAAGAGAGCTCCCAAATTATATGGCCGATTCGACGCTCATCGGACATATACGGCTGTACACTGCTTGCCACCAATACACGGTCTAGGACATTGAACCCCAACGTAACATCTCGGTCATCAGATGACAGCCAGGCAAGCACCATATCAGCTGAAGAGTAGATACTGGCCATCAAACCAACCTGGTGTCCCCTCTCCAAAGGATCATCCTGATTGATGCTCAAAGCATCAGCCCAGAGACGGAACTTGGAAGGGTCGGCATCAGGATTTGATTCACGTTCGATCTCAACCCAGTGCTTTTTCAAGTGCCTCAAAGCAGTAGCGAGGTTGACGGTGACTGACTTCCGAACGCCGTTGACAACGATCTCTTCGGTGATGGACGGATCGCCCCAGACATAGGAGATACAGACGTAGTATGTTCCTGGTGTGAGAGTGACGGTGTGCAGCTTACACTGGATCGTTTGGTTCGCGTATGTTGGTAGGATTTCGATGAGGCGAATTTCGCGGCCGTTGCGGTCGAGTGGTTGATACAAACGACGACTCGTTTGGCGGGTTGTTGGTGGCATCTTGACCAGCGGATGGGGTTATCGAAGAAGAGTACAGGCTGGTATTGTTAGAATGATGAAGCATGACTTGAGGGAGTACTCAGTGGGAAGTAATCAGCTCAACATATACGTCCATGTTGACTGTATTCAATCCCACCAGGCTTAGGCGACTTCTTTGTAGCATTCAACAATGCCGTAGTGAAACGCATGGCGGATATCCTTGACATTGAAGGGACAGTAAAACAGAGAGGTGAAGCATCGCGCGGGTTTGTTTTGAGGCTGGAAAGTGGGTGACTTGAATGTGAAAGCGTGAAAGAGAGTCGGAGTTTCAATTAAATGACCTTTGACTTTTTAGTGCTACAGGTCAAGAAAGATTAAGGAAGTAGCGACAGGTGGAAGGAAGTTGGCATGAAGGATCTTGTCAACCACATTTGGCAGTCACGGGTGGTTGCATCGCACCTGCCGCAACTGCCTAAACTTCATGTCAAATATTACATAAGAGCGTCAAAGCTGTCAAGGTGGATCTTGGGATACAGATTGCTCATGGCTTTTTTATTTAGATTCAGCATTTCTAGAGCGTCAAGACACTTGGCTGGGGCGGAATTGTTGTAGTGAGAATAACTGAGATAATTTCCATGTTCAGCCACTTTGCGAGTTATCACAAAGGGGCTTGAGTGTCTCTTAGGCATCATGGTCAAACCCCCGAGTACCTATGTCAATATTTGGATGAGATGTGAGAGACAAGCGGCAACAAGTCATTGATGACATGGCTGACAGGTTCAAAGACTGTTGTAGACTTCAAACCGACAATTTTGCGGATATGGAGGCTTGAAAACACGGCAAAGAGTTTCAGCTTGGGATATGTTCAGGAGATGGTTTCAATTCAGACTCTTCATGATAATTAAAATTCAGCTTGACTTCTTTCAGCTGGGCGATTTGACACGACGGTCTATGAGAGAGTTAATTGCCTGGATGGGATCAGGACAAAGAGCACCGTCTGTCATATATGACTCCTGAACTTCACCCAGTTATTACGAGCGGACAAAAGCACTGCACTTTAAATGAATCTCGGGATAAAAACAGGGTTTCTGAGACGGTAACAGCCTCTAAGAGGTCAAAGACAATACCAAACGCAAACAGATAGCAGACCTAGATTGCAGTGCAACCTGCTCAGTAAAGACAAAGTGGCAAAGAAACAACAAACCGCAGACCTCACTCGCCAAGCAAAAAGGCAACAAAATTTCCCATTAGCAAAAACTATTTGCATGACCAGCGCAGCCTCTAACCAAAGCAAGCCAAATCCGCAGCGCCAAGACGTTGTGAATAAAGTCAATTCGCATCGCATCAACTGATTGATCAGATAAGATTACGAAACGTGGCTGAACCAACTGGAATGTGAACCTGAATTTCCAACGCATTAGTCCCTGCGCCAGCCGATATCGCAATGACGATTAATTCTGCAGGGGGAGATCTACGTGTGGGTTGTTGGTGCAACAGCTGGTTATCAATCTCGATATACACAGCTGAACAACATCATGTCAGTGATATTCCCGTAACGTAAGATTTACTACGACCCACCATCTGCCGTGGGCATTCTGTCTCTCCGGGTCATTCCCTGTCAGTCAAGCCTAAATGGTTCACTCGTATCGATAGTCTGATTCTCTATCCGCCTAATCAATCTAGACCAAACTCAGTGGATGTCCTTGACAAAATTTTCATTGCCAAGGATACCGACAATGTGGAAAGACATCCCATTTGGAGTAAGTACATCCGTAATGAGGTTGTTATCAATCAGTGTTTATTCCCTTTTGCGGCTCAAGTCCGATCCATGCGTCCGAACATCGCCTGTTCCTCCACTTAAGATGTCTCTACGGTTTGCCTGTTCTTCTTTATGGGTCCATTAGCCTCTGACCGGTCGCCTGTAAAGTCAAAAGGATTCTAGTCTGTTGTCTCACTGGTTGTAACGTTTTAACGGAACCCTCCGAAGCCTGAAAATCTTTTCCCAGCTTGAGTGCTTGCATTGGCATCGGCAAATCCGCTGCACAGCTTCTGACTTAGTGGTAGGATGGCTGATGGACAGCTCTAGGCAGCTATTGCCGGACCCTTGACTTGTATAGGAAAGATGGTCGGCTCACTTTTGACTAACGCCAAGAAGTGTGTTCCACTGTTGTTGATCCTTGGATTCCGAGGGTGATGTCGGGTGCTACAGTTGCATCACTATCTACCTGACCTGAACCTTGCTGTTGGTATCGCAACAATGGATGCCCGTCATGAATCCATGGATGGATGTCGGGTGAATTGACAGCTTGATCACAGTGTCTGCAGTACTCGAAGCCGGCAGTTACAGTACAGATACTGCCCGCAGTAACTACAGGTAATGTTCACTGAAGACATCAAAATTTCTCCGCCACTTCCATCACTAAATCCCCTAGGTGCGCTAATTAACCCCCTAGCGCACAATGGTCCCATGCTCCTCCACCCCTCTCACCCTATCAGATGCAAATTCGTCCCCTACATCAAAAAACTTAGAGTTATCTAATCAATCTCTTGATCCACACCCATCCTGCCATCACTCAGGCTTTTAAAACCTGCCCATCCCCCCAAGATGCCACCACCACTTCCCCCATTCTCTCATGAAATAATATTATTATTCTGGTGACGACTGCCATCATGTCCGTCAAAGAAACAAACGAAACCTCTCATGAGGCCAAAACCCCCGCCGACGCCGTGCGCGACATCACTTCGCCCGGTGTTCAGCGCATCAAGGCCATGTCAGAGGTCATTAACATGACCGACCGCATCTTTATCTTTTTCGGTGTCTTTCTCATCGCCTATGCTTACGGTCTTGATGGTACCGTGCGTTACGCTTATCAACCCTCTGCGCTGAACGAGTTCAAGGAGCACTCTCTGCAATCCTCTGTCAACACTCTCCGCGCCGTCATCGCAGCAGCTGCCCAACCAACTGCTGCCAAGATTGCTGATGTGTTTGGTCGTGTGGAACTTATCTGCATGTCGGTCTTTTTCTATACTATCGGAACTGTCATTGAGGCTGCGTCGCAGAATCTTGATACGTATTCTGCTGGTGCGGTTATTTACCAGATTGGATATACCATGATTATTCTCTTGGTTGAGGTCATCATTGGAGATATTACTTCTGTCAGATCTCGTCTGTTCTTCAGTTACATCCCCGCTCTGCCCTTTATCATCAACACTTGGGTCAGTGGTGATGTTACAGCTGCCGTTCTGGGCGTTACTACCTGGCGGTGGGGAATCGGCATGTGGTGCATCATCTACCCCGTCTGCGCCCTTCCTCTCATCATCAGCCTCCTCGTCGTTGGCCATCGCGCAAAGAAGCAGGGTCATCTCGTTGGATACCGATCATCTTTCCAGCAACTCGGTCTCAAGAGCTTCACTGTTGAACTCTTCTGGCTTCTCGACATCATCGGAGTCATTCTTCTTATTGCCTGCTTTGCACTCCTTCTCGTCCCTCTTACCATCGCCGGTGGTTTCGAGAGCAAGTGGTCAGACCCTCAAATCGTTGCCCCTCTTGTCATCGGCTTCGTCTGCATTCCCGTCTTTGTCATCTGGGAACTCCGCGCTCCTCATCCCCTTGTTCCCTTCCACCACATGAAGGACCGATCCGTCTGGGCTCCCATGGGAATCGCATGCATGCTCAACTTTGCCTGGACAATGCAGGGCGACTACCTCTACACCGTGCTTCAGGTCTCCTTCAACTTTAGCATCAAGGCCGCTACTCGAGTTCAGTCTCTGTACTCATTCGCCAGTGTCATCACCGGCACAATCCTCGGCCTTATCGTGTACAAGGTGCGCCGCTTCAAGGTCTTTATCGTATCGGGCACATGTCTGTTCCTTGTTGCTTTCGGTCTCCTCATCCACTACCGAGGCGACGAAAGCAAGTCCAACCAATCCGGTGTCATCGGCGCACAAATCCTCCTCGGTATCGCGGGAGGTATGTTCCCCTACCCCGCCCAGGCCTCTCTGCAAGCCTACGTTACCCACGAGCGTCTTGCTGTCATGACAGGCTTGTATCTTGCTCTCTACCAAGTCGGATCCGCCATGGGCAACGCAGTAGCCGGAGCCATCTGGACCCAAGTTCTCCCCGGCAGCTTAGCCTCTGCTTTTTCCAGTTTCGGCAACGAGACACTTGCTGTGTACACCTACTCTCAGCCTTTGTCTGCCATCATCGACTTCCCCGTTGGTACTGCTGAGCGCGATGCCATGATTGATGCGTACAAGCATGTGCAGCGACTACTCGTTATTACCGGTATCTGCCTGTGTATCCCTCTTATCGGGTTTTCTCTGTGCTTGCGTAACCCCAAGCTCACTGATCAGCAGAACCTTGTTGAGGATGAGAAGCCTGGTGAGGCAGCTGAGCGAACTGCCAGTGCTTAAAATGGAGATATGGATGATGTTGGATGATTAAAAGTTGTATAATGATATAATTGTAATTGAAGCCTTGGCTTGTTGATCTTATATGAGTTGTTCATGAACTTGATGCTGCGAATGGTGATACTTTGACTGATGAAGATAACGACCACGGACCTGTTAAAGTTAGTCAACGACAAGTCAGTCAATTCGAGTTTGTATCAACTTCAACGTCTTCAACGGATCTAACGCTCCGACAGATCTGCATATAACTTCAAATCGTTGACGATCTATATTTAGCCACCATGCCTCCTCCCGTCCCGTCTTGACCCTTCTACCAGGAAAGCAATACTCGACAACCAACAAAGCACCGCTAACACCAATCAACAACCTCCAGCATGATAACCACCACTCATTATCCTATAAAAACAATTACGTAAAGCCACCCATTAAGCATAATTTAAAAAGCTGCACACCGCGAATTCCATCTTCCAATTATTTGCGAGTCTCGGTTATCAGCTGCAAGGTACCGCTTACGGAGGCTGATCAGATCATCGATATTGGATGGACGTTTTGTCAGCCATGTTATTTCCGGGCCGTGTTCAGCTACATACTACGTAGTACATCCTAGACTTCGGTTATGCTTACGGTACTCGAGGATGCAGGTTTCTCAACAATGCTACTCTCAGCTGCATGGTCCTCTTAGGAATAGCAACTGAGACTTCTTTCAGCTACCATGCTGCAGATCGTTCGGAACGTTTCTCCTCATTTGTCTATGTGCATCTCATCGGTTCTCGTACCCTCTCACCAAAAGCAACGTTCTCGATCTCTATCAACCAATCCATCTTCACTCAAGACTCTTCCATGGGTGTCATTCTCGCTTCGTACAATTCCACCCTGCAAGCTTCGTATAAACTCTCCGAAAAGATAACGTTTCTCGCACAGCATATCTCTTGTGACACGTGTTTATGCAGTATTTACGAGGACACCTCTTCCCTCTATGCAGGAACCACCAACAGCTCACCATTACAATTGCATCTTGCGCAGATAAAGTATTGACAATATTGGCGCGGCTGAAGAAGGCCTCAAAAGTACATGCGAGAATACAGGGTTATCCCCTTGTAAGTGCATATAAAATGGCTTGCGCCATTCTGCACGTTGGAAGCAATATCACTGCATATCGAAATATTCCTTTTTCCGCAAGATTTACCTCCTCAGTAAGAGAGGAAAGTAACCCCATGCATGAGCATGCATCGATAAGTAGGTATATAAACCTCGACTGTCACCACAATGGGATACTCAACAGCCAAGCCTTTCGAGTACAAGGCAATACCACCGCCTATCATTGAGGCATCCATTCGTTACAGTCACTCGTTTCAACATGAAGAGTCAATTCGCTTTCCTCGTCGCCTTTTTGGCTAGTTATGTTCTTGCAATCCCTAATCTCCGTAGTGTGCTTGGTCTTGAGAAGAGACAAGCTGGACGATGTGGTACGGGATTTGGAGGAGTTTGTGCTGCTGGTGAATGCTGTTCTAGCGCTGGGTAAGTCTCTGCACTCTCTACCTTCTATTCTGCCTCTTGTATGTATTCTAATTCTTGACAGTTGGTGTGGAACTGGATACCTCTACTGCTCTGCCCCATCATGCCAAATCGAGTACGGTCCTGGCTGCGATGCAAACGTGAAACCCAAGGGACCAGACACCACAAACGTTGCTCGCCCAAAGATTGGAAGTATTCCCTACGGCCAAGCTATCTATCGCTGTAATCGTAATGGGGATATTGCTTTGACATACGATGACGGCCCATACACCTACACTGAAGATCTTCTCGATCTCCTCCAAGTAAGTCACCCCAAAGCACATCTTACAACAGTCACTAACTTCACAGACGTACAACGTCAAAGCAACTTTCTACATCACAGGCCGCAACCTAGGCAAAGGCGCAATCAACGACGCAGCAACACCCTGGCCCAGCCTCATCCGCCGCATGGTCCGCGACGGCCACCAAATCGCCTCCCACACCTGGTCCCACCAACGTCTCACAACTCTATCCCGCTCTAAATTCTGGAACCAGATGATCTTCAACGAGATCGCCTTTGCAGATATCCTAGGCTACTTCCCTACCTACATGCGTCCCCCTTACTCAGCCAGCAACGCTACCACCGATGCTTGGCTGGGTGAACTAGGATATCATGTTACGTACTTTAACCTGGATACCGAGGGATATTTGCATGATAGTCCGAATACTATCGGTACATCCAAACAAATCTGGGATTCTACCGTTGAGGGCAAGAGTCCTGCTAGTAACAAGTGGCTTCACATCGAGCATGATCCCGTGTATCAAACCGTGTACAATCTCACAGAGTACATGCTCAAGTCGCTCAAGCGCAACAACTTCCGCGGGGTAACAGTCGGCGAATGTCTTCAAGACCCCAAAGAAAACTGGTATCGCCAAGTGACACCCAGCTCAGCCTCAACGACTACGACAGCCGCCATGAGCTCCGCAACATTTCCATTGACGACAAATGGCCGCTGCGGATCTCGCCACGGGGGCGCAACGTGCAGAGGCGAATTCAACGGGGAAACGTGCTGTTCGCAGAACGGATGGTGCGGCAGTACAGATGCGCACTGCGGAAGAGGATGTCAGCCTGTCTTTGGTACGTGCAGTGGAGTTTCGGAGCCGGGAACACCGGAGCCGACTGAAGCTAATCCGGGACGGTGCGGTTCTTCTTTTGGTGGGAAGAAGTGTGATCAGTGGGATCCATGTTGTTCTCGGGCTGGATGGTGTGGGAGGACGAGTGAGTATTGCGGTAGTGGATGTCAGAGTGCATTTGGAACGTGCAATTGATCCCTCAGTCAGTCACTACATCACATGATTGTCACTTCTTGATTTTGGTACTGTAGTATAGAAGGAATTGGTTTGGTTCCATTGAAGGATTCAAAGGTCAATGCAGAACTAAACCTAATTAAGAAATCACAGCTGGGTTAGGGGTTTCAGCCAAACGATGTGGCGGGTTTAACGCTCTGACTTTTACTTTTTGTCCGGTAGAATTAATTTAATTTCAGGGGGAGGATACTCTAGACTAATATCACTAATTAATCGAATCATTGTCCTAGCGAGAGCTTGTTTAATGAGTGATAAGCGAGCACCAAGTCAGTTGGACTGCAGCTAACAACTTGGCCGATTTTAAAATGGGCTGAATGCGTTACTATTGTTTATTGTTCTGTTGATCGTCGATGCGATGGATTCAGCTCGTAAGCGCCAAGGCTTAGTTCCAAGCTGCACCATCGGGAGTTATGACATGTCCCAAGAGTTGATCAACATAACAAGAAATGTCTCACTGCCAGTGCTACTGGGTCCTCATTGTGGACGGTAAAACTGGTCACTGTAAGCCGGGCATGCAGTGAATAACTGATCTGAATGGTTGGTGTTTGCTTTTTAACCCCTGAAGAGTTTCAAGTTACCTTGATATATGACATATGCACAAGGCTGGGCACTCGTCCTTGTTTTTAGTCTCTACTAGGAAAGGTGCGTCTCAGCGGTGAGCCCAGTGGGAAAGAGCTGCCTGCCTACTGCCTAGAAACTAAAAGACTAGAACGGACTGGATTTAACTGCCTGGTGTGATAGTTCATTACCCCAGCATTGGACTAGCTCTCAAGTACATAAGGCTCTCCCATCCCCTTTCTTTCATACCCTTTCTCTTTATCCATCAATAATTAAGTCTTCACTCGTTAGACACAAAATCCATCAAAATGCAGTCCATCGTTATCGCCTCCCTCCTGGCCACCGCCGTCTCGGCAAACGTCAACTTCATGGCCAACCCCATCATGAAGCGCGCCGCCATTGAGCCTCGCCAGACCGGCCTCCCCTCTCTCGGCGACATCACCCCCGAGTGTCAATCCGCCGTTCTTGACCTCGCCCAGGGCGTCCCCACTCCCGCCCCCGAGATCGTCTCCGATCTCCTCGAGAACCCCCAGACCGATCCCTGCGACTTCAGCACTCCCGCTTCTCTGTCCGCCGAGTACTCTTCCTACTCCGCCGACATCATCTCCTGGTACGCCAAGAACAGCGAGGACATCATGTCTGCTGTCAAGGAGTGCCCTGAGCTTGCTCAGTTCGCTAGCATGGTTCCCATGTGCACTGCTACTGCCACCGAGGACAAGCCCAGCAGCCTTACCAGCGCTACTGGCTCTGCTGCCACCGCTGTTGTTCCTCCTGTTGTCTCTACCAAGGTTGAGGAGCACAACACCCCTGTTGCTACTCCCTCTGGTGCTAAGCCTACCTCTACTTCTCCCTCTGAGGTTGAGAACGGTGCTGCTTCTGCCAAGGGTGGTCTCCTCTACGTCGCTGCCGCTGCCGTTGCCGGTGTCGTTGCTGCTCTCTAAATTTGTGGTAATTGATGGACTGGCTTAAGATTAATAGTTTTTAATACAACAATTCTCTTTCTGCCAAATAACTCTTTCTTTGAATGTGAAGTCGTTTGTTGTTATTCATTGTCTAAGTAACGCCACAGCGGTTGGTTCAGCCATGTCTTACATGAATAAGTCATGGTTGCATCCCCGCGTCTACGGTTGTCCAGTGAAACTCTATTAAGCCAACGTCAACATCTCCTCACGATGCATTGAAGCCAAGAATTGACAATGCAAATGCCAAGAGAGGCCTCGTAAGTGTTGCTGAGTAGTTTGAAGCCATAGCAGCTAAAAATGGACATTATTGAACAAGGCATTCTGCATCAAGGTTGCAGCTGGGAACGAGCTGACAGTCAGCCTAGCAACTTATGTCCAGAATAAGTTAGCTTCTCAACGGGAGATGGGCATATGCATGAGAGTCATCGTATTCTCAGCCATCCAAAAGTCACTCATACTCAGGTTGTGGAGAAATAAAGGTACGTTTGCTGAAGAGCAAACGACTGTACAGAGATCGTCCGTCAATAAGTCACGAAAACACATTCATTCTTCAGTCACATGTCCAACTTCATCTACATCACTCGATTCTTCCAGACTCACAATTCGCGAACATGAGACAGTAACATAACTACGGCATCAAATCCACTAACGAGTGTATCAAACTCCAAACGCGCCAAAGCAAAGCAGGCTTCTTATCTACATTCATCCTCATCTTTCATCTCATCCTCTAGCTTTCGTGTTCCCTTACACGGTATTTCCCAAAATCTCCTCTCCACAGACTGGTATCCTGCCCAAGTCAGTCCATGCTTGTCCTCGATCGCCTATCTATCGATAATCCAGAGACCCTTATCGGTTGTCTGTCAGACTACCAACAAAGGATGGATCCTTGACACTGCCGCCTGCATCTCCAAGTCCAGCAATTGGTCGGTTGTAGCTGAATCCTTGGAATTGGTTCTGCATTGTCTGAGATAGCATGGGTCCTTCGACGTAAGAATCTTGAGGTGCTTCTGAGGTAAATTCGGGGTCAAAGTTGGCAGTGTCCAGAGCGTCGGCCTGAAAATGTTAGTCGAGTCAAAATAAAACAGAGACGAAATACTTACAACACTGGGCTTAAAGGTAGGCTCGTACTTGCGCTGGAGTAGCTTCCTCCAGTCAATAGCATGGAAGAAAGGATGAGCCTTGATTTCAGCAGATCCATTGGCTCCCAATCGCTCTTCGGGGTTACGGTTGAGAAGCTTGGTCAAAAGATCCTTGGCAGCCGGAGGAACCACATCAGAAAAGTGAAGTGGCTCTGATAGAATCTTGCGGTACATCTCGTTGGTGTTTTCGTCGTAGAAAGGTGGAAGACCCGTCAACATCTCGTACAGCAAAACACCAAGAGTCCACCAATCGACCGTCTTGTTGTAACCCTGTCCCATCAACAGTTCGGGGGCGAGATACTCGGGTGTACCACAGAAGGTGTTGGTTCGGTCCTCATCCTTCATGTCAAGCTTGCAGAGACCGAAATCGCAAAGAGCAATGTGACCTTGGTAATCGAGAAGAATGTTCTCGGGCTTGAGATCTCGGTAGATGACGCTGAAACCGTGCAGACACTCGAGGGCGCACAGAAGCTCGGCGGTGTAGAAACGGGATCGGTTGACGTCGAATCGGTGCTCCTTTTGCAAGTGGTGGAACAGCTCTCCTCCGTTGACAAACGCGAGAACAAAGTACAGCTTCTCTGGTGACTGGAAACTAAACTTGAGAGGCACAATAAACGGGTTGTTGATCTGCGCCAGCACAGACCGTTCGGCGAGTGTGTGGGCGACTTCGGATCGCGAGATGATGTGTGCCTTGCGGATTGTCTTGAGAGCGTAGATTCGGTTCGTGTCCTTCTTGCGCACCTGCATAACCTTGCCGAAACTGCCCTTGCCGACAACCTTGAGAAGTTCGAAATCCTCAATCTTGAGCTTACCTGCTCGGGTCTCGACGTACTCGACACCAACCTTGATCTTTCCGGTTCCGTACTGCACGTCAACCCACTCGGCGCCTTGGTGACCGCCACGCGCTGCGTGTTCGGCAGCTGCCTTTTCGCGGTCCTTCTTGCTGGCCTTGGGGTCCTCCACGTACTGCTGTCGCTCTTCGAATCGGGGGTTGATACGAACGACACCGAGGAAGATATCCTGGCTTCGTCCGGATCCCGGTGGTGCCGAAGGGTTTCGCATGTACAGGTGGATGACGAGTTCCGTCACTCTTGAAACATCAAACTTGTACTGAGTATTTCCACCAGCCCAGAGAGGGTTCTCGGGGTTTCCGTCGACCGAGTTGACAAAAACCTGGACCTTGTCGAAATCGAGGAGGGCGTATGGCATGTACTTGCCAGAGATTCGACCGTGGTTTGTAGGAATACCGTTGAAGCCACCAGCAGAAGATTGCGGCCTTCCGCCGTTGAAACCACCCGCGCGTTGTGAAGAACTAGGTCGAACGGACCCTGAAAGAGCGCTTCCAGAGGACATCGATCCTTGGTGTGATGAGGCAAACGCACTTCGGTGCTGCTCGGGAAGGGAAAATCCTTGACCTTCATGGAGGGTGACGACGAGGATACCGGGCTTGGGGGGCTTGACTACGGGAGCCTGCGTCATGGCCTCAGAAGCGGCTATTCACGTCAGTCATTGACTTTGAACCCAGTATGATATGCTCACCTATAGCACTTTCGGTCGTGGGAGTAACGGCACCGCTGGCTTGAGCTTCCTTCTCCTTGTCGGTGATTGTAGAAGTAGACGGTGATCGAGAGAATGGACTCAAGGTCTGACCCAGATGGGTTTCCTTTAACTCTGATGGTTGTTAGCATGCGACCGATTGACCTTGAAATGTAAACATACTCTTGGTAAGCTTCCAAGACATGGCTGCGACTGTTGACGATGTATCCGAAAGGTGCAGTCGACTAGAAGTGTAATCGCAGAGATGATCTCCCAAGACCTGCGCTCGCTGACAAACTCCTGATCAAGCAAAAAGGCTGATGGTTAGAAGGATTCAAGTGGATGATTTGTAACCCCGCATATAAACGTGGAGAGAGAGAGCGTAGACCGGCCGCTTTTAGTCGAAAGGTTTCGCGAGTCGAAAGGAAAAAGGAGCAAATTCTGTTTTGCGCCGACGATCTGAAAGGAGAGAGATCGAAGGCAAGATGAGGGAAAAGAAGATTGAGAGGTTGGAGGTTCAGGTATGAGGAGGAGGCGAAGCAAAAGGCACCAAGACGAAGTAGTTGAACGGGGATGGAAAGAAGGGGAGCCGTGCCGTGGCGGTGGACCATGGACCTGGGATGATAGCTATTCCAGGGGGCATATGCACTGTGAGGTAGTGACCTTTGAACGCTGTTGAAGTGCTGTAAGCACAGTGTCTCAGTCTGCGACACAGGAGCTTTTAACTGTGGGGAATTATGGTCTGGGCTGTCAAAAGCTACCTACTACGCGGGCTCTAGCTTTGTTGATCTTAAGCAGTTTCCAGTTGGCAGTCTATGAGTATAAGGGGTAAATGAGATGGGGAGACTAGTTTTTGTGTGCACTGTTTGATGTCAAGACTTTGAGTCTGCCCAATCCAGAGCCCAATTGAGGGTGTACTGTAATTAGCAGCTGTACTTGGATCTCTTGTACAGCCACACTTTAGGACGACGCGTGTCGAATGGAATCAATGGAATCAATTGGGGGATATCATGAAGTGACCAGAGTGAATTGCCAGATTTAGATCAATTGTGCATAAGGGGTTGAGATCTGGTCCACTACGAAACTTGTTTGAGATCCATGGACATGTTCAAGACCGAGCTTCATGAGGTTCAGTTACAGTGGCAGATGACAAGAGCTTAATTATGCTGAACACCACAGCCAAGAACAGTGATTGACAATTCTGCCAAAGGAAATACAAAGTACCAGAGACACCAAAAATATCAGTAAGATAATTACATGAAAAAAGACCAACAATTAATTGTTCAACTTTTGACTTTCCCTACCCTATAACCCCCCTTTTCTGGATCATCCCTGCGATAAGAAGGGATAAGGAGGTGGGGCCTTAAACTTCAGGCCACAACAACACATGGCCATTCACATTCAATGGGATGGCCAGGCTGGCAGGATACTTTACATTTTGGGGAGCTCCGAATTCAAGAGCTCAAGCCACATTGTCAATTCAAAATCGACACGATTGATGATTTAGCGTTTGACTCTACAGTGTATTTCTGTTCTTTCCCTATCGACTCTTTTTATTTGTGACCACGTCCCGCATGGTAGACTCCTCCAGGGATTCCTGCCGTTGACCCCACTACCTTAGATATCACCGCCCTTGCTGGACAGCTTGCAACTTCAACTCTGCGCAACGCGACAGCGACGATATACCACAAGATGAAGTTAGACGTCAAGGTTAGTGGATATCTGCGCCTTCATCAGCATTGGCATTATGCTGTGTTGTACCGCAAAATGCAACACCCGAAATACCTTCAAGCTCCAAGCTTGAACTTCATGCGATCTGAGCTGACACGTTTCGCAACAGCGCCAGCTCTATGCTCGCAGTGAGCGAGTCAAGGGCATTGACTTTCATCCTCACGAGCCATGGATTCTCACAACCCTCTACAGCGGTATGTTCACCTCTCAGCAAGGTGTGCTTGGCTAACAACTCAGGCCACGTCTACATCTGGTCCCACGAAACCCAACAGATCGTCAAGACCTTTGAGCTCACCGATGTCCCTGTTCGCGCCGGTCGATTCATCGCCAGGAAAAACTGGATTGTCTGCGGTTCCGATGACTTCCAACTACGAGTCTACAACTACAACACTTCCGAGAAGATCACCTCTTTCGAGGCGCACCCCGATTACATTCGAGCGATTGCAGTCCACCCCACACAGCCTTTCGTGCTGACTGCCTCCGATGACATGACCATCAAGCTCTGGGATTGGGAGAAGGGATGGAAGTGTGTACAAGTCTTTGAGGGTCACGGTCACTATGTCATGGGTCTGGCCATCAACCCCAAGGACACAAACACCTTTGCTTCAGCTTGTCTTGACAGAACTGTCAAGATCTGGAGTCTTGGATCTTCTACTCCCAACTTCACCCTCGAGGCTCACGAGACAAAGGGTGTTAACCATGTCGACTACTACCCTCACTCTGATAAGCCCTACCTCCTTACTACGTCCGACGACCGAACCGTCAAGATTTGGGATTACACCACAAAGTCCCTGATCGCCACCCTTGAAGGACACACCAACAACGTTTCCTTTGCTTGCTACCATCCCGAATTGCCAGTCATCATTTCCGGTTCCGAGGACGGTACGATAAGAATATGGCACGCCAACACCTACCGATTCGAGCAATCCCTCAACTACAGTCTGGAGCGAGCTTGGTGTGTTTCGTATCAAAAGGGCAAGCAGGGTGTTGCTGTTGGTTTTGATGATGGTGCTGTTGTTGTCAAGCTTGGTCGTGAGGAGCCTGCTGTGTCTATGGATACATCTGGCAAGCTTATTTGGGCCCGACACAACGAGGTTGTCTCTTCTATTATCAAGGGAGGAGGTGAGTACTTGACATCTCTGACATAAACCTGACATGTTGATACCCCTGACTTGAACTACGCTAACATCGTTCATAGACGCCTCTATTAAGGATAACGAGCCCATCTCCCTCCCCGTCAAGGATCTCGGTACCTGCGAAGTCTACCCCCAAACACTCATCCACTCTCCCAACGGTCGATTCGTTTCCGTGTGTGGTGATGGCGAATACATCATCTACACTGCCCTCGCCTGGCGAAACAAGGCTTTCGGTTCAGCACTCGACTTTGTCTGGGCTTCCAAGGAGAACAGCAATGACTTTGCCATTCGAGAGTCTGCCATGAGCGTCAAGATCTTCAAGAACTTTGTTGAAAAGTCTGGTGGTCTCGATGTTGGTTTCCAGGCCGAGAAACTCCACGGTGGTGTTCTTCTCGGTGTTACTGGACAAGGTGGTGTTTCATTCTTTGACTGGAACACTGGTGGTCTTGTCCGAAGAATTGAAGTCGAGCCCAAGGAGGTTTACTGGTCCGATAGCGGAGAGCTTGTCACAATTGCTTGTGAGGATACCTACTACGTTCTTCGATTCTCTCGTGAGAACTATGTCGAGGCTGTTCAGTCTGGACAAGTTGAGGAGGACGGTGTCGAGGCCGCCTTTGAGGTCATCACAGACATCAGCGAGTCGTAAGTACCCGAATCTCGACCCCCAAATTACCCCTGCTAACGAAATAGTGTACGAACTGGTGAATGGATCGGCGACTGCTTCATCTACACCAACAGCACCAACCGACTCAACTACCTCGTCGGTGATCAAACCTACACCATCTCCCACTTCGACAAGGCCCAGTACATCCTGGGTTACATTCAGCGCGACTCCCGAATCTACCTTGCCGACAAGGATGTCAACGTTACTTCTTTCGGTCTTTCTCTCCCAGTTCTCGAGTACCAGACTCTTGTTCTCCGAGAGGATATGGAGACAGCTGCTGAACTCCTACCAACCATTCCCAGCGACCAGCTCAACAAGATTGCTCGATTCTTGGAAGGACAAGGTCACAAGGAGCTTGCGTTGGAGGTTGCCACAGATCCTGAGCACAAGTTTGATCTTGCCCTAGCATTGAATGAGCTTGCTATTGCTCTGGATCTCGCTCGTGAGGCTAATGCTGATCACAAGTGGAAGACTGTTGGTGACGCTGCTCTATCAGCTTGGGATGTTACCCTTGCTGCTGAGTGCTTTACTCACGCCAAGGACCTTGGATCTCTTCTTCTTCTGCACTCATCAACAGGCGACCGAGAAGGTTTGTCTGCGTTGGCCGCCCAAGCCCAAGAGGCTGGATCTCACAACGTCGCCTTCCAATGCCAATGGCTCCTCGGCAACGTCGAGGCTTGCACAAAGATCCTTACTGAGACCGGCCGTCTCCCCGAAGCCGTTCTCTTCAGCCAAACCTACCAGCCCAGTCTCACTGTGCCAGTAGTGAACCAGTGGAAAGAGAATCTCGAGAAGAACAAGAAGGCCAGAGTAGCCAAGCTCATCGGAGTACCCGGTGAAGATGAGGATCTCTTCCCTGAGTGGGATGAGTGGCTGCAACTCGAGAAGGAGGGTGGTGCTGCTGTGCCTGAGACAACGGCTGTTAATGGAAAGAAGGAGGAGGCTGTTTCTGAACCTGAGGTTGAGGATGAGGAGTCTGAGGAGGATGATGAGTAAGGAATATGTGCGTGTGTTTTATGAGCAGGGTGCTTAGATGGTGTAGAAAAGGTTTGGTCATTTCGTCAGGGTTGCTATGGCATCAATGAGTATAATGAAAAGAACATTGACGTTTATAACACCGTGTCTGACAATTGAGTGATATGTAGTTGAGTGTGGGATGTGATGTGAGGTTAGCTTGACTGGATGTTTGGTGTAGTCCTGCAACGATTGATTTTGGACTGACTGAGACGAGTGTCATCGGAGCTGAACTTGTAGAGCATCCATCCTCTGTTCCTGTTGTACATTACCCATTCCATTTTGCTACGTTCTTTGTCAATGCCAGAACCAAGAAATCCGTTCCTCCTGTGGTTTCCAATTCCAGTGGCCTTCTTCAAGCCATTCTGAGTCATTCGGAGCATTCGATCAACACTTTTGGCCCACTCACTAGCCAAACACTATCATCAACACCATCATTCAAACTCCAATGCAAATAGCAAAAGGACAAAAATAACGATGAAGCAAAAGAAAATTATCATTTGCCTGCGACGAGATTCGAACTCGCGAACATCACTGTAGTAGTGTTTTAAGTAAGGGGAACTTAAAACTACCGCCTTAACCACTCGGCCACACAGGCTTTTTATAGAAACAGCTGTGCTTATGCGTACATATGTACTGAACCTCATCTTTCGGAAACAGTTTCCTGAGGCATTTTTACATCTCACGATGTCGGCAATCTCGCCGAAAAGATTGGGGGTAGTTACTGCTACAAATTTCAGGCTATTTCCCATTCTAATGCTTCCGATAACATGTCCGGAGCTGATGCGGGACAACTACGGCGTCTGTCCGGCATAACCGGAAGTTGGACACGATGACGCAGGGCTGTTGATTATGGAGACATGACGAAAGGACAAGAAAAGTTCAGTCAGCGTAACCTTGATGATTAGAAGTTTATCAGTAAAAAATTGAATTTGGCAGTTAATTAATTAGGAATCAGCAGTAAGAGAAAAAAAAAGTGAAGCTTGTTGGCGGGGCTGTTTGATAGCTGGAGCTTTGAAGCATGGATGCTAGTAAGCATGGCGTAGAGGGATGTTGTCATTGGAGGGGTTATAGCTACAGGTCAGTCTATGAAGATAATAGACAAGCGTAACAAGAGGTAATTTGAGTATCTAATTGTCTCAATTAGATATTACAGAAAGAGGGATTAATTAATTGTCAGTACTAGAAATTGTCTGTCATATCATAGTCGTATCATGACAGCATCAATTGACTTGAAGCTTCCATTTGGTGGGATGATGCCCCCACCCCGCCCGTGCTTCTTTCCCCTCCACTCATGGAACAGCTTAGGTATGAGGTCCTGATCTGAAGCAAAATACAAGACAACCTCATTCCCCTCTTCTTTTCATCTCTTCTCTCCCTCCATCTCCCTACCATTATACTTAAACATCACCAAAATGGCCCCCGCAAACACCCTCCCCGCCTGGTCTGACCTCCAGTCGCACCGCGACAGCGTCGGCAAGTCCTTCGTCCTCAAGGAAGCTTTTGCCTCCGACCCTCAGCGCTTCGACCGATTTACCCGCACTTTCGAGTCCGGCGGTGTCAGCTCCGAGATCCTTTTCGACTTTTCTAAAAACTTCCTCACCGATGAGACTCTTGATCTCCTCGTCAAGCTTGCTGAGCAGGCTGGCGTTGAGAAGAAGCGCGATGCCATGTTTGCTGGTGAAAAGATCAACTTTACCGAGGACCGCGCCGTTTACCACACTGCTCTCCGAAATGTTGGTGGTTGGGATATGAAGGTTGATGGCGTTGATGTCATGAACACTCAGGGTGGTGTCAATGATGTTCTTAACCACATGAAGGAGTTTTCTGAGCAGGTTCGAAGTGGAGAGTGGAAGGGATACACTGGAAAGAAGTTGACTACCATTATCAACATCGGTATTGGTGGTTCTGATCTGTATGTGATTCGCATCTATTGAGTGATCTAGCTAACGAATGTAGCGGCCCCGTCATGGTCACCGAGGCTCTCAAGCACTACGGTGCTGACGACATGAAGCTTCACTTCGTCTCCAACATTGACGGAACCCACATCGCCGAAGCTCTCAAGGACTCCGACCCCGAGACCACTCTCTTCCTCATCGCTTCCAAGACCTTTACCACCGCAGAGACCACCACCAACGCCAACACGGCCAAGACTTGGTTCCTCGAAAAGACCGACAACAAGGGTGAGATTGCCAAGCACTTTGTTGCTCTCTCCACCAACGAGGAGGAGGTTACCAAGTTTGGTATCGACAGCAAGAACATGTTTGGCTTTGAGAGCTGGGTTGGTGGTCGTTACTCTGTCTGGAGTGCCATTGGTCTGAGCATTGCTTTGTACATTGGCTTTGACAACTTCCACAAGTTCCTCAGTGGTGCTCATGCCATGGATAAGCACTTCCGCGAGACTCCTCTCAAGGACAACATTCCTATTCTTGGTGGTCTCTTGAGTGTGTGGTACTCTGACTTTTTCCAGGCCCAAACTCACCTGGTTGCTCCGTAAGTACATATATTTGGAGGGTGGACGTTTGCTAACAGTCACAGCTTCGATCAATACCTCCACCGATTCCCTGCCTACCTCCAGCAACTCTCCATGGAGTCCAACGGAAAGAGCATCACCTCTGATGGCTCTTCTGCCAAGTACACCACTGGTAAGTTATCATTGTCCGCTGTCAATAACAAGCTAACAATTCAGGCCCCATCCTTTTCGGAGAGCCTTGCACCAACGCTCAGCACTCCTTCTTCCAGCTTGTTCACCAAGGTACCAAGCTGATTCCTACCGATTTCATTCTCGCTGCCAAGTCCCACAACCCCGTCAGCGACAACCTTCACCAGAAGATGCTTGCATCCAACTACTTTGCCCAAGCGGAGGCTCTCATGGTCGGCAAGACTGACGAGCAGGTTCGTGCCGAGGGTGCTCCCGAGGAACTTGTCCCTCACAAGCGATTCCTGGGTAACCGACCTACAACCTCCATCCTCGTTGGTGGATCCATTGGCCCTGCCGAGTTGGGTGCTTTGATCGTCTACTACGAGCACCTCACCTTCACCGAGGGAGCTATCTGGGACATCAACAGCTTTGATCAGTGGGGTGTTGAGCTGGGCAAGGTTCTTGCCAAGAAGATTCTCAAGGAGCTTGATGAGGCTGGTAACGGTGATGGACACGATGCTTCTACTGGTGGTCTCATCGGTGCTTTCAAGAAGTATGGACAGAACTAAAAGGGGTAATTAATGGTATGATGTTGGTAATGATTAAAATAGCATGACAGTTTGTATACCTGTGTTTGAAGTGTGCTTGAGTCTGAATTGGGGTTGTGAAGTGCATGGGTTCGACTTGAGTTTGTGATGTGTCCATGTAGATCTACTTGTGAAGTGCATGTAGTCGAGACCATTGTCATTATTCACGGCCAATATCCGAGCTTCAATACTCAAGATTACAAGGTATTCTCAAGATGGCAATTGGAGAAGTTACAATACGCCGCATGCAGAGTAGAGTATCTGCGCGATTTCTCGCATCAGCGGGATCTTGTCGCAACACCTGGTCTTTGACAATTACATCTGGACTTTGACTACATTGAGGTGTCATTGGGAGGGAGCCAACACGTGTAATAGCGCCGAGGTATGCAAGTGATAGGATGTAGTGTTCTTAAGGCAGTAGGATGCAGCTTGGGTAGTGAGGCAGTGTTTCACGTATACGTATGCCGGGAACTTAGAGAGCCTTATGTGATGGACTGCCTTATCTGCTGGGGAACATGAAGCGCTCTAACCTGTACTTTGAAGAGAGTCTAACCTCCTACGAAGATTTGTAACCGCGCTTACCTGTACACTTGAGGAGATTTCGCATCTAACCTATACTGATGAAGTACAGTACCTGTCCAACCGCCAAGGGGACCTTAAGCTGTAATCTGTGCTTGTCCCTCACTTGCTCATGCTGCATGTCCCGCAATCTCACATGTGTTACTCCGCCAAAGGGTATTTCCTAATTAGGAGTAAGACAGGAAGATGGTGAGACTCAACGAGGTGGAGTTAGTTTGCGGGGGGAATATGGGGTTTGATGTGCTGTGATCTGGGGAAGTTGTGAATGAGAGAGTGGTATTATGTGTGCTATGAGAGAGTAAGAGTGTCATTGTGGCATGTTTTTTGTTATGTAGAGTAGTATTTGGCGTTGGGACTTTAGAGAGGAGAGATGGGGATGGAGTTTTGAGTAGGTGAGGTACAGGGTTGGATGAGGAGGAGGTGGCTTCGCGGGGTACAGTCAATATGATCCTGGGTTATCGCGGGGTAGGCTGTGTTAAGAATTGATTGAAGAGCTAATTGTTGAGAATGCTTGTCGACTCGGTCAGAGGGAGCCTCAAGAGGTTACTGTTATCATGATTGAATCGGCTCATATCGGAATCACGATAACTATTTACTAGTGACGATCTCTTTGTCTAGAACAAACCGTCATTAGCAACCATGCACGCGAGGTTAGGTAACTCTGCTACTGCTACCGTCTGAATAAGCGTCCGTTCTGACTTGGTCAGTTTGCACCAAGCGTAACCACAGTTTAAAACTCCACTCACACCAATGCGATGCAATGCGACACGGAAGAATTTGTTTGCAGTTCGTCTACAGTCAGGTTTGGTTCAGTCCCACTCACACTAGCGTCTAAGCGCAGGGTAACCTCTGACGTCGTGAGGCTTTTGACGATGTTCTCGTCGTGTACAGTTTGGACAGATCGATGACGAGAGGAGGAGTTTCCTGTTTATGTAGTGCTCATTGACCGCTGCAAGCTGACTCACCGAGAGGAAACAGTGATGATGGAGAGAAGATGAATGCTACATCGGTAATTTGGTGGCTTGGACCCTTAGACCCTGCGTGTGAATGAGACAATAGCCGTAATAGACGGTTCATGACAATCTCAGTCACAATTGCAGTCAGTATCTCGAGACAATATACGGGTGATTAAGGGAATCGGAGAAATTGAGGGTTTCTCGGTATTAGCCTGATAACACATTCCGAGATACCTTTCCCAGATCAACAGGCACAACAACATCCGCGGCAAGCGAGAAAAAATGAAAAGAGTGCTATGGGACACAAATGAAGACATCACCAATCAAACAACGGCGCTAAAACAAGCCAAGATACACCGTTCTTGGCTTTAGGTCCGTTGTTTTGGTTGGTCAGCGTTATCTACGGATTGTATGCACAGAAACGGACGGACGGGAAGAGGCCCGAAGAGGACAAGCAGACAGGATATGCGGTTTGTTGATCCGAACTTGCGCCCAGGGTTATAATTTGAGGATTGGGTTTCAGAGGCAGTGAAAGTGAGGGAATTACCGTGATTTGAATCGAATGACTCTTTCGGAGCGATTACGGTAGATGAAAAGAGTAAAGCCGTTTTGGCCCCCTGGAACAGTCGAGGTCTGTGGCTGTACGGACAAGGGGAACAAGGATGTACAGTATGATACTGTACTAGTTTATGACGTACCCCTACAGGTTACCGTATCTGAGAAAGGTTAGACGAGAAGAGAGAGACACGTTTGGCTTGTGATTGTAACACATGTAAACAAAACGCATGCGAAAACGTCTAGGTGCAGGAGGGCTTGGAGATCACCTAGACTTGTCATACGGAGGTTTAGCTAGTCAGTTACACTTAATAGCCTCAATAATGCATGTGAAGATATTCGGCATTGCAATGTAGATAGTGGATACTGTCCAGGCTGTCTCAAGTTCGGGTTTCAACATCAGTCAGTTCAAAATACCCTCACTTTTTCAAGCCAGCACACCGAGTACCCCACTTAGTAAGTTTCTATTGGTGGGAAGCCAGGGCCCTGCATAGCCTGCAGAGATCCGACCATCGTGAAGAAGACATCAACATGGATGTCGTAGCCATCTAAGAGACTCAATCAAAATAGCGGAGAGGAATGGCCGAGATGCCGAGATATTTACTGTCTCTATTGTAAATCACGATATCTCCTCAAAATGATTGACATAACAAGTCATAATTATGGTTCTTCAGAAAACGTGACATTAATATGGGTTATGATTTCATATCAATCGAGAACATCGAACATCGAGGGCATCGTGAGGTTCAAACCAGGTGGTTTTGAGAGGAGTGATGTAAGTGCCCCAGGTTTTTTTTTCTTCCTCCTGAAAAGAGAACCACTTCTTCTTGTCTGGGGCTCCAAGTTTGGTTCCATTTGTTTAGTTTAAACTTGTCGTTGCAGTGCGTTTAGACCCACGATACGTCAGAGGGGAAAGAACGGTACTTGTTTGCGGGAGATATCCACTTGATGGGTTAGATCGAGGAGTTACTGGTAGTTTCTGTGGGTATTCAGTCAGAGTGTAAGTTACCAGCAGTCAATTAATAGAAAATGCATCAAAGATAATAAATAAATTACAGTAAAATTATGAAGAGTGTAGACAAATCTCTCAGATGGATGAATGTTTTGTGATGGAGGTGGCGTGGAATAGGGTCCTACAGCATTATCGCTTCAGGCAAAGCGGCCCTGTAGGACAAGCCCTGTATCTGACTCAATACAGTGAGGTGACAACTGAAAGTGGAGCCCTGCAAAGTGCCCGGATAACCTCCGTATGTACCTGTACTGTACTGTTACCGTCTGTAAACGGCCGTCATCATTGATTTATCCTTGTTTGGTGGCATACGGTTTTGGGCTAGGCAACCCCAACCAATGACTTTCACCACGGGTAGTCTGCCAAGACACAGGATGATGGCATGGTACAGGTCCCACTTGCAGTGGAACCATGAGATGATGGCATCTATGGAGCACACATTCGTCAGGGTGAGTGACCACCATTACTGACAAGATGGATGGCATATAAGGACTGCTTCCCTCCAGAATAGTTATCGTTTTATTCATTCTATATTCCATCATCTCATCTATTCAATACTCTCTTTGTTTGATACAAAGACTACTCTCATAACTCTATCTATCTACCTCTATCTATTCACCACTTACACATCACTCACCATGGCCAAGACAGCTGTTCACTTTGGTGCTGGCAATATCGGCAGAGGCTTCGTTGCTTGCTTCCTCCACAACTCAGGCTACGACGTCATCTTCGCAGACGTCAACGACACAATCGTCAACCTCATCAACGACACCCCTTCATACAAAGTCATCGAGGTCGGCTCCGAAGGAACCACCGAAAACACAATCACAAACTACAAGGCCATCAACTCCCGAACACACGAGCAAGACCTCATCGAAGCTATCCGCACAGCAGACATCGTCACATGCTCTGTCGGCCCCAACATTCTCAAGTTTATCGCTCCTGTTATCGCAAAGGGTATCGATGCTCGCTCTACAGACGATGCGCCCCTTCATGTGATTGCTTGCGAGAACGCTATCGGTGCTACCGATACTCTTGCTGAGCACATCAAGGATCCTCGCAACACTGAGCCTTCTCGTCTGGACGATCACCACCTCCGCGCTCGCTACGCCAACTCTGCCATTGACAGAATCGTCCCCGCCCAAGACCCCAACGCCGGTCTCGATGTCACACTCGAGAAGTTCTTTGAGTGGGTCGTCGACCGCACTCCCTTCCAAGACGTCGGTATTCCTGACATCGAGGGTATTAACTGGGTCGACAACCTTGCTCCCTTTATCGAGCGCAAGCTCTTCACCGTCAACACAGGCCACGCCACCGCTGCTTACCACGGCTACAACCGACGCAAGCGCACCGTCTACGATGCTCTTCAAGATAAGGAGATCATGGCTGAGGTCCGTGGTGCTCTCATGGAGACCAAGAACCTGATCGTCGCCAAGCACGAGATCGACGAGGAGGCCCAGGCTGCTTACGTCGAGAAGATCATCAAGCGCATCGGAAACCCCCACTTGGAAGACGCTGTCGAGCGCGTCGGCCGCGCTCCCCTCCGCAAGCTCTCCCGCAAGGAGCGCTTCATCGGTCCCGCTGCCGAGCTCGCTGAGAACGGCCAAGACATCAAGTACCTCCTCGACGCCATTGAGATGGCATTCCGATTCCAGGAGGTTACAGATGATGATGAGAGCAAGGAGCTTGCCAAGATCATGTCTGAGAACGGACCTGAGGATGTTGTCAAGCAAGTTTGTGGCATTCAGGATAACGAGAAGATTTTCTCTTCGCTTGTTGGTGTTGTTCAGCGAGTGCAGGCTGATGCTGAGGAATAAGTTATGGTTTCTATTTCTAGATAATTTGGCATGGCGTTTTATGAGGATATGACTATACTACAGCATGGCGCAGGAATGGGTTACTTGGGCTTTTGGCTTATAGATTGATAGCACTGAATACAGATGCTCAACATATACTTTGACTGTTTTGATGCTTGTGATGTTTGATGTTTGCTACGTTGATGATCTTCATTCTTTGTCTTTGTTTTTGACGATGCTTCATTGTTTGTCAGACATGTCTTGGCTATTGATCAAGTGGCGATATGAGGCATTTACCGTCGGGCCTCATGGCATTAATTGCGACCAAACAGATGACAACATGTTAACACGTTCTTTGCAAACTCGTAATCACCGCATATTCCAATGATCAAAATAAATGACTCCCGTCAACTTGTTGTCGTCGCGACCTGCATAGATCCATCTTGATGAGCCACACGGAGATCCAAACCCGTCAGATGGCCCGATCATGACACCTCAAACAAGAAACAGATTTCAAGCCCAGAGATAAATATATCATGATCTAGATTCACAGCCCGATTTAATCATGAGACTTGAGCCTCATCATTCGGCCCTAGCGGGCTCCTCAGTGGATATCTGACTCACAGGGATTATTTACCGTCCGATCGGGAGGCCCGTAATCTTAATTCTACACGGCCCTATTGTGGCATGATAAACACAAATTGAATAGTTGCTGTTAGTTCTTCGCCGAATATTCTCCCGACAACATTCCATAATGAAAGCTTTATCGTTGTGGCTATCCCTGGCCACCGCCTCAATCACCATCCCGCTCTCCCCCGTCGCGCCACTACCGTTGACAGGCACCATCGCGACTTCAGTAAAGGACCTCTTCAGGAGAAGTTGTCCCGAAGAAGTAGCGTACTCTGTACCCTACACCCCTTCACTACTCGCATCAAGTTTTGAAGATGTAGCGCATGTGTATCCGAGCTCGGGGGGTTTCATACGAGGTGCTGTAGAAGCATGGGCTCAGCACCAACATCTCATACTAAGACCTGGTGAAGTCTGGTTTGAAGTTTTATCGCAGATGAATCTTTACATGAGTGCCAACTCTGAAAAGTTAAGAGATAAATTTGTGGAGTTTGATGGACGAGAAAAGATTGTTGTTGAGGGTGATAGTTGGGAGAGTATGATAACTTCTTTTGGAGATGAGTTGAATAACCGTGTTAAAACAAAGTGGTTAAAAGATTGGATCCTACCAAACTTTAGTACATCAACACCTCAAGACGATGTTACCGCCACAATTTTAATGATGGGGTTGATGAAGAATTTTTTCGACTTTGAGGGGATGTTAGTTTGTGGGATACCGAGCGTTACCTTGCTCGGTGAACGAGAAGATTGGGTTAAGCTACAAAGCAAGCTGGGCCGTCTTTATGAGTTTGGTCCGGATGCTGGGTTATTTGCTGATGCGTTGAAGCCGATTATGAAACGGTTTGTAAGTTCCTGGGATGCTGATGGGGATGGGGTTGGGGAGACAAGGGAGTTTTGGGAACAGATTGTTAGAGCCAAGAAGAAGTGGTCTTGTGGGGAGGGTGCTTCGGAGTGGGATGTCAGTGGATGGATTACAGCCTTCCAGTTCTTTGAACGAGATGGCAAACGGCGAGGTTTCGATCCATGGGCCGAAGATGAAGAAGAAGAGAAGGAGGAGGTTAAGATGGGTATATTTCCCAACGACTGGAACATCATCATCGACGGCCAAAGCTACCTCCCCGTATCACTTTCGGACATGTCAACAGGCTACGCAAAAGCACCGCTGAAGATGAAGGGATATCCTCAGGCTGGCGTTGATACAGATGCTTACCTACTCGCTGGGAATATTGGAGTAGAGAGGGTAGAGGAGGAGGATAGGGTTGAGGCGAGACCTGTTAGTGGGTGGTTTCTTTATGGGCCTGTCGATACGAATTATACTGTTGGTCCGTTCTTTGGAAGTGGGAGTGAGATGGAGGGGATTGCTGTTGGTATTGCGGTTTGTAAAGATGCTGCTGTTATGGAGAGTGGTAAAACTGGTAGTGGTGAGGGGGAAGAAGTGAAGGATTTATAATCGACAGTAGGAAGAATACATATGAGAGGAGATAGAGATTACTCAAGGAGAAGAAGAAAATGACCATGATCATGATAGTCTGGGTTAAGAAAAGAAACAGTAGGTGAAATGAAGCTAGAAATGACTCAAGGAAATGACTATCATCAATAGTCTGAGGTATAGTAAAGCAGAGCTACAAAACTCAAGGAGAAAAGAAGAAATAAAAGACCAATACAGCACAATGAAGGGATCTACCAATCAGTCTTAATTGCGGGAGCCTTCCATCCCTTACAGCAATACCCATCAAGTTTCTCCAGATCATTTCCAACGATGCCCCAGGGAGGATTGCAACCGTTGCCGGTCTTTTTCCATGCTTCGTCGTTGAAGAGGTAGAAATTTTCTACAGAGTTAGTTAGTTGGTGTTGATGATGGGGTTTAGAGGAGGTTAGAGAGGGGGAGTGAGGGTAGGGGAGGGTTGAGAGAGGAGGGTTGAGAGAGGAGGGTTGAGAGAGGAGGGTTGAGAGAAGAGGGTGGGAGGAGGTTGACTTACTGTCTTTGCAGGCACAGAGACGAGGAATGCAGCATCGGAATTTCTTGGAGATTGTGCTGTTTATGTTAGCAGGTTCATCTATATAATGAGGGCGGCGTTGAGGTTGGAGGTGTATCAGAGAAGAGATGGTGATCGGAGGACATACTAGTGATAACATCCCGAATTAGCCTTATCAGGAAGAGGTTTCAGAATAACTGGCTCAGGCGGAGTAGCCATTACGAGGCCTAGGGAGAAAAGAGTGACAAGAGCGGGTTTCATGATTGTTGTTAAGTGTCGAATTGAGTTGTTCGAGTTTAGAATAATTGAGTTGTGAATTGATTGACTTATCGAGGAGTGTTTGGACAGAGTCGAGGAACGGGTTCATATACATGTTCAAATAGCCTGTTTAATTAAAGCTGGTATTGTAGTTATTTTGAGGTTAGAGTCAGAGCTTGTGCACGGTTGGGTTTCTTTGATGGCGTTGGGAGATGCTAAGTATAGATGAGGTTCTTTGTTGGCATCGAGGATAAGCGAGGGAGCATCAGTGAAACGACGATCAACGAGGCAATTCAAGTCTTGGAAGATGAGCGTGCGAGAACAGAGGGCGAATGATTGGAATAAACAACTGAGAGGATAAATAAGCGAAAAGGATATTGGGTTAATGGGAGAATGAGAATTGATGGATTGATGGGGGAGTTACAGAGTGGTAGTCATGAAGGAGGAGGAAGAATAGTTGGGACCACCCTGAATTCTCCAGACAGGACGCCTTCTCGCTCCGGATTAACTTGACCTTCAAGCTTGTATCAGGTGTTCGATTTGAGCCAAACTTCTCGTATATTGTCCAACGGTTCTCAACAATGGTCGCTATCGCTGGAGCTCGGATATGATGCTATGTGGATAGCGACATAACTGCATCAACCATGAGACTACCTAATTCTACCATGCATAGCGACATAAGTGGTCACTCCAAAAACGACTCCTTGTTGCCGTTCTTGGAACTAAATTCGGCTGTGTGCTCGTTACTTTCCACCAGAAGAATTGGCCCCTAAGAGCATAAGGGACGGAAGGAAGTACCCTAATACTAGCCTAAGATGATCGAATGATTTCGTCTCTTATGCTCTCGCCAATCCATCCGACACACTGATGCCTCCTTCCGCAGTACACAGTTTATGGAAGTCGCATATCTCAACCAAGCCGCGTCACTTTTTCCTGCTCAGCCAGTCAATTAAAGTCAGTAATGGAAATTGAGTTATTGGAAGTGCCTTGTAGCTGTGCCTTGCCTAAGATGATGGTGTGCTGCAACCTCTTCGTCTCCTGTATAGCCTTTTGCATTGCTGACCCGACACTCGTTGTTCCAAGAGTACACACTGACTCTGCCACTTGCTGTAAGAGAACCTTTTGATCATCCGCGGTGCTCAGTCCCTTCATCATGTCCATAAATGTAAACGTCAAAGGTATCTCTAAACAGCAAGCCCAAGATAAGTCCTCTGTTCAAAGTATCATCGATTGCGGCCTCCAGTGGTCAAATCTCAATAAGTCAGGTGTGCAAGTTGCATCTGCCACTGAACTCTAACGATAATGAACATATGTTTCACAACAGCTGATGTCCATGAATATAGTAGCTATCTTGGGGCACAAGAACCTGGGCGGGATCGTGTCTGTGTCGAACCTGTACCTCATCAGCAACGCACCGCGACATCACCCAGCCCTCAAGGTATCACGGGAATTGGCTGCCTAGAGTCATCAATAAGAGACGGAATATTTGATCATCTTAGGCTAGCATTCAGGATAATTTATTTCTGTAACCTAAGCTTTAGAGCAGACACCAAGCACACAGCCAAATTGGGTCTCAGGAGACGACACGATGAAGATGCAGCTTGATCAATTCTAAATAATCGCTGTGATACGCTCGATACAAACAATAACGCCATGATTCCTCAAAGATACTCCCTCGCATAAACTCCATAAACCGATTCATAAACCCGATCTAAAACTCACAAGAGAATCACTTTCTCATCCGCTGAACAGTCTGTGTCCAAGATATGGTGTTTCGGAGTGCCAAAGTACCCATAGCGAAGAGCTCCCCAAACGTGTTTCAATAGACCTGCGACCATGTGCTTCAGCACACAGGGGCGATCCCGCTCACAGCTCTTCTTCTGAGTCTTTCTCCTCTGCGGGTGACGCTTGACGAGAGGGCGCTGCTGAATTGGGAGGTGGATCCGTGTTTCTCCCATCCCATTGAGGATTTTCATCCAAATGTTCAATGAAGCGAGTCTCTCTCCCGCGAGGCACAGCCCTATTGTGCTGAACATTCGCTCGAGGAGGTTGCTGAACCGCAGGCGCCTCGCCTGGTTGAGCATTGGATGCGTTCCCATCTTGATGAGCATTGTTCTCGGGTAGCCCGTTTGCCGACGACCCTTCCATAGGGTTTTGGGCAAGGACGTAGCCCGGAGATGTAGTCCCATCTGAAGTACTATCATCCTGGTCTTCTGCGATCTGGGATAGCCTACGCACTACCTCCTGGCCGACCGGCGGGTGGCGTGGGGTTACATGTACAACCTCTTGGTTTTGGCGAGCATTGCCTCCTGGCTGTGAATTCGGGAACGGATTCCCTTCTTGCTGGTTACCGTTCGACGACTCCCCATTCTGAGGTCGTTGCTGTTGCCTATTCGTCGATGACTCCCCATTGGTGGGGATATCGTTCCCCCGAGGGTGTTGTTGTCCGTTCGTTTGCCCACCACCCGTTGTCGAGTGTGAGTTCACAGGGGCACTCAGCGTAAGGCCTGGTATCTGTAAAGTCGTTAGTACTGCACTGAATCACTGGTTGAGGGAAACCCTCTTGCGCGTGTTGCTGTGACCGAGAGCTCTGTGCCCGCTCAAGCAGGCCCCACAACTCTCGTAGAATGCGTCCCCCTTTATCCAATACCAAGCCACTGTCGTTCAAGGCTCTCTGCGCAGATTGGATAAGGCCTTGTTGCCGTTCGTAGATGCTGGGTTGCCCGAACGCGATGTTTCGGGAATACGGCACAAACGGCAGTTCTGCATTCGATGTACCTCTCTAAGGATCATATATATCCGGAGGGCGCGGAATTGTCGATGGGAATGTTGTGGCTGATGAATGCACCACACGAGTATGAGGCATGTGGTGAGGGTACGCAAAGGGCAACACTCTATTCACTGTATCTCTCTGGTACATCGTATCCGGAGGGAGAGGAATTGTAGGTGCCAATGATCCGATGGATGTATCCATCGCGAGAGCAGAGGGCATGCTTGGACAACGCGACGCAAAGGGCAACCCTCCATTTGTACATACCTGAGGATTCGTCCCTGGAGGGTACGGCGGTGGGGAGAATGGTCCGTTGGATGTTGGGGGAGGCTCCGAGGACGGCAGTGACGACGATACATCTCTCTGAGGATCAGCCATGTCCGATGTATTTGGCTCAGGATCATGTGGGCGCGGCGTTATCGGTGCGAATGGTCTCATCGGTGGCGTGGGTGGTTCAGGATCATGTGGCATCCCTAGAGGACGCGGCGCTATTGGCGCGAATGGTCCAATCGGTGGCATAGGTCGCGGTGTAGGGGACTCTGGAGGAGCGGTGGTTGCAACTGTGGTATCTCGACCAGGGTCCGAGTCATCAAATACCGAGCCATCGGTCTGAACAGAGGACCGGCGAGAAGGATCGTCTGGTGACTCAATAGATGGGATCGGTACATCAGGATCCCACTTGGGGGGATTTAACTTGGGATCAATCGGAATTACTGGAGGTGAGTCTGAATCAGAAATGTTCAACGGCCCTGGATCCATAGGGAGAGCATCCGGGTGGCCATCCAGTGGCAGAGCACCCTGGGGGGCATCCTGGTGAGGGTTCTGTGGGATATACTGTGGGACATCCTGTGGGGGAGTATTCCCTGGAAGAGCGTGCTCAGGGTAATCTCGGTCTGGGTCCGCCTCGCTCTCTGAACTAGAAGTCTCTGGCCGTGGACTTGCATCCTATATGGCAGTGTCCTCTGGGCCAGCAGTGAAATCCTGTTGCACGGGCCTCGGAGTTTGTTCCCTGGCTGTCGAGTTTGCTTCTGGACTGGAAGAGTCAAGGTCCATGCTTGCGCTCCTATCCGTTTCTGCGTTCTGTTCTGCTTCAGGTTGATCGGATGTCTGACCCTGCTCGGCCTCAACCTCTTGATCGGACTTCTGGCCTTGCTCGACTTCAGCTTCTGGACTGGAGGACACAAGGTCCATGCTTGCGCTCCTGTCCGATTCTGCGTTTTGTTCGGCCTCAGCTTGGTAGGATGTCTGGGCCTGCTAGGCCTCAGCCTCTGGACTGGATGGTTGTTGCTGCTCGGGCTCAGCTTCTTGAATGGGTTGGTGCTACTCAACCTCAAGAGTAGGAGCGGGGGTCATTTCCTGGTCGGAGTCGGCCATGATGAGAGAGTGATTAAGTAAATGTTTGTAGCGAATGTGTAGTAATGGTATGGTGATAAAGACGTGTACAGTAACAACGGATTCAGTGTTGATGATGTGGATGTGAAGTGGACGTTGATGAGAAAGGTAGAGATGAAGAGGGGTAAGCAAGATAAACAGGTAAGGCACATGCATTGTTTGTTCATCTGGGAAGGTATGGCAGTATTCTTTTGGGAAGGCACCTACAGGCAGCATTGGCCACGAATACTAATCTAAGCAACTACTCCATCATTCGTGACTCCCTTTATTCGTCTGGCAATTGGTATGTCCATATGTCCTTCGAAAATGTCGACGCTCCGTGGTTCATTTTGAGAATGGCGAAACAGTCGAGAGACAAGTAACTCAAGCACAACTCGCCCAGATCGCTCCAAATGTCGATACTGATTCCTCATCGTCATCCTCATCGTCATCCTCTTGATCGTCGCTTTCCTCACCGTCATCCATTTCGGTATCCTCATCCTCATCGTCTTCGTCCTCGTCATCTTCTTCACTATCCTCTCCGTCATCCGTTTCGTCTTCCTCATCCTCATACAAATCCCCTTCCTCTATCCACCGACGCTCTCTTCCAAGATCATTCAACTTCGAAGGCTTATACCGAAAATGCCTTCCATAGACGTCCCCGATCTCGAAGCCCAAACGTTGCTGCAGAGTCCGAATCATTTCTCTACCTTCAAGAACCTTGTCCATTTTCTCCTCTTCCGGGTAACTCTCAATAATCCATGAAGAAGCCCCATTATGGTCACACTCGTATGTGTGGTGCTTGTAGCCCTTGACGCTGTGTTTCTGGACAGTCTGGAATAGCTCAGTCGATGCGTTAGTGTCTTCAGTCGTTCTGGCGAGCCAGCTGTTGCCAGGGCCAGGGAGCTTGTAGCAGAAATCCCACCGGGGACCGTGAGGGTTGTCACTCAAGACCGAGAAGTCGCGGCGGGTCCGATGGGTAACATTGACCCAAGCGCGGTGGACTTGCACGAGGGTGCCCTCGCGGTTGATGGGGACGGCTTCGATGTGGCCTAGAAAGCGACAGACGCGTCCTTCGACGTATGCATCGCGTGCGTATTCTTCAGCAGAAGCGCTGGAGGGGGTAATACTACCATCAGATTCAGATTCGGATTCGGAATCGTGCTGCGACATTGTGGTTATTGAATGGTGCGTTGGGAGTAGGTAGGAAGGTGTCGGCTCTGCGAGATGCAACGATGCGAAGATGGAAGTTGAAGATATGAAGGAAAAGTCTGGAGAGACGGAGTAGACCACAGAGAGATAAGGCCAATTTATGTGAAAAAGATTGTGTTGCGGAGAACAAGAATGTGAAGACTGTTTATTTTGTTTGTGAATAATAAAGCGTGGGCTGTTTGCACTTTCACCCAAACCCGACAGCTTCTGACACTGCAAATCACTGTCACCTAAAGTCACTGTCACCTAAAGTCACTGTCACCTAAAGTCACTGTCACCTAAAGTCACTGTCACCTAAAGTCACTGTCACCTAGCACTGCCTGCCTGAGCACCCCCCTATTAAGCGATATCCCATTCCCGTTCAAACAGGGGACTTATGAACACGGAAGCCCAGCCTCTCCTGGAGAGTTGGAATCATTTCTGGCCCCTCAGGAACTTGTCCCGGATCCTCGCCTTCCAAGTAACTCTCAAATATAAACGAACGAATCGTTCTCTGTCCAATGTACGTCTTGGAGTAAGTGATAGACTTAACAAACTGAGGAGACTGAAGATGGAAAAAGTGAATTGATGTGAAAGAGAAGTTTGTGTTGCAGGAGAAGAGAGCAGAGAAGATGAGGAGTGTTATTTTTTGCGTTCGTGAAGAACAAACCACGACGGCTCCTTCCACTATCATCCCCAAAGAGATAATATTTGGCATTCCGAATCGCCGTCAGCCATGATGCTGAGGCAGGTAAATAAAGAAAGAGTCTCGGCCGAGCCTTCAAATCCATCTATACTCATCTATAGGCCCCCAAATGTCTCTTTCTCATCCATGAACTCCAACCTCAGAGCCTTCCTGTGGTCAATATGAGAGGCTCCCACAGGTGCTTCCAATCCAGCCATACTCCATCCATCGCTACCCCGAGTTGAACGTCCAGACTGCCAAATACCTCCTCCTCTCATATGGTAAAGAGCCCAAGCCTCTCCTCTAGAGTCGCAATCATCTCTGGCCCCGCAGGAACCCGTTCCTTCTTGTTGCCCTCCAAATAACTCTCGATGATGAACTCCTGACTGATGTTGTCTCCGTCGTCGTCGTAATCAGTCGTGCTGTACCAGTGATATTCGTAGCCTTTGGTGTCGCCTGACCGAATAATGTTCCTCAACTCATTCATTGCTCTAGGGTCTGTGATTGAGGCGATCCAGTTATTGCCTGGGCCAGGGACCCTGAAGCATATATCGCGCTCAGGGCCGTGATAGTTGCAATTTTTTATTCCCCAATCCCCGTCGCGATACACCTCGACACAAGCGGTCATGACGATCTTGAGAATACCACCGTGGTTGATCGGGATGGCTTCAATGTGCCCCCGTTGGTAACGGTCCCACGAATCCTGTGAAGAAATAGAGTGGGATCGAGAGATACTCCTATTAGGATCTGAAGGTGTAGGACTGGTAGGAGAGATGTGCTCTGAAGATGAAGAGCTGGAGGAGGAGATGCTCCCATCTGATTCGGAGTCGGGATTGGATTCTCGCTCCGACATTGTGGACGAAGTTATCGTGATGCTGTTGGGGATAGATGTGAAAGTATCGCCTTTGCAAGATACAATGATGCGAGGTTGCAGAAAGAAGAGCTAGCCGTAGAGAGGAAAGGCGAATGTATGAACATTTATCCAAGAGATGTTTGTGATGCAGGAGAACAAAGAATGTAAAGAGCGTTTGTTTATTATGCTGGTGAAGAATAGGACAACGGGTGTTTGCAGTCACCGAAAAAAGCAGCATTTGGTACCTAGCGTTTGGCACTGCAAACCACCGTCAGGCATGATGCTGAATCATTTACAATCGTCTATAGCCCCCGAAACTCCCTTCCTCACGGTGCCACGAGCGCTGCAAACCCGACAATCCTCTCCGCCAGAGTTGCAATCATCTCTGGTCCCTCAGGAACCCGGCCCTGCTCCTCGCCTCTCAGAAAGCTCTCAAAGATGACCTCCTGAACCTCCTTTGATCTATAGTGATCGAATCTGGAGTACAAATAATATTCGTAGCCTTTGGTGTTTTGCGCCTGCATCATCCCCACTAGCTCAACCATTGCCGCTGGTTCTGTGAGTGCGGCGATCCAGTTATTGCCCGGGCCAGGGATCTTGAAGCATATATCGTGATAAGGACCGTGATGATTGGCATTGCGTATACCCCATTCCTCTCTGGCGGTGATCGAAGCCTTGAAGATGAGCTTGAGAATGCCATTGCGAGTGATGGGGATGGCTTCAATGTGGCCTAGATGATGACAGTCACGTCCATGGATTGACCCTTGATTCTCAGATGCAGAACTGGAGAGGGACATGTTCTCATCCCAATGTGAAGATGTAGAGTCGGTGGGAGAGATGCTTCCGTCGAAGTCGGATTCGGAGTCTTGCTGCGACATTCTGAATGAGTTTGAAGTATCGGTTCTGCAAGATATGACTTTGCGTCAGTACAGAGCGAAGAGCTAGCTGAAGAGAGGGAAGATTACCTTATATGAAAGACAGAATTTTGATGTAGGAAGAGAACAAGGAATGTTTAGAGTTTTGGTTTATTTATTGTGGTTGTGAAGAAAGACCATCGCGTTTGCTGAACAAAGCAGCATTTGGCACTGCAATCACCATCGCTCAGCACTGTCCCTTTGATACCATCTCCCTGTCAAACAATATCTCCCACTCCGATGCAAACCCTCAGATACGCTCACCCCATATCCACAACATCAGACCCCAGCGTCGCTCCCAACCAAGGAACAAACTCCTCCTGTCTCTCGGGCCTAACACCGCCAGGCACATACTCAACCTTTCCCTGTTCATTAACCCGAATACAACAAGCAACCGCCGAAAGCGTAACATCATCCTCCCAATTATTCACAAAAGCTCGAATGGCGTTTCCTCCAGGTGGCCCGACAGCGCGGTTGAGTTCTCCGTAGGCTTGGGCGCAGACTACTCTGGCGAGGAAATTGTTGGAATCTGGAATTCGCCAGATGATGTTCTTTTGAGGGCCGTTGCGGTCCATGTTGACGACTTTCCAGTTTGCGCCGGAGTACATGATTACTGCGAATTCGATTTCGGTGAGGATTGTTGGGTGGGCGAGGGGTGGGAGGGGTGATGGTTGAGTGAAGAGAGGGAGGATTTGAGGAGGACCGTGAGGTTGCGACATCTTGATGTGATGCCGGTAGTTTTTGTTGATGATAGCTTGGTAGTGGTAGTTTGGTGTTGTGGTGAGGATGAGGCTCTTTGACTTGCGCGTGTGAAGGAGGAAGCGCAACTGATGGCAGAGGAAGGCTTCTGGAGCACGGGAAGAAGATGGTGATAGCCAGGTCTCTTTAGGCAGATGTTGATGTTTTTTTGACAATATTAATGTTCCTCGACCGAATAGTCTGCAGTGACGAAGCGCAAGGCAGCACCTTATGCCCTCATCACTATCTGCGACCGTCGCTCATTCACCAGCCACTCTGACCTATTGAGCACAATAACTGACGCTTTTGTTCATCTCCGCCGCCCTTGTTCTACTTTGCCGCTTCATCATTCAACTCCGCCTATTTGGAGCGGCAAAGCTGAACTAGTAAGTTTCGCATTGTGGTGTTGAGGGCAGGTATTGAGCCATGCTGAATGTGTATTGCCGCTCATCCACGGCCATTGCGACTGATTGGACTCAACAGGCGCCGCTTCTATTCCTCTCTGTAGCTCATGTTCTTCTGTGTCGCTTCATAATTCACTTTGCATATTGTGAGCGGCGATGCTTCCTCAGTGAATATCGCATTGTGGTGTTGAGGCAGGCTATGCTGAGAGCTCATCGTCAATTATCCGACTGTCGCCTATTCAGCAGCTGCTGCGCGTATTGAAGTGAATGACCTTCGTCTTCAATCATCTGTGTTCCTTTCTTATTCTTTAATGCCCATCGTGATTGGAAATGCCGAAAGTGTACTTCGCGTTGTGGTCTTGCGGGCAGACAGCCCGTCAATCATTGTCAATCTTCAACACCAAGAACAAAGATCGCGACAACTACCACGGTCGCATTCCCTCAATTCCTCCAGAAAGTCACCAACTCTTACTCATTCAGTTATCGCATCACTCGTTTACCCAAATTTTCGTCTTTCCAATTCATCTCTTCAATCTTCATACTCAATCTCGACCCAATATTCCTGTCGATCTCGCTTCGTCGGTGGCAATTTTCCCCAGCTTGACCCCAGACCCAAACTTTCTCGCCAAAACTTGACGAGAATCTGGAGAAACAGACTCCCTCGGTGAGAAATTCGGCGAAAAGTATCCCGCACTGGAGACCCCAGATATGGGTCGCATGTCACTTATAACGACAATTAAAGATATGGAGATTCTGACCGGCGCGTTGGGCAGCATTGAATGTAACAATACAAAATCTCTTATTCAACATCGTATGAGTTTACTCTGTAACGTTAACAAATTCCCTCTTGGCATATCCACATGCTTCTCTTGTTAAACCCTCGCTATGCCCGCATAGACGCTTGCCAAGAAACAGTCGGCAAGTTATCCGTATGAGACCCGTAGGATCTAATTGATCTGTGGAGAGCCAAGAACGGGGGTCCAACATGAGGATTGTAAGAGCTGAGTAAGTGAATCTAGCAGCGATACGGGTAGGGAGAAGAGGCAGACAGACGCGGAAGAATGAAATGGTGGCTAATGTAAGCGACCGCAAGACCTATTCAAGTAATCCGAGAAAGGATTCCGAGAGTTTAATTGCGCGATCGGCGGCTGAGACTGAGTTTACTGGGAACCGGTGTCGCTGATGGGTAGAGTGAACGGTTACTGAATGTGGTAATTCCCGTTGCAAGATGGGATAGTACTCAGACACTGTGATTGTAATTGGGAATGTTAATTTTGAATGCTGAATGGTGATGGTGATTGATGTTTTGGTGGTTTAGATGTTCTAGATCGCCAAGTTCGTGGCTGAAGATCTCCCGTGGCCAAGACTGCAGAATAACACGTGCATTTCTAGGCACTTCGACTTCACAACTTCACTCAAACTTGTCAGTAACAAACATCATCATCGATAGCTACGAAGAAAAAAAGAAAGAATAATGTTTGATGCATCTGTCAGTGACATATTCCCCAGATACCTTACCCCCAAGATCCAACACGTTAACTTGCGCACCAATAACAGCCACTCTCCCAGTGAACGGTAGACCTCCACTGTAAACCCACTGTAAAATGCCCTGTAATTACTGCCCTGCCAAGGACATTGTCCGAAAAAACTCTTCTCAATCCTTCCCCCAATAAACCTCCATTCAATTTGTTAAAATACCTGTTTCTCAAAACAATAGTTCCTCTGCAATGGAAACTTGTGGACCAACCCCTTGTCCTGTTCCGCTCCATTTACCTCACAGAGAAAAGATCGTCATGGACCCAAACCCCGCGGTCCTGTTTTTTTTCGCCAGTTTTTTGAGTCTGAAGTCTGGAGAGACCCTTCTGGGGATATGCGAGATTTAGGGAGTGATCGTCAGGTGCATTACTTGCTATTTGCTTGGGCGCGGATGATACGAAACCGAGGTTCAATATTGTATCTCCCACATGCCGAGTTGAATCTTCATGTTTATCTGCACCTAACAAATTCATCAACCAATAATAACTCTGCCGCTCGGGAAGATCGCCACCACTGCATCTTTACAGGCTGCCTTACTCTTCATCCTTGCTGTTGTGCCCTCCAAATATCCCCTGCTACCCTCCAAGAGAATGACTCCCGTAGACTAAATCCTTCCTCAGCGCCTCAGCCGCTTGACGTCAGAATCCCTCGGCCTTACTGAATAAAGATATCCTCCGAAAACTAATCTGAAAACTAACCCTTCACAGGAATCAAGACAAGTCGGATGCCGGCACACGAACGGAATGACGCACTGTCTGCCGGCCCTGCAAGGCCTGATATACAGGGATGACTTACAGTGGTCTTGGCGCTGGAATACAGTGGGAGAGACTTGACTCAGTGGATTTGACTCTGCTCCGCTTCCTCACATGGCGATGGAGATGCATTGTCTGTGCAAAGAGATGGGGACATATGGAGTCTGTTAGTAACGGCCAACTTTGTTCTGATGATCATCATTACTTGTGGAGTAGCTGTTACATCCTGAACTTCTCTCTTCTATATAAGACCCTGCCTCTCCCTTACTTGAGTCTGGTCAACACCTCCAGGAGAGCTGCCTACACCATCCTTTATCCCCAATCCTCTGTCGAACAGAGGAACCGCCCACCATGCCTCCCACATTCGCAGGCCTAACGGGCAAGAAATTGTCCCTGGCAATCTCAACCGTCGCAACAACCGGCTTCCTCCTCTTCGGCTACGACCAAGGTGTCATGTCCGGCATCATCGACGCAGACCCCTTCCACGACTACTTCCCCGAGACAAAAGACAGCACCATGCAAGGTTTCGTCACAGCTATTTACGAAATCGGTTGTTTGCTAGGTGCCATGTTCATCCTCTGGATCGGTGATCTTCTCGGTCGTCGAAGAGCTATGATCATGGGCGGCTGGATCATGATTCTTGGTGTTATCATCCAAGTTACTGCCGTCAAGGGACACTCTGCTCTTGCGCAACTTGTGGTTGGTAGAACGATTACTGGTGTTGGTAATGGAATTAATACTTCCACTATCCCTACCTACCAGGCTGAGTGTTCTACTACCTCCAACCGAGGTCTTCTCATTTGTATTGAAGGCGGTATCATTGCTTTCGGTACTCTTATCGCATACTGGATCGACTACGGTTGCTCGTACGGTCCCCAGGACCTTACATGGCGTTTCCCAATTGCTTTCCAAGTCGTTTTCGGACTCATCGTCTGTCTCGGCATGGTCTGGCTCCCAGAATCTCCTCGCTGGTTGCTTACACACGACCGCCACGAAGAAGCTGAAAAAGTCATTGCAGCTATCCGAGGCTTCGAGATCGACAGTGATGAAACACGCGCTGAACGCGACCGAGTCGTCGATTCTATCCGTGCTTCCGGTTTCGCAGCTTCCAAGTCCACACCCGTCAAGGCTCTGTTCACCGGTGGAAAGACACAGCATTTCCGCCGTATGCTTCTCGGCGCTGGATCGCAATTCATGCAACAAGTCGGTGGCTGCAATGCGGTTATTTACTACTTCCCCATTCTCTGCACTGATATCTTTGGCGACAAGAACTTTGCTCTTCTGCTCGGTGGCGTCAACATGATTGTGTACTCCATCTTTGCTACATCATCTTGGTTCCTCATTGAACGGGTTGGTCGTCGCAAGTTGTTGCTCATCGGTACCGCTGGACAGATGCTTAGCATGTTCCTCACCATGGGATTCTTGATTCCCGGTGGTAGTGATCCTGGTACCAATGCGCCTCAGATTTCCAAGGGTGCTATTGCTGGATTGTTTACGTACATTGCTTCGTTTGGTGCTACGTGGTTGCCTCTTCCCTGGTTGTATCCCGCTGAAGTCAACCCCCTCAAGACCCGCGGCAAGGCCAACGCTACATCGACCTGCACAAACTGGCTGTTCAACTTTGTCATTGTCATGATTGTTCCCATCATGATCAGCAACATTCACTGGGGAACATATTTGTTCTTTGGCTGTGCGAACGCTACATTCTTCCCCATCCTGTACTGGTTCTACCCCGAGGTAAGCTCACCCACCACTCTGTCACTCAATCGAATACTAACAAATGCCAGACCGCCAACCGATCTCTCGAGGAAATCGACATCATCTTCGCCAAGGGCTACGTCGAAAAGATCTCATACGTCAAGGCTGCCAAGGAGCTTCCTTTCCTTACACATGAGGAGGTTGAGCGCGAGGCTATTCGACTGGGTCTTGTTGATGAGGCTGGTCGGGGTGGTATGATGGAGAAGCCTAATGAGGAGAGCGGTACTGTCCGTGATGAGTCTGGCTTCAACTCTGAGAAGTCTTAAAGCTGAGGAGTTAGTTGAGATGGGCACTTGAGTGGTGTCGTTATGGGGTTTCTGAGGAAACGCATTTTTTATTAAGATACCCTTGTTTAGATCTTCTATGAAGATATAGAATAGAGTTGGATAGACTGACTCAATAGATGTACTACACTATAATTGTTCTCATTACTTGTGATATATGGCTTGTTCAATATTTTAATCGGCATGTGGTTGTCTACGTAGCGTACTCCAACTTGATGCTTCACACCCTGATCGCGACCGACGCATGTCTACAGCCTTAATCTCCAACTTTCCCCGACTTTCCACTGAAGCAACCCTTACGTCGCATGCACAGACAATGGACCAACAGTCCGCCGATCTCTTCCCTCCTCTCCTCCGTAGACAGTGGACCTCCGGACAAGTCCTCCGCTTTTCTCGTCTCCATTACCCCGAACAATCCACAGTGGAGAACATTCTTGGCAAGGGTTCTTGTCGCGTTAGTCATGGCGCGCGGGTGAAATACCACGTTAATCCTGCTTTCATTCTACCGCTTTTTAGTGAGTTTAGTCAAGTGTTTGGGTGAAACGGTGGTGGCGGATGTCCGTTTTGGGAAACCCGGATGGAATAACGCGGGATGAGGGAGGGATTGAGAAAGGGATTGTTTGTTTGGGGAATTCGTATCAAGGGATCAATTGGAGATAAAGTGAGAGAGTCATTTATGCATATTATCGGTCCTTTCTTGGGGCATGCCCCGTGGGGTTATGCACTTCGGACTGAGTTGCGAGTTTGAGGTGTGTGATGGTATCGTGAGATTGGGCGGGGATAAGCTTACTTTGACGATTGAGTTGAGATGTTAAACGGACGACCAGCCACCTCCAATTGAGTATTTCTGCGAGGATTTCTGCAGATGGGAAGCATTCGTTCGATTGAAGCTAAAGGCTTCGAACGATTTGAACAGTTATCCGGATGGTGACTCTACCGGTGACTTGTCAATTACCAGTGAAGCCTATACCATGGAGAAGAGTGCATCGAGAGTTCACGTAGACCTCATGTTCTCTTAGATGCACGTAGAATTTGGGTGATCCGAGAGTCGCGCAACTCACTCTGTCTATTCATCTCAGCGATGCTGTAAATGCAGTTTCGTTGTGACAACATCGCTCCCTGGCAGGCTCACAATAGCCTCACCATGTCCCCAATTGAGACAACGTTTATGTTCACAATTGACTACCCATTCCGACACAAGATAGTTTATTGAGCTAGACAGTTATAACTTGATTTTTAAAACAAGTCTGCTATGTAACTTGTAGCTTGTTGGATGTCCAAGTTCTAGTCTCTCAGTGCTTGGCATAAACAGAGACACCATCACAGAATCCTCAACTTCTTTATGCCAGTGACCAGACTCAAACGACACAACCACTCCAGCAGGGTTGTATGATCATTTTCTCTCAAGAGATTTGGTTATAGAACCCTGCGACAAGAAATGCCACGACAGTGTAAGAGTCTCAGTGTTGCAACCACGCAATCATTTTGTATCTACACCTCACGTTCACTACCAAGACCTATTAAAGGGTCCTCATGTCCCTCATCTCAACGGTTTCACGTAGATCCATCAGGTGGAACTCATATGTATGTAGATCGCATCAAAACCCTGAGTGCCAAGTGATCATCAAAGGGTTTTCTGGGGAAGACGGGTCCAGATCGAAGATCGGACTTGGCGTTTTGTGTGAGTGGATTTGCCACGATCGAGAATACAGAGTTCAATCACCAGTGAAAAAGTAAGAGCGTTTCTTTACAGACATGACTTTGGAAGAATGGGATGTCATGATAGAGTTAAGGGAGAATATAGTAGCAAATCAACTGAGCAAAGGATAAGAAATCCGCACTCTATTGTCGATAGGTTAATCAGACAGCCAGTAGGAAGGAGAAATCCGATTGTACACCTAGTATTATAGTGTCTCATCTTACCAAAACGTCTCTTGCTAGGTAATCTCAATGCTATCGTCCTTTACCTAATCGGATCAAGGCTCGAGATGGTTGTCAGTGAAGTACTGTGAGCTTTTGAGATGATAAATACTCAGAGGTTGATTTACAGAATATGGGATCACTGATTAGAGACCTTATGTTGAGTAAGACTTCAAGTCAAAGTCCACTGTTGAGACCCGTAACCCATAAGCAAGATACACAGATAAGGATATGCGCTACGGTGAAACGATTTAAATGCCGAGTTTACAAATGACTATTGAGTTGTTAATGTAATTCTTAAATTGGACAAGCATTATTATACTTGATGTTGTCTCTGATCATGCGCTCAGGAACACTCATATCCAAATCTGGATGAGCTTTGTTCGCTTTTATAGCCAAGTACGACGATCCCTCTGTGTACCAGAAGGCTACAAAGCCCTTCAGCCGATGGCACTCCCAACCCTCTTCGGTTTGTTCGTCATCTGATTGTTGAAACGCCACTCTCACTACATGGAGCAGGGAATTCGAGCGCGTCGGCTTCCTTTCATATTTAAACTGAAGCACACGTGGATGTCCAACCCTTATGACTGAGTCCACGTGCCAACGGCATTGTCCCACTGTCCGACATCCACCGTTCCCATACTGAAACATAATACCTTGGCAAAATCCCGTGTCCCGGTCGTTAAAGGTCAAGGTCGATGAAATATCGTCCAAAGGGGCCCAAGAGAAGAATGGCGCATAACCAAGGGGATGGGGATCGGAAAGCCCACCATATTTCTCCAATGGGAACAGTTTGGGAGGTTCGTCTTGGTATGGAGGTTTGCTATATGTGTCCAGGAATGTAACTGGGGATCCCTCTAGCGCTTCGCTGTAGACTATAGTCTGAGGAGTAGATTTGCTCAGACCTAGATCCTTGAAGAACAGACTCTGGAATTGTGGCCCGATAATGATATCACCGGCCAGTCTTGTTCTTGAAAGGATATTCATACCCAGCCGACGCATTTGACGAATGTCAAGAGCAAACAATTGGTCGTTGTTGGAGATAGGCAAATAGATCCAAGTACTTTTGTCCTGGCGTTTATTAACAAATTGTTCGTATTTATCATCCATAGCAGATGGCTTCTCCTCGTAGTGGATGTGAATGCCAGCGAACGTCTGTAGACGAAAGTAAAAGGTTATGCCTCTTATTTTGTCCACTTCAACAGCATGCAAGTTCTGCCAGGAGAAGCAATCTGGGCCAGAAACTCTAAGAATCCGATTCCGGGATAAATGATCTGTGCCATAAGCTTCACCAGAGGTCAAATCCGGCGGCGCTGAGGTGTTCCATATTGGGAGTGCTGGTTGTTTTCTTGGCACTTTGAGACGCATTAAACCGTCCTGGAAGATGTGAGCAGGTGTATCAGTGAGATACCATCAACTCTTACCTTGAATTGGACTTCAATCCCCGCTACATCGGATGCATCCTGGACGATCGTCCTATAAGAGTCGTTGCATTCTCCCGAATAGACCGGTGCACAAGAAAGGCGTTCCACTCGGCAGATCCCCTCTGAGTCGATCGTCAGTCTTATTATTGGGAGCGTCTCCTCTGAAGTGATGTATCTTGGATACTCATTGTGTTTCCAAGAGAGGACCTCACCCAGCTGGAAGGAAATGAGTGGCTTGGGAGCTGTTTCTTTCACACAGGAAGCGAATTGTAGCACTGGGATATATCTCCAGAATAAGGAATGGTTGGAGTAGCAATGAATCATATCGAACAGCTCACACGGCAAGCGACACATATCAGACAAACCAAAAGCTTCAGCCGTTCTCTTCAGCCCCTCAGAGTCGAGGTGTTGGTCAGATATGTGTAGAGGATGAGCGCCTCGCCAAGGAAACCTCCACGCAGAGTGCAGCCAGAGCCCATCCATATCTGCAGGACACTCTTTGGTAAAGATTGAGTAACAGTCAAGGTGAATTGTCACTAGCTCTGGACTTGATTTGGTAGGGCATCTTCTGCATCTCGGAGAGCGACATAAGTGAAAGCCACCAACGTCAATCCCTTGGCGGTTTATCGGTGGGAAAGTAAAGGGTCGAGTGCGACCACTGAAAGATGACGAATCATGGTTGCCGTAGACTGCATCGTTATGTTAAAGTTTACACAGAGAAGAACTGAACTGGGTCATTTTACTTGCTATCGTCCGCTCATGTGTGAAGATGGTGTCTGCGCAGATTCCGCATTGGGGACGGAGTGCAAGGTGCTTGTTATTGATCTCAATCATTTCAGTTGCGTATGGGTTAATTGTGGAACTGAAGCTTAATTTTGGTGTTTTATTTGCATCGGTTATACCCTTTTCCGGTCCCGAGAGCAATCTGGGGAACATGGGGTCCAAAGCGAGGATTTGACTTGGAGTCTTGTGTAAGCGAATTTGCTGGATCAAGATCGACCGGGAGACGTCAGGGCTTTGTTATGCGGAAATGACTTTGTGAGAGAGTCATTGGGCAAAGGTGGCAGCAAGTTTTTGGACTGGGAAAGGTCAAGATCCGTCTTCTGTTGATGTTGACTGTAATCAGGTTCAATATTGGCCGAGAGAAAGTAACAGTATTACAGTAGTATGGACAATTTCCAAAGCGGAGTATGTGGTACTTCAACAAGTCAGCTCTTCCGGGATAATCCATCTCATTGTCCTTCATCTAAAAACCAAGGTTTCGCAATGGTTGATGGTTCAGAGCCACAGTGGAAGATCAATACAAAGAAAGGATGGGCCAGTGGAACATGCGTTAGACCAAAAAGCATGAGCTGAATACTAATCATTCAATGTCATTTGACCAGGAAACTATAGTCGGCTAATACCGTGTGCTTGTAAGTAAACGTTATGCTGACAGGATTAAGAGTTAGGGCTGCGGAGTAATCGGAAAGTGATACTTCTCACTGGACGAAGCTCCCTGGGGTGAGATTGGGATTCCTCATCCCTGACGTGAGCGCTAGATATCTTTGCTTCCAGACGAATATCAGAGCACGGCGATTTCTTGTTTGGGCTATTCTGGACAGTCACATCCTACTTGGCAGACTGCTTGAAAGGTCATATAATAATACCGAAAGATGTAATTTAAGATATAGATGGATTGTTTTACTTCACTCCGTTGAACCCAAATTACAAGCTGACAGCCACGTTTCGAATTTGAAGGGTAACTCCAAGGGTATTAGCTCAACAAGTCCAAGTCAACATGAAGCTTAGCTTGATTTCCTTTGCAATTTACCAGCACCTCCTTTTTCTGGCCCTCATTGTCTCAACAGTACCTCGTGACAAAGGCAGTACGACCAGCCTGGTTCCGAGCTCCGATGCATCGGGAACTGAACATCTCGAAAGTGCCTCGGTTTTGTCGACCACATACCAACAGACCGAGGCACCAAAAAGAGGTTTATGGAGACCAGTCGTTGAGTTCCTTCTTCCTGACGCCCAAGCTCGATTGGACGAATACGAGGCGAGGATGTATAGAAGGATGCGAGAGGCTAGACCAAATCCGACGTTGCCGAGTGAGTGTGAAGAACCGGACATGAACAAGACATGGGATTGACGGAACCTTGGTTGTCGCTAGCAGGTGAAAGGATGGAGATCTGGGTGAGAATGGAATGGGCATCCATGGATCTTGCAACTCACAAGATATCAAGCCTGAACATAACCTATGACAACAGGCAGTAGTTTGAAGGAGTCTGCTAGATGGAACAATCTCAGATATAAGCTCGATCAGGCACCAGGAGCCCTATTGTCATAGGATAATGTTTCACGACTGGGGAGGAAGTAGAAGATCCAACGTGATGTTGAGTGAACTGTGCGCGCTGAGAGGGAATTTTCCGCCATGTCAAAAGAAGGAATCAAAACGCTGTTTAAAGAACGATCAATGTGTTCGTAACGGCTGTTTGACTTCCACAGACGGTATTTGATAGAATGAACGTTCACTCAAGACCGTACCTTGATATCGCTAGACCTCTGTTTACATAGAGTACACGAGAGATTATAAGAGTCAAATTGCCATTCTCCGGTCACAATCTACATTGAACTAATCATGAGATTGTATTCGATGAAAGAAGTATAATTGTGAAATGGTATACATTAGCAGGATCGTTCTATCTATGTACATCGAAAGTCTCCAGCTAATCGGGGTTCATGAAGAATATTAACGACAACCCAACAGCTTATGCCAAGTTCAAACCGAGATAACCACCAAGACCCATAGCAACAACAGCCCAACTCAACGACAACACCGAAGCAGTCGAACAGTCGTCATTGCTAGTGTTGGGCTTCTTGTTAATATTCGATCCCGAATCTCCATCATCATCAGCACCACTTCCACTTCCAGTACTACCCGAGCTACTTCCACCATCACCTCCACCATTATCATGGTCCCTAACCTTTCTCTTGCAGAGCTTGTTACTCCCCGTCTCCTTAGGAGCCGTCTTCGTAGTCTTCCTCTTCTTAAGATCGACAATAGTAACAGCAGTCATCCAAAGCGAACTCTCCGAAGACGAGAGCGTTCTGCTCTCAGCGCTCGCAGAACCATCTGGCTTGGACGTAACACCAGCTCTGTCCGAGAATAAAGCGCAGCCATAAGATGTAGAATTGAGAATTACATCTACGCGACTGTCCCAAGCTGTGTATGTTACACCGTCAAAGTCGTTTTTGCAAGAGTATGATGTTGCTGCGACGTCAGACTGGCAGGCTAGTTTGTAGAGGGTTTTTGTTGGGTCTTCTGTTATCATTGAGGCGTAGATGTTTGTTGCGCTGCCGGTGTAGGCGGGTGGGATGAACATGGTTGTTGTGCTATGTTTTGTTGTTGATTGGGCGGCTTGAGAGAGTGAGGCGAGGCCAAGAAGGCCGAGAGTAAAAGACTTCATGTTGTATATTGATTGAGTGTGACAATTGTTGGTAGTCGAGTCGTGTGAAGACGAGATGAGATTTAGTTGAAGATGAGTCTCAGAGACGCGTCTATTGAATAATAATCGTCTCACTCCGATCCCAAAGAAAGAGGAAATTACAGTCGTTTTGTATTCCCATGCCTCAAATCCTTCAGAGGCCTCAACCAATAAAACACTGCCATGTTCCCTGCGAGATACCCCTGCACAAGACTCAGCCTTGTTCACTGCAACGTTCGGTCTGTAGCGAGTGATCCTCCATTGGTAGCGCCCGTTATGCTTAAAAACCGCAGCTGAATGCTCGTGTCCTTATAGGGCAGGTCGTCCGCCGGAGATTGCCTGTTATAGGCATGTGGCTGCCTCTGAAGATTAAAAATTCAGGAGGCAAGATTCTTGCACTGCCATCTTATTCTCATCCTTACATCCCCATCCATTCGTTACATCCATTCGTTATCGGTGACATGTTTGTTCACCGCTAAGGAGGATTAAAGGCTTGTATTCAGCCCTACAACATTAATCTCGCTAATTGAGCACCGCCTTTTTTTACCTCTCGCAAATGACCCACCGATCAACCGTCGAATGAGTTTCCCTTTTTCTGATTCGTTTCACTCTTTTTTATTCGGCCATTACTCAATTGGTTATCCACCATGTACGGATACTGGTCCTTGCTACTTGTTGGCATCGCCATCCTTTGGTGTTTTCCCTGGAAGGAATCAACAGTCAGCCCCGTTACCGTTGACCTTGCCCCTGACCCCAGTGGAGGTGACCCACCCCGAGATATTATTCCGACCCGTTTACTTCCTCATGACGTAGCTCGTTTTCTAGTCACTCACGATCCAAACACCAACATGACAGAATCCAAGACCGTCGCCGAGGTTCTCCTCGACCCTCTAGGTCTCGAAATCACTTCCTTCAAAGAATTGCAGACTTTGTGGGCAGGATATGGTCATATTTGCTCTCTCACCGCACGACCTACTGACTCCAAAGCCGCTGCCGCAATCCGTCATCTCGCGCATGCAAAAGGCTCAAACAACACCTTCTTCCTCATCCTCAAACTCATTGCACCGCCGCCTGGACCTACTGATGAAGGTCATTTGAGAAAGATTCTGAGTTATGATGTTGAGCAGTATTTTTACGAATTTGTTGCGCCGCACTTGGAGGATGATACTGCCGTTGCGCATTGTATGACGTCGAGTTGGAAGGCGAAGCGTGATGGTGGTGAACTGAAAGATGTTACTGCTACCATCATGACGGATTTGAGGGTCCACTTTCCTGTCGAGGGTGGAAAGCGGGCTTATCTGGGAGCCAGGGCTGTTCAGTCTGCGCTGGAATGGCTGGCCAGATTTCACAGCAGTTCTTGGAAATCTCTTCCCGCGAACTTGAACGAGTATCTCCTTCCACCACTGGACGAGTTCAAACGACGAGAGACTGGAACTGGTGGGAACAAGTTGTGGTTGAATGGTGGATACACGTATCTCGCTACTCGACGAAAGGAGTATGAGTCTCTTTGTGTTGACACATACTCCGAATGGTCCGGAGCGTTGTGCACACCATTCCAAGGATCGGAAAAGTCTACTGCCGAAGTAGTAGCCGACTTCCTCACTCCCACCGGTCGACCTTTCGAAACTCTTATCCACGGCGACGTCAAGTCCGAGAACCTCTTCACCAACGACGCAGGCGACGATGTTTCCTTCGTCGATTTCCAGTACGTCGGTCTCGGTCTAGGCGTTTGTGATCTCGCCAAGCTCTTCACCTGCTCCGTCCCACTGGACTTGCTCACCAACAACCCCTCCCTTCCCCACGAAATGGCCATGGACAAAGGCGAGCAGGCTCTACTCTTTTTGTATCATGAGACACTACTCACGCGTCGACCTGCGGAGAAGGAGCCGTTGGATTATGATTGGGATACGCTTGTGAGGCATTGGGAGACTGCGCTGGTGGATTGGTGTAGATTCCAGGCTTCGTGGGGATTTTGGGGAAATACGGAGTGGTTGGAGGCTAGGGTGAGATATATTCTTAAGGATGAGGGGTGGAAGGCTTGGTTGGCTAAGGAGAATGTGGGTAGGGGTAGGGCTTCTAGTATGTAATACACGATAGAGTAGATGTTGACAGATGCATTAAAAGTTGTCTAATTCCTGCATTACGTCGAAAGACCTGCTCGCTAAAAAAAAAGCTCAAGATAGAAAGTCGTCCAACACAGGAATCGAATGGCGTAGTTAAGGTTGAGGGAGAAGTGGGATACAAAACTGCGCCAATACGGTTTAACAAATAAAACTCCAGTATCAACCTACGTCCATTACCATTCAGGTTTACTTCAAGAATTCAACGTGGTCGTGACTTGACATCGCCAACCCAATCTATATACCCTATATCACCTTATCGACCGTGAGATAAGACGAAGACGGGCCGGCTGGGAAGACGACGTAGTTGTTTACTCAGCACAGACTGAGAGCAATTTAATCACCTGCCGCATTCTGCTAGATGCATTAAAGGATCTGAGAGGGGTATCTCAATGAGACAATAGATCTGTTGTTCCGAGGTTCCTGGCTAAATACCCCGTTCCCCAACTTCCCCGGATCCGTAATTTATGCTTCTCTCCACACTCGGCCGAGAAAGACACCTCCATTAATTCTTCCAACCGACAGCCTCCCTCCCCTTCTCATTTACGATCTATTTATTCAACAAGACATTACTCGTATTAATCTCTACTTGAGACAAATTTGTATTTTTGATTACGATTTACATTGGTTATTCCCGTTGACAGCCTTAGTAATCTCCGCCAAGAGGGGGAAGCTCGGACCGAGGACCGCGGCTGATATATACGGCTGATTTGATTGGATTCGCTTCTGCCTCAGGCATTCGCTTTGTTTCGCTTTCTCCTATCGTCATCACAACAACACATTTCATCTCATTCTCACCACAACTCGTCACAATTTACACCTCACCTCACTTCACCTCACCTTACCAAATAAACAAGATGTCATCTCTCACAACTTCACCCACAAAGTCCCCTCTGGACCCAAAAGTCCTGCTAATGGTACACCCTACCTCTAGTCCCTTTCAACACAATGCGAGAGAATGCTAATATGTGCAGTCCTACCTCAAACAACTCCAAGCCAAACCCCTCCGCACAAAAATGGCAACTCAAGGCTCCCTGTCCGCTCTAACTGAAATCATCGCTTCATACTTTGCTTATCAGCGTCCTGGATACGGACCGATGATTACTTCGCGTGTTCCGCAGATGGCATTTTATGGAGCTTGTATTGCTGCGCCGCTACAGCATTTTCTGATGACTTTTGCGCAAAAACAATTCCCTGGAAAGATTTTGCTGCAGCAGCTTGTTACTATGTTCATTGTAAGTCCACCCCCCACAAATACATCTAGTGGGTTCATAGACTAACTTATGTAGTGCTTCCCCATTCAAAACACAGTCTATCTTTCCTCAATGGCCATAATCGCGGGCGCACGCACAAAAGAGCAAGTCCAAGGCGCCGTCAAAGCTGGTCTTGTACCCATGACAAAAGCCATGTGTGCTATGCACCCTATTTTAATCACTTTTGCAAAAGTCGTTGTTCCGATGGAGTATTGGCCTGTTTTCTTTAGTTTGATTGGGTTTTCGCTGAGTACCTTTTTTAATACCCTTGCGAAGATGAGGAGGGCTGCTGCTGAGAATGCTGAGAAGAAGGACAAGGAGACTTAGATGAAGATTGTGTGAGTGGTGAGAGGGGGTGAGAGGGAGTTTGTGATTTGGTATTTTGGTTAGTGCGAGTTTTATACACCTAGAGTTTTTGGATCTGATAGATATACGATTTTTCAGAGCATTGTAATTCATCGTTTGTGTCTAGTCTATTGTCATGTCTATCATGCATCTCATCTAATCTATCAGGCGTCCTATCATCTGTCTAGTCCATCACTCTATGTCTAGCTCCATACATCTCATCTATCTTTGTCCCTCTATGCTTTTGTCTAAGCCCACCCAATTCTAAAAAGCTCATAATGACTCTCATCACCCCGTCCGACACCACTCCTCTTATCCAACTTCTGCCTCTCCAAAATATCAAGCCTCTTCCCATTCGTACCCAACGGTCTATCCATTTCCGCAAAAGCAGCTTCAACAGTATCGCCAATACCCGCAAACTTGCCATTAGGTCGGATTGTTACTAACAACCAGAAAACACCCCCGTCGGAAAGAAGTCTTGTCGCACAATCGCGTAGCCAGCGTGCGTGTTCAGGTGCGTACACAACATCTGTTGCGAAAAGCATACTAGCCGGAACATCGAAGGGTGCATCGAGTGTAAAGTCTGCCCAGTCGAGACACTTCGTTTCGATGGGTGAGGGATCTGTGTAGTTGATGCTTATGTTTGACTGCAAGTTTTCGAGAACTGCTGGGTGATAGTCCGTAGCGATGATTTTCGAATCTTGGACACCCAAAGTGGGAATCAACTTTCCGAGAACAAGACTGACGAGCCCAGTGCCAGCACCAAGCTCAATAATGCGATTATGTTCCGTAGGCGACAAATCGGTAAGTCCAAATCGTTCTGGTGTCGCGCATAGCATTTCTGAGAAAACAATGGAGGCGCCCCAACTTTGAAGGCCCACATCTTCGAAATCTGAGTCATTTGTTCCAGCGAGTCCATCATTCAACGAAACAGAGATTTTGTCGTCGGCAGTGTCGAAGGTAAATTCTCGAAGGAAGGGTGAATTCTGATCATCTTCATCCAGAGCGGTTGCGAAAAGTGACTCAAAGATATACGCCGCCTGATCCAGCGCCCGCTGCATTCCCTCCTCTGACTCAAAAACCTCCAGAGCCTCCGCTCGTGAGAGGAAGCCTGTTAGCCATCTCTCCACAAAAGACTTCTCGTAAGGATCTGCGCGGATGGACGTTGGTGTAGGGGCAGGTTCATCGTCTTCGTTGCCGGATGTATAACCTGAATCAACAGGTTCCGCAAGAACATGTTTCGTATCGTCAAGTTCGATAGAAAATGGAAATGAGAGGGGACAGTAGATTGTGGCCAGGTAGTGAAGAGCGTTGAAAATGTCTGACTCGGTTTGTTTGGTGAGGGTGAAGAGTGGCGGTAAGCTGCTCGACGGCAGCGCTAGGGTACTCATTTTTTCTGTCATTTTCTCTTTTTCGATAGTGATAGTGAAAGAACGTGGAGATGTAAAGATCGTGGAGTTTGCGGAGAAAAAAGAACGGAGGAAGTAGGTGTTTGAAAAGATAGTAAAAAGTGGGTGGCGTTTGTCTTGAATAGGTCTAAACCCAAAGATGAAGCTATCATGAAAAAATTTGCTGACAAGTGCCTGAGGTGGTAGAGTGCCTGACAGTGGCTGTTTTAGGCCCACGTGGGTCTTATTTCCGGGGGGCTTGATGCGCTAGAAAACAGTGGAAGATAGTGGGTCTGGCACCTAACTTTATCGGGGGCTTGGGACCGGTCAGCTGATAAGGTTTGATAAGTGTATGACTCGAGAGAAATGTTCATAATGTATTTGAGTTAGCGGTGAGTATGTTGGTTATTGGCGTATTGAGATTGAGTTTATATGTTGTCTGAGTTATCCAAAGTTGAGAAATTAAAGTCAAAAGCTGAAAGATCGAGAGTATCGTCCAAAGGTAACAGAGCTGTTATATCAGCATCGAACAACGAGTTGAACACGTCAAATGTCGGCCATTCATTGCCACTGGGCTCAAGCAAATATGTTTGAGAGTCAACTTGAGCCTGCTCTGATAGAATAGATGGCCCAACATCCTGAGATGACTCAATCGGACCTCGGTCGCTTCCGATAGTCGGTTGATCAGTTGTTGAGTTAATGGTCAGGTCGTGACTCTCTTCCCCAGGCTTTACATAACCTCCATTGTCAGCTCTCAAAATCCCCGTAAACTCAAGAATAGACGCTTTGGCGAGATCTGCATCAACTCCGAACTTCACGAAAGCAGAAATATCCGCGTGTTTAGGTTCATTGGAGATGGTTGGTGGGTTGCGTTTATGCACATCGTGAATGCATCGCGCATAGACTTGCTGCAACAAATCAGTTTCAGCGCAAAGTTTGGCAAAGAAAGGCCTACTAGGAGAGAAGCCAACTTCCAATATGAAGACATCTCTTGTATCATGTTCATGTTTGCCTGAACATTGAGTTGAGCTTGAGCTTTGACCCCAGGTTGAGAACACCAAAGAAAAGGTATTTGGACAGCGCAGCTGGAATATGCTGCATATGCGACAAATATTGGCATACTACTAAACGGACAGCCACTGTTTGAAACAGCTCTGACGAGACTTGAGATTGTACAAGCGTGTTCGTATGCTATCTGGGCCGAGAGGTGCCGTGCTGATGAGTAGGCATTATCGCCCTTTGACCAGCAAAAGAGTGGGACGATGGAAGAATGGAGGACGCAGAGTGATTGATGGTATATGAGATTGGTCAATAGAATTATGGGCAGACTGTTTTGATCTGTAGTGAGGGCGGTAGAAGCGTCAAGCCTGAAGTTATCAGGGACTCGTTGCCACCATGTTGTTATCTCGCTCTCGGTTTTGAAGATCTGCTGGATACGGGTACTGAGGTCGGTGTCTTTCCACCTGACGACAGAAACAACCGAGCACCTTCACCTGTCAGTACAAAGTGTGTGGAAAGAGATGGGGTGAGTTACCAAAGATGTAAGCCACGTATCAACTCAGCAAACACACTTCCCGTATCAGCTCCATCACCAATAGTCGCCACCCCATCCGGAGGTATAGCAGCTTCAAAACTATCTTCAGGCCATGGCAACGGTAAGCTCTCAACATCAGCAATGACTTCGAATCGAAAGAGCTTCTCAGAACTAAAGCAATGCATCAAGTAACACTCCCAGAACCGTCTTCTGCGTAATTGAGACTCAAGAGTAGGGGCACTTTGGCCCGCGCCAATAATGTGGAGGAGTTGACACGCGTTTCCTGGAAGGCATTAGTAAACAAGTGGAGAGGAGGGAAGAGGTTTACCTTTGTGGAGATAACTTATCCTCCAAGATCCCTGACTATGCCAGAAGAGAGAAAGATTGCAATGCGTAACGATGTTATCTTCATTTAGATCTTCCGCGTCTTGGAAAACGAGGCTGCCTGCCTTCTTGGCCCATTTTATCATGAAGCCTTGATCTTTAAGTGTAGCTTTACCTTGCTCATCTCGATAAAAGCTGGGGTTGGTTAGTCGAGGGGATTGTTTTGCGAGAGAGACTTACTTTGCTCCCCAGGCACAGATGCTGAGAAGAACGTGTTGTCGTACAGTTCCGCTGGAAAGGGATTGGAGAAAGGTAGGTTTATGGAAGAGAAGGGTTGATTGGTAGACGTTGGTGAAGTAGAGGTTAACCAGAGTGGTGAGTAGTGTTGAGGGGATATTATCTAAGGTATCCTCGATAGAACGGTGTGGAGCAGCGACGATGGGAGTCAGCGAAGAACGAGAAGAAGCTGTGTTTCCTATGAAGACGTCGGGATATTCCTTTTGCTTTCGGACTCTGTTGACTCCGCCCTTGTTGTAATGGCATGGACTCTTCAGTCTGACGCATCTGGTGCAGCTTGGCCTATCGCCTGAGCAGCGAATCTTCAGTTTCCAGTTAGTTTCTAATTGGAGGAATGTTCTGGTCTGATTCTTACCTTTTGTCTTTTACAAACGTTGCAAGACGTGCTGGGGCGCCCGGCGGTTCTGGTCATGGTGATGAGTGAGGAAGGATGACAAGAGATGAGATGTAAGCAGAGAAGACTGTTTGGGAATAGCAGGAAAAATGTATTTCCTGATCCTACCGACTACAACCACACAGTCAATCGATATCACATTTCAACAACCTTGTGGACTTTTGTAATCGATGACATGAGATAAAGAGTGTGAATTCCCAAGGAAACTTGAGACTCAGTCTATGGCTTCTTCCCAACGATGAATCGAACACGCATATATCCATGGACATTCTTGTCTTTCAACGCCTTTCGCATCTGCATCAAAAACAACTGGTACTCATCACCAGGCGTCCCAAATACCTTTTGCCAAGACATCAAGGTATATCCTACCCACATTAGCAACTTGCATCAATTCACAGCAACTGACGTACCTTCAAGATCGTTCTCAATAGACGCTCGCAAGAACTGTCCCACTCGACGAAGCTTCTCATCCTTGGCCCATCCACCAACAGGCACCTGATACTTTGTCAGAGATGTGATGACTGGTGAATAGTGAGACTTACCTTGAAATCGGTAACCTGTAGCTCTTCAAATCCCGCTTTCTTGAGAAGCCCAACATCATCACGAATCTCACAGAAATCCCCCCCGAAAGCACCCTCGCACTCCCTACAGATCTTATTCCAAGTCTGCAAAGCCTCTACATTGTCAATACTTCCATCATCAGTCACAAACAACGGATTGATCTCTGCAGACTCTATATACCCTCCTGACACACAGCAACGAAAGGCTTCTTTGAATAGAGCTCTCCAGTCGGAAATCGCTCCGATCAAATAGCGGATGTGAATGAGGTCGAAGTTCGACGGGGGAAAGGTCCAGGCTGAAGTTGCGTCTTCGATGTGGAATTGCACGTTGGGTGGGATGAAGCTGGGTTGGATTGGGGAGAGGTCTGTTCCTGTTACTGTTGAGGAGGGATAGGCGTCGGCGAAGTCACTGATGAGTTAGCATAGATCATAGCTGGGATTGTAAGAACATACATAGCCCAGATACCTGTAGCTGTTAGCGAGGTTCCATGCTGTAGACTTGCATCACTTACCACTGCCAGTGCCCACATCAAGCACCTTCTAAGAAATGTCAGTACCAGACCGACCAGAGTCACATTGGCGCTTACCATTGGACCATCTTTGACAGGAGCGAGGGTGAGCTCCCCATCCAGAAGCAGCGTCAAAGAATGGTGCCTATAAGAGTCACGATCAGTACATACCCTACGAGAGCAGTAATAAGAGCTCTTACGTGATGTCCATGGAGTCTCTTTGCCGTTCATCATTTGGTGCGAAGTATTCGGAATCGTACTTATCACTGTGATAAGTGCGTCCATGAAATTTGCGATACTCGAGAATACTTGACGAGACGGAGGTGGTGGAACTGGCACTGCGAGAACTCATTAATTCTGTTGATATGGTACGATTGGGTGACACGTACACGTCGTCTCCAATCGATGAGTCAACGTCGCTATCGTCCTATCAATCGGATAAGTAGATGGCCAATTGCCGGGAGAGCGAACATACTCGTGCTTCCATGAATTGTGACATAGCGATAATGTTTGAACAGCCGGTCTTGCAATATTTGTTCAAAGAAGAATGAAAGAGAGAACAAAGAAAACGCGCAATCTGTATCCAAGTTCTGTCTTTTATGCGAACATGCTTGGCGTAGCATTGAGTAGAACCAACATCGTATTGTGTAACGTTGGCGATCCAGTTTATTTCCTGTTATGGACGCACACAATCTTCCGCCTATCGCTTCCCTGATTTACTCCTCTCTACTGCATATGATATGATGACTTTAACCATAAATCATGGCATTCGCTTTGACACAATGATGTACCAAATGACTGTCCTCTTCTATTTGTAGTACCCACTGGATCTCTAAACTATCTGGATCTTTTCCCACTTCGTATCATCACCAACAGCCTCACCCTGCATGACTCCATGCACATAACTCTCACCAACCAAGCTAAGCTCTTGTCCCTCTCTTCTCAGGACCAAGGGTGTCGGACATCCTCTAATAACCCAAACCTCATCCCCCACCTCTACCGATTCTAATCCCATTCCAAGGAATCCGCTGCCGGTAAGGAACGGTCTATGGCCGATATAAGTCGTGCTTAATACAAGTGCCGGCGGCATAGAATGGTCCGACTTTGGCACCGCCAACATCTTCCGTTCTTCATCATCCAGTTCAACTTCCTCTTTCGGAATAAGGCCAATATTCATACACATCGATTTGATTAAGTTGACCCTGGGGAAAATACTCGAAGGGAATTTGGCGGATACTCGGTCCAGGTAGGACATTTGGCTGATTGACTCCAAGACCAGAGCTTGGCCTTCTTCTGGCGAGGGGGCTTCTCTGTGGCGGATTGCCAGTGGGTGTACAATCAAGTCCATCATGGCCATCTGGAAATCTTCCAGTCGGATCAGCTTTGCAGGTCGGTATGAAAGGTCATGGTCAAAGACAAGAGTACGCCAGAAGGCCTCATCCGATGATTGACCAGTGTGTGGATAGACTTGTTCCATACTGCATAGAACGTCGGAATTCATCTTCTGCTCGCCACTCATAGCAGTCAGGAAGGCCTCGCCCAGCTTCTCGACCTTGCCAAGACAAAAGGCAGAGACATTAAGAGCGTCTCCATCGACAGTAAATACTTGTTCAGATAAAGTGTGAGGGATATGCTTGGACACATCGAAAGACCCCGCGGATCGAAAGACTGCACCAGAGAGACTGTTGACTGGAGTAGGTGAGAAGTTGGGTACCCAAGATGGAAGACCCGGAATGTCTCTCGCACTATGATCCTTGACAAGACCCAGATAAACGAGAGAGTCAGTAGTCTCGACTATCTTCCTCGCAACATCTGTCAACAAATCTTTGACATCAATGTCATAGTTCGGCTCAAACTCTGCAGGAAGCGATGATCCATGCTCGGCAGCCATTTTCTTCATGATACCTCCCAACCCATAGATGATATCCCGACGATCTGTCGACCTGAACTGAAGCGACGTTATCAGAAACCGAAGAAGTAACATCTCAGCAGATTTCGGTTGAGTATGACCAATCCCTGCTTCGAAATCGACAGTTTCTTCTAAAACTTCGAACCACTCAGTCTTTTCGTCTTTGCACCACTCGCGAAAAAGGCCGATTCTTTCAGCCTCAAACATATTGACATCGTCTCGCATAAAACTGTCTTTCCTGACATACGGAGCAAGAGAGTATACCTGTTGGAACAAGCCGCTGTAGTGCAAGAATGCCGCTGTGTAGCCGATACAGTCGAAGGGTGTGAAAGTACCGTTGCAAAGAACGACGACGTCGTTGTTGAGGGAGACTTCTTGGATGACCCAGATGCGAACGAAGTAATTGCACGAAAACAATGTAGCTAATCCGACAGCTTCGTCGAAGTCGATAGGTTCAATTCCATACTTCTCTGACATGTTGGATAGATCATTGCTGAAGTCCCAGGTTTGAGTGCGGATCATGCGAATGGTATGAGGAACGGACTCTGTGCCGAGGCGCGCAGCTGCTTTGACGCCTGCTTCTAACTCGGGTGTAGCCTTTCCTAACCAGACGATGACACGGCTAGCGCTTCCGTAGATCTGGTTCATTACAGAGACTTGTGCTGATCGTTCGGTTTGGTCGGATTGGTTGATGCACAATGCGTCGATCCAGATGGGAGTTTCGCCACATGTAGCCTGGAGTTCGAGGAGCGCATCGTACAAATTTGGCTGAACCGCAAATAGGTGACCATTGAACAGAATGATCGCATCGGAACTGTCTGTGTCTTCGAGATTCCTTGGTGGCCCCCAGGTGTAAGAGAGTGCATTGTACTTGATCTCTGGACCTAGAGGATGTGTTATGAGGGTCACACTTGGTACTTCAGTTCCAGTATCAGGACGAGTTCCGAGCGAGACAGTCGCTAGACGGAAGGACTTGTTCTCGAGCACGTCAGAGTAGATTTGCGTCATATTAGGATTGTTGAGGGGGTAAGATTGAGGTGAGAATGAAAGTGGATGAAAGCTTGTAGAGATATCAGCATTTATGGAGTCGCAACACTAGCCGAGTTGGGTCTTAGTTCGTTTGAGAGCATCTACAGGGGTGAAAGTAGGCAGTTGGTAAAGTAAGCGTAGTACTGAAATGCTTAGGTAACTTGCAGTTGAGTATAATTGTAGCATGAGGAACACACCCCTCAGTATATTCAGCTTCTTACAGAAGGATAATTTGATACAGAAAAGACACAATTCCCAATTGCGGATCCATGCAAAACTAATATTAACTAGCACTATGGTGGCTTTTGCAAACTCAATGCAGTAGAGAGTCTTGGCAACCTGGCTCTTATCAGCTGCCGAGACAGAAATGGGTCAGATGCTACGGCCCAAGAACTGTCAACTCCTCAACCGTTAACACACCTTGCTTGCAAGTACTAATAGCATTGATAGGTCCATAGCTCTTTGAAGAAATTTACATACCCGCGACTCATGCTGCTGACAGGAATAGGGCTGAACATGGTCGCTGGGCTTTGGCATCATGCCACCCCGCACTGTTGGAGCCGTGGTCGAGGGGATCGATCATCTTTTTAATTCCATGTAAGGAGTGCCAAGTGTAAGAACACTGCAATTGCACTTTGTCGCACTGGCATGCTCGTTGGACCAGAAGTCGATCATTCTGTTGGTGGCTCGGGTCCTCAAAACGTTCACCAATCGGGTTGTTGAGAAAGTGAGACATAGATTGTGGTCTGACATGCCGCTGTCATCATCGTGCATATCAGATTTCCCGTAGTCCGCCTTGCTATCAAAGCTGAGTCAAGGCGAAAGTGAGCTTCTAGGTGCATCTGCCGTCAAGCAAGTGTCTCCAACATCGGGGTTGAAGTGGGATAGTGGAACTACCCGATTGGACGGACCCATAGAATGACTCACATGTAACCAAGACTAGAGTAATATATAAGTCGTAGACAACACCAATAAAAAACACTTCACCGTACTGGCCTCCCTACAACAACGCAATGACCGTTCTAACTTCAACTGTCTGGCCAGATGGGCTTCAGCTACACCTTATCAACACGCATGACGCCTTGGAACAATGGACTCTTTCTCTTGCCAGCCTCCTCCAATCTTGTGTTAACGACAATCCTCCTTCCTCAGCACTAGGCTTCCACTCTCCTCTATCTCACATCGACGCCACTGCATTTTGGCTCAGGCTATCTCCCCAACTCTCCACCACAACCGAACTCTTCGTCCTGGCCCGTGACTCAACGGTAGTTGGAACAGTCCAACTTGTGACCTACGCCAAAGTGACATTCGCACACAAAGTCGAGATTGCAAAATTACTAGTCGCCGATGGTGAAAGAGGTCTCGGATTGGGGAGGAAATTGATGGAATTTGCGGAGAGGTATGCGAAGGAGGTCTTGGGGAAGAGTATGATTGTGTTGGATACAGCATCGGATACGCCTGCGAGGGGATTTTATTTGAAGCTGGGATATACGGAATGGGGAGTTTGTCCGAACTATGCGACGAGTGCGGATGGTCATATACATGACTGTTCATTCTTTTGCAAGTTCCTGGATGGCCAGTAGGCTGAGTGTAACTCTCGACTTTCTCGGAAGGATGCCGCATCTCATAGTGCCAAAATGCCTCTAGCATGCGGTCAATCGGATTACTAGACACAACAACATGCATAAACTGTCAGGTGATGGTCGAGAACAATTCCAGAACACCAGTATGAATGCATTAAATTCGGCCCAGCCACCCCCGAGAATCATCTCATCACGAATTAAGCTCAATTGAACAAGGATTGATTGGTATTCCATTTATCCGCCTTCCAGTCCGGGGTAAACAGCCGCCAAGCAAAGGCCTGATTGAAGCGTCTACCAATCCAGCGGGGGATCGACATGCTAAGATTCTTAGATTGGGGGTTATCCCCGCGTTTAACCTTGATTAAACTTATGACGCCGCATGAGATTCGGTAGGAGATGTACCGAGATAGCTATAAAACGTCACATTTCTGCACTTGAATTGTCGCTGCAGTCCATCAAGTGAGCTCAATTGACAGTCAATTGGCCAAGATGATTCTCTCACTCCTCACCTTTGCGTCTCTCACAAGCGCAGCCTGGATCGTCCCCGGCGCTCGCTGGAAGGATACAGACGGCAATCTCTTCAACGCCCATGCCGGCGGTTTATGCGTCGATCGCGACAGCGGCAAATTCTTCTGGTTCGGCGAATACAAGACTGAAGAACAAGAAGAAGGCGGTGGTATTTCCGTCTACAGTTCTTCTGACTTAGCGACATGGGAATCTCACGGTTTGGCTCTTACGCCTGAGGAGGGCCATGAGCATATTTCGCCAGAGAGTATTATTCAACGGCCCAAGGTTTTGTATAGTGAGGATACTGGGAAGTACCACGTAAGTGCATATATGAATTGGTAAAGAGAGGAGATGCTAATTGAGTAGATGTGGTGGCATGCGGATGATCGCAACTACAGTCTTTTGCTTCAAGGTCTCGCTACATCAGACAACATCGCCGGTCCCTACGAATTCAACCACGCCATCGCACCACTAGGAAACTGGTCCCAAGACTTTGGCGCCTTCACAGATTACAAAACCGGAAAATCCTACGCTTTATACTCCAACGGCGACCGCGTTGAGGGAAGGGATGTATACGTCAGCGAGTTCAACAGCAATCTCACAGACATCGAGAGTGTCACGCATCGGTTTAACAAGTATGATTTTGAGGCGCCAACTATTCTTCAGACGGAGAAGAGCTATTGGACGCTTATGAGTCATAAGACTGGTTATCGACCTAACAGTAAGTTGTGAAATACTATGGAGGGGCTGTGCTAATTTGTTTAGATGTCGTGGCTATGAGAGCTGATAAACTCGAGGGTCCTTGGTCGCAGCCCTTCTTCGTTGCGCCGGCTTATACCAGAACCTTTAGTACTCAGTCTGGATTCTCTTGGAGAATCAATGGCACGAAGAAGACAACTTACCTCTACATGGCCGACCAGGTAAGCCCTGTCGAACTCCGTCTTGAACTCAACTGACAGATTTAGTGGGATCTTCCTTCGATCTGGGAAAGTCGCAATGTCTGGCTTCCTATTGAGATCGATGAGAAAGAAAAGAGTCTCAAGGTTGTCTGGCACGATATTTACGATCTGAATGTGTAAGTGCGATTGGCAGATGGTATGGGCTAGACTGACGAGTGTAGGAAAACTGGTGAATGGAAGCCTGTCAAGGGAAAGACTTATCCTGCTAGCAAGGCTAAACTTGCCGGAGATGCATTCCTCCAGGAAGCTGTAAGTTGATCGGCCCAGACAGTGGGAACAATACTGATGCTCGACAGACCTTTGGAACAGATCATGTCATCGCAACAGGAATTCAGGGCAACGACAGCACAATTACCTTTGAAGTAGAAGGCAAAGGTGCTGATCAATGGGTGTCATTCTACCACCAAAGTAAACCCCCTCCCCTCCCCTCCATATCCCTACTCAATTAACACGCTCACCTAGACATCGACGACATGGGCTTCGGCGACCAACCAATGGGTCAACCTGACCGCATCAACGGCACATGGGCTGTCCGACGTATCAGCAGCGTAGTCGTGAACAACGAGACTGACACGGTACACACGCTGTTCCAGAAGGATACGCACAAGGGAATTATTCTTTCTACGCCTTTGTTGTTGCCTTTGAAGAAGGGTAAGAACTCGATTACTGTTGGTGGACTTGATAATGGCAAGGAACATTTTAAGGGGGCGGATTTGGATAGAATTGTTGTTTATCCTCCTGAGAAGAAGAAGGAGAAGAGGTTTTTTGGACTGTTTTAGGTTGTAGATTAGAGGGTAGTAGGTGGTTGAGAAACCATTTGCGCGAGCATTCACGTTTGTGATACTTCTGGACTTCTATTTCAGTAAAGGAACCAGTTGTTATATAGTGGTGTGACTTACATATTTCCCAATGAAACTACCCGGCTGAGATCTGTTGATTGTAAATTGAAATAATGCCGCAGTACATTGTGGTAAGGCATTCTCTCTATGTGGCTTATTTCCAGCTGCTGCAGAGACCCTGGTCTAGTCCATCGCCGTTGCCAATCAATGCACAAATCTTGGAATTGACATTTACTGTAACAATTCCTTATGCATGATGACAGGCCGCAGTGCACTGCCACTCTGGCCGGTATGCCTTGGCGCCTGCTTTGAAAGTAGGATAAAAGATCCTGCTTTAAAAAGTAAAACTACCTATTACTTTGAAGTCTTGATCTCCGCTTCACTACTTTTTTATGACAGGTCTCTGACTAGATACTCGTTATCACTTCCTGGAAAGGCAAACATATTGATGGCATCCGCGAAGCCTATTCTTTCACCTGCAGGTTGTGTCAAGCCCTGGATACAAAAGTTCACCAACCATCCGCGGGACAGTTTCCTTGACCAGTTTGTTGGATCAGACGATGCAAGATATGTCGAGATACAGGAAGTGAGTAAATAACCCGTTTCCAACTAATGCATAGGACGTTAACATCTGCATCGCAGCATGTAAATAATGTCAGATACACCGATGTACCGCTCAAGTCTGATAACCCCAATGGCGGACGGGATCTTTCTGAGTTCTTTCAGGTATGACCTTCGCATCTGTTGACATCACTACCACTGATCCTTTCTAAGCTTCCCCGAGAAGATGGGCCGCCGAGTATTCTCAGATTAGTGTACGTAGTGCAATTGAGATTTATTCACGCCTTACGTACGAGTGCTAATTCAATTCTCTCAGCATCTTACCATTCAACACAGAGAACAATAATGCTCCTCCTTTGTCATGGAGAGGGTTTCGAGAGCACCTTGATTTGCTGCATCTCCAGAACTATTTTATCTATGCCGAGAAAATGCAGACACCACCGACATGGTTTGAAGTTCCATTGGAATCAGGGCTAAATGGTGAGTAGGATGTTTTAACCCTTGGTTCTGTTTATATCCAGATCCTTAAGCTAACCATCACAACAGGCTTCGTTGTTAAGCCGGATCATTGGGATGCAAACCTCGCTAATTTCAGTGTATCCGTCATCCACTCCCCCACTAGCCGAACAACGCACATCATGGCACATATGCTTCACAAGACTGATATAGAACATCTCCTGCATCGATTACAGACACTCAAATCCATCGCTTGGCATCCTCTTCTAGTACCGCTGATCCTAATGGAGAAGAGAGTAGAGGGAACTGCAGAGCAACTCACCCTCATCAGAGACTCTATTTATGCCGTTGAGAAGAGACTAGGAACACACAAGAACTATCGCGGCGACAAACGTCATGAAGAACTCCATCACTATGCCTACGGCGAAAAAGTCTGGGAACGACGTCATGAACAAGATGTTGACTTTGAGGCTGCTCCAGGAAAGTTAACTTCGATTGTTTCGGAGTGTGCTATGATTGAGGCTAGGTGTCATACCAATGAGAGTCTCCTCGATTGGCTTTATGAGCTGAATCATAGACTCGCGTACGGACAACCTAATACTTCGATTATGATGAAAATCTCAACGTTTAGAATATGGGTCGGAAATAATCGATCTCGAAGTATCTATCTCGCCAAAAGGGCAGAAGCTCAGATGCAAGCCGTAAGTAATTGAACTTGACAGATGTAACAGAAGGTCAATTAACAAATACAGTGTCAAAACCTCATGTCACAACGCGACAATGCCATGAATCTAAAACAGACCGAAGCAGCACTTCGAGATAGTTCCGATATGAGAGCCATAGCATGGGTTACACTTGCATTCCTACCAGCGACATTTGTAGCTGTGAGATCTCTATGTACTCTGAGACATAACCCTTCTGACTTATCTTAGACATTCTTTAGCACCTCTTTCTTCAACTTTGAGCAGCAAGGTCGACATGTTTCTGATTGGATTTGGCTTTATTGTGTTGTTTCTGTTATACTTACGGTTGGTGTTCATGTAGGCTGGGCGTGGTGGATCAGGAAGGAGAGGAGAGCTTGAGAGTGGAAACACTATAAGACTCCAAGGTTCCTCTATAAGGGATAAATAACCGTGTCTCTTATAGGATGTGAGGATAAGGTTCATCATAAAAGATAACTGTCAAATGACAGTTCGTGTGATCAAAACTGTTGTTTTATTACGTACGCATAGCGAACATCTTTGTCAACAGATGTGTCACTAGCAGACCGGGAGTAGCGTGACCTTCGGGCAAGGTCTTGGCTGTAACTATTTCCAGTGACTAGTCGTTTGAACGCGTTGTCAAGTTCAAGATTGAGATGAAAGATGATTGAAAAGACGTTCACCCAAATCATGGAGCCAGTGCCAATCGCAAACAGTAGACTCGCTTCTCTATCAATTAACCGTCACTGTCTAACCGCTCACGATCGCCTAGTAGTCAGTGGTAGTGACATCCCCTTCGATCGAGAACAGCTGTTTGTCGACTCTATGTCTAGCCGTGCCCACGATGCCGTCACGAACAAACAACTCGTTCATCTACACCAGCGCCAACAAACAAACCCATTGTCCCGTGATCGCCACCTCCCGTCACAGTCGCGAACAGCTAAACAGTGATACAATGCACGAACAACTACCACAATGGCCTAACATAAAACTCGCACAATCTTCCACAACCTAGTCTCTTCAAACCAGTCAATTGACAACTCTTAGGTTTACAACATTTCAACCAACACAACGGACGGAATCGAGGTAAGACAACCAACCAACAACAGCTCTTGGCTCTACAACATCTGGATCTACTCAACTAACAGAAACAAGGTGAGACAAGATGATGGAAATATTCTACAACTGGCCCAAGGCCCTCCCCGCCAAATCACACTGGCCAACCCGTCTTATCCCCTTCCTTCTCCTGCTCATCCCCCTCGGCGCCTCTCTTCCCTGCATCTGGCTACTCTTCTCCGACATCTGGTTTCAGATCTTCGGTACACTCTTCGTCCTCCGATACACCCGTCTCTTCGTACATCTCCTTGGCTCATACCTCTACCGTCCCTTCTCACCAAGCCCATATCCCAACTTCTCTCGTAACGACGTCACAGTTATTCTTCCGACTATTGACCCCCGAGGCCCTGACTTTGAAGAATGTGTGAGGAGCATTCTTGTGAATCATCCAGCCTTCATTCTGGTCGTCACCGTTGGAGATGTGCTGAAGCAGGAGTGTATTAATGTCATACAGGACCTTGTCGCTAATGCATCCCACACAAAAATTTCTGTTGCTGCACTTTCAGAACCGAACAAACGCCGTCAAATCACCCACGCAATGCCTAATGTCACTACAGCTATCACAGTATTCGCTGACGATCATGTTTTCTGGCCAGCTACTTTTCTTCCCGAAGTCCTCGCTCCCTTTGAGGATAACAATGTCGGAGTAGTCGCAACTAAGAAGCGAGTTCGTCGTACTACGCCTGGAATTTGGTCTTGGGAGTCCATCGTCAATTTCATCGCTTGCAACTACCTCCAGCGCCATAACTGGGAACTTCGAACTTCTAACGCCATCGATGGGGGTGTCTTTGTCGTTTCCGGCCGCACAGCAGCTTATCGCACTGAATTTATCAACGACGCTGATTTGCTTCAAAAGTTTTGTCATGAAAAGTTCTTTTTCGGTCTCCTCGGTGGTGATGGACTTGGACCTGATGACGACAATTTTCTTACTCGCGAAGCTATCAAGAAGAAGTGGCTTATCTTCTTCCGGGACTCTGACGATGCGACTATTGAAACGACTCTTGGAGAGTGGCCCAAGTTCAAGGATCAACTTATGCGCTGGGCTCGTACTACTGTCCGCAGCAACCCAGTCATGCTCCGCGATCCAATCTTTCTCTTCCGCTATCCCTGGACTGCCTTCATGGTATACTGGGCGGCTTTGTTCAACTTTGCACTCCTCTGGGACACTGCGCTGATCTTCACTCTCTTCATGAGTAAGTATGGTGGCATGGCTGACATTGCACTTCTTCTCATCTTTATGTTCTGGAGCAAGGTCGTCAAGCTGATTCCGCATTTTCTCAAGTATCCCCAGGACTTTCCTCTAATGGTTTGTCAGATTGTGTTTGGGTATCTGCACAGCTTTATCAAGCTCTGGGCATTGATTACTTTTTGGGATTGTGGTTGGAGTGGACGCGATTTGGAGGGTGTTGGACAGGCTGAGCTTGATACTCGGTTTACTTGGATTAACCAGATGACACATCAGTGGGGTCAGTGAGTGTGTATAGCTAACCGGTGAGTAAGTAACCGCGATAGGAGTTGGTCTTGTTTGATACCGACTGGCCTGTTGATAGACTTTGAGATACCCCAGATAGATTTGACAATTGATAAGCATGTTCTTTGAGAATTGAACCGACGTGAAAGACTCTAAAACTAGTGATAGATGATAGTCTCTTTTGAGACTCAAGTAACTGACTCTAATATTCTTTCACTATAGTAAGTACTCTAGTTCTTGAAATCCGGATTCATCTCCTCCTCCAACTCATAATAAACCTGAAACTCACAATAACAAATCTCAGGATCACTCTCAACATCAAAATTAAAATCAGCCTCCTCATCCTCAATAAGCACCTTCTTGCCCCCCGCAGCATCAGCAAGCAATTGCACCCGACAGCTATTCTCCATAGAAGTATACAGCCAAGCAGCTTCATCCACCGTTTGACCAACTGTCAGAATGCCATGGTTCCTAAGAATGCAGCCTTTACCCTTGGGTCCCATTGCTGCGGCTATGCGCTCTCCTTCTTCACTGCCCAGCACGACACCACCATAGGCGTCATACACGCTGTGCGCGTCTCCTCGGAATTTACAAGCATCCTGAGTAAGCATCTCTAGTCTTTTTCCAAAGACAGAGTACGCTTTGCCGTAGATACTGTGTGAATGACAAATAGCATGTACATCCTCTCTAGCCTTGTGAATACTAGCATGGATCAAGAAGCCCGCCGAGTTCGGTGGTCGTGTTCTATTCCCGCCAATGACTTCTCCATCTAGATTGACAAGAATCATATCGCTGACTTTTAACAAGCCGAAATGTCTGCCTAGAGGATTCGTCCAGAAGGCATTGGGAAATTCGGGATCGCGGACGGAAATGTGTCCGCTCATGCCTTCGACGTAGCCTTCACGATGCCAGTGGCGGAATGCGGCGGCTAGATGTTCGAGTTGCCATTTGCGGTGAGATGAAAAGTCTGGATGTTTGGGGATTCCTTGGAGGACGACTGAGCCGTGGGACATAGCTTGCAGAGGGGTTTTGTCTTTGAGTTCATGGCCGTGGGAGGACGTCTTTGGCTGGATAGCCATGGTGGTCTCGGGTTGGATTGCAGTTGGAGCCATGATGAGTTACTTTTGTGATAGTGATGAAATGAGTTTGATGATTGTTGAGAAAGTGAATGAAGTCTTCTTTATACCCTATGCACGCTGTGTCATGAAAAAGGCGCCCTCTAAATACCGTTTAGCCTCGTCTTGTCATGCGGGGAAATGACTTATACCCGGTGCTTATCATAAAGCGGGACCGGATAACATCCGGTTGGGGTATCATTGCGATTTGCTCTTAGAAGGCGTCAACAATATTGATCATTTTTTAATAAAGGAATGCTTGTTATCATAAGGCTCCGCTGTCTCTTTTTGTTTTCCCTATCGCGCCGTTGCCAAGGCGGACCAACTCGGCTATGAACCGGCTCAACTCTTGCACAGAGTCAAGGTCGAAATCCGTTAATTGGGGGTGCTGGAAGAGTGTGACTGATGATGCGAGAATATTAAGGTCGGCTTGTGCTACTTCGTCCAGTGGATGGATCAATATGTTCAGGAACAGAGCAAGCGCTGCTAGAGGTATATAATACACAAGATGTCTGTTCAAGTTAGCATCAGTAAAATTGTACAAAAGAACAACTAACCCAAAGACATCTTGTTCCAACAAATTCTCCTCTTTGCACATCCGCAGCGTGGTCCGACTTGCCTCCAGTGTCAAATCACTACTCGAATGATAAACGCTGTGCAAGTCATCAGGTAAGCTCTCATCAGCCGCATAAGCAGCACCGCATCTTCGGATAGCCGTATGGATTATCGTCGTAAGATAATTATACTCTAATTGAAAATGGATTCGTCGTCGTTTGTGTAGAGACGTCATTTGTGGTTTGTCAGGCGATGGTGATAGTTTCGGTCTGAAGGCTAGAGGAATGCTTTGGCGCCATGTTTCGAGGTCGAGGTCGAGTTGACGCACATGACATAATATGGTCCCATCTTGAAGGTTTGGGCTGGCTAACGAACAGAGGAACAGACAAATGTTCTCTTTTAAAAGATTGAGTTGTAAGTCTTGAGGGAATTGGATCATGGAAGGATCTGGATGAGGTGTGTATATCGCATGCGAGTCTTGTGGTAGAGTCAAATCGCAGTAATCTCTGGTAAGAAGAGGCGGTCGACCAAAGCGAATAGAAATGTCTTTGTCCAAAACGTAGCAAAGCCAGAACAGGTTACGCATATGTTTCTGGCGATGTTGATCAGAGGGTGGGCCATGATAAAAGCAGTGAGCTTTCAAATCGTAAATCATGCGACAGGCGATAGAATGAAGTATCGCTGCATCTTCCCACTGTCCTGATAAACTTCTGTAAATGTGCTAAATCGTCAGTAGCAGCAGACGAAAAATGGTCAAATATCTTACTAGCATGAGTGCCGTTTGCAAATTTTCGACTGTCCCTTCTTGTGAGCTTTGTGTCAGATAGCTCTGTGCTTTGTTGGCATAAGTGTCACCCTCGAAAGAATTCTCATCGGTGCTCTGGAACTTGGAACACAAAGCCACCGCAGCTAGAACAAAGGTCTCCGTTGTTCCGTGCCTATGCAGTGTTTGGGGATTGTAAGCCGATTCAACAGTCTCTCCGATTGTTGCAGGGTCTATAATGGGATATATAGATGACCACTCCGAATACATGAAAGAGCTGAGCAACTCTTCCACTATCTGCCGCTCAGGCAATGCTAGCCTCGGATGAGATACATGATCAGAATGCTGTGTTCCGAAAAGGCGAAAGTTGTTCAACTCTGGTCTTTCACCAATCTTGGATGCCATCCAATCGACACCTTTCTCAGAGAAGATCGGGACGCCTTTGAAATACCAATATTGACCGAAACATAGGTCATTCTTTACCTGCCTCACAGATTGATAGGGTTGGGGTGTAAGTGAGGGAGAGCTGGCTTGAGCTGTTTCGGTGGTAGCTGACGACAAGGGCGTGATCTGGTTATTAAAGGCCGGTGATACTTCAACCGACGAACGAAGTTGCTGAACAGTCTTCTCAAGCTCCGTGACTCGACGTGTAAGCGCTTGTACGTGAGTTATAAGTGTACCTCTACCAAGGTGTCAGTTATACGATTACTCAGGACGAAGGAATAGTTACAGGTCTTCTGGTCTCTTCCTCTGTGACTCTCGCGTAACAGCACACTCCAAGTTATGATCCGCACACCACTCGCATGGTAAATTGGGATCGGGTTTTATGCATTGGATCTTGACTGTTAGTAACGATTGGCTACTGATGAAGTGATAAGGGAAGGTTACCTTGCGTCTGAAGCACACGTCACAGGCCCTTTTGACAGGCATTTTGTAGTAGCATTTGCAGAAGATGGTGACACAGTAATAACGGAGGGTCGGAGTCCGGGTGGTATTTAACAGGGACCTGAGCTAACTTCACCCTAGACCGTAGTAAGACAAGTGTCTCACTGAGTAGCCAACGTCATTGGTGCAAAGGGCCACGGAGTCCGAAAGCCGCTGACATACGAGACACTACTGCAGGACCTCTTCCAATTTGGCCAATCATGTTTTTGAGATGACTGGCGCAGCTGTCAAACTTCATTCCGAGAACTTCATGACCCAAACATCACCCAACCGCTCATTATCCTCCCCAAGACCACCATGGACGACAGCCTCGTTTTCTGTGACATCAGCATCGAACCATCCTCTCGCAGCAGGTCCATCACCTGTCTCTACCCTCTGCCAGATAGCTTCCTCGAGATCGAAAGCCCAGACATCAGAGAGCATTTTTCCAGCACCGGCGTGGCCTAGAGAACTTGGGTCTCTTTCACCAAACATAGTGAGTAGGTAGGAGTTGTTGTTGAGTGATATAGGAAGAAGGGTTGAGACACTTCTTGATTCGGGGCCTTCCTTGCCATCCGGTTTGAACGTGGTGGTCGACCACGAACAATCGTTGATGTCGAAGATGTCCAGTGCACCGCCCTGCTCTGTCTTCCCATCAAACCCATTCATACGATAGATCTTTCCATCCAGAAATGCGATTGATGCTCCACCTCTAGCAGGCCCAGGCGCAGAAGGCAACTCCGTCCAAGACTTCTTCTCAACGTCAAAGGCCCAGAGATCGCTCAGTCTACCCTGTTCGGGACATCCAGAGTGGATATAGATCTTATCAACGCCATCGGATGTGATACAATGGTAGCTTCGACCCGCGGGCGAGGATGCTGACGGATTAGTAGGAGTGATGGGATCCCATGTATTGGTGGTTGTATCGTAGCACCACAAAGAGCCGGATTCTTCAATTGGCTTCATCTCCAGCCCGCCGCGGCCGGAGAAGAGATATAGCTTTGAACCAATTGTTGTGCTTGGGGAGCCGACGCGTGGAGTTGGTGCATTGGAAGGTGTTGAGAGGGTTTGGGCAATATCTTGGCTAGTGTTAGTGAGAGTGGTGATAAGGGGAGTGATGTTTACCTTCAGAGCTTTTCAGACTAACAATATCGACTCTGTTATCAACCGGTTCTCGAGGGAGCAATTCTCCACCGAAGATGAAAGCTTTCTGGTTGACGATAGAAACAGCTTGAGATGAACGGCTGAGCCGTTTGCTTGAAGTAACAAGACTCCAGCTAGCAGATAATTTCTTTGTTGAAGCCATGTTGCGTTAACTTGGATTCATAGAGTGAAAGAATAACGGGCAACCGAATGCATCGATAGCTCTGAAAGGGATGTCATATAAATGATATATAGGTTTACAACTACTATCTATCCATCAAGGTATCGGAGTCCGAACGCCGCTGACAGGATAGATATATGGGTCTATTCCTGCGGACTGCATATCAGATAAGATTAGATTAAGCGTCGTATCGGTTTAGACTAATGCTTATAGAAGACCTCTCCTAAGATCTCCTGAAATCATGAGATATATTCTAAAAGATTTCCTACGTTGAGTCAATTCGGTGAATGAGTCACTGAAGTCAGTATCTTCAGCTGTGACATTAAACGCTACAGCCAATCAGATATACGTAAATATGCTGACTGTCAGTCTCTAACCAATCAGAGAGACTCTTTGTGATGTCATGCTCTTCTCCGCTGTCAGACAATAAAGGTTCGAAGTCAACTACATTATTTCGCTGTTATACTCCGGTCTTCAACTTCATCACTATCTCTCACTCAATTCTTGATTATGACTCAGTCCACTCCGTCCTTCGACAAAGTCTTCGCTGGAACCCTCTGTGATCTACAAGTCCCCAAAAGCATCAAATTCTCACCCAACGGCGAAAAGATAGTGTACTCAACTTCTCTGTCAGGCGGTCAACGAAAGGGCAAGAACCATGTATCGACATTATGGCTCGCGACGAACGAAGCCGATTCCTCTCGGAAATTGACATCGGGGAAATACAACGACAGCAACCCAACCTGGCACCCACAAGATAATACTCGTATCGCCTTCTTATCTGATAGGGCTAAGCCAGGCGAAAGTTCTGCTATTTGGCTGCTTTCTCTAGAGGGAGGCGATCCACTTCCTCTGACAAAGGAAGATAACGAGCAGGATATCGACTCATATACTTTTTCTCCTGATGGAAAGACAATTGCGTATGTTTCGCCTGATGAAAAAGAGAAAGGCGAGGACAATGACGAAGATGAAAAGCCCGAGGTCTGGGGCGAAAAGTGGAACTATGCTAAACTTAGGCTTTTGGACGTAGAGACCCTTGAGACTAGGGTCCTCGTTGGTGAAGTGCACATTGGAGAGATCGCTTGGAGCCCTGATGGGCAATTTTTGGTCTTCTTCAGTACTCAGAACCCCCATATCGAAGAGGCGATGTTGACGGGCACTTCGATTTCAACCGTTGATGTGGGAACCGGCGAGGTCATGCATCTCTGTACGGTCATGAACGAGCCTTATAATTTAATTTGGGCGCCCGATGGCAAGATCTACTTTATCACAGGTATGTTCAGGATAGCGAGGGTTAATCATGGTTTTGATCAGTTCTAACATCATCACAGGCACACCGTCAGATAAAGACTCTGGAGGAAGAGCAGTATATTCAATCGACCCAGCGGCCTCAACTACTAAGTTCACTCGCGTTGCATACGGCCTCAGAGATGATGCCGACGATATGCGGATCGCGAATGATAAGATATACGTAAACCGCCAACGTAAAGACAAGAGTCTCATCAGCAGTATAGATGGTTACGAGTTTTTCACTGAGACCGAGATTTGGGCTTGGGATATCCAAATAGACCCAAAGGGCATCCCAAGACTAGCGGCTACTCTTTCGGACGTTAACACTCCTTACGAAGTCTTCATCATCGGAGATCATGACTCAAGTCGGGTCAAAGTCTCCAATCACGGCGAAGCACTTAAGGATCACTCCTTTGGCTCTTTCAACCAATTTACTTGTCAATCTTCCGATGGGGAAGTCGAATTAGATGGACTGTACCTTACCCCGACAGGAGCAGGGTCTACCGACAGCTCAGAAGGGCCAAGGAAACCAAACCAACCTCTTCCAACGATCGTCTTGATCCATGGTGGCCCAAGGGATCGCGACTGCAATAGCTTCGATACCACGTGCTTCAATTGGGCGCCTTACCTTCTTTCGAAGGGCTATGGCGTTCTTCTTCCTCAATACCGAGGCGGATCAGGTAGGGGTAAGCACTTCGCCATGTACAGCATCGGTGGGCAAGGCAAATATGACTATGAGGATATAGTCACTATCACAGACGCTGCTATCAAGAAAGGTTTTGCCGACCCGAAAAAACTCATGGTCGGAGGATGGAGTCAAGGCGGTCTCCTAACATACCTCTGCAGCGTGCGCAACGGTGACCACGATCTAGGATGGCGCTTCAAAGCCGCAATCGCAGGCGCTGGAGTTGTCGATATAGAAAGTCTTGCAATAACAGCCGATCTCGGCTCGACCTATGAGGTTGAACTCGCAGGGGGTCATACGATCTGGACACTGCCACATGACGATACAAGGAATCGCCAGGGTAGTGCCATTTGGGAGGTATTCGCCGCGGTGGAACGATCTCGTCGTGAAGGGAAACCTGTTATTCCGCCTATGTTGATTTTGCACGGTGAGAAGGATGAACGATGCCCGTTTTCGCAGGCCGAGGGATTTAGAAGAGCTTTACGACATTATGATCTAAAGTGCGAATTTGTGAAATATCCTGGTGAGGGACACGGGATTGAGAGGCAGTCTTATTGGCTTGATATGCTTGAGAGAGTCGGGCGATGGTGCGATCTGTATATTGGAGACTCGGAAACACCATTGTCCATCCGATAAACGACGGACGATAGCTAATGAAGTCGTGGTCTTAGCTGAGTCTTAGTCTAACGACATAAGAGGAGCATAGGAGGTAAATAAGAGGCGAAACACTTTAGTAGTTTCATGCAAGTTTTGATAAATTGCGAGGTTGTTGATCCTCTAGCAGCTGAAAGCTCAGTGGGACTGACATGACTATAACAATTTAAAAATAGATCGATACCAAAAAGACCACAGAGGTAGAAAAGTCAACAAAACATAGTCTCTAGACTTTTACTATACTCACCTTTCGGGATTTGAAAGATATATTGAAAATAAAATAGTTTATTCCCCGTTGGTAACATTACATAAAGAATCGGGCTATTTATTGTTTATCTTGAAATCTTTCGAGAATGATCATCTCATACAGGGTAGTTGGATCGCTGAAGAATTACAAATCATAGCCCCACCTCGCCCAAATTGCTCTAGTGTCTACGGATCGATATTTACCGATACGGTAAATGCTATCATTGGTCGATAAAGCTTCAGATCGTCAAGTGGAACCGGTAAATGCCTCGGCACGGGAAATGCCACACTCCATAATGACGATTGTCACGGACTGATATAAGAGCCCGTGAAGCTGATATAAAAAGCTCTGACTTGCCAAGCTCAACAACATTGACATCTCAAAACTGATATTCAACCCACCCAAATCATATCAACTCATTTGACCTAAGTACCCGTCACCATGGGCCTCACAGTTCACCACCTCCAAGTCTCCCAATCCGAGCGCATCCCCTGGCTCTGCGAAGAACTCAACATTCCCTACGACCTAAAACTCTACAAACGCTCCCCTCTCCTCGCACCACCAGAGTTCAAAGCCTTGCACCCCATGGGCGCAGCCCCCGTCATTCAAGATGACAATCTCACCCTTGCCGAGAGCGCCGCTTGCGTAGAGTACATCTCGCAAAAATACGCTTCCGGCAAACTCTTCGTCCCACCATCCTCCCCAGCATACGCAGACTTTCTCTACTGGTGGCACTTTACACCCGGCACACTCTTTCCCGCGCTGGGAAGAATCATGTTAATCCAATCCGCCAAATTACCGGATGACATGCCCGCTGTGCAGTTTGGAAAAAAGCGATACAACCAAGCGTTGAAGATGTTGGATGATAGACTTGCCAAGAGCGAGTGGCTTGCCGGTGAAGAGTTTAGTGTTGCGGATATCATGGTTGTGTTTCCGCTTACTACTATGAGATACTTTTCGCCGTATAGTCTGGAGGGATTTGATAATGTTTTGAAGTACTTGGAACGCGTTACAGGACGGGAGGCGTATAAGAGGGCTATGGAGAAGATTGATCCGGGTATGGAGGTTGCTATCGGGGCGAATCCACCCAAGAGCCCTTTTAAGCTGTAGTGCTTGAATTGTTTAAGGATTGGTGGAAAGTATGTAGATCTCTCAACTCAAGTTACATCTCAATTAAATAAATGAAAACCTTCAGTATCACGACATATCCATCACTCAGCCTCGATAACCTTCTCATCAACAGTCACCAACCGAGGAATGCTATGTTTAAACACATTCCCCGGATCATGCTGTTCCTTCAGTCCTAAAAGCGTCTCATAATGCTGTCCATAAACCTTCTTCAAATCCTCCCCATGCTCACCCAACGCAACATACGATCCCTCAAGCACATTCTCCTCATCTTCCCTCTCCAACGCCGCTTTGACCTCACGACCCCACTTCACCCTCTCCTCAGCCACATCAGCATCTTTAGTAAGAGCGTAAATCTCAAGCATATGATGCCTTGCTCTGGTTCCAAAGACTGATTTGACAGGTTCTTGAGCTGAGAGGAGGGTGTGGTGTGCAAACATTGCGCCACCACCAGGAGCATTTGTAGCGTATTTGCTTAAGATGGAGATAGTCTTTGGGGTAAGTGTCGTGAAACTAACTGTAAAGACACGGCCGAAGAAGGGACCTGCGAAGGCTTTGTCGTTCTTTGCCAATAGTTCGGCCATGGTGGTTTCTTCCGTGGATTGCATTATGCAAGGTGCTGCACTTGAGACGTTTTTGATCCACGAATGTCCTTCTTCTTTGTTGCCGTGCCAAGTTGCTCCGACCATAAGAACAGTTCCCAGGTTTGGAATTTCGAGGATGAAGGGCTGGAGTTGAAGTTCAGCCGGGAGTTTGTTTCCTGCGAGGAGATTCTCGTAGTAGTCGGTGTAGGCGGATAGAGTCGAAGGTAGGTCACTTGATTCAAAGATTATAGTCGATGATAGAATCTAAACTGTTAGCAGTGGCTTTGAAAGACAGGAGGTGACTTACCGTGCTGATAGGATAGACCTTGATAGTCAACTCCACGATAATCCCGACTGATCCGCCACCACCGCGAATACCAACCAGCATCTCTTCATCAGCATCCCGTATCTCCCCATTCGCAGTAACAACCTTTGCACCGATAATTTGATCAACGCCCATTCCATAATGTGATGTCAAAGGCCCGTAGCCACCGAGGGTAGCCCATCCGGTATATCCGACCGAAGCAATAGTCCCGCTAATCAATCAGCAACAACCCATAGACAAAGAAAGGTACTTACACAGGCGTAGCCAATCCTTCTTTACCTAGAATCTCACAAAGCCCCCCACTCAAGATTCCACCACCGACTTTAGCAGTCTGTTTATCATCTGAGATAGTTACGTGCTTTATATCTCGCATGTCGATGACTAGCGCTCCTTGGACCAGGGTCCGGGAAGCACAGTCATGACCGCCAGTTCGGATACAGAAGCCGATGTTGTTTTTGAGGCAGAATTGAAGAATTGAGGCGACGTCGGCTGCAGTTTGGGGTCTGACAGTTGCCAGAGTTTGAACGGGTTTGTCGATGAAGCATTCTTGGAGTTTTGTATACTCTGGATGATCGGGGTGGTACACTTTGGCTTGGGTGTTGGAGAGGTGAGCTTCTAGCTCTGTTAACACATTTGAAGAATTCATTATTGACGAATGTACAGAATGATCAACGAAATCTCGGAGGGTTATGGAAGAGTCTTTATACAAGCTGACCTCTGGTATCCACGGAAGCTGACGGCTGACAAAAGACCACACCAATTGTAACACAAAAATATTCCGAGAGGTCCTGCAATTACCATTCTGAATGTCCAATCATCCATTCATCAATACGCCGAAGTCTTATAAAAGGCGGGGCTATGCAGATCTACTTAGTGCTTACCTTACGTCGAAGGAAAACACCGAGAATGTCAATACGCCGCGCTTCGTACACCTTTCCGCTTGTATTATTGTATCAACTCAAAATTAATTACTGTCTGTGGGTAATCTTATCACATCTTAGCCCAGGGAGCTTTGTGCTAGCGCCAACACAATGGAGCCTGAAGAACAAATGAGCGCCTATATGCCAAGAGCTTTAGGGGTGTTTCCCTCCACTTTTGGCGCTAGAATTCCGTCTTACCGCCCTGTAACCCCTTGAATAAATTCATGCATTTTTCTTTACCGTCTAGAACACTCATGGTGCCTTAGTTACAATGCAACTCTTCCGATCTTTCCCAGTGTTGATAATCTGGTTTCTTTGGGGATACCGATTATCATTAGCAGAAAGACTTTTCCAATTTCAGGCACTGGATGTCTCCTCTCTTAATAAGGCCAGCGATGCCTGCATTGCAATCTTTACCGTTAACGCCCCATGCCCATCCATAGCTGATTTCGGATTGAACACAGATCTTTCTCTCGATATAATCGAGTCGAAAGACCTTTTACAAAGCCCGTTACTAAGTAGCTTGATCAGCTTACAGGACTCACTGAAGGGACAATGCGGCTCAAAAGCCACCTATAAACCTTACTCTGACGGTTCTATTTGGAAGCCCACATATGCCATGGAGGAAGCAATTGTGGACGTTGCACGCGCGTATATGAGTAAAGGGTCAGTCCGGAATCAAAAATCACTCGCCATATCTAGTCATGCTAACAGGAATCACAAACAATAGAGTCCAGGAGTACTGCGACATGTGGTTCCAGATGCCGCCCAGGCGTGTAGCTTTTTGCGACGAATGCTACAAGATCATCTTGTGGGAAGATACTCCATCGTCGCTATCAGAAGACACTTCGAGATGTGATATAGAACAGTCCACAAACCCATACCAGCCACTGGTGATCTTATCGTAAGTGGTCTTTGAACAGAAAAGTCAAAGTTAGGTTCATACATACTGACATTAACAAGTCCAATTTGCAGCCCAAATCATACTATCAAAGCTGGCGACTTGTTCCTCAGTTTTAACAATTATATACGTGCTGAGTAAGAATCAACGCCTGAGCCAAAAGAACTCACTGAAACGCTAATATGGCATGTTTCTTAGAGATGTGCCAGATATCCTTATAGCCAATGGTACTCGCACGGACTGTTGGGATTATCTCTGGTGGGACGAGGAGAAAGCGGGCAGCCCTCCTGACTGCCGTGATGTAATAGACCGGTACGAACTAGACTCCGAACAATTCTTTCTCTGCAATCCCAGTTTGGAGAAGAATGTGACGGTGGAAGGGACACCTACTTATGACTTTCCTTGTACGATTTCCCCATATGTTTCGTACTGCATACATCTCGAGAGCCCAACACCCACGCTGAAGTAATTTCTCGTCTATCCATTTCCTCGAGCTGGAGGCGAAATTGCGAACTGCGTGCGGTGGTTTAGGGCATACTTTCCTTGCAGTACCCAGTTGCGTCACAGCAGAATGAGTATGGATTTGATGTATAGGTACAATCCTTCTCCCAAGCCGAATTGCAGCGGATATACTCTGGGTACGTATTATTGTCACGAGACACTGGAAGACTACTACGGTCACAGTGGCCGTGCTGAAGTCGATCTGGATGCGCCTTTCCCTTGTTCGGTGCCAACGACTGTTGATGTAAGCGACTGCACGGCACAACAGACTGATATAAGCACAGATGGTCGTTCCGGGGAGTAGGACCTATTAGCTAGTTGTAACGAATATATACATATTACCACGAATAACAAAGACTTGAAAAATAGGGAATACAGTCAGCGATTGGCTTCTGGTGAATTCCACAGCAAGCCAGATCTTATAGTAAAGCAGTCCGGATAAACCCTCGGGGCGCTATGGTGCCAAGACAAAATGAGATGACACTAACGATAACTTCGAAAGGCCTACATTATCCACCGCCTTTACTTGTGCAAACCCCCCAAGACCTTAAATATTCTTCGCTATGGCTCGCAGTTACCACAACAAAGCACCGCTGGGAACTCACTATCGGACGGCAACAGGTCCTCGAACCGTCCCATTAACCGACCCAAACGGAGTGAACCTGCCAAGGCCGATCGATATCGGAGATGCCAACGTTTTTTCAAGAGATGACAATTTGGTCATTTTTGTTCCTAGCTCCCGAAACTGGGAAGACGAGGAAGCTGACGACCCTGATGCGCCATGGCGGCAGGATGCCGAGGGTTATGCTTGCTTGAAAACCTCATTTGCTTATGATGTAATTGGTCAAGAGCATCCAGCGATAGTCCCGTAGGTGTTTTCAAATCAATCGGTCTACATGAAACAGGGTGCTTGGTCAAGACGCTTGGACAGGTCTTCCTATTCTTCGAAAGCCGACATATGGCTCACTTTGGAATTTCCTTGAAGAATACGAGGAAAAGGTTTACAGTGCTCAAGCTGGAGCCACATGGCCCAACACTCGCATCAAGCCAGAGTTCCTACCCCTAGCCTACCAGTGGAGTCTGCAGATGCTGTCAGCCCTTGTGCTGATGCATTCTCACAATATAGCTTATGGAGAAATCATCGAGTCGAGCTGCTGGTTATCCGCAGAGTCCCTGGACATGTCACTAGCAGGATTCTATGGCTCAGAATTCCATGATCCATCAACCGGCTGGAACTGCCCTGGGTGGTTCTTCACCAGCAACGAGTTTTCACCAAAGTCACTCCCGCCATCTAGGAGTGTACGTAAGCCAACACTTAAAACCGACATGTTTATGTTTGGTAGACTGGTGTACTGTATCATGACATCTTATATGCCAGGCGAGGGAATGGGCCGAGAAGGAGGAGAAACCGCACGATTGTTGAGAGATGAGGACTGGATGCCTGATCTCGAGGATGAGTTTCTGGGGAGCATTCTTCATAAATGCTGGCGGTTCGACTATGACAACATTGAAGAGTTGCAAAGCGAAGTTGGAGCTCTTATTGAATCTCACGGATGGTTAATTGTGGAGGATAAATTGGAGGGGTTGGATATAGAGCGTATCAAGACGCTGCTTGGAGGTGGTCTTACTGAAAGTGAGCACTGACCAGACTTTATTTATGCTATACTTCCTCCTTGCCTACCTGCGAATTGATCATAAAAGGATTGTTCAAAAAGCAAAAAGTGAGGTTCTGCCCGGGCTCGAACCGGGGACCTTCTCGGTGTTAACGAGATGTCATGACCAACTAGACCACAGTACCAAGCTGTTTTGTTGAAGACTCCAAGATGCAAATGGACATCAAACAACAAGCAAGTGGAGACTCCCATAGCAAAGTAGAAGGTTGAAGCGACCTACACCCGATTTATCCCCGACGCGGAAACTCCCCATGCAAACCGCCAATTGCAGTGTCGGCAACTTTCATGGCGTTCTCCGCCGAGTCCCATGCTAGCTTGTTTCAGCAGGTCGATGCGACTGTGAGATATTAGCGTTACACAGGAATCTGGATTTGGGCAGTTTAAGCACTCGGCTTTACGAGATCACCAGTAATTCAACATGGGAATGTCGTTGACAGGTCCCCGCTTTGAACCCCAATGTTCAATGTTACGTAGTGTCTTTGGATGGTTATTAACTATACTCCCTCCTCTAACTCTACTGTTCCCCATTCCTCGATAAATCACGCTTGAAAACATGTCTTCCACCACTGTTTTGACAAATGGTCGGTTCCTCAATCACGACCACACCTCTCACCAAGGATGCGTGATAACCCAAAACTCCAAGATAACATACATTGGCCCAGAGAACGATGATGAAGTCAAAAAGGCAAAATCCAATGGCGCAGAAGTTGTGAATTTTAACAATAAAGTCGTCCTCCCAGGTTTCATCGACAGCCACGTCCATCTCCTCTTCTTCGGCCTTTCAGAACAGAAACTCGATCTAGGAGGCTGCAGATCATTGGAAGAAATTCGAAAGAGAATATCAGCTTTTGCGAAAAAGAACCCTGATTTACCGCATATCCTTTGTCGAGGATGGCTTCAATCTGCCACTGGTGGGATTGCATTGGCGAGTATGATCGATGATATTGATCCGAGGCCTATGTTCATTGATGCGAATGATCTTCATTCTGCGTGGTGTAATACCGCTGCTTTGAAGAAGTTACCCATCGAAGAAATGAGACAAAAGGTACCGGAATTCGTTACGTGGGATGAAGATGGGAATCCTACTGGCCTTCTAGCTGAAGCTGCTGTGACGGCGTATATTTGGCCGTTCCTAATTCAGTCTCTCTCCATGGATGAGAAACTGCAAGCACTTGAGCAAGCTATAGACGCATACTCGGCCGAAGGATATACTGGAGTCATCGACATGGCAATGGACTCAACAGCATGGGAAGCACTCCAACTACTCCGAGAGAAAAAGGGTATAAATCTTCACATCGCAGCACATTGGTTCGTACCCTATGAAGCAGGTCAAACTCTTCTCGACGCCCAAATCCAGGAAGCTATCGAGATGCACACCAAATTTCATCCCTCCAAATCACCAGACTTCTGCATCGTGGGCGTAAAGCTCATTTGCGATGGTGTAGTAGATGGATGTACAGCTGCATTATCCTATCCCTACGGCGAATCAACGGACCTTGTTCAACCACTTTGGCCACCGGAGGCTATGAACAGAGCTCTTGGTCAGATTACGAAGGCTGGTATGCAGTGTGCTATACATGCTATTGGCGATGTAGCCGTTACGCAGGCTATTGAAGCTATAGCGAGTACCAATAACCCAACCGCTCGTCATCGAATCGAGCATTTAGAAATGGCTACACCGGAGGATGCTTCAAGGCTGGGAGGATTGGGTATAACGGCCTCCATCCAACCCGTTCACAGCGATCCAGCAATTTTAGAAGGCTACGCGAAACTCGTCAAACCAGAACCATGGGAAAATGCATTCCCTTACAAAGAATGTATCGACGGTCACGCAAACGTTGCAATTGGTACAGACGCACCTACAGCACGACATCTACCTTTCCCGAATTTGTATAATGCTACGACGAGAAAGTCTGCGCTGGAGCCTGAGAGGAAGGATATTACGAATGAGAAGAGTAAGTTGAGCTTGTTGCAGGCTATTACTGGTGCTACGTATGGAGCTGCGTATTCGAGATTTGCGGAACGTTGGACGGGGAGGTTGGAGGTTGGTCTGAGGGCGGATTTCATGGTTTTGAAGGATGTGCTTAGTGTTGACGGGCTACTGGATATTAAGGTGGAGGAGACTTGGTTTGGAGGGAAGAGGGTCTATACGAAGGGTGGTTAAGTCAAGTGATAGTGTCTAGATTCAATCATACACATATAAATAGAATCCAGCTACAGGCTAACGATAGCAAGATATTGTAAAGCAACTGTCCAAAACATTATCAAATACCATATGCTTACTGAACGTGAACCTCTGACCTATGGTAAGTTCAAAGAAGAACAATTAGACTTTCGAAGTGTAACAACCTGCCTATCGTTTTCTTTGCGTGAACCTTGTGTCGATACAACCCCCACCTGCTTAAGCTTTTTAGCCTTGAATAAACCTCTGCGTGCTGGCTTCTTTTCTTTGTCTCCTTCATCTGAAAAATAAAGCATACCACAGCTTGCAAGTCCTTCACCGGGCTCCATCTGACTATCGATACGCACCTGATCATCAAAATGGCTACTACACCAAGGCTCGAGGAATGGATACGCCTTAGCAAGGAATGACTCTCAAACAGATCCATCATGCGCGAGTACATTGACTCTCTGTTCATCCGTCCACGGAGCTTCTCACCGCCAGAAGATCTTGGTCCAGGCGTCAACATCGAGCGCGTTGATATCGACGAATGGCCACTGTACCGCATTTCAACCTCGTCAGCCACGGCCGGTCCTGCCTTGCTGTACTGCCAGGGTGGCGACTTTGTCAACGAAATCGTGCCGCAGCATTACAAAATCGCCGCGCAAATTGCAAGGGATACTGGACTGGCCGTTGAAATTCCGATTTACCCTCTTGTTTTTCGGGGTAAAGCTACCTTTGAGTGGGTTGTTGAAGGATTATGCGATATCACGACTCAAACCAACATCGTTAGCATCGCGGGTGACTCCGTTGGGGGTACCCTTGCCATGTTGACGATGCAGAGTCTCATCCGCAAACAGCCACATGTCGCATCACGTGTCAAATCGCTTATTCTGATATCACCCTTGCTGGACTGTACCCTCAATCACCCCCAGACCAGAAAGTTGGAGGCTATCGACCCATGGCTCGGCGTTGATGGTTTGCGCCTGGCTTCGGAGGAATTCAGTGGGGGCTTGGAGCTTTCTGATCCCAATAAGACAGTGCCACCATGGTTGCAGGAACAGAAGGTTCAAGACCAAGCTACTGGGACTGGCTGCTAGATCAAGGTTTTCTAGTGAGCGAGTCCAGCAACGTTTACAGATGCAACAACACATTGAGAAATGATCAACGTTGCTCTCAAACACTGGGGCATAGTCTATTTATGGTTTGTTGTTGACCCATCTGGAGTGAAGATGCCCGCGGTATTGTGGTATAGGGATCATGGTCGGCACCCCTAGATTAGGAACACTAGCTTCTTGCTAATATCTAATTATTCTTACCTCGGCACAACCTTGACATCAACAGCTGTGAAGCTCACATCCGTCACATCCCGAGCTCCACGTTTAGCATACCAGCCTGTTTCACCAATTATGGAGATTTTGAGAAGACGTATGTAACATCCTCCAATGGCGCAGATACTTCATAATTCTACAAGACCAACCCTCAATATCTTATTTGACTGCATAGAGTATCCACTTCTATGCTATTCATAAATCCTAGATGTTCTCCGCAGCGTTTTGCAACACGGTCACTATCTTTGACCTGAATGCCTGCTGTAGTTTGAGGTCCTCCTTTGTATCATCGACTATGTCAAACCTCCCTTCCAAACATCTGAGTACGATGTCTTTGTACTTATCCCCCATCTTAGAGCCCAGTCGTTTCTCCGCTTGACATACCAATCTATCTTTTATCGCCTGTGGGTCACGAACCTTCGCAAAGCCGTGTTTCTCCAGACTGGTCGCTGGTTGCCAAAGACCTGTTCCTGTTATTATTCATGGGCGTGGAGAGAGATGATGGATGGACAACAAACCAATTTCGAGCAGAACTACACCGAGAGCATAGATGTCATGGATCTTGCTGAACACCTGAGTTGGCTTCAGCTGTCGATTGGGGTGTCTGTAGATGTTTCGTCCCAAGCATGTATCCTCAACCCCATGAGAGAAGTAGGCTTCTGGTCGGCTGAACTCGAAGCCGAATATCCAAGGCTCGGTAAGGTCTAGACAATCCTCTTCGCTCGAAGTACTGTTTTCTTTGCGAAAGAAGATTATGTTTTCACTTCGAAAGCTTTCGTGAACCTATTGACTGTCAATAATCGTGGGGCTTGTTCACCAAGGTTGCTAGCAATTCATATAGCACCTACCCATTTGACTAGTTGAAGCTGCGAAATGCATTTCGCCAGCTTTGATGCAAGGTGGAACCTTTGGCTCAACGAAGGGGTTGGGATCTTATCAGACTGTAGTGCGTCCAGCAGCCGCATAGGCAGAGGCTCCACTGTCTGTGGTATGTTAAAAAGATAGACAACCCTGTTCTGTTGCATCTGCTTGACCCAGCCCTGACATTTCGGGGTGCGAAAGAGAGCCTCTTTCGGTTGGTGAAGGAGGTTTGCAAGTCTATCAACCAAATCCCGCGTGCGATTATCAATGTCAACTGGCACTGGCGACTCCGCAGCGTACGACCTGTACTCAGCCATGATATTCTGGCCCTTCCAGGTCAGTACACCAAAGCACTCCGCAAGCGGTTCGACGTTGAGGAGCTCTTGACGCAATTCTAGTTCGTCTATCTCCAGAGTTTGCGGAATCGGACTTTTCTGGCCAGTAGCTAGCTGAAGTCTGGCATCAGCATCAAAACCCAGTTTTTGAGAGTTGATATTGGTCTCGAGCCTCTTGAGATGTCTCAGGTCAACGCCTATAGAGGTACCAAGGCACCATAGCTTGAGATTCTCATGTATTCGGTCATTTGAGTCAGCAAAGTCTCGAATAATAGCCTCCACTCGTTTCTTATCCATCAGAGACCATCGAAATCGCTGAAACGATCCTGGTCTCCGAGTAGGTGTATCTCCCAGGACTAACGAGTCATGACTAGGAGTTGGTGAGACTCCTAGATATGCATTCAAAGGACGATTAAGGATGCGATAGGCTCGGTCCAAGACATCTGAAGCTTGCTCAAGCTGTACTCGGATCTCCTCCTGAATGTCCACGTCGAACTGTTCGAAAAGACATTGACCGTCATAGATCTATCTCCCCAAATTAATATCTGAATGTCGGAGCATAGAGATGATACGCACGTTTGATGACTCGAAAAGGAGCATCTGAAGTGCTCTGGTCTGGTTGCTCTCGTCTTTAATTTTGTGCTCCATGCTCCTAGAGTCCTGGGCCAGGTCAGTAACATAATTCTAGGTCAAGCTAGATGTCTTACATTGTCAAAGTCTCTGAAATTGGCGATAAGATCGGCTGTCCGGTCACCCAATTTCCATAGTTGATCGAAGACCGCAATTGTCAACCCCGCAACGCTTAGAGGATCCATCATTCAATGTCTTCCGTCCGACCAATATCGGGATGGATTGTGAGAATTCGTTCAAAACCCCTAAGGTGGGTGGTGCTTGTTTCTGACTGACTGTGCATTTGTCCGTAAGGCAGATTCGTTACCCCGCTTAGGCGTACAATGGTTGGTGATGACCTTGATTTGATAGGCGGTGCGTATGACATGGGGGTTGAAAACGCCACATATTGATATTTTTGGCTCAATACGTGATTACGGGTGCTCGTCCGCTTGGAATATCGTTCCTGCGAATCCCGAGACATGAAGTCCCCTCTTCTGCTGCCTCGACTGAGGATGGGGCGAAAAGCAACATACCCAGGTTTAACCGCGTCTTCTCTTCCCCGCTATGAACGCGGTATCATAAGACCATGGAACACACAGCTCCATCGATCACATCGGATCTCAGTTGGAACACTCGAATCTCAAGAACGTCAGTGTCCAGCCTCAGCTGTGCCCGATTCTCCGCCGAAGAAAGTCTTTCCTCCCATGGTCTTCAAGATGTAATAAGGACTCTGCAGACCCTGAGTCTCCCACATTACCGTCTAGGAGAGCTGGTCAGAGAAGAGAGACTTGGACAGGGGGAGACCTATGTTGTCGAGAGATGTGTTGATAAAAAGGGGGATGCTCTCGCCGTAAAGCACCTCAAGGTCAGTACTGAAGCCGACGACGCAGCCTTGCGTCAACGATTACGTTCTGTTATCTTGGAGATCAAAATCATGAGACATGGCCCTCTACGAGCACACCCCAACATACTTGACGTTCGGGGATATGGCTGGAATACACCGCGAGGTCTCATCGTGCCGTATATACTCGTCGACTACGCCCCACTTGGCACCATGAGGGAGTATATCAGCAGAGTCAAGCCACCGCTTAGCCACATCGAAATCCTCGCGGGGGATGTAGCGTCTGGCCTTTCGATCTTGCACACATGCGGAATTATTCACGGCGACATGAAATTGGATAATGTGTTGGTATTCCCAGACTGGGATCGCCCAGCGAAGGCAATAGCGAAAATCGCTGATTTTGGACACGCTGTGATTCTGAGCGACAAGAGCTGTGAAGGAAACCGTTCATCAGTTAGATACAAAGGGACTTCGATGTGAGATCTCTATTCCTGTGTCAAGACTACCACTTGCCATGCTAACTTTTGCCATCAGGTACAATGCACCAGAAGTCCATACACAGGACGATTACCCAATCGATCAGCAAGACCTTTTCAAATGCGATATGTGGGCTTTTGGGCTTCTGATCTGGGAGGCGTGTATTGAAGGGGATGAGTATCTGTGTTATCTCACAAAGCACGACCTTATTATGAATGAGGCAAACAGCCGAAGCGCTATCAATTGGCAATATCTTCTCAACTACGCTAAATCTGCAGTGCAAGGGCCTTCTATCGGTCCAGCCATGTTTCTGAGGGCGACTCTTCATATGACGTTACAGGATATGGCTATGAAACGTGTGACGGATGCGCGAACTATTCCTATAGGCACTCAATGGAAGTATGAAACCCATCTTTCTCGCCTTACACACTCATATATCTGACATTACAGTTCGAAACCTCTATTAGATCTTCAATCAGACATGGCATTACACTTGGAATCACCAACACCAACATACGAGGCATGTGAAGTTCTCAGTCTTTTGAAAAGGAGGAATTCTCTGACAAGATCCGCAGATGTTTCGTTTAGATAGCGGTCGTGAAATTACTTGGCAACACCAGCAGCAAATCTTTCACGAACTCACGCAAACCCATTCTAAGCGACTAATTAAAGAGATGGCTCCTGTGCTATGGCAAATTGCATTGTGTCACCATTTTGGCTTCGGAACTCCGCCAAACCAGGAAGAGGCCTTCCGCTACGGCCAAATGGCTGCATCGCAGGGCCATGAGATTGCGAAGGTCTTTGGATGTCTTCTTGATTTCAAGAGCGACTCACCGCAGGAACTCCAGAAACCATACGTATCGCAGATTTTGACACTGCTTTCTTCCGAGCCTGATCATTCAGCAGACATGCCCGACCTTGTCAAAGCATGCTTCCAAGGAGATTATATAGGCTTGTGTCATATTCTAGCACGGGGCGCATCTGTCTTCTCCTCAACAACTGATGGTTGCACATTGTATCACTGGTTATTTGTGTTCCAAGAAAGGCAGCTCCTCCAGGATATCTTCGAAAGACTGTCATCGAAATTGGATAACAACTCAAAATACTTAACCTTCGACAATAACATATCTCTGGAAGATGTTCATAAGGGCTCAATGGAGGAAGCAACACATCTTTGCGAAGCTGTCAACTATCCATGTACCACAATACGTTATGTACACAGTCAGTGGCCTACGCAGCTTTTAGGGACTCCTCTTGCCATCGCCATTTCATTGAACTCCCTTGGAACTGTCGAGGTACTTCTCAACCTTGGTGCGGATCCTTTCGTACCAGTATACGATAGCACGCAGTTCTCGGATGCTGATCCTCGATCACATTGGACCGCTTTTCATATCGCAGCAAAATACCACTGCAATGACATCTTACTTCATCTAGCGGGGAGCACGAACCAGGAAAAGCAACGATGCCTTGCACCTCTGGCCTGTGCCCTAAGCTTCTCGTCCAATCTAGAGCGTCTTGCAATGCACAGGTCACATCATAGGAAACAATTACGTTTGACGATAGCTACTATACAGAAGATACAAACTCTTGACGTGGCAACAGATACCGGCATGACAGCTCTTATGCAAGCCATCGACTTTCAAGACATCGCTGTCGTATCTGAATTACTCGAAGCTGATCCACACCTTGCCCATTCTCCGTTTCATCAGCCAGTCAACGACAATGTTTTCAACCTACCAATCCATTTCGCCACTCAAATCGGTGCTCGACGTGACGACGATAAAGCACTGTTGATTCCGCAGCTTCTTGTAAACTATGCCGACTTTTTCAAGAGCGAGGCACCAGTGCCCCGGGATAGCATGGGAAGGACGCCCCTTCACTTTGCAGTGACTGGCTCCTCAAACAAAGTCAGTGACTGGATTCTTAACCAGCGAAAAGGCCTCCTCTATGTCGAGGACAACTTCGGAAAAGTTCCGTTACACTATTGCGCGTCAGTCTCCAATTGTGAATTGTTGCTTTCACAAGGAGCTACCATCAACCACACCGACAAATATGGCATCACTGCCCTACACCTGGCATGTTACAATGGGTCTACAGAACTGGTTCGGTGTTTGCTTCGTGGTAGCCCTGACCTATCCCTACATAACAACCAATATGGTACCCCACTACATTGTGGCGTTCTCAATGGATCAGTCGATACCGTGATATGTCTTCTGGAAGCTGGAGCCATGGTCAATGGTGTTGACCCGAATGGTAACACCGCCACGCATGTTGCAGCAAGGCTAGAGCGTCATAGCATTCTTCGAATATTTATGCAATACGGGGCTGATGTTCATGTACCCAACCGAAACAAAAGAACTGCTAAGATCATTGCTGCTAATGCTGGGAACATTAGTATCTTGCGTATCCTAGAGCGCGGTTGGGAAACCAAGGTTGACCAGGAAATCCTGAGGCTTGACAGAAACCTCTATCATCTACCACAGGCCATGGGGTCTGACGGGAAGCACATCCCAGACTTTGCTTGGGAGGCCAGTGGCGTCCCAACAGACAATGGGTCTTCCAACAAGGTCAAATACAATACAGACAAGACGGCGGATGAGATCAAACGTGCAGATCAGTCAGAAACACGTTTTGATCAGAAGCAGGCACTTAACACCCTTGAGGAATTCTGGAGTCATTGGCTCCCGTCACTGCTTCCATATGATGATTCGATGTCTCGGATAAAGAGATTAGCCTCAATGACTCACACCGGAAAGCTTTGGCAACCCGGTTATGCCTCCCGCTTGATCGAGTTCTGGGCACGAACTGTCCTTGTTATAGCCGAGATCTTACAAAATCACACATCAACTGAAGTAATAACAGCCGTTGGTCAACTAGCCAACAGCGGCGAAATGGACAAGTCAATCGGTTGCATGGACATCTCCGGATCCAGGAAGGCGGCAGTCTGGATAGCGACTGAATTTTTGGCTGTTTCAATCGAAGCGACTAAGCCCCGTGAGGTGTATCCAGGAAGGAAGAGGATCGATTTCAAAGACATGATTTACTGCGAGCTCCGGATGAACTACAAAAGGTCTTGCGATGAGAATAAGCTATTAAGCTTCTTTCCCGAACTCAATTTCTTTCATGAAGCTAATACCGAAGAGGAGTCACAGCATACACGTTCCGACTCTACATCCTTCAAGCCAGAGGCCATGCATGACTCGGACTATTTAGGGGCGTTTCTTATGGCGGGAGGCTGGAACGATTATGAAGGCGTGGAGCCGAAGTCCTCCCCTGGTTCAAGAGCCAGTGAATGAGGCTTTGGTAGCCCCGTGTAGGCAGAATAATTATGATGACTTATCCAAAGCGTCACTCTGTTCAAAATCCGTATTTGATGGAGACTTCAAATCAGGAGACTAGCATAAGCTGGCTGCTGGACAGCATCAGACATGAATAGCCCTCAAACTCACGTCATCGTTTCATTAAGGTAGCAAAAGGTCAGAATAACGATAGATTGATTACCTATGGTTTTTTATTTAACTGCGATTTTCAATTGACTTTGGCAATTCAGAACCAGCAGTCAGAACGGCTGCATGCGCCACACGTCACTTCTGAATAGCTTCATTTCCGAAAGACCACCATTAGTGACGGGGCAGAATCCAGCAAACAACATTTTCTCATAAGAGTGACAGTATGCAAGTTCTCTCATTTGTTGAGCTGCTTCAGAAAGAATCTAATCTCTCAGATATTTAAAGAAACCCCTGCCCAAAAGGCCGTCCAAAGTGGTTCAAGCCCACATTGGTAACCGTCGCATTAACATCCCCCTGATAATCACCCTTCTGCGTCGTAAAATCCTCAATGACGCCCAAATCCTTAATCCTTCCCAACAACTTCTCCACAACCCTGTACCCAGCACCAGCACTATACCCAGGCAACTCATGGCCCGCAAGCTGAACCTCATAGTACGTCAACCCACGCTCATAACCCCACTGTCCCACAATACCCGCCTCACTGAGTCTTCCGCCGTTGAACTCAGGATGGAAGGGCACGTAGAACTGTTTGTCCTGGGGGTAGGATTGGTAGCCTTGTTTGCCGTTCCATGTTACGTTCTGGAGGGCGAAGAGTGTGCCGTTGGGGGGAAGGATGAAGTCTAGACGGCCTACGCCGATGATGGTGTTGTTGGTGTGCTCAATTACACGCTTGAGAACGTCGTTTTGAGCGGGTGCGAGGGAGGTGTCGCTGCGGGTGGAGTTGGGATTGCCGAAGCCGAAGACGTTGTTGCGGGTGCATTGGTACCATGATGTGTTCACGGGGGCGTGAAGAGCTTTCTTGACGTCTGTGCGGTTGAAGTAGACTTCAGCGTCAGGAGGAGAGTAGTCGCCCTAAAAGGTCAGTATGGCATGAGAGCTAATGGTGGATAAAACTTACAGAGTTGACAATGCCCAGCTGACTATATGTCTTGGGACAAGTATCAGTGATGTGGTAGATGTTGAAACAAGGGTTCTGGTCCAGAGCGGCCGAGTATGCCCAGTCAAACATATCACAAGTATAGTTCTTGGTATCCAGATAAGGATCGGGCAGAACCTCGAATTTACCCTCAGGAGGAGGGAAAGTACCGTATTTCTCAAGATACTTGTCAAAACCACAATGCTCATGAGTCCAGCGCAGGGCATTCATTGCCGTCTCATTAAGATAGAACAACTTGTCCCAGTACTCGACAAACGGCAGAATAACAGCCTGTTGTTGCAGAGTAGCGTCACCGATGATAGGATCATTGATAGCTACACCGCCAAGCTTGTAGTAATCGTCATCATCAGCAGTGATGAACGCATCGGCGATGTAAGGTACGTAGAAACCTGCGTAGGATTCTCCGGTGATGTATGTGGTGAAACCTTTCATGTCAAAGGTGTCGATGAAGTTTTTCCAGAAGCCGGCGAATTGGAGACCGAGTTCTACTTCGTTTGTGATGTTCGGTTTGCCTTGGGAGTAGCCTACTCCGACGGGCTGTTCGATCCAGATGACGTTGGTTCTGAGATGTTAGTGAGGGCAATGGTGGTGGTAGTTTTGGGGACTTACAGGTTTGTCCAGCTGTAGGAGTTTGGTACGGGGGAAAGAGTACCCTGCTGCCACAAGAAAGGACCATTCTCGGTCAAAAGACCACTAAGAGAACTACATCCAGGACCACCATTCAACCTAAAGAGTCAGCCAGATCCTCTTCCACTTGACAATCTCACTTACCAAATGAGCACCTCCTCAGAGGCATTGACATTAGTACTAGGAAAGAACCAAAAGAACAATTCCCTCTCCTCATCAGGATCCTGCGAGATGGGCAAAAGTCCAGCATAAGACTCTCCGACGTCAAAGTCGACCTCAGGAATAGCACTCCCGTTAACAGCAAACTTTTCAGAATTCTTGTTCAAGAATTTAGACTTTGCTCGCTTGTTAAGGTGGGGTTGAGGAACGGGAGCGCGTTTCTGATCATAGTGTCGAGGGTGAGGACGGTTGAAGGCTTTGATGGCGCCTTGGTTGAAGCCTGCCTCGACAAAGGTGCCGAGGGCTAGGACGCTGGTGATTAAACTGAACCGCATTTTGGAGGATTACGGGTAGAGTGGTCATGAGAATACAAGTCAAGTGGCTGGTAGGTCTATTATATATAGAGTTGTAGAGTAAGTGCATGGAAATTGTGTCATTGGACTGATGTCACAGCACGGAAACACGGCACTTTGCATGCTCGCGTAAATGTCCAAACATTAATCGGTATAGAGAAAAACGGTTCGAACGGCATCTTGCAAGATCCTTGCACCATGACTATCTTACCCTGAGCTGCCCCAAGCGGAACAGCGTTCAAAAGTTCCGTCCCGGTAAGACGGATGATCTTTGAATTGGAGATGTTCAGACCTTCCTATCCTGGTGAGCTTTCTCCAACTCTTGTTTTTAGCCCACTGTAAGATACAAGGATTGGCTCTTATCGGCACTGGATCTTTTGTGATTACTTGGAACAGGTTTAGCGGCGAGTTGTAGATCGGCAGTTTTTGACCCCTCATCGCGGACCTTTTGACATGTACCCTTGTTCTCTTCAAGTCGTCATCGTTTTTTTATTTACTGCGCTACAAAAGGACGAACCGAGGCTGTGTATCTTATCTCGTTACAGTATCTTCTCTGCGCTGGACCCATTTTGTGGCACCAATTGAACAAGTCTAGACTGATAACCCTTGTGGCACATTCCAGTTGGAGGCTATAGCCGATGTCGTTATTACCGGCGAGCCGCATACCAGCGTCACAGAAACGTAGGACAACCACAGTACCAACTCAAGTCCAAGTTCAACAGGAATAAGATAAAATGTGTCACGATGCCTCCCCGCATGAGACCACGCGTTCGGGGTCACCCGTCAAATAAACTTCTTTAGCAATTTAGTATCTTTGAAGAAGCCACACCTTGGATCTCAGGGCGTTTTTAGCGCCCGCCGTCTTCATCTACACGCGACGCAGCCTGTAATTTACCCAACCCAGATGTGGCGGTCTCGGAGGACTCGGTTAGCCATGTCGTCATACCACGAGTAACGTTCCGTTGTGTTTGAGTTAAGGTTATTGAGCCAACGGTACTTTCCCAGCCTTTGGAGTTTCTGGAATTGAGATTTGGGATTTTTTGGCGCCCGTGAGAGTTTCCTTCTTGGTGAACGCGACAGTTGAGGCTTTTGCTTGAAGCGTTGGGAAGATCAATCGTGACGAGACACTAGTATAAGAAACATCGCGCCATTTTATGTCAGTAATCTATTAGAGTTAATCAACACGTTGAGAGTTTATTGGGTGTTTCAGTGATCGGATGAACTTGTTGGCCAATGCAACTGCCGTTCATGCGTCTTTAATGAGTGATGTTTCAGGACCCTTGTCCTTACCCTGGAGTCATAGACTCTGAACTGGAACAACAACAAATATTGACTTGAGTGTCAAACTGGATCAAAAGACTCAATATTAGAGCGGGTAAAACTACGAACTAGATTAAGTTGACTTGGAAATAATATAGCTGCAGTGTGTCACTAGTCTTTCTCGAATCGCCTGTGGTGAACTCATATCACCTCAGAACACCCTTATTAATTGAACAGAGGGCCGTTGAGCAAAAGTGACACATGATAAAGTAGAATACAATTTTAACAAGGTCCAACTTAGACCTGAGCATGCTGGACTCTTTCCTCTTTATTAAAAGATTCAGGTACGATCGCGCATAGCCATGCCAAAAATATCCTCGCCTCCAATCTTACGTCATCATACAACAGTTACCTATGAATAAACTGTGCAGTATTGCATCAGCTTATGATCCTGCGAATTTGTTTGGGTTCCTAAGATGACCGGAAATAAGTATTTGGTAAAACACAAGCTAAAGAAGTGAACTCTGGATTCTTTGCGGTCTTGCCCTTTTACAGAGTATCAGCCAAGATCCCTTCAATTCACTAGTATCCGATCCATGCCAATATAATATGTGGACTATTCGTTTTCTTATACCGGTTGTAGCTTGGGGATTATTTCAAGCTACGCAAACTCTGACATCCGTCTTAGCAGCTGCCTTCGATACGACAATCGATCCACATGAGCAATCTCTCACCGTCTCTCTCTGCTACCTACAAGAGCAAGTACGAACCCACCCGAAAAACAGCGGAGTCTGGCCAAAAAACCCAAACTCCATCTCCCTCTTCGACGTCCTTGGTCTTGACCAGTATAAGAAACCGTTTCGCCTAGTTCGCGAATCGTTATACCTCGATGGAAAGAATGGGAAGGAGGCGAAAGAAACCCTTGAGAACAAAGCCGTGGATTGAAATGAGGCTAAAAAGATACTTGGAAATGAAGATATGTCTGATAAAGAGGTGTCAGAGTTTCTGAGAACTAGAGTTAACCAGACTGCGTTGATGGAAGTGCCAGACCATGGTATTGATAGGTTAATGGATATGGCAATGAGGTATATGGTGCATGCTGTATTGTCTGATGAGGATAGGAGGGCTGTGTACCAGGTCAAGTTCCTCCCTCGACTGAAACGTGGACGTGGAGAGCTGCAGATGTTCTGTCAGGGTGTCATGGAAAAGTCTTATAGCCATGACGAGCTGTAATGTACAGACGCATGAACGGCGGGCATGAGCACAATTGAACCCAAAGGGTTTCTATACAAGGAACTCATATTGTGCCACGGAAACGTCTAGCTCTAGATACAACATAAAACGTCTAATACGATCAAACCTCCCCATAACTAATAGAAATCTCATCGGTCCTCCGAATTCCACCGGCATCATTCATATTCTTCGTATCTCTCAAAATACTCTCATCACTAGCATTCGCACCATACGCAATAACGGTCTGATGCGACGGCCCAGCATTTGCACCAGTTCCAGTGCCATTCTTACTACTGTGATTTCCGTACTTCTTGAGATTGTAGCTACTTCCTCCGGTAGAGCTGTCACCCTTACTACCGTAGCGGAAGCGGACGTAGAGTGGACGGAGGACGGGGATGGAGGAGCACATTATCGTGGCGGTGCTTTCGGTGGCGGACCAGATGAGCATGTCGACTGTGTCGTCTGGGGATGTTAGTAGAGTATTGTATGGGATGGGTGGGAGACGTACAGATGAATTCGTCTGCGTTGAGACTGTCGAGCGCGACGGTTCTGACGATACCGCAAATACCGGCACTAAAGTCGTCAGTCTGACGTAGACTTGTATAAGGGGACGACTTACAAGATACCGAGACTCAAACCACAAGCAACAGTGATCTTCTCCTTGCGCTTCATGTTGAGTTCCCAGATAACAAACCAAGGGAAAATAGCAAAGAAGAAGTCGGCAACAACAAACCAAGCTACTCGATTAGCACAAACCTGCAAGTAGACAGGAATACTTACATCCAACAGTCAACCCAACTTTAGAAAAGTCAATCCAACAATACCCATCAATCCTCTTATCCCAGGTACTTTCCACGGGATCACACTGCACCACAACAACGACACCTGCAAAAAGGGTAATGCCCACTGTGCCTGCCAAAAAGGTCCATATAGCCCATTTCTGTATCTTGTTCCGTATAATTCGGAGAAGAAAGATACCGACAGCGCATTTTCCCACGCCAATAAGAAGAATCCCGCTTACTTGGGCGTATACTTCCATTTCGACGGCTTTGAAGTATGCATCGGGATTGCCGACGTCTGCGAAGAGACGGCCGACGCCGAATTCCGTTCCGGCGGATACGAACGAGGAGTAGATTATCTGGAGTATCTGTGAAGCCTTTGGTCAATATCGGTTTGACGACTGATGATTGGGGTTGAGTATATACCAGGGCTAGAAGGACGAGATAGTCATCTGCTCCAATTGAATGCAGGATTCGAGAGCGAGTGTAAAGTCGAAGGGATACGAAGAACATGCAAACGACTACCTGTGCCCAAAGAACACCATTGAGCATGGGCCCGTGGCCACCGTAGTAACTAGTCATTGTTACACAGGACAAAAGAATGAACAATACAGCCCAGGCCAGGTTGTCTCCAGGCAGACCCCGACCTTATTACTTTTATCAGAGTACCCGGTATCTGTGTCATATCGCAAAGCATTCTCGGGGACTTCCCCTGATCAACAGAAAAGATCATGCTGTTAATGATCGCCACCAACATCGACAAAGAAAAAGAAAGCAACAAAACATTGGCGTGTTTGAGCCGCGTTATAAAAAAGTGACAGGTTCGTTAGGTAGAAATTTCACGGGTTGGAGAACTGAGACTTGCGACTGATGGATTTTATCCTTGTTGGTGGCTTGGTCGTTGGCTGTTGAAGAAAAGGGTACGGGTTGGCTGCCCGAGTCTTTCCATTGCACTATAAGAAAGAGAAAAGCAATAAGAGAACCGGCAATATTTCCCAGGTGTTAAGAACAATCATTTTGAGCACTGTGTATTCTGGTTCATAGATTTTATTCTTGGCTTTTGTTATTGCGTCCATCAGAGAGGAAAGTTATGTGAGCCAACAATCAGAAAGCATTGACCAGTAGGTAAAGATCCGGAGGTCGGGAAATAATCCGGAACTGCAGCCAAGATCCTGCAATGAAGATCGGAATGCAGCGGGTGGTATCATACGACAAATGCCATTTTCGTTTTCGTAATAGCGCTTTGACAACACATCTTGGCGAAGAAAAACGATAACGTCTCTTCTCTCTTATCTTGTCTCTCGTCTCGTTCCTCATTTCCCCGCACCGGGCTGTAAGCGAGGTCTCGCTTATGCTGTTTGCCCAGCAAGCAAAAGCAATTATAAGCCATCACCAACAAAAAACATGCACCTTTGAGGGAAAAGGCTGCACTGTGGAAATAACAGTTGCGTGATATGAGCCGTTGCTTTAATTTAATTTGCTTAGTTTATGTTGATCTGTGATGGCCAATAATTCATATGTATGTTGGGTCTTAGTTTGGTGATCAGACTGTACTGCGCCGCAAAGACCCAGCTTCCGGGGAGATGAGATGCTGAAATGTGGTCAGCGCTAGACTCAGCCATTACGGGACACTCATTAGCGGCTTGACTCTTAAGATCTTCACTCTTAATTAAGCTTACCGTTCTCTGGCATGCTCAAAGAACATCAAGATTGATAGCCTCAGGATTATCATGCGATCGACCGAATTGCAGCAACGGGCGCAGAGATATAGTTTGCTTACCATTCCAAGGATCTGGACCCCGGTGAATTGTCTTGTCCTGCATTGGCTCGACCAACACTTTGATGCGACTGATGACCAACAAATGATAGATCATAGAGACATCAACTCAAGGTGGCGGGGACAAGATTATTCACTCTGCAACTCTCCATTGACCACCAAGCAGGGATGAGGATCTCATCTCTGACCCACTACTGGAAGGGTCTTGATCCTGCGTCGGGGGAGATGTTGCAGCGATATATGCAGGACCTAGGATGCTGCATCTGTGATGAATCGCTGTTGAGGGGAAGATATTTGATGCAATTATACTTATATTAGGGCGCACCTTCACCAAGACTCTCATTATGTCAGATCCTCCCAATCCCGATAACCCTTTCCTCACTACATCCAAGATGGGTTCAATCGGCCCCTCGACCAACTTTCTTATCACAACCCTCGACAGCATCCATCCATCTCAATTCAACGGCGATGAAGTCGAGCGTCTCCAAGTCCGAGCTGCAGCTCGACGCCTTCTAGCTAGACTGGAAACACCAAATGAGCGAGCCTGGGGTTTTGACTTTGAACAACCCGCTGTCAATGCCGCTATCCAGACCTGTATCAACTTGGGTCTCTGGAAGGCCTGGACAGAGAGCGGCGGTGGAAAGAAGACTATTGATGAGTTGGTCAAATTGACAGGACAGGGCGTTGAGTCCAACCTTCTGCGTAACTGACCTTTGTTGGTGGTGACGGGCTTTGTACTGATGCTTTTTAGGCCGTTTGTTCCGTATCATGGCCGCCTTCTACGTCGTGGAAGAAACGGGCGTAGATACCTTCAGACCGACGCCCTTCTCCCACGCCATAGGCGACGAAAACACCGGAATTCGAGGCTCCCTCGAAGCAGGGTCCGTAACACCGCTCTAAACGTCTAATACTCGACTAATAATCCCAGATCCCAAACCTACATATCCGCCGCCCTCAACCTCCCCAAATATCTCGCCAAAAACAATTACAGAGAGCCCACGGCAGCAACCCAAAGCAACTTTGCGGACAACGACCCTGAAGGTCTAAACTACTTCGACCGCCTTCAAAAGACTCCAGAGTATTATGAAGCTTTTACAGGTCACATGGAGACTTGGACTGCGTGGAAGACACCTTGGACCAATATCTATGATGTTAACAAGTTACTCGACGGAGCTGATTTGAGTAAGCCGCTTGTTGTGGATGTTGGTGGGAATACGGGTATTGATATACAGCGAGTTCTTGAGGCTAAGCCGGATTTACCGGGTGGTGCGCTTGTGTTGCAGGATTTGAAGGTTATTCTTGAGAAGGTTGATTTGGACGATAGAATTGTTGTTCAGGTTCATGATTTCTTTACGCCTCAACCTGTGACTGGTAAGTCTTCCTCCATTCTCATCAGTAACGATTAACTGACCATACCAGGTGCTCGCGCATACTTCATGCACGCCGTCTTCCATGACTGGCCCGACGCTGAAGCTACAACAATCCTCTCACACACACGAAATGCCATGACGAAGGGCTACTCCAAGTTATTCATTTATGATATAGTCATTCCGTCTACAGGAGCTAGTATCAGCCAGACGACCATGGATGTCCAGATGATGTCTCTTCTTTCATCTGCTGAAAGGACGAAGAGTCAGTGGGAAAATCTTTTGACAGGTGCGGGGTTCAGGATTGCTAAGTTTTGGCCGGATCCGCAGCAGTATGAGATGTTGATTGAGGCTGAGGTTGCTTAAATATGGCCTCGTGGCATAGTTGGTATTTAGATAAGAATTTGGGGTCTAGACCATAAGACACTCATGATGACCAACGACGTCTCTTTATTGTGCCACCGCCCTACATCGCTGATTACTCCATTCATCCGCCGTCGCATGACTCGGTGTAATAATCCCCCGAAATGCCACATGACTCTATTCTGCTGCCTACATTTATGTTAACACATCAATCGATTTCTCTTCATAACGGCCACTCTCCGCCAACTGCAATTCGTACCCTAACAACTCTCGTATATTCGTACCAACATGACAACCCCAACCAAGACCGTCGCCTTCTTCGGCGCAAGCACAGGCATCGGCCTCGCAGCTCTCAAACTCACACTTGCCGCAGGCCACACTTGCATTGCGCTATGTCGCGTCCCCTCTAAACTCGAGGCTCTCCACAAAGAATATCCCGCGCTTCGTGTCGTGGAGGGCAACGCGCATGACTCCAAGGCCGTCAGCGACTGTCTCATCAAATCCGACGGCACACTGGTCGACGAGATCCTCTTCTCGATCGGCGGCAAACCTGTTCCGTGGAGCTTAACCATCGACGACCCAAAGGTCTGCGAAGTCGGCATAACCGTGCTTCTTGAATCCATCACGCAACTTCGGAACCAAGGCAAGAGTGGAAAACCTCTCATAATCGCTGTCTCGACGACTGGAACATCGAGTTTCGGTCGTGACTATCCCCTGGTCATGTACCCAATCTACAATTTCGCAATCGCAGTTGCGCGCGACGATAAAATCGTCATGACAGATAAGCTAGCTTCCAGTGGTGAAGACTTTTGTGTCGTGCGAGCTAGTTTGCTGGTTGATGGCGAGAGCGATACAGCTGTGAGAGTTGGTATTGAGGATCCTGAGAAAGGGAGGGAGAAGAAAGAGATTGGGTACACGATTTCCAGGGAGGATGCTGGCAAGTGGATTGCTGAGAACCTCATTTTGGGGAGGAAGGGGGAGTATGTCAATAAGATTGTGTCAATCACTTGGTGATGGCATGGTAAGGTTATTCTGAGTGGATTTGGGAACTTGGGAACAGGGTAACTAGGACATGGACTGAGTGTAAAATTGGTAGTTGGAGGTAACTGTACGTTGAACGATGGAGTTGTCTTCTTTCCCGAGTTGTCTTCTTTCCCTATCTGTCAAACTAATACATGCTTAGCCGATGGTGGCACATCATCTCAGGCCCTCCTGGAACCAACATGACTATTCCCATCCTCTACAACAACAAGTGCTGCGATTGCTTATTCATGTGTCCGAGACTTGAAACCCCTCAGTCTCCCATACAGATTGCGAAACCCTATACCTTATCTCAACTCCAGAACCAGCAAATGCCTCTTTGACCTTCTCTTCTCGCCCTTCCTCCCTCCTTGCGGCAGCTGCCAGCTCCTTGTCATACTCCAACGTTTGCCTTGCAGCATCCTCGGCCATCCAAGGATGATATGTCCACTGTCCAAAACGGCGTCTATGCCTCTTGCGTCTATATTGGTGGAAATGAGCCTTGATTTCCACGAACTCAAGCGCAGGGAAGTCACCAGCTACTACACGCTTGCCAAGGTATAAGATGCAGTCCAAACACTGGACCCCGCCAAAGTGTCTGGGGAAGTATATGGTCAATCTTCGGATCGTTATGGGAAGTAGATCTGCTAGATACGTGGCTCCCTCTGCTTTGCGGTTGAGTTGGTGGTAGCAATATACGCATTGGCTGATTTCCAGGGTTTCGAGATGTATAAACCGTTGGAGCTGGTCTGGCGCAATAACTATCTCTTCTGATGTAAAACGGCCCTCATAGTGTGGCAAAAGACTCTTTTCCCCATAGTCAAGTGTTAGATGTTGAAGAGTTGACTGTACCGGTCGCAACATGGCAATGAGTCTCCGTGGAGGATGCTCGTCTCCCCAGAAGTCGGCTGGACGACTGGCATAAACAAATCTCTCTAGTCTCGTTGTTGCAGTGAGGACTTTGCCGACAACGTTGATATCGTTATCCTCGTCACTATACAACGGCCAATCTAACAACCGGATCTCGATAAGGACCTCAAGCGCAGGACGGCAAACGTCTACATCAAATGGAATTCCGATCTGATAATACTTCTCGAAATAACCGCGCATGACCAAGACCTCGATCTTGGGACTTAGTGCGAGGATCCGAGGGATATCAAAAAGGGCTAAATCCGAATCAGGTTCGTTATAGCACCTGTGCGATTTTGTGTAGAACCCGAGGTATCTTAAGCTTGCAAGATACGGGACTCTTCCCAATTGACACGAGATAATTGTAAATAAATCGAAAGTTGTTCTAAACGATCTGTTCTGCCAGTCGGTGTTGCGGTCGTGATCAGGAAGACGTATTTTCAGCCTTTCAACAGTGGAGCAAAGTGTAAGCGCAAGACTCATTTCAGCGGTCTCGGGACGTCCGTCGTATATAGACTGAACGACTGGACCATAAACGCCAAGTTTTGATGCCGCATCTTCCACATAAGAATAGCCAGAGCTGCTTCGCCTAGAAAGAGGCAGGACGAGACTCTTCGTAAATTCTGTCAAATCCCGGTAACAATTGAACATGTTGAATATGTACTTTGCCCCGTGGGATTGTCTAATAGAGTGGAAAAGGATAGGCAGTGCGAGTGAGCGGCATAGTTTGTTGGTTCCGGTTAACCTAATAAAGTCTCCAACAGCAACCTTGGGGACATCGGTCATATATTCGGACCATGCCTTGTTCCATTCCTCGTTAGGCGGACGGAATAGTTGGTAGAATATCAAGTCGATGATTTCGACGGGAAGGTTTTCAAAATGCGCCATGACAGTATGCTCCAACCGCGGCCTCTTTGTACGATGAGTTCCAAATGTTGTGGTAGGTGGGTGATGTCGGTGAAAGGAAGATAAAATGACTTCAGAGTAACGCGACTGCTACGTGTGATAGCTGTAGTGCTTCTGTGATATAGATAATGTAAGTGGAAGGAAGGAAGAGCAGCTAAGAAGAAAGCAAGCAGCAAAGCGCATTTTATGCTCAACTCAAACCTTATGTCAAGGCAGAGTAAACAAAGTTCGGTTGCAGAAAAAGCGGAGGAGGAAAGGCTTTTATGGCATGTATCACAGTTACGTACCTATGACTGTGTGCAGTTTGTGGACTTGAATCTTCATTGGCGTTGGGTTCATAGCTGTGTTATTATTCGTTGTGCTAATTTAACATATACGCGTTGAGGGACCTGATTCTCGAAAGCTTAATGAAAAAAAAAGCAGTTCTGATGCTTCAAGGAAAGTGTAATTTCATTATACAAGGTTTGTCAAACATGTGTCACTCGATGTTAATCGGAAATGACTCACACAGCAGCGACTGTAGAGACAGTAAATCACAGAAGCCATCACGTGGCCAAGACTTAGGTACTTAGCCCTTATTCAGCTTTGTTTCAAACACATTCTTCTTTCTGCCTACCGGTACCGTTTACCGTTGTCTTCAGCCCAAAACCTGTACTTTACTACAACACTTGAGCCCCTAAACGACTTTTCAATCTCGGGCCTGTTAATCGTGATATCTCGTTCAGGATCATCCACAAGCGTCATCGTGCTAACAACATGATTCGGATCGTATTTTGGTGTAGCAACACGAGCGTTGATTTCGACATGTTCAAGTAAAGGAAAGTCCCCAACTACCACCCGTTGGCCAAGGTGCACGATGCAATTTCGACATCGATATCCTCCTCTGTATCTTGGAAACGATATAGTTAGTTTGCGGACGGTAGTTGGGAGCATGTCTGCGAGGTACGTGTTTCTTTCTGTCTTGCGGTTGAGTCCTTCAACTTGGTGAGGACAGTAACAGAATTGGTCGATCTCGAGAGTCTCAAGATGTGTAAATTGTTTCAGCTGACGGCTATCGATGATGATATCATGTGTATCTGGAGACTGAGGCTCTTTATCAAGTCCTCGCTCTCCAAAGTCAAGTGTCAGATGTTGCAGAGTTGACTTTACTCGCAGCAACATGTTGATAAGGTGCCGCGGAGGATACTCGCGATGGAACAAACCCAATTCCCAGTCACCGGCAAGGCCAGGTTTCTTGACACTGGAGAGATACTTGAAAGTCTTGAGTCTCTTGGTCGTAGTGAGGAACTCCTTGAGGACATAGCTGTCGGTGCTTCTTGTTGTCAAGTCCCATCCTATCATCTGTATCTCGACAAGACTTTCGAGCGCGGGACGGACTCTGGCTGCAAAGAACCAGTTTTCAAAGTTCTTGGGCTTGAAGCCGTCTCTGCCCCTCAAGATCAAGACCTCAAGTCGTGGAGCAAATTCAAGAATAAGGGGGACACCAGAGGCGACTATACCATCCGTGGGTCCAAGGCCCGTTCGTACTTCAAGGTATTTCAGAGATTGGAGGAGAGTGGGGGTACGCCGCTTGTCTGAAATTCCTTTAAACAGATAGAACGTGTTTTTGAAGGAAGCTCTGCTCCTATCAAGTGTATCAAGACGAATCTGCAATCGCTCCACTCTAGAGCAAAGTGTAAACGCCAGACTTGCCTCGATGGATGGAAGATCTTTTATCAACGCATAGTCGACAGCTTTTAGATCCGCAACCGAAAGCCTCTTAGCCGTACGCTCCATCAGACGATAGTTGTGAAGACTGCTTTTGAAGGGTAGAGATATGGCTCTTGTAAATCCAGCAAGTTCCTGATGCCAGTCGAGCATCTTGAATATGTATTTGGTTTCATGGTAGTCGTAAAAGCAGTGGAACAAAAACGGCAGGGCCATAGATCGACATCTTTTGCTGGTTCGGGACAATCTGCAGAGGGCGCCGCTATCTCTTGCAAGATATCTCGTGGGGTATTCGGGGTATATATCATTACAATGATGGCATAGGTCCTCGAGGACGGAGGTAATAATTTCGTTGGGAAGCTTTTCGAGGCGTGAAAGGGGTCTATCCTCGGTTTGCTTGTCACACATCTGGTGATAAAGATGCCCGCAATTCGTAATTTCTGACTGATGAATAGAGGGTCTTGCTGATGTTGAACAAGGAAGATACGCCGACTTCGAAGAAGTAGGCAAGATGTTTTATAACCAATACGAACTCTACTCCCAGGCAGAGAATAAGGTTTCGTGCAAGCGTCCGCCTCTTGATGCTTCAAAAAGTGTAAAGTTATCGAGGAAGAACCTTATCTCTCAATAATTCCATGATAAAGTGGCCCAGAGACGAGTGTTAGAGATCTTGTGAGACGGAAGACTATTGGACAAAGTCGGCAGGAGACTATATTGAAACTCGACTCTGCACATCACACCCGCCACAGCCTGTGCAAGACAGTACAACTATAACTAAAGACAGAACTAAACCAGAATCTCAGTGCCTGAAATTAAGCTCTGAAACAGGAAGTCTAAGCAAGCTCCGGCGCATCGTCCGTCGACGTCCAACCGAACAGCTTCAAAACACCAACCCATCCACTAACAAATAAAAGAACAACCTTCCGTCCAAATATGATACTTCTTCCAGGCAGATTGTCAAGATCAGGCAGCTGTAGATGTTAGCTCTGAAGTCGCTGTAGAAAGGCAAGTAGCCTTCCTGCTGATTGCTGCTCTTCTTGACCCAATCATACGGTCTCAACATCATCGCTTTCTCGTAGACACTGAGTTGTGCAGAGACTAGCTCATCTGCTATATCTCCATCCATTCGTGTAAATTCCAGTAATGGACCAAGTGCATCTGCGGTATCGTTGATGGCGTTATTAGCGCCCATTCCTCGTGATGGCCGCATGGGATGTATTGAATCTGCGATGAGCCAGACTCTCGGGTGCGCGATTTCCACCTCTGGCTTCTTGTTTAAGAGCTTCTGTCTCCATTCGACGGGTGTGTCGCTTTTTGCGTACCTTCATGATGTAGTCATGAGATCCTCATTATCCACTGCGTCGACTAGCTTGTGAAAGTCAGGGTGGAAACCCGCTTCGGTGAGTTTCTCTCGCATAAGGGCTTTCTTGTCAATGTCTTCTGGAAAATCCATTGATGAAGGTCCTGTTTTCCATGACATGCCCAGGAACAGTGATCCTTGTTCTTCGTCGTAGTTGATAGGTTTATCGGAGGATTGCTTGGATAGGCTATCGGGTAGATATGCAGCTGCGAAGACCATGGCCCTGGAGTTTCCAGTGTATATCGTGCCCTTCTCCAAAAGCTGGTTTGGTAAAGTCTGTAGAACTGACCATGGAAGATGACATTCTCCTAAAAAGCCGCCATGTCCTGGCTTGACTTCTGTGATAATGTTGTCGAGACCAATTTGCTTATTAGTCCTACTTCCACTTCCCTCTGCAGAGACAAGAACATCGCAATCCTCCCAAGTACCACCATCAAAATGCACTCTGACACTACTCTGTCCCATCTTTCCTTCCAAGATCTCATACTTCACATACTTCTTCCCATACACAATAGCATCCTTCTCTTGTAGTGGTTTCTGCAAAAAGTCCTCCAACCTAGTTCTTGCGATGGGAGCACTCTTCTCATAGAGAGGAACTTTACTCAGATCGATCAGAACCCTCAGGTCAGGAGGACTGAAGATGCATGGTGCGGACGATACGACACCTCCTGATTTTCCGAAGAGTGGGAGGAGCTGGGCGTACTGTTCTTTTGTGAGGCACGCTTTGAAGCCGGTAAGGGCATGGGCTCCCAGACAGATTTGGTAGTCGCCCATTGAGGAGCCTTGGGGATCGCGTTCGTAGACTGTCACTGAGATGGAGTCGGAGTTGTTAAGGAGGCCGTTTGCTAGGCAGGCGCCCGCAAGGCCACCGCCTATGATTATCACTTTGAGGGGAGCCATAATGGAGAGAATGGGAATTGTAGGTGTTGAATGTTTGAGTTGAGCCGCATGACCTCTTATCAAACTACCATCACACCCTAGTTCTAACAACTCTGCCCAGGCGTAGTAAACAATGTGTCAAAGGGAATAGTCTCACTTACACGTCCCGTGAATATATCCCAATCTGGTTTAGTGCCCCGTCGGCACAGGTCCACCGGTCGGAGCGGGCCTTCAATCATCCCCCACAGGAACCGTGGACTCCTTCGTCGGCGTCTCTCCCCGTCTCAACTGCGCAAAGCTCGCGGCAAAGGCTCTGCAAAAGCCTCTCCAAGCAATCTGTCCACACAAAGTCATCTCCAAGTCCCGCAGTAGTCTCACACGAGAGTCCGAGTCCAAAAGGCCTACACCAGTTAAATGAACAATCTTATCATCGCCGTTCTCAATCCAATCTGCTGGATCGTGAAGCTGGTCTAGCCGCACAATAGCGTGACGTGTTGTTGCTGTAGGCCTGGGTGGCGAGAGCTCGAGATAGCAATATATATAGCCCATTGATACCGTCAGGCTGAGAGCAGCGTAGCATGCCAATCGACGGGAAGAGCGTGTGGTTTTGAAGATTGATACTGCGTACCAGAGACACTGCCGCGCTTTGTTCCCGTTCTGTAAAAAGCTTCTGAACTTCTGTTTTGCGTCGAGCATTTGTTGTTTACTCGCTTGCCATCCTGTAGCAGAGTGCAGTGTCTCAACGGCAGACGTTTTAGTATGGCTAGAACATGGAAGACAGTTTCCGTTCCGTTGGATGCCGCCTTGTCAATTGATGCTTCAAGTTGAGGGTTTTCGTAGTCCGGGATCTGAGTGGTCTGGTTGTTGGTAAATGCCGATCTTAAGAGTTGCGAAGATCGGAATTGACGGGCTATGTTCTTCTCGTCAATGAACAGCTCGAGAAGAGTCATCTTTCCGATGAAGGTCGATTTCGTATCTGGCTCTGACACTGGGATTTCCTGAGCTTTTCTCCAGCTTTTTTCACTTCGGGCCTGCCACACAGCATTGGAGCAGGGCATTTGACGTGTGATATCTCTGAAGTTTAAGATAAGAGGCGATCCAAGAAAGAGGTGGCCTAAGCATTCCAATCCTGCAATACCATCAGTTATCTCGTCCTCCTTAAGGAACGTAGTATTATACCTCGTATGCATGTTGCAACACGGAGTAAACTCTCCGACTCCAGCCAATCCTGCCATTCCTGCTCGGGATCGACTTGTAGCGTCTTGTTGGCTCGCCTATCTGCCGTGATCGGATCCCAGCACATGGTCGCAAGGCTGTTTCTTTTATGCTGCAGGACGACTTTATCTTTATGCGAGCCAGAGAACATCCAAAGAACACGAAGGAGGAACACAGATTGCACAGTAGCTAAGTCGGGCTTCATCAACTTCTCTAATACCTGCAATTCCATCCGTCAGTGTAAGCCCAATAGGTTACATCCATTAACTTACTGTAACCTCCACAGCTCGAGCAAGTAAGTCGCATAACACACCGGTGTACTGGTCTGCCTCTTTAATCTCTGAGTAGTGACTCCCAACTGCTGCTATAGCTAGAAGTAAAATCCAAGGAATTTCCAAGTCTTCCACAGTGGACGGATGTAAGAAGGGGAATTTAGGGTCGAAGTACTCGAAGTAAAGCTCTACAAAGGCATGTAGAATAGGCGGCGGAAGGAAAGGCGGGTAGCCATAACACTGGCCCCTGTAGAAGACTTCCGAACCTTCAGACGCCTGCTGTGGAATATGCTGAATGCGGCCGTATATCTCAGCGCCGACCATCTCGAGACAGGCTTCTTGAGGCTCTGGGAAGGACTTGCAGGTCTTCGTATATGGTGAGCATATGGTTGTAGGTCTGAGATAACTTTGAGAAGAGCTATCGGGCCTTGGCTGAGCATGCATAGTATTCGGAACAGAAGCTGAAGGGGTTAAGAGAGGTAATGTGTCATGTTGAAAGTCGGGTACATCAAAGGTCATATCCATACCGTCCATGAACCATGGAAAAGCGAAGTTAGACATGAGAGGGTTCCCGGATCCCGATACTGTCCATTCCGGTACTCGTATCGTTGAGCAAGACATCCGTAGAGTTTTGATGCCAAGCTTAACCGTCCAACTGGGTCGAAAATGTCGCATCGACCGGTATGGTCGATATGCTGCTTGTATTTGGTGAATTTTGGTTCCATCCTTCTAAATTCATTTCACCAAAACCGGTAGTATCATCTGTCTGTACAGCGATACATTCTGAAGCTGCTGAACCCACTGGGCGGTGGATATTCACGGCATTGCGACTACCAGATGGCGTCGCAGGACTAGCCTCAGGATATCTACAGTCAATCCTTTCCCTTTACATCGTGTACAAGGTAGTCCCCTCTCGCATCTCAACTTGGACTCGGAGCATGGTAGACAAGCTTGACCAGGTTGACGAGCAGGTCTTTCGTTATGCTGAGGGCCATGTAATGAGCGATGACGAACGAGAGTATCACTATAGGGTGACGTCAGCCTGGCCAAATATCTCAGCGACATCTGTCCCTTACTTTCTTGAGAAGGGCTTCTGACAGACCTGACAGACAAACGGCTTGAGGTCCCCAGAGGGTAAAGACAAGAGTAGATTTGCCGAATGTTCTCCCACCTTGACGGCTCCTTCCGAACCACAATCGCAAGTACAACGAACATGCTTTCGCAAGGTTTGATACACAAGGCTTTTTGCATCATCCAGATAGTCCACTGGCATTGAGTTCGAAGTGGTGATTTCTTCAGTTTTTTGTTTCTTGATCCCAGCACGTTTCGTGGATCGTCGAATGTGCAGGATGGCCTTTTCTGCTTCTTCGCCATTCCCGGCAGTTATTTCAGTCAGGCCCTTGATCATATCCGCTTCACCTTGTCTGTATGAGTTTGTACAGTATATGGTATTCGCGATGCCTCTAAGACGAGGACAATAGTCATCTTTCGGCTTTTCGGGCCACTGTTAAGTGTAAGCTGCTTTCCTAGGGAAGGAACAATTTTCCTCTAACACTTACACAGCATATTCGTTCGATATCGCGTAGCAGCTTTGGCACTCTCGACAACTGATGAACTTGGTCTGAGAGGCCCTGCAAATAGTCCGCGAGGATGAATAGCTGACCACCTAGCCGACCACAGACGATACGCTGCTCCTTTTGACCTACAAAGATGGCGATTCGTGAGATCTTTTCGATGGCGTGCTGACCGAGTTCTAGAGCCTCCTCGGGGTCCATAGCTAAGCGCCAGGGCTCGGAGGGGTAAGTGAGGCTGAGTGTCTTGTGCTCAGTTTTCGTACGGTGGTCGGGTGAGGTAGCAGCTGAGAGAAAAAAATAAGTTAACCAGAATCCCACCCGACACTAAACACCCGTTCAAAGTCGAAGGAAAGGAGCGTCTAGGGTATATTAACAAAGGGGATCTGAAGGCAAGATAGTGGCCGCTGGTCCTTGCTATAAAATTAGCTGACAAGGTGATAAAAGGCTTGCACGCTTGGGCTAACCTAACTAGGTGTTCAAGAGTATGTAAATTCTCTTATTAACGCTTATATATTAGTATAAACTTTCTAGTCTATTCTTAGCTTATTAGTCTTATTAATAATAAGATAGTACTGCAGTTTAAGTTAGATTAATATTAAAATAGATATTAAATATACCTTATAATACTAATTCTTTATATAATATATTTAATAAGCAAGTACTCTAGTAAAGTAAGTACTTTAAAAATCCTAGCTATTATCTTTTAATTACTAATAAAAGTAATATAACCTATCTAATTAATCAAAATTACTTACTATACTCTTTTCTAAATACCTTTAGAACTACTTAATAAATCCTTATATTATACTTAGTTTTATTATATATACTATATTATTAAATATCTAGTCTAACTAACCTTTCTTAACTATTACTTTTTAATAACTTACCTACTACCTATATATTAATATCTATCTAATTAATTACTTATAATACTTTCTTTATAGTTATAAGATCTTCTTTCTATAGTTTAGTTTTTTTTAACTTTTAGTACTAGCTTAGCTTCTTATTTCCCTTTTAAAGGTTTTAAATCTTATTTCTTATTAAGGTAATTATATATATAGTTCTCTTTACTACCTTAGTAAAAAACTAAATAGCCTTAATAATTAACTTTAAAGAGCTATTATAATACCTTTTAATTTAACTCTTAAGGTATTTAGTTTAAGATTAAGCCTTATTTACTATTATTAAGGTCTTTAAAGTCTAAGGAAAGGAAGGTTTACTTATCTTTTTAGAAGGTAATAGGGTTTATAGCTATATATTAAGCTTTAAGATAATATAATTAAAGTTAAAAGGAGTAAGCCTAGCTTCTTTAAAGCCTTCTTATATATTACTTTTAGTAAAAGTAGCTTTAAAAGTAATATAAAAAGTATTAAAAAACTTAGTCTTAGAAATATAAGTTATAAAGTATCTAATTAAATACTTTATCTTTTACCTATATACCTTCTTAAGTACTATAAAATACCTAATATTAAGAGGCTAAAGTAAATAAGATATATAAGTAAATATATAAAAGGTAATAATCTTATTATCCTTATAATATTTTTTAAATTTAATAAAGTAATAACTTTTATAACTATTAAGGATTAAAAGGTAATAAGAACTAATAGATTACTTAACTATAAACTTATTAAAGTACTTTAGCTAGTTAAAACCTAGCTAGTTATTTATTTATCTATTTTAGCTTAATATAATAACTTAATTACTAGGGAGATTATATTTTTAGTACTAATTTATAAGGTAATATTAGCTTATACTAATAATAAATAGTAAGATTAATTAACCTTTAGTACTAATTACCTAGATTATAGTAATCTATTTATAGTTTCCTAGCTATATTAATTTTAATCTTCTTTACCTTTCTAAGCCTCTAATAACTATTCTAAACTATATAATACCTATTATAAAGCTAATCTTATTAAAGTTCTAGATATTATCTAATTAAATACTATACTTTACAATTATATTCTCTATAAGCTAAAACTAGCTATAAATAATTATAGGATCTTTATATTTAGCTCTTTAGTAGTTATATCTTTAAAATAAATATATCTTTAGCTTTAGTTATTACTTAATAAAGTTATAAGC